CGAGACGAGATGAGGTTGATGTGACAAGTTGCAATTTGGTCACATTGAGATAGGTCCGAAACGTAAACATCGCAAAAACCACTTTCACGGTGATCACTGAGAGAAAATATCAAAATGCCTCTAAACTGCATATTCCTGCCCGTCAAATGCACAAATTAAGTTGTGACTAGAATCATTTCATTCAACGTCGCAATTCACTTAACATTCATTATTTCTTCTTGAGTGCTTTGAATTTTTCGTAAAAGAATGTCACAGTGTTTTTCCTCTGAGTGATTGTATATTAATCAGGGTGTTGAGAAATGAAATGTCGTGCAGTTTTCGGCTCAAGAGCAGCAAGATGGCCTTCAAATTGGGCGCCTCAGTGATAAAGAGACTCACTGAGGTGCATTTTGCAAAAGATGAACTTTGGTTACTCGTTAAGAGTTCTTTAGGATCCGGATTAAGAAAAATGTGCCCCCTCATCAATTTCCCATTGACGCTGATGAATTACAAGTGGTGGACAAAAAAGAGCGTGTAGGATCAATATGAAGTGGCAAACAAACAATTTAAGTAGAAATTACACATTAATTATTAATTGATGTGTACATTAAAGATGGGGATACGTAGCAGATATGTATATGGTTATTTCGCAATTTCCTCCTCACGCCGTCATCACATCTTCCATGTCACAGTATTCCGTGTGGTTTGTCGTTTCTACCTTCATATATTTGTTCGTGTTGTTCGACGAAGATCACGTTCTTCGCAGCATTTGAAACGCCTAATCGGAATATTTCACAGGCACCCAACAGTCATGATGCATTGCTCTGATCACCTGCACGGCACAATGTCAGTGTGGAAGACAAAGTATGAAAATCGCATCATATGCACAGTTAAAAGAAAACATTGCACAGATCAGCGTCCTTCACTGGAATTTCACTCGCTGTATTTTCTCGGCGGTGTCTTTCGGCACGTCCCATGTTATTAATTGCTCTCTTTTGGCACAGTTACAGTTGCACAAAAGCACCTTTGAGACTCCCGCCTTATCAATCTGTATCAATCTCTTGTCATAGTGTCATAGGCGTTGAGGAAAAAGAGTTCCATAAAACTGGAAAAAGAGTCAACGTGGAACAGATTTATTGCCACTCTCGCATTATGATCGGTAGCAATTCCAATATCAGCCCTGACCCACTTTCCTCATCATCATCACCACCATCGTACTGCCGAGACAATTATGATACACCAGCGAATGAATGTGGTGCAGAAAGTGATCTTGTTCAATTACACACCTTTTACGATCTTTGCCGTAATGACAAACACTGTAATTTCCTCCTTTGCAAGAATGTGTCAAATTATGCTTCGACTTTGCGATTCGTTGAGCAACCACCCTAATGAGCTGTTTAATGAATGCGGTCGAGCAGGCCTTTAATGTGAGCATCTTCAGTGGTTTTCCCGCGCTTCTTCGCGCCATGGCCAACACGCCTTCATGGCATATCCTTGTGAGCGCCTCTCACGCCATCCACACTCGTGCGATCTCATTCACCCAACCGAAAGCAAGAGTTGTCACCGCGTCAAGGGGCCACGGCGAAGCAAAAGAGAGTCTCTTCAACTGTTTGCTTTTTAATTCGACAAGCAGGTCATTTACATACTCTATTTATGCTATTTAACATGTTTGCTCACTCGCTGAAGTTTGGACACAATACGAAAGATTTCAACGCATGCGTACGAAGGAAACCCTCAGAGGGTATTTCAAATGAAACGAAATATCGATATAGCGCTCTAAATGTCATAATTTCTCACTATTTGCAATTTTGCAAAATTAAATTTTGCAGCAATTAAGTATAAAAAAAATTGAAATCACAGTGATATATCGCATTTTGGCAAGGGAAATTTGGCCATACTTTCAAGGTGATTTCTTGATTCTCTCATTAGCTCACACGAGTATGCGCCCTACGAGATCCGATGCTGTTATGTGGGATTTTGAATATTTTCCAGGCATTATGATAAGCCCCTCGGGCGGTCGGCTAAATCCCCGTGGAATTTGGACATTTGTAGTATACAGATTGCTGTTTGACCGACAAAAGACTTTGTGCAATAGTTGAAATGGTCAAAATGTATCTCGAAGTCAGTGCGATTAGTGGGAAATTCCGTCAAAGGAAGGCAAAATACAAAGTGTTTGTATATTTCGTAGGTGAAGAATATTTTGTCTACACATTGTGGCAATATCGCGTGTTGACTATTAATGCGGAGTTAATGTGAGGAAAACACCCCAATTAATTGATTTATTTCGATATGAAAATTATTGACTAATTTAATGCGAAATTGTTTTTTTTCTTAGCCATTTGTAATTCATACTAAATGTCTAGACTGAATTGAGTAAGACTTTGAAGCGGCATTTGAGCAAATACAGGGCGTTTTGTACTTGCCCAGTGTGTACAAAATGAATTTCAAGGTAATAGAAAATCGGCATAAAAGTTTGCATATACGGAGTGAGATTGGCAATTGGCAATGATATAGCCATAATGAGGTGGGGAATTGGTTTGAAGAAGACGAGAAATGATTGTGTTAAGCACATTGTAAATCTGGCGAATTTGTTTGCTAAAATTGTTACACATACTTAATAATAACAATAACAATATTGTGCACTCATTCACTTCACCTTGCTGCTCTATGTCACTTTTGTGACTACGAATTTTATTCTTCTTTTTTTCACTACACATATTTATTTATGTACATGTCGAAATCCGTCATATATGATAGTATTTATTGTCAGTGGAGTCTCAACTATGTGGATCTTAATTTACGTGAACTTTACATTAAAGTCGAATTTCACAACGATAAACTTGTCACTCTTTCAGCACGGCAGTCACCAAATTTTCCTCCTCTTACCCAACAATTGTTCCACAAGCATGTGTTGATATTTGAGATGAATGAAATGTATAAGAATGAATTCACTTATTCGTTTGTTATTTACACAATTTTTCTCCATTCTGGATGAGATTTGCACGATTTTATTGTATCCCGCGTGCATAATTCTCCATTAACCATAATTGGAGTGTGCCTTCACAAAAGAATTGTTATTCACTGTATTTCATCAACGCTATTTTCTATGATTTTGCAAAAAAAATCATCATCCCATAGTTCCACGATGCCTGAGCAGGTGCCAATCTCGGAAGTACAATTCAATCCTCATGATCTTTTGCATAAGTGTTCAATGTCAGATGTGCTGGATAAATCGTGAGATGAGATTGACCATCACAGAAATTGTCTTGTGTAAAGAAAGGTCACATGAAATTTTCATAGACTCATCACATTGACATTCTTCCTTGAGCAGTCGAACCGGTGACAGTTTGGAGAGTGTTTATGGTCAAAAAATCAAATTATCTTATTTGATTTTTAATTCAATGGAACTATTTTGAAAACGGATAAAGTCCATAAAGTGGCCATTTAAATTAAATGTTCAGGCAAAATTACAACATCGTGAGGGTTAGCGAAATTACAGTATAGCATCGAGCATCGCGATCTAGTATTAACCGAATAAAAGTTGGACTGCAAAAAGATTTTGCTTCACTGTTTACGACATGAGACCGTGCACAATTAATTTGATACTTTGGTTCACTTGCTAAATTGCAGTGAATTTTGCAGATTATGGAATTGCTCAACCCCCGTCGTCGGATTACCATATTTGAGCCGCTGAACTCTCAACTCGATCTCTGTTTGGGGTGTTTCTCTGGTTTAAACTTTCAGTGACTTTGGCAATTCCTATCGGCGATCTCCCCGAACAAGATCGCTTTGGCCCAATTTTGCCTCGTCCCGTGAGTTGCCTCACCGCACTATCGACAATTAAATGGTTAATCAAAAATCAGCGAGTTATATCGTAAAAATCTACCATGGTTGCGACAATTTCCATCTTTTATTGTAACATTCGCCAGGGAGGTTTATGTTTATGGCCTGAAAATGTTGTCATAGTCGTCGCCAAGGGAAAAAGTGATACTTTGAGAAAAGTAAGACAAAGTTTAGGCGGGAAGGAATGAGAGAAAAACAGAAGTGTATGGTGAAAATTACACAAATTGGATGTAAAAGTTCCGTCAAGGACGTCGATTAACCACTTGGACGACGTGTGCACATTTTCTTTTTCGATACATAATGCTGTGTACGGTGTTATTCGTATGGCAAATCCAATGTGAGGCAATCAAACAAGTCAGTTGAGAGGCAAGAAGTGATTTTCATTTAGTAGTTGTACAGTCGCCATCGACGGAAACGGTTTACTCTCTGGGGAGATTTTCAGATTAGACGTGAAAAACGGCAAGTTGCACTACGTGATCGCTCAGCTTTTATATGGATCTCTCTGAGCTTTTGCCATCTCCTTCGTGATACACCTCCGGTGTGTGTGTCTGCGAATGATATATCGAGAAGTGAACGTTTAGGCAAGACAGTGGGAGTTTGCTGACTCTATTTTCCAACATACTTACACAGGAGTTTCCGATCTGTGGGGAGATTCACTTGAGACTGAAGCTCTCATGTGAGCTTGCATCAGTTTCTTTTCAGATTCCCCGGCGACAATATCACTCAATAATACTCTCTGGTGCTGTTTCATACATTTTAGTATTTTTCACTTCGCATTTGCCATTTGTGCGCATTCCTTGGCAGACAATTTGCATAACATCACAATATTTTCAATTTTACCTCTATATATTATCTTCTGCATTCCACTAAGAATCAATTTACATCATCAGGACAACAAGCATGTATTTATGACAAAGTGTGACACTCTCTTGAAGCTGTATTTTCGTCTGTTACCACAAGTGCTCGCTGGCAAAGGGTTGATTTCAGTGCGTCAGTGAATAAAATCGAAAGTGGAAATTTGGGAGCTTTTGGATTTTCAAAAATTTCCAGTGAATTCTCCACAAATCAGTGAAATTGTGATTCTGTGCCTGCGATAAATTTCAGGGGGAAACTCAAAGTTCCTCACTGCCAAATTTTTGTGATTGTGAAGCGTTAGTTAAAACCGCCAAAATTGATAACCTCACGGAATACGCCATGGCGTCTGGCTTTGTCAAGATCGCCATGGACGAATTCAATTCCCACACGACCAACAATTGGACTGGACTTCTGATGCGCTACTGGACGATAGTGGAGGAGGAATTCGCAGGTATAGAATACAAAGAGATTCTTCGCGTAATTAGTTTCCAATTAAACACTTTTAGTGAGATTCCAAAAAGCCTCATTAGCACGTTAAGGTGCTGATGTCGTGTCAGTATTTTGATGTTATTTAAAGCAAATTAAGCACTGATGAATAATTATGCAAAGTTGTAGAAGTTGTGGAATGAAAAATGATAATGAACTTGACTGCAATTTGTGCAGAAAGAGATTCATGAGAAGACTGTGGAATATTTCTCTTACAACACATTAATTACATAACAACTCAGAGACGAAGTAATGTGACTGATTGTGAATTTTGCTTTCACCGGCAGATGAGCGAGCGAAGGCGTATCCTCTGATGGACAATCCATTGTCAACCCTCGTCCTTGTGGGCGCCTACCTAGCCTATGTACTCGTCATTGGGCCACTCTACATGCGCGACAGGAAACCATTTCAGCTCAAAAACACACTCATTTACTATAATGCCTTCCAAGTTCTCCTCAGTGGATACATGTTCTATGAGGTATAGTACCACTCTTTGATTTATTCTGTACCATTATTTTTCAATAACGTGGAATTTCCTGAAAGGACAAAAAACATTCACTCCTAAGAGCAAGGAGAATTGTTCGTTTGTGGAACTAATCTTTACAAATTAAATAAGGTTTGAGCATTTCGCGAAATTTCAAATTACGCGATTTGTTTTTATTTTCTACTGACGCAACATTTAAAGATCTCACTTCCCGGTAGATTTCATGTGGTAAACGAAGTGATAAAGTTTTTGGCTGATGCTATCTTACCCTTGAAAATTTTCCTTTTCACTAACTACTGAATTATTAATTTTGGGAGCATTGCTGAAATCGTAAAGGGCAAATTTCACGAATGAAGATACAATGTGCCTCAAAAAGTTAATAAACAATATAATTTAACAATTCTCTTCATTCAAATTTACTTGACGCTTTTTCAATTACATAACTCTTCTTATTTCTGCACGTAATTTTATATTCATTAAAATTGCAAAAAGTAAACTTTTTATCCTTTTTCTGCTAATCGGATCTTCATAGACTGAAATTAAGTTTCAATGTCAAGTCTTAATAGATGCAATAAAATTTTACAAAAAATTAAATTAAGCAAGATAAAGTTCGCAACATGAAAATCGGCATCAACAAAATCAAGAGTCTGTAATGTATGAAAATATCATGTGAAACATTCAAAGCATAATCTAGCGATCATTGCTCAGCGAAACTAATTCCCTTATTATTAAAGATAAATTTGCTGATCCTTTTTCTCTCTTTCCGCAGCACCTAATGTCGGGGTGGCTCTTTGACTACAACCTGAGATGCCAGGCAGTCGATTACTCGGACAGTTACCAATCCAGACGGGTAATTTTGCACTGCTAATTCTTATTTTGGGTCCAACCTTCGACACGCTGTTTTTTCCTCAATTCCCCACAACAATTGCTCCGAAGGAGCACTCCTATGTACATTGTATGCTGATTGCTAAGACGTGGCCAACACTGCTTTGACGTACACATGCAATTAACACATTACATTGATGAATTTATATGAATTCAAATCCCATAATCGTCTGAAATTACAATTGTTAGGTGGTGGGCATTAAAAATCACTAAATCGTCTTCAAATATGACGCTCACTGTAGTTTATGGGATTTTTTCTACCATCAATGCCTATGCGCAAGTGTGTATGCTTAATAAATTTTCATCCTATGCACTTGTATGCTAAAGCTCCTCATCGTACCACCGGTGGAAGTCATGAAACGGTTGGCTTCGTTTTGAGCTCACGGCAAAGTCAAATTTGTCGAGGAATAACTGAAGTTTTATTTTTGACGATTGTGCAAGCAAAACGACGATATAGTCTATTAATGTGATATATCTTATAGACAGTGGCTAACATATATGGAGTACACGTAAATTTGACATTGATCCTATTGAAAAGCAATCATGTCTTTTGGGTGTTAAAAACGCCAGTAAAGAGTTTGAAGGGTAACACTGGTGAATATTTTGCAATGTTATTTTCACAATTAATGAGACATCGGAGGTGCAATAGAGTCGTTTGTAAAACTCATGGGTGAAGCATTTTGAAACTTTATATGACAGCACATCACTCATAAATTGTTTTACATTTTAAATGAATTTTTATTGGAAATATATTTCGTTAATACTGCAAGTGACACACGCTCCTAATCCACCTGTTTTCCCTCAACTTAATCCGCACCTTTCAGATGCTCAATCTCTGCTACATCTACTACCTGTCGAAACTATCTGAGTTCGCTGACACGATCTTTTTCGTGCTGCGTAAGAAGAAAGCCCAAGTGTCCTGGCTGCATCTCTATCATCACTCCCTCACGCCCATCGAGGCGTTCATCTTAGTCAGATTCCTCGCCGGTAAGTAATCCTAAGCCACGTGACATTTCGCAAGGGAACCCCACCAACATATTGCGATCTCTTTGCAGGTGGAAATGCCACATTCCCCAACATCCTCAACAATTTCGTTCACGTGTGCATGTACTTCTACTACATGGTGGCCGCAATGGGGCCACAGTACCAGAAGTACCTGTGGTGGAAGAAATACATGACAGAACTCCAGATTGTAAGTGCAATTCTCCTTTAGCCATGCTCGTAGAAAGTATATCACAATCTTGAGCCACTGTTTTTATATGATCTGCATGCTCGAAAATTAATTCTATCCACTTTGGCGACCGACTTAAATCGTATTGGTCATAATATTTTTTTCCCACAACCTTTTTCCTCTTCATTGAACATTGGAAGCTGTTACAACACATTTTACGCGCACTTTTCTTGGCACGCTAACCCCTTAATTGGTGTTTTATTGTAACTTTTATCACCGTGAAATATCTTTTTAACGTTTCAACCACTGCCAGCGTTAGAATGATAATGAAAGCTCAATGTCGAGCCCAAAGTTCAGCCGCGATGTGTTCTGGAGACTCTCCAGTGAGAATTGTCTGGCGATTAGACGGAATTAGATGACAGACAGTGTGTGAGCAAATATGCACATGGGTTGTGCAAAGTGCAGAAACTTGATTTTTCAACCCAAACAATTTTCGCCCAACCAGTTTCCCCCCGGCATCGAGTCAAATGTTCAATTCTCACTGCAAATATGTACAAAACTGCGATGTTTGCGAAATATCTCTGGTATTTAGTGGCAGACATTGGTAGAATTGCATCCGATACGTTGATTTTAGAAGGAAGTCACATACACTCAGTCATGATGCTTTTGTATTACCCGCTCGTAAGATCTACACTCCGGCAACTGACCCCATTTCTGCTTCCATGCAGCTAAATTTCGTTTTCATCGACGGAGCTTTCTACATATCGTGAACTTCATGCAAAAATATCGTATGTAAAATCTTTTAGCTGTGAATATTTCTAGAGGAAACATTTACAAGTGAATACTAAACGTTAATTGATAATTATTTGAATGTAATGAGTTAGTGAAATTTCCCGATCGTTGTCACATAATTTTTTCCAATGCGTGTTAGCTCGGAAATCGTTTCTGTGAAAACTCAATTGCTATTATAGTGATGCATCTTTAAAAAGTCTGTATCAAAAATCCGTCCCGCCTATCTCTATTATCCAATACTTATGATTTACTGATTAGATTCACGGTTCTAAATGTATTTTCGCGTTAATTATAGAGAAGGAAATTGCAGTGAAGATCTCGTTGCAAGACCATTAATTTTTATGATCATTCCTCAATTAAGTGTCATATTATGATTTAAAATAGATATGATAATTTCCTAGAAATGCTATCGATAGTAAGATTACCCCATTGTCATTGTGAATGTTTCACGATGTCACAGCAGAATTTCATGTAAGTCGAACACAAAACTTGTGAATCATACCAACTTGTTGGTATTTCCTTTCTTCCATGAAGCGACCTGGGAGAGGAACAACATTTTAGACAAGTGCGGGTTTCTTGCATGGAGATCTCGAGAGGCAGCTTTTCGCGCTCACCTTTCCTGCCATCTAATCGACGATACTCTATTGAGAACCGGTTTCCGGAAAATTCTTCTTGTCACTGGAACTTCGTGTCTGAGGATTGCACACTCGCACTGCGCCTATCAAAGGAGGTGCGGAGTTGCAATTCTCCGGCAGAAGGAAAAGGTCACATGAGGAGTTTCTCCCATTTTTTTCCCGCGTTGTCTCATTTGGTGACAGTGACAATCGGCGATTTCGGTAAAAGGTGGCAATGAACTGATAAATCAATGGCTTTCATGCGATTGCATAAGTCCAACCGGTGGGAATCGCGCGCATTCAAAGTCAAGAGACAACGGGAAGTTCAGGAATTATATAACCCGCCGTGGTGCATTGAATGAAATAATCATACAACGAGAAAATGAGCGTATGTTGTGTGCAAGAACACTTTTACCTCATGTCTCGTGGACTAGACATTCAAGAGAGCTGCAATGTATCTGATTATATCATCGAAAGTTCACGTCTCTCGCTGTTTACGTTTATGCACTTGTATTAGAAAGTGCAATGTTGAGCAGTTGCAAACTTGGTATTATCCAATAAACACTGTATTTATCTCATGCTCGTTGTTCTCTGCCGCACAGAGTAGAAAAATAGAGCAAACTGGCGAAATTAATCGCGCCATTCGAAATTTTCGCCTATGTTATTTTGCTGGGCTGTGAATGGAAAATGGTATTGTGATGCAAAGATTTTCCGTAATAGTGCGAACGGCAGTTTAAGAGTAAAATTTCTATCATGTGTGTTTATGCCTGTGGAAAAAATGAATGAATTTTGCATTCGAAATCAATTAAATTATTGCCTCCTTTCTGCACTGTACACATCGGCAAAGGCGATGTTGCGAAATTCGCACAAGAGAACACACACACAAGGCGCACAGCAAATGCGATATTTCTCACATCTGAAAAGCAGGCATTTACTTTTTGCAATTATCTGCTTTTCGCGGCAAAAAACACTTTGACTTTCATTCGAAGCCAGTCGGGTTCAATTGCACGGCGCGTCGACGGCGCGGTTGGAAAAGTGCGCCACAGCGCGGAATTGTGACCTACATCATTTACATATGAAATTCTACAAGTTGTCGCTGAAAAAAAAAGGTGGGAGACACACTAATTATTTCCGTATTTTTTCTCTACACCTTTCAGGCTCAATTTATTCTCTGCATCGCTCACACGATCCGCGCCCTGGTGTCCGACTGCCAATTCCCGGCTACTATCTCTGCTCTGCTCCTCCTCAATGCGTCCATCTTCTTCGTCCTCTTCATGAACTTCTACGTCCAGAACTACAACAGACACAAAACTCTTGCCAAGAAGATAGAATAATTCAAAGACTTTAACCATTTCTAAGAGAATTCTGTAAATAAAGCTTAGTTTGTAGCAAGTACTATTATTATATTATTTTATCACTCTGCCTTTCATCATTTAGTTTCTCTATGTCTATCATTGTGCGTGTGCGAGTGGAAAAACAAGTAATTATTCTATGCATAAATTTTAACAAAGAGACTTCAGAGGTCTGTCATGCCTAGTCTAAAGTCGATGTTTTCTTACATAAAATAAACTTTGGAATAAAATTTTGAATTAATACAATACTAGGAATCTGTTTTGACAATATTGCAAAAGCTTCTCGCTTATCCACTTATTTATTATTCAATATTACTAAAGTTCCACAAAGATTGATAATAAGTACTCTTACTGAAATATTTTTATATAGGTTTATTTCTATAATAGTCAAAAATCTTGAGAGATTTATTCATATTGATGAAAATATAAACTTAAGTGTAGAATTTAATTATACTTTCCTTATTTCGCCTATTTCATATTTGATAAGATTCTCCTGTTCAGAAATACCGAAGATAGAGCTCCAAATACTAAGAAGGAGTATTTTGATTCACAATAAGAAATGTGTAGGAAAGTATGAAATTCTATAAATTTATTTACTTTTAAATAACATGAGTAAAATATATCAACTCTAAAAAATCAAGTGTGAAAGAGTAAATTTATTCATTAAAGAAGAAATATTGCGACACTCTTTATAAGTACAGCCATACAAGTTTAAGAAGTAAGGTCAACAATTTGTAAATAAAATGATACACGAGCTACTTTAGATTCTAAATTCTAATTAATGTTGCAAAAATCGCTTTGATTCTAAATTTATCTGAACAGATTCCTTTATTCAAAATTACACTTTATTCCATTAGTTTATTTCATCTCTAAATTATCAATTATACTTCAGAAAGATATTGAATACGAAGATTATCCATTAATATTTCTAATTTAAGACAATTAAATTAACAAATTTCTCTGTAAATATTTTGGAGAGTTAAAAAGGAAAATATAGAATGAATAATATGTAATGTATGTACATAATGCTTGTAATATTTGGTAGAGATTATCCTAATCGATAAGAAATGAATAAAACTAATATTGATATAAGGAAGAATTAAACTAAATTGATCTCTTATTACTCAATCCAACCAAAATTTTTCTCTTTCACTCCGTTTTGCCTACCTCTCGGCGCTTTCAGTGCTGCTTTTCTAATTTTCTCCACTGTCGCTGTTGTCGATTGAAGATTTTGACAGCTCATGGTTCCCCGCGGTGGCACTGGAGGCGTTAGTTGAGTTTTCATCGATTCCCGGATTTTTGTGTGAATTTCAAGACGCTAAAATCTCATTTCCTGGCAGCGATTGGGACTTCCGGACACACGATTCCGATGCGGCCGCACTCCGCGAGGCAAATGTGCGAGAACCAGGACAAAAAGGGCAGCTTCTCCTTCCGGCCCTTCTCGCAGTTGCCCCGGGAATCTTCGGCGCCCAGGAAGAACAGTGACGATGGGGGCACGCAAAGGGCTCCTGTTACATGGCTGGATGACGACGATATCGACAAACTCGACCTGTCGCTGAACATAGACGCCGCAAATATGTTCTTCAATCGTGTGGACAGCGCGGAGATCATCTACCAGGCCAAGAAGAAGAGCTGTAAGATGGTGGGGAAGTACGTGATGGGAGACATTCTGGGTGAGGGATCATACGGCAAGGTGAAGGAGGTGTTAGACTCCGAGACACTCAGTCGACGGGCAGTGAAGGTTGGCCAATCGAACGGCGCTGCAATGGTTCCCGGACAGACGGGTTACACTGATTGGCCTTGTTTTCTTGCAGATTTTGACGAAGCGAAAACTTCGCCGGATTCCCAATGGGGAGCAGAATGTGCGACGGGAGATTCAGTTGCTGCGAAATCTCAAACACAAAAATGTGATCGAACTGCTGGACGTGCTCTACAATGAGGAGAAGCAGAAGATGTATCTCATCATGGAGTACTGCGTCGGTGGGCTGCAAGAGATGTTGGATTCAGCGCCGGAGAAACGCTTCCCACTCTTCCAGGCCCACCGATACTTCATGCAGCTGCTCAACGGACTGGAGTATCTGCATGGGTGTGGTGTGATCCACAAGGATATAAAGCCTGGCAATCTCCTCCTCACGCTGGATCACACTCTCAAGATCTCTGACTTTGGGGTGGCGGAGGCGCTGGAGCCGTTTGCCGAGGATGATACGTGCACCACTGGTCAGGGATCGCCGGCATTCCAGCCGCCTGAGATTGCCAATGGACTGGAGTCTTTTGCGGGTTTCAAAGTCGACATCTGGAGCAGTGGCGTGACTCTCTACAATATCACCACTGGTCAATACCCATTCGAGGGCGACAACATCTATCGGCTGCTCGAGAATATCGGCAAGTCGCAGTGGGAGCCCCCAGAGTCACTGTACAAACTGGATATGCACCTGGCCACGTTGATCCTTGGGATGCTGCAGGCCGATCCCGACCAACGATTCACATTGCCACAAATTCGCAACCATCCGTGAGTGCGGAGAATCACTGGATAAAATACGCACACTTACTGGAAATTTCCGCTTTTCAGATGGTTCATCGGAGCTCCGGAGAAAACTGGGCCCCCAATCCCATTCCCACCACTCAAAGGGGATGAATTACGACGTTCCACAGTACTGCCTTATCTAGAAGCTTATCATTATGCCACCGATCGTGACAATGAAGACGTCTACTTCACGGAGCACGATTTAAATCGTAAGTGCATTATTTCTTCCATCAATGTGGATATCCTTCCTAATTCACTTCCGATTCCCCAACGCAGAGCAACTTGCAAAACAAGCTGCAGCGCACAGGAGTGCGGCGAAGTCAAAGCACGGCAGTGTTAGCGGTGGCAGTAGTGACACGAAGAAACGTCCACGAAAGACCGTTTCTTGTATTTCTGTACGCAAATTGACCAGCTGTCGTCCATCGTGAGAGTTAGTCCTTAGTAATTTTGTGAGATACATTGCTCGTTTGTTTGTTTATACGTATTATTTTCGACATTGCAAAGTATCCCCGTGAGATGATTTAGTGAAAGGCATACAAAAGGATAAAGAAATTATAATGAATTAAATTGGAGAGGAAATTTTGAGTACAAGAGTTACACTTGCGCGTCCGTTTCGCGTGTGTCGTTGCCGTTAACCAGTTCGGGAAGGACAAACATTTGATGGTACAAACTGCCCAACAGCGGAAGGCGCTTCAGCATGATGAAGCGTAGCGGATCGATAAACTGAGCTGGTGGCTTGGCGGTCTCCGGATTGCGCCAATGAAATCCAGTGCTGTCGAATTTGAAGAGACATGGCGAGGGAACGTGATCTTTCATGTAGTTCCACACACAGTCCTTGAGAAGCAATACAACCTAGTACAAGAGATGATAAGAATGAATTACAAATCAAGCACACCACTCTGCAAAGTGATTTATCTTCGCGCCACTCTTAGCGCGAACATCTTTCAACTCAAATGTTCCACCCAAATTACTTGGACAAACAATTATGTTAACACCAAATGTTTCGTGAGTTTAAATACAGATCATCCGAGAGAGAAACCCTGATAATTGGATTTCTTTCAGACATGAACTAATCACGTATGCAAAGTAACTTTACTGTGGTCACGAAAGGTCATCAATTACACATTGCCAAGGTGAGAATTTACTTCTTAAATGACATCTAGAACCATTTCTCACCTCTCTGTGTCCGAGACAATGCCCATATTTGCTTATCTTTGACTCACCTCAAATGGCTCGAAGTACTCAATGACTACGTGTAAGTAGCTGAGCGGCGGCGGCAAGAGCTGACCAAGAGCCATTACCTCAAGTAGCTTGAGTGTGACAAAAATCAATTCCGGATTGTTTACCGACTGGAATGGCTTTTCCACCGACTTGGCCCGCCACTGATTGAGCACAGTGGCACAGAGAGCTCGCAGGAGCACCGATGCGTAGCAGAGAGCGGGCCTGTACGTTCCCACGAGGCCCAGGATGGACCATAGGATGGGAGAGTTGTTGAAGATCCTCCGTATCTGAAGATCGCGCTCCATGGTGACCTTCGTGAAGTCTTCATCCGGCCAAGGGAAGCCGTTGTACATGATATCCGGGGAAATCATCTCCACGAGAAGGAGTGACACAGTGGAGAAGCCATCTATGACATTCGTATGCTCAGCGTCCTGACAGCACGCCATAATCGCATCCAGAAGCAGCTTCTGAACTTGAGATTGTGGATGATCGGGTGATATCACCTCGGGTTTCAACCCAATTCCAATTAAGCCCGCATGGAGTGAAATCCTGCTGGTGATGGCATTGAATCTCTGCTTCTGGTTCAGTGTCATCAGGGTATCGTCCTTGGATGGATCATTCTCGGGCGGATGAGGATGTGCCCCGAAGAGTGTGCGATAGCTGAAGAGTGCTCCGTCTAGTAAATCCCTGAGAGCAGCCGTTCTAGCGGCCTTCCTGCAACACTGCCTGGTCAGGAGATTAAAGCATCGATTCATGGCCTTGCAACGAATCGTGGAATCATTTTCAGTCAGATTCCAGAAGAAGTATTTCACTGTCATTTGTGCCATTTTTAACACCTCCACCATGGCCAGCAGAGAATCCCTTCCTCCTATGCCCAAATCATCCAGAAGAGTCACAATCAGATGAATCTGCTCCTTTATCGCTTCCAGTGCTTGAGATTTCTCCCTGTCCAAATACTCTCCATCATTTTTCAACTTCTTCTTTGTCGGCTCATCCAATCCTCCTGAGGATTTGAATGGTATTCCCTTCTCAATATCCATGATAACATGATTCAGCAGATTATAGAGAATGGAGAGAAGTTTTGGGGCATTTTTCTGAAGTGCTCCACTCATTGGACAATTCTTAAGATGCACATTTTCCTCGCTTTTCTCTAATGTCACCAAGTGATACAGATTTTTCAGAATTATCACATTTTGAGTGAAATCATCGAGTGTTCTGCGTTTGTTGGCAATCGAAATTGCCTCCAGGGATATTTCCAATCCCGCATCTACGGCAGGAAAGTCCTGGGTACCGAGAGAACCGCCAAGGATTCTCGCCAGAGCTCCTAATCCGTTCGAATTGGTGTCACTGGGAGTCATCAGCAGTTCAGCGATGGTGTAGTGATAAATGTAGGGTGCTCGTGGCGAAATCAGCAAGATCAGACGCACCACAGTCTGCTGCTCAATGAAGTTGGCACTTCTGCAAGAGCTCCAGAGTATTCTCTGAGATGTCTCCGTGGTCAAATTGGTCAGCAATGGACACTTTCGGTCATCGAGAATGTTCATCTCTAGCTTCTCAAGGATATGCTCGAGCAGTTCCAGACACCAAACGTACATTTCTGCCATACGCGAGAGTGTCAAAAGAATGGTGAGACCATTGTGACGCACTTGGACTGCGAGATCAGTGAGCAAAAGGAAGATATCTCGGGCGTTGTAGTTGGGCGGGAAGTGCATACTTTGGTAAACCAAGTTGGGAATTTGCGTTTCATGGAAGATGTCCAGGAACACGTTGGTGATCGGCTGCAAGAGGATATCCGACATCCGCGATAAATGGATGAGATATGGGATGGTGTGCAGATTAGGTTGCGATGAACCCTGATTTGGTGGAAATAGGACAGCTTCGAACATCTCCCGCAGAGCGACATTCAAATCCCGCTCGTGTGCCATCGAGAGATAGCCCAAAATTCCCACTTCCGAGTCCAGAGTGTTGTTGAAGTTCCCTGAGAATGCCTTCAGTCCGCATTGAAGAATTCTGCGTGTAAAGAAAGATTCTGTGAATCACAAGAAATTTTTCAATTCATTCTATCATATTTACTTTGATATGACTTTGAGGGGAAAACAGCCTCCAAGTCGAGCGACAACCCAGTCAAAATGCGGCGTATGAGATACGAAAGTGGACAGGAGAATCCCAATACAGGACTCAGATTCATCGTTGTTCAGCTTCGCAAAGCAACTGGCCGAGAGTCCCAGAAGGCATTTCATAGCGCTCGAGTTCATCCAGAAATTGCAGTTGGCTGTGATATCTGAAAAGCGAGTTCATATTTATGCTACATTTGAACACACACAATTTCTAGAGAACTCACTCATTCCATCACGTCCTCGTCCGTGCTTCTCAGACAATTGCCCCAATAGTTTAAGACTCCACGTGGACAAAAGTGGTGCCCAAGCGGGAGTGCCGCTGATTACCAGCTTCTCAAGTGCCTCCTGAATATCCACGACTGCCTGCTCCACAGGAGAAGTTCCCTGGGCGTCTTTCTCGACGAAGGCAATGTAGTTCCCGATAGACTTATCGAATACCAATGCAAAGTACTCCAGGACAGCATCTCGAGCAGCCGGCAAATCTGCAAAGAAGGCGGCATTTGAGAACTGCGGTGCGATAGTGCAACTTGCTTCTCGTCACCTTGGAAGATGCTTAAACTGCATTTTACAAGCTGATCGGATATTTCTGGCGATGTGCCTCGCTGGATATTCGCCACAGCATTCACAAAATACTGCAATTCTATCAAGATGGGCTGTTTAATCATTATTAATCACGAAAAATACGGTCGCGAAACGCGTGTTTACAATTTTCTTGACACTTCAGCTTGTCACTAGTGAAACAACACAAATGTCCAATGAGAAACCACCTAACAGTCTCCATTCATAATCTCAGCAGCCTTTCAATTCATTGTCGCAGTTCAACTCTTATTTTAAGAGACATCGCACAAGATGCGGCGTTTAATGTGTCTTCCAACATTTTTCGTTTCTTCTTATTCCCGCATATATTCTTAATCGTCTGCAACTTCTCGATTCCAAAAATCCTTGTTTGATATATTGTATATTGAGCGAAATTCAAAAATGTTAGATTTCATCTTTCGCGTATTATTATTTATTGATGAAATGTAAATAGTAAGTAATCTATACATAACGTATATTTTCGAAGGATGGTAAATTATTATACACATAACTATATACAAATGCTGTATATCGAATGAAAACTATGAGAGAGCAGATATAAAATTTCACACCTAATCAAGCTGCTTATTTGAAGGTGAATTACCTATATATAATCATGCTTTATTCTTACCTTGAAGAAAAATGATCTGGAAAGTTTGGTAGAAAAAATTGTTTCTCTCGATTCACGAAAACACAATAACATCCGAAGATGTGTTAATATGTGATTAATTTAATTTAAAACAGCCGTCAATTTGGAAGAGTGATTGTCATTCCTTTTTTCCAAAGAAATAAAGAATCTCTGGTAGATTTCCATAAATACAATAATATTATCTGCATATTGTATCTTCAGGTCAAACACGGGTTCAAAATGTAGGCGTAGTGAATAGTATGAAATTGAAAAATAAATGAATTACGAACATGGAGGACGGAATTAAAATTGTTAGAAGGTTACCTTAACACTAATATATTAGAACAGAATATCTAACCTTCCGCTTTTACCACATACATTTATCAATTATTATTTAATATAAAAAATACTAAAAATTATGAATCACTCAACCCAATGCCTGTTTTGACAAGCATATTATTCACACGAAACTAATAAAACACCTCTCCTGACAAATTCAAATAAAACTTACAATAGAAGACTTTTGAGTTCCGTTCCGAAAAGACAATAGTAATTTATTCTTCGAGGAAAATAGCTGTTAAAATACACATTGGAAAACATTTAGCAAAGTAGCGTGTTGGGACCTTTTATGATTTCCATAATTATGAGGTGTAAAGTGTCATCCAATCTATTTTCACAAATGTGGGGAAATACATATTTATTTGGCGAATAGAATAGAATTGATTATATTGACTAACTGGAAATTCACGTGAATAACCAATTTAATTTCCATGCTTGACGTGTAATGCACAAACTTCTTTGCTTTTGGCGGTGTATTGATAAAATTTGCTAAGTACACAATCGTGCTTATTAAATCAGAAGAGATACAGAATGTTAATCAGAAAGACTAAAGGAAAAACTTTTGAAATTCGCAAATATTTTTCTTTTGTCAATACATAGGCTTATTTTTGAAATAATGCGAAAGACACACAAGGATGATTTAATGAACAGTTTAAACAAAAGGAACCGAGCACACAATCAAGAGTATTGAATGGGAAATTTGCAAACTGTTTTTTCTCCTGACTGGAGAAAAGTTGCAGAATCTGTTATCGCGGGCTAATTCCATATCTTTCTCATACATTCATCAGTAGTGCAAACAGTGACCAGCAAAAAGTCACTGGAGAATTCTAGAAGCGTGCGCCTCCTCGAAATTCAATTCAAGCATCTGAAATGTTCATGCTGACGAGGCTTTTTCTGTCCACTTCAACACCAGCAATTCACAGAAGATGATCCTCATGTGATAAATGGTCTCGATGAGTGTGGATTGTGAGTTTTGACCAGAGAAAAGACACTTTTTATCTCAATCTGTCTTTTAATGTATTGCGAAATTCTTTACTAATTATCAGACGTTCTCGAGAGAGTTCAAGAATCAAGCGAACAAATAGTTAGTGTGAATATTTCAGTTAACTTTTCACTGTGTGACAAAGATCACACCTTTTCAAACCGATAAAATCTTCCGTAAGTGAGCTAATTGAACTCTTTTCCGCTCTCTGCCTAGTTTGTTGGATTGAAATATTTACTGAATTAACTTATTTCTTATTTCACGATGAGTTGAAAATTATATAATTTGGCACCTTCTTCCACGTTGCGTTGTAAACCAATCGAGGTGGAAATATTCGGGCACTAATTTTTCCAGAGATCTTTTTTTCATATTATGACAATGTAGAAAAGTGTACTTTGTGAGTAATTTCAAATATTTCATCAAAACGTACACAGATTTCGGTCCATCTAACTTTTTTCCGACGCATATGGAGTTGAATGATACTTAGTTTTTGTCAGACCTCTAAGAATTTCTCACAATGTGTAATTTTTTACTCCTTCGCACTCGCATTTAATTCATCAATGGCATACTCTTCGGTCATACTAATATTAAACTATGGACCGGCTGATGTCACGTGAGAACAGAGAATCCGCAAAGTAGCGTCACTATTGCCGAAGAATAATTGCGATGGTAATGTTCACATAGTATTTGCAAAGAAGAAGTCGAATGACAAATTTCATGAGACGCAATTCTTCGTCGTGATTGCGTAAATTGGTAGTTTTTTTCCTTAAACATCGCGCTGGTCAGTCAGCGTTGTAAGTTTAGAGGTCCAAGTGATTAGAAGGATGAAAAGATTTTTAGCACATTCAACTGGGTTGCACGAAGTATGAAGAAATCTTACAATGACACTTTTCTCACCTAAGGACACCGAGTTGGCAATCTGTAACGGATCTTTGCACTCACATTGATTTCATTATGGATGTTTACGCATTGTGACGCGGAAATGTGTTCTATTGAGTGAGAAAAGCCTACGCGCAGCCACAGAAAGTGAATCTGAACGGAGACGAAGTGGTTTCATTGTGTGATGGAAGTGGAAACGAAGCAAGTGAACACCATCAGTCTGCTTTTAACACATCATTTCGTCAAGAAAAAATCAACAATATACGCATATTTGTTAATACACTCCAGGGACATTGATTTTCGTGATCAACTCTAATTAATTACTATAATAGTGAAAATGAGAAGTCTGAGCTTTGCTCGTTCTTGGGTCATCGGCGGCGGTAAAAAACTAATTCCTATTCGAGATGGTTCGCATGTTGGGTATGTGAGAAGCCTAAGCTGGAGTATGTTAAGGACACTGTGGTGGTGCTTTTGGCGCTTCTTAGACAAATTATTATATTCTGATTTGGTGGCCACGAAATTGTGGAATCATAGATGTTTTTGCATTTTAATTTGAATTAATTATCAAACTTTCGAAAATGCCTAAAAATCTCACCTAAGTGGCCATCACTCATTTTTATTTTTATATCTTTCAGTGTGTTATTGATCTTTCGGCACATTCTTTCGCAGGTGGAAATTACGCTACAAAACTCCTCTGGCATTTCCTACAGAAGTTCACTGGCCGTTCGTCTTTCTGCGGAAAGCAGAAATATATAGAATATCCATTCTTGGGTGAAACTTTAATCAACTAAAATCCAGTAACGCCCACATTTTGGCACACTGACCGTGATCAAAATGGTCAAAATATCCGAAAACTTACCCTGATATTTACAACTCGATTCATTCACTCGCTATTTACGCGGAAATAAAAGCCTTTAATGGCACATTTCATGTGTCCAATTGTGCACCGGATAATTGTAAATCCCCAAATTCCCAATACAATGAGTAAATAAATTTATTCATGTGACCTCCGTGGTCAGTCCCCCGAGACACAACAACCTGTGGGTTAATTTATTGGACATTTCCATTTGGGAAAGCGAACTAATGATCTATTTTCTTGTCATTTGATATGTAAACAGAACTTTTTCCGTATAAATTACTGTAAACTTGCGAAAATTGACTTATAACAAATTTAACGATAAAGCAAAGGTCCAAAATACTCATTCACATAATTACATTGTAGGAACTTCCTCTACGTTTCGGCTGTTTTGTAACACTTTCCTTAGTCAATAAATTGTGCAAATGTTTAATTACATTATGTCCTCATCCGTGTCAACTATTCAAAAATTCTTAGCAATGTATGGAGAAAAATATCAAATGTTTTATTTAAAAATTCGTCTACAACTTACAACTTGATTTTTATGACAAAAATTGGCGGTATAAAATTTTCACGATAAGAGAAATAAAAAATATTTCCTCACGTGCTATTTCATATCTCAAGAAGGCAATAAAATAACCAATAATTCTGGATTTTTAGTGCACTCGTTTAAGAGTATAGATTAGCGCCGGTCGACGTCTGTCCACAGTGGAACACTTGTCATACATATAATGTATATAAACAAGCAGTTAGCTTGAATAATGAGCTTATTTGAATATTCCAGTAGAAGTGCTAGTGAACTTTTGAAGCTCTGCATAAACTCGTTCTTTGGCAGGGAATTTTTCTCAATTTCTGCGCGAGTGTCTTTGACGAGTCTACCTGAGATGAATACCAAGTTAATTGCAACGAACAATAAAAAGTCATAAAAAGTAATCTGCACGGAAGATTGTGGACTTAATGGATCCACTATGGAGCCTATGTGTGGAGATGAAAAGGAGTTATTGGCTGAGACAACAATGCGTCACAGCAAGATTGGCACTGGAGGAAGTTGTCTTATTTTTTTCACATACGATTGTGAAATTTTGAACCTCAATTGAGTATCCTGTTTTATGACAAAAGTGAGATTGCCGCGATATGCGTTACATCGTGTAATTCAATATTTCAACGAATCGCCAGCAGGAAACGATAATTCTCTCCTTGAAGGGTAGCACCGGAGCCGCAACTCTTCATGTTTCTCTTGACCTTTGGAATTGGAAAAATAGATGATATCTCTGGTCTTTTCTCATTAAATTACACTTGCACATAATTAATTACACATATTCAAAGACAATTGCATGGCAAAGTGTTTTGGGTTGAGACATAAAATATTCCTTCGCTATTTCAAATTTTTAATGCATATTCATAATTCACTGTTTTTATCCATTTCGTCACTTGATAAGCGGATGTTCAGACAATAAAAGCCAATGAATATTTTGCAAAACTTCCCCTGGACGATTAATGGGCAAGTAAAAATCCTCCACAGATTGATTTTAATTTTTCTGATATTGATGTGTTAAATTGCATTCGTTGGCCTGTAACTCAAGTTGCCTTGATGTACATGTTAAAAAAAAGAAGAAGTGTAAGCAATATCCACTGTTTTTGACTGCAAACACCTTTCACTGTGTACACTCTGCAGTCCATGATTAATTTTTTGGAAGTAAAATACTTTGGCATTGCAGTTTTGTACTCCAATTCTCTTTTTCTTCTTCCACTGCCACAGAGTAATGCGAAGAGTGCGATAATGTACAATGAAAATGTAGGTATTGAAAGAGAGGGTGAGAGAGAGAGAGAGAGAGAGAAAATTAACGCTAATTTTGGATAAGAGTCCCACCATCTTCGTGCATGTGTGTATATAGCATTAAATTAATATTTATACACAGAGATGGGATGTGGTGGTGGGAAAAAAGTAAACAATCATCATTGACCAAAGGTTTCGCAAAATCATTTTTCGACGATGTGTGAATCAAGTGGAGGATCGATCGTATTGATCGAAAGTCCGTGGCTATATGTGTACATAGTGCACACGGCGATCGCGATCGGCGCGCCATAAGCACCTTAAAGTTTATTCGCGGACTTAAAAGTTGTTCATTACGGTACCGACCGCGACACAGTGCGGACGCATTTTTTCTCGCCTCTCCCCCGCAGCCAAGTGGAAAGAGATCTACTGAAAAGAAAAGTGATAGTTGTTGGCATCACCCAAAGTGATCTTGACAAGAGTGCAGACTAAGTGTTAATTGCTGGGTGTTGAATAAGAGGACAATCAATCGTTATGATCGCTGCAATTAAACAATAGGACTGTATATCGAGTTCTCTCCAAGTCACTAACTAGAGATATAAGATCGAAGCTATCGATCCAGTGGAAATATACGGTATGACGATTATCCACTGAGGGAGTGTGAATGGAAATATTCCTGGGTGATTTTACGTTGATTCACGTCACTCCAGCTGACTTGTAATTGATCGTATTTGAGGACGATACACACTTTACAGTAAAGACTCTGGGCGAGAGAGAACGAGTGCCAGAGAGGGAAAAGCAAATTCCTGGCAAGCCACACAAATATTTGATTACAAGTGCAAGAAAAGCGGACACCAGGGCAGTGCCTGTGTCACAGATTGCAACACAATATCGAAGACCCCAGGACGGTTTTCAGCAGCACAGTGCCACCTTGTTGACCAGTCGATACCAAAATTTAATAAATTAAATAAAGGTAAGGCTCTAAGTGGTCCATTAACACACTATGATGAGGTGGTGGGAAAAAAGTGATCCCAATTGCACACATGATGGATGATTTTGACCGCGGAGAGTGATTTCGAAATTATCAATTGGCCAAATATGCCCATTAGTTGGGACGATATGTGAATATTCTCCTCCCCTGGAGCTGGTGTGCTGGAAAATATGTAGATCTGACTACTTTTCATCAGAATTTCAAGGTGACAAAAGCATCGAGGCTATTTTACGTAAATTAGCGATCTCACACAATCGCGTATGAAGTATACAAATGGGGAGAATGATCAATCCCAACATCCTATCTCAATACTTTTATTTACTTTTGCACTGCACCGTCATGTAACAGTGTTATATAAAATGCAATAATAAATAATTATATTTTTTCGCCATAATATGACGCGATTGACAAAAAAGTGAATTGCAGTTGAAAAAAATCAGTGCCGCACTTTTCGAGTGGACATTTTCATGATGATCATTGTTTATTTTAGGCGAAAAAAGTGAGAAATTGAGAGAAATAGCATTCGGCAAGTTTGAGAGCAACAAAGAAACTTGTTTTCTTACGCTAAACAATAGTGCAAATATAATTATTTGGCATTCAAATTTATTAATTAACAACACCTAGAGATGTTCGCAATACCCAGATTATCTGTCAATTGAAGATTAAAAGTTATTAGTTCTTTTTTACCAGCGAAAAATCGTCTGAGAGTAATCCTATTAGGTTCCTAATTGATAATCTTCACTTTCTGCAATTCTTCTGCTCAGCTTTTTACTCCATTCTACCAGTGACACACTTACACATTTCTTCGCGTTGTGAGCTGTTGTGCAATTGCGACTGATTTTTGTGGTGAGAGGATCAATATCTCAGTTTCCGATCGCAATGACAAAATCGACTTCAAGAATAGTGCCTCTCAAAATATTTCTGTAAAAATGGGAAATGACGTAATTCGACCACTAAGAAATACCAATGATATTTTTGACGCAAAAATCATGTACCTATTCGTGTAGTTTATTAAATCTGAACGAGTTAGCTTAGTTGATGGGTAAGTGTTCTGAAGAACGTCACACGAAAAACACGATTTATTGGAAATGCAGATGACGGGGAACAATGATAAGTATGGTCAATATCGATGTCCAAAGTGTTTATTCTAACCATACATCTCAAGAGTCTACTTGCGGGCACTTTTGGTCACACCTTGCCCACCGAGAGAGACGTGAAATTTCACTAACCTCCAGACTTCCTCACTGTGAAACTTATAGACGAGGTCGTTAGATTGTACAACTGATTCTCAGTGACGATGGGAACACGAGAACGCTGTTTGGGCCAAGAAAGAATGATTTCCTTCGAAAAGAGAAAAAAAAGTGTAAATGTGCAGGGAAACACAACTCATTTGAATCCCCATTACAAGCAATTATGTGCGGAAAGGCCTGGTCAGCGGGAGTTGTCGTTTTCGATGCATAAAAGCTTGGGAATATTCCTTGGTCGTTGAGAGTAATAATGGTAATTTTCCTCCACGCGACACACGCTCGATCAAATGGCGAAGAGGAGCTAAATGACGTCCAATTAAATTGATATGATTCTTTTCAGATTGTATTTTGACCGTGTTCGCTTCATGTTTTGCATGATGTTGCACAGATGTAAATTTTGCCAAAAATCCAGTTGTAAGTGTGACTTTATCTCACTTTATCACACAAATTGCGCATCTTTAAATCAAAATTTTGTATCTTATACACGATGGGGGAAAAGTATATTTCCAACGAGAATAACGTATTTGTCATAAATCAGGCGATTTATTAGACTTTGAATTCTTCTGAATTTAAACTGCCTTTTCTTCTTTTGACTGCGAAATCCGCGAAAAAGACTGAATGGTGGTGTAAAACGAAACAGCGCAGCATTCAATAAAATGCTTATGCTTGTGATTTCCCATAAATATTCATGCTTTTATTGGGAAGCGACAAACCGGACTCTCTCCCGGAGACTAATCAGGCGAATTCCGTGTAGACGCGATGGAATAATAATGGAGGAACTTGCAGTGGCCAGAGGCCAGGGGTTCGATGTGCCATTCGTCTCTGCAGACTTCTTGCGACGTCATTGAGGAGAATCTGGGATTTCCATGGATGGCAACAAACCCGTTCTACATTTCTCTCGCCACTCGTGATCACTCCCATTCGACCATGGCGCAGGAAATTTCACATACTGTGCATCGACACTTTAGCGCGAGAAATTTTGCATTAAATACCCCAACATTATATCACCAACAATGATGGTATAGGCGCGTGGGTTTGTCTCACTCTGTCTGCCTCATATTTATACCACCGGAATTTTTATTTGTATTTATTAGCAACGCTACAATTCCACGGTGATAAATATACAATTTCACAGAAACTTTGGGTGGCTCACAGAGTCTGGGTGGGCTCTTACAAAATTGCACACACAATTGTAAAGAAGGTTGTTACTGCACATTTTATTGTTGTTCGGAAAAGAATTTTTTCAAATGATAATTATGTTGCAATTGAATACTTTATATTATTGCTATTTGTTTTTGCTATGAATGAACAATATTTCCCAATGCATGACACTCTGTTGGGCTTTAATTTGCCCAAGGATCGCGGCGATTTCTTACACCAATCTGCCAAACGCTTGGCTGGGCCTCACATCTTCTGACATTAAGAACCCGCCTCCGCAATGAGGCGGTAATGTCTACAGGAGAAGATCAGAGATCATGATCGGTCAGCGGATAAAATTTCATAAAATATTGCACTTTATAGTGTGGATGGGGAAATTCTTGCAAAAGTTGACCCATCCGTGGTTCTATTCAAATTGTGTTTGCTTCTCTCATTCACTTGTGGGTGAGATGATCCGTGTTGAAAGTGCATCTCACGATCACCTGCTAACGAATTGCTACAAGGAAAAAGAACAGAGAACAAAGTGGTAAATTTCAGAAAATGCTTACAAGCTTGAATTTTGCTTACCATTGCGACAAACTAATTTTTATTATTTAATGTGTTTTGAGGGCACGATCGCGACTCACTTCTGAATTTAACACAATCATACGCGATCGTGTACTTGCCAATTCACCTGTAATATCACTACACATGCATTTTTCCCACATGACTGTATATCTTTTCCTTTTAATTCATACGTAACAGTAATTGTGGAGTGCAATTAGCAGCTTATTATTTTGAACTTGATATTTTACAGGCATTTCGACTGTTGTCTAACAAAGTATCGCGAGTCAGTTGAAATTAGGTTGAGTGCAAGAGTGGAAGACTTCAATCACCATTGAACTCTAATATTTATCGCAAAATCAATATCAAGTGGAAGAAGGGTGTATCCGGTTTGGGTGCTAATTAACTCGTGTAATGACAACAATTTGAGTAAAAGTGAATGTTTCTTGCTTAGGCGGGAAATGCGCAAGTTATTCGGGTTTTTGCATGATTTTGAGAGCAGCACGGAAAAAATTGCTGGCAATCAATAAAACCCACAGATTACAGTGGAATTTCCATAGACACTTTCCAAAGATTTTTCTGTGAAGAAATAAGCACACTTTCACGATGCATTCTCGAATTTATAGTCAAATTTAATTATTCAGAAAGAAGTTAAAAAATTTCTCAAGACTGATGGAAGAAATGCAGGAAAATTGCATACTAAAAAATCTATCTTTACTCTGCAGAAATGCATTGCTTGACACTAATTCCATTCTCGGTTGAATTATTGTGACTGACACAAGAACTAAAACTTTCACAAAAGATCATAAATTTCATTGATTCAATATCCATGTCACAGGTTGTAATTATACTTAAGCATAAATGAATGTTTCTACGGTAAATGTGGTCCACAGCAATATATTGTGTGAGAGATCGCAAAAGTTTGCTTGACAGATTAATTAAGTGCTTTTTTGTATTTACGGCCGCTAACGCAATTTTGACACTGATTATTTCAAAATGTGACCACGACCAATAAGTTGGTGTTTCTCTCTACAAATTCACATTTTGAATGTGAGGTCAAGATCATGTTTGCATAGATTAGGTTCGTGTTTTTCGTGAAAAATATCAATTTATGTTGTATTTTCAAGAATCACGGCAGGTTTTAGACCAGTTTTCTTCACTATAAAAGTTGCAATACTACTTTTTTTCTCTCGGGCACAAGTTTTAGTACTCAATTAAATTGAATTTTATCTGTTCATAGTAAATAGGTTTATTGCAGTTTCAAGCGTATAAAAATTTTATTCACTGTCCTTTTCTCAAAATTTCACAGATAACCGTATATCATTATGCATTGTCAATATAGTGTTTATGCTGTCTGTATCGTTTATATAGCGTCAAATTCAATGTAATGTCCACATGGGAAAATAAACAAATATATACAGATATGTATATTAGCATATAAAGTGAACATGCGTGTGGAGATATTATTATCATCAGAGTCGTTGATTTGTATTCAAACAGTAATAATCAAATTTTCACCCATCGGAAGATTTAATATCATGCTCCCTCTCGCGAATTGTGCAATTAATATGCTATGGATGTACTTCAAATCAAGGTCGTTTACAATATTTTCTCTCTTCACTTCCATTTTAAGTCTTTTTCTCTGTCGCCGTCTCAGACGATCGATCCAAATTCTTGTGATTGAAATCGTGATGCAAACTAAAGTATGCTCAAAAATATATATGTATAAGCCCCGAACACTCAACTACTGAGCGATTTTAATTCATTTATTCAACCAGTAGTTTCAACCAGCGAGAGCAAGAGCTGAAACTGTGTGCGAGGATTGTTATTTAACTGTGACACAACGGCAAAATGTTTCGTCTTCGGATGCGTTATGCGCAGATTGAAAGAGAAAAGACATCACAGCGCTTTTATTGATGATCATGAGGTGACTCCTCTGTGCGAAGTCAATGGCAGAAAGGCACGAAAGTATCGAAACTGTGGGCGTCAAGCGTCTAATTGCCGCTAGATCTTCAAAAAGCTCTCAATGCACCACCTGTTCGGTTCAGAGATCACCGCCCCGCGGCAACTTGTGCGTGCAGTTCAAGGTGGAGCTCCAAATGGGTCGTGCAAGAAAACCTGCCGCTGCCATCCGAGCCAAAAAGATCACTCTCGATGGCGCGATGGCAATTAGATACGGCCGCGGTCGCAATGCATTGAAAGCTCAAGTGCAATATTGCACAACGCGCGCACTCGATGGATTTTATGCAATTGGGCTGAGTCGAGATGTGGAATAAGGGACACACGACCACTCTTTGGAATCTATGCAATTATCTATCATTACTCTCCGGGTCAATGTTCTGCGAGTGGTGTTCGCCGCAGACAAAGCACTGATCGTGGGGACACATAGCCGGCCACACAATAGAATGATTTACCCCAAAACTCGTCATACATCGTCATTAGATGTACATTTCGCAAAATTGCACAGCCTTGATTTCCTCAGTGTCGATGGATTACTGCAAAGACGCTCTCATCAGCCAGGCGACTGCCATGGGAAGCGTTCGATTGTTAAAGGTTCTCCGTGCTACTGAGTAATTAGACGCATTGTAGATGATTTTTCAAGAAAGGCACAAAGCATTCCTTACGAACTAAATCGTTAATAACAGCATTTTTGCAATTTCCATTCACTGCATCCATTTAATTTACTGTTCAATAATTATCACAGTTAGTCAGAGTTCGGAGGGTATACAAAAGACATTACTGAATACTTTAAATTATTTACCAAATGAGGCTGAGTTTTGCAATTCATCGGATTTAATGTCAGATTCTTAATCGAATGCTAAATTATGCTTCTATTGGCTTATCTTATGAGGCTATTGCTTTATACTCACTTCAAATCAAATTATACATTACTCGCTGACTTCCTTTCATAGGTTCTCACATAGTTTCCGCTGAGACGGAAGAGATTAGTCACAGCGTTAGCATAAATTCACTCCACAAGTCAAGTTTCTTTGATAATAATTCAATTAGGAAGTCTATGCAATAGAGTATATAGAAGGAATTTTATCAAAAATCTCCTGAAAATGAAATTCCTCTGAAACACATTTGATTGCCTTGGTCTGTAATGACTTTCGAAAACATATAGTGAAAAATTCTTGTGGTTGAAATTCCATTGTCAAAAAGCTCCATAACACCTATCGTCATGTTGTCTCTTAGTAATTTTCTCACACCGCAAATTAAGTATCAATCAAGTGATATCAATTGAAATCATTACACATGCAGAAGCTCAAAACACTCAATGTGTAGGCTTCATATGGTTATTTATTGTGTTGTTCCTCTTCTTGGCACAGCAACTTGATGGATGAGCCGCTGTGGAAGAGTTTGTACATGCGTTTTGAGTTATGTTACAAAGGAAAGAACCATACACGGGATGGTGAAGCAAAAGAATAATTACTGTGACAATATTTTCGGCACTTAAAATGCAACACGCAGAGCAATGTTGGCGGTGAGAGAAGCGATATTTATGCCGATTGCATGCAGTTCTGAGTGATTTGTTGGGTTTCTTTCGGTATGTCAATAACAAATAAGTGTAGGAAATATGGCTTGTGTAGAGTTTAATTTATCCATCTGTAGTCAAAAAGAGAAAATAGTATGTATAACTCTTCTCGCGCACACATTATCGATCAATTTGTATGCGATGGCCAATAGAAAACATAGTGCTAATTCGAACACCCAGCATATCGCAACATTGAAGGTGGTATCAATAGGGGCAATGGGGGCGCCTGGTGGAAAGCGACACCTCCGAAATTATTGTCTATTATTATCGAATATTGTTGTTTTCTTCCACACCATTTTGGCTACCAGTCGAATTACGAAATTCAAGTACAACTCTATTTGCACATATGAGGATGAATACATATTGATTTAGCAATGAAAATCCACTTTTTTCCCTCCTTTTACACATTGAGCGCATTTTTTTCAACCCATCACAAATGGACTCCAACAGAAGAGAAGATTCACATTTTTTTGCTTGCGCCGAAACAAGTGTGAATTGCTTATGTTCACAACATATAGGCATATTAAAAAATTTACACCTCTTTTTCGCATGTATGTTCTGAGCAAAGAATCACCAAAATTAATGTGAATCCCCGTGAGTGATATAAATTGCCAAATATTCACAAGTGTCGAGCAAGTGTAGTATTTTTTATGCATTTATAGAGCGAGTATAGGAAACCTAAGTGGAAAAAATAACATCGAGCTCGTCTTTTGAATATCTCGTCTTTTGTTGCTCTATTGTGAGAAGTTTCAATGTGACGTGCGAGGAAAATTGACTCATGTTACTGACTCTTCGTCTTGATTAGAGAAAAGAATAACTCTACTCTTAATTGCAACAATTTTTTACGTCAGTCTAATGAATTCTGAAATCGAGTTTTCGAGCATTTGTTGCTCCATTCAGTGCAACACGTTATGATAATGTAATTGTGGATTCCTATATTGCCCCCCATTGATCAGCGAGCAAGTTTATTTTTCACAATTCTAACTCAAGACTGAGAATCTCAGAGTGTAGATTTCCTAGTTCCTAATGAAATTAGCATCTCATGTAGTTTTTGATGTTTTTCGATATCGTTCCTTATTGCTCGCATGAATTACGCGAAGAGAAGAAAAATGATGTGTAGATATTAATATGTGATTACGGAATATACGGAAATTGTAAATTTCCATTTCGTGATATTAAAAGAGTGAATCAAAAACATTGCCACTGAATTCTCCGCTGAAACTTGCATTTTTCATTGCGGGGGAGTGATGGGAATATTTCTTGTTGACTCATTAATTCTACCGGAGATAAATTCCCATCGGTCACCGCATGGAAAGCCTGAGGCATGAGCGATGGGGAAAATGTTATCACAAGACCGTGAATGGGTGTGTAAGAGTCACGATGAAATTTCTCGATTAATAATTCTTTTGTTAGTTAGCGTCCCGCAATGGTGAAAAGGTCAAGGCCTGACGTGCTAATAAAATAGCATCGCAGAGATGATGTGTCCAATCATCTCTGGTTGAGGCTTCTTCGGCAACCTCAGCCGACCACAGGCTAGGCCGTGAAATGTCGGTGCTACATCTCCCAGCTATTTCCAAACGGATTTTTTCGGCATCTCTTGGTATTTGAATAATCTCGCCACTCTCGCGCTTTTTGCACATGACAAATTGGAGACAATGTATACAAAACTAGAGAGGAGAGATATTGAGTGTCAATGCAATGTGCTCGTCAAATTTTTCACCGCACAAATTGAATAAAATAAAGCCCGTCTTCGCCTTTGCAGCGAATGTTTGATAGACAACGGTTACATCTCTTTTGATCATGTCGCGTGTGGCCAGGTTTCGCAAAGGTCATCAGCTTGAGTCTAATCGGTATTTTAAATATGAATTACAAATTTGTGTGAGAGTGATTGAGAAAATGCAGGAAATGTTTGTTTATGGTATTTTCTCTTATTCCAAGATGGAAAGAATGAAAGAATTTGATATTTTTATGGCAAATGCCGGGTGAAGTTTTGATTGAGCTTTCTGAAAATATAATCACACTCAGGAAATTACTAAAAACAAGCCTCTTGGTCTCGAGTTTGCTGAAGGGGAACAGAGAAAAAATGTCTGAGCGTCATCTTTGACCCCTTTCTGACTAATGACTGGTCATCCGTCAAAGGAAAATCCGTCAATTTGTATTCAAAATAGTGCAATATCCCCTACCTTGTTGCACAACCAACCAACTTAGGCCCACTACAGGCACGTCGCGGAAGGTCATAATAATTTTTCTTATAGCCGCGAGCCTACGCAAGAAAGTGTTGAGATAGACAGAAGCCATCGGAGATAATAACTTCCCATTAACACGTGCCTGCCTTTTTTTCACTTTCAGATGTCATTTCTACAATCAATCTACGATGGATACAGAGATCTCATGGACAATAAATCTGATCCACGCACCAAAGACTGGCCCCTCATGAGCTCTCCATTTCCCACAATTGCAATCAGCCTCTCCTATGCATATTTCGTTAAGGTAAAGTATTGCCCTGCCTCAATTTCTGTTCATGTCGACCCGAGTGTCCTTGCGAGGAATGTCGTGGCCCTTCTGCTGGCCGAAATGGCATGAAACGCATTGCTACACTTTCGGAACTCCTCTCACTTTCACAGCCATCAAGTTCATCCAGAATCCTTTCACTCAGCATGCACCTTGGGCGCACGATTTTGCATCACTGCATTCTCGCACACACCAGCCCACCAATTACAGTCTACACTGGCCGAAGAGGTGCAATTCGCCTCTCTGAAATATCCTCCTTGAAAATGTGGTTTAATTTGCCCACTAAATCAATTGAGATAAACTCACATGAAAAAAAAATATACGTGTTCGTGCGGCACAATTCTTGCGCCAACTAATCCCACTCGCGGCTTTTTTGTACACTTCTATAGCCCAACAAATAATTTGTCAAGAAATAACTGGCAATTATGATTTTGTGAAGAAATAGTGTTGCTGGAAGGAAATTCTGTGACCTCTGCGACCAAGGGAAATTACCTTTTATTTGCTTGTAGAGCTATTTATCTTGCTGCAATTTGGTTCGACATTTTATCTCTAATTGATCCACAGTTTCAAGTGCAAAAAGTTCCGGGAGGTTTATGATCATTAAAATCATATACATGGAAATTTTAATAAACACTGCTCAGCATGTTTATGGGTGCATAAATTCATTGTGACTTCTAGTCAAACTTGCTTAACTAGTTGTCGAACAAATTGTGTTAACTAAATGCATCAACTCCACATCACTCGCAAAATTTTAACGACGCATCGACGCTCCCTCCCAAACGTATTCCAGTAGTTGCTGTACGATACATATAATGTGGCATTTGAAATTCACGTGTAGATTGCGAAAAGTCAAGTGTAGGTGAAATATTTTGTGTACGTCTGTATATGGCACGCAAGTCTCCAACAATCCAGATAGCCTGGCCATTATTTTTATATTTGGTCAGTGCGTTCGAGTCTGGGTGCATTACATAAAAAAAAATCAATTGGACAGAGACTCTGTTCGTCAGCTGGTCGAAAAGTGGAGCTCGTCCACCGCCGAAACTCACGATCATTTCCATTTCATATGCATTTACATTTCCCACTCTATATAAAATATACAGAAAAGAAGAGAATTATACACAAGTGCCTTTCACTCGAAAGAAAAACAAAAAATTTCTCTGCATCATTCACTAAACTTGTATAATATGGCTCATAAACGGTGTCGTAATTTCCTCTATCATCCGCGATTTTGGCCGTTACAGGTTCTGGGTCCACGGCTGATGGAGAACAGAAAACCCTTCCAGCTGCGCACGGTCCTCATTGCCTACAATGCCATTCAGGTGCTCTTCAGCACGTGGCTCTTCTACGAGGCCTGCATGGCCGGATGGCTCACCGGCTACAGCTACAGATGTCAGCCGGTGGACTACACCCGCAGCCCGAACGCTCTCAGGATGGCCAACGGGTGCTGGTGGTACTACTTCTCAAAGTTCACCGAATTCTTTGACACTCTGTTCTTTGTGATGCGCAAACGATACGATCAAGTGTCTACACTTCACGTGATTCACCACGGAATAATGCCAGTATCTGTCTGGTGGGGCGTTAAATTCACTCCAGGTAAAGATGACAGATTCACTTTCCGGTTCACCGAAAGGAGAGAGTGAGATTCGCCAGAGGGTTTCAAAATTTCACGATGAAACAGATTTAATTATTTTGCACATTTACGTACAAGAGAATTTAGACCAAACTTATTGATCTATTTTGGTGATATAGATAGAAATTGTAATACGTCGATAGGAAATTCAGATATCATTTTATAAATCTTTCTATTCCACAATTTTTTTATGCCGGCGTTATTTCCTGCTCCCCTTATTCTTACAATGTGATATTTGATTTGCGTTACCAAGGTTAGCAATTCATTATATCTAGAATTAATTACTGTTATAGGCAGATAATTTAGAAAACGTTTAGTGTTACACTCATTGCTTAAGCATAGCGATTATATCTGTGAATACTAAATAAAAATTGGAGCAAAAATAAACATCTAATTGAATAGCAAAGTATACAACAATAACATCTAAATTCAAATTTTTCACAATTCTAGTTTCTCTGATGTGTATATTTGTCTTGAAAGAACATATTGAAAGTGTGTGAACTCTGAACTATGTTTCCAAGCAGTAAAATAACAATTTAATTGTGGCAATTGGCCATGTGATGAAGGCTGAGAAGCCGTTTTTTTGGCTAATTTCAGAACCTTGTCATTATGAAAGGGTATAAAAAACTCATCAATACAATGTAAAAGTATATTGAGCAGCTTTTGATTGAAATTTTCACAATTTTTCCAAGAAATTTTGAACCTTCAGCTCACAATGGTGATCGAGAGAAATTGTATAATCGCCAAAATATGGTCATAACTTAGCCTTTTACAAGAGAAAATATTTACATATTTCCAGGTGGTCACAGCTCCTTCTTCGGCTTCCTCAATACTTTTGTCCACATCGTCATGTACACGTATTACATGCTGGCCGCCATGGGGCCAAAAGTGCAAAAGTATCTGTGGTGGAAGAAGTACTTGACTGTTCTGCAGATGGTGAGTGTGAATCTTAATCCGCCTCTCACTCACCTTTCCGCCAATTAATCCACATTGTCTCTCTTCCGACTGCAGATTCAATTCATCTTGGTGATGATTCACGCCTTCCAGCTGCTCTTCAAGAATGATTGCAACTACCCGATCGCCTTCGCTTACTTCATTGGCGCTCACGCCGTGATGTTCTACTTCCTGTTTTCTGGATTCTACAAGCAGGCCTACACCAAGAAGCGGGTAAGATAGACACTGTGAAGGACTGCTTTTTGGGGAAAAGTGTCTCACTGAGTGTGACTTTTCAGAAGGATGCCGAAGAGAAGCGCCTGATTGCTGAGAAGAAGGAAATCAACGAGAATGGCACGCACAAATCGCTGAATGGAAAGACTCAAATGTATGAAAATCCAGGAACTGTGGAGGATAGCTACTCAACAACAAGGCAGAGAGTCTTTGTGGGGTCCAACAATTGGATCTGCCAGCCGGTCAATGTGAACTAACAGGGACGAGGGAAAAACCACCAGAATTTCCATCGAGAAGTGAGAGAGAGACTAAAGAGTAGAGAGAGAATTATTTGTATACTTTCGACGGGATATCGTGCATCCCGCGGCTTTAGATAAGGCAAAATATTCTTCAAGCTAGGGACAAAGTTGTTTGTATACAAGCGACATTAATCTTATCTCTTCCCCTTTCCCCTTCTGGAGCGTTAAAGAAATACTTTGTGTAGAATTTCTTCAGTGTAGATTTTTTTTATGGACATTTTTCACCTTGGACGAGAGTCTCTGTGACTTTCCTCCACTTCGTGCAGGCAAAATTGCAAGGAGAAATCATGTAATGATATAATTCCATGGAAGGTATATGTTATGACCTATTTTATGTGTGTGCATGTACAAAAATATTGTGGGTTTAAAATAAATTTTATACGAATTTTTCTAAAGATACCCAGACAGACTTTGCAGTGGAGACGCCTGGTGAGCTTTCTCACTCTTCTCGCAGGCGAAACTGGATGAGCACGATGAAGTACATGACACAGGCGGAGATGATGGTGAAGAAGAATGCGAGGCGCAGCGAGAAGAAGTTCTTGGCTGTGATGTCCAGTTCTCGCAGGTGGATCACATGAAGGGCGAAATTGTGGGCCAAGTCGTGAAATTCCGCTCTCTTGAAAGGCCTGTCGAGTTTTTGCAGCATCTTGGAGGTCGAGTGTGCCTACAAATGGATTAAGAGACAGCAACTAACAGCCGCAATCGCACAATGTAGCTCCCAGCTGTGGGAACCCACTGGGAAATTTTTTTGCATTAAATTATGGTGCTCTATAGAGCAGGTGCTTAAATTCATAAATCACACAGCTTATGCTGAAACCATGGGTTCCGGATGGCTTTCATTCTGGCGAACTTGGGATCATTTGCATTTTTTAAGCCAAATCAGACACTAAAATATGTCTCTCATGAATGGCAACATATGAAAAAGTGGAAAGAGTGGAAGAGAAGTTGATTGGAATATCGCTTAAAGTCTATTTTTGGATGAAATTTCCTAAGAAATCACGTGAGGGACATAGAAACGAAGAGCTTAAAGATGACTGTTTAAATTAAGATGATTTGGGAGCTGAAAAGTGTCAATAGCATCTGGTTTTCTATTAGCGCTTTATCTTAATGATCTGCCTTGGAACACAAATTGCTCGAGAGATTCTGGAATTATATGAAGTATCGTGCTATCATTATCTTTAAATTGTTTTTCAATGAAAAACACAACAAGATAATCATTTCAGAATCCAGTGAAATACATATTCGTGGAAAAATTCCCGGACTTATACACTCAATTGATGGGATATTGAAAAAACTGAGTATATATCGATACTCTAATCTATTGCTTTTAGCTTACAAATATTAATTAGAGATTGCGCTAAAAGATATTAGCACTCTTGAGCTTGTCTCATATTAAAAAAAAACTCGTCATTTCGCGGAAAAAGGAGAAATCCGCGGAAAAGTAAGGCTACTCGCTGAGAAAGAGCATTACTCACCATTCTAATCAGCTGCTCTCCACTATACATCACCAAACTGACTTTCAAACACCTGGGAATCAAGATTATAATCATGCCGAATGCGGCGAACTCGAACTGACCACGATCTGCGGACCAGAAGCTGAAAAAGAGCTGCGAGGTCATAAAGATGAAGTCAGAGATCACATTCAGCAGCTCCCGAAGGCCGAAGTTTTCAGTTATCAGGTCGAAGCAGTCGCATAGTTCGCCATGGATTGCGTAGAAGGTCTCAAGACGGTGTGGAAATTCATCCTGCTCCAGCTGGACCTCCTTGAGCACCGCCTGGAGGCATGAGAAGTGCTGAGCCACCGCCTGACAAACCATTATGAAGTCTTTGGCGGAGAAAGTGTTGGACAGATAGATTAAAGTATATGTGATGGCCAGGTGATAATTATCTGGTGTGTTCCAAATAACAAGAAGACCGAACGTAAGCTGTGTCGAGTGATAGAATACTAGAACACAAACTGCGGCAGCGTGAAATCTGAAAGATGAAATATTATGATTACCATTCACTGCACATATTCACTTTCTTAACAAACAATCTATCGTCAGCAGACTCTGACGAGATTCCTATTGTTAGCGTCGAAATGTCTGAGCTTCAGCACACATCTCTTTGGGGAAGCCCTCATAAATGTTTCATGGTGGATTTAGAATGTGAATATTTCACAATCTGTTTGAAGCAGTTTAGCTGCCTTGAGTGACACTTGTGAGACTTCCCTTATTTCCTCAATACAAGAGCTTCTCTTGCTCAATATGTCGAAGAAGACAATAGATTGAAAACGACAAATAGAATTTCATAAAAACGAAAATCAACACGATATATTAAAGCAAATAAAATACACAATATCATTGCAATATTCTATTGTGAAGTTAATTATGCCACATTAATCACAAGTAAAATGAATAATTTTATGTAATTAACTAAAGACTTACCGAGACAAATAACGAAAGTCCATAATTATTCCAACCTTTTGCATCTTTGTGCCAATCCTCAGCAATTTTTTGTAAAATTCAACAGTAGACTTTCTAAACCATAGTGACAAAAAGAACGTGAAAATGTATGCCAACATTTGGAAAATTCCCCCAACAACCATGGTGAGCAGCAGAACAGATCCGAGATCCAGAGAAGTGTCCATAGCTCTTCCAGCTTGTGCCTGAAAACTCGTCTGAGAGCCGTAATATCCAGAGATCATGCTGCAAATAAATAAAACCACTCCCGGCAGCACAGAGATTCCCTTGGCTGACACTCCATCCTTCTTGCTCACAGAATAAGGAGACACCCCAATAAGGTTTTGAACCCTGACACTGAGGCGGATGGCAGAGAGTAAATCCATTTCTGCAGGAGAGCCGGAGAACTTTGTGGTGTGCGACAAAATCGTGTCTTTGTTCGTCCCAAAATGCATCATGAATAAATCAAGAGGCATCGGATATCAGGTCACAGAATCTTAATTAAATTGACTGACAATCGAACATTGACTGTGCGCCACATGTAACACAGTTGAGGGCTCCACAATTGAAACGAGAGGTTTACCGGGGAAAATCTCTCTGGCGGAGCACCGAAAAGGCAAAGGGAGAAATTTTCTTTTAAATATTTTATTCTTTATATATAGATATATTTATATACTTTTTCCTTATGTATCATCATTCAACACACAATTTCTTATTCTCTTCATATTTTGTCCCATGTGTTTTATCATCATTATATTTTCATCAGAAAAAATAGTAATGTTGGTGCCGTTAAAAATGATCCTCTAATGCCACGTCAAAAGATGCAGTTTTCAAGTTTGCTTCTCATTGATTTCTTGCCATGTTACAAATTAAAAATCATAGTATTACAACATCTGCTCATAATTTACTCATTTTTCAACCCTACAATCTCTCTTTTTTATTGTTAAATTTTTTTTCTCCTTATATTTATACTTTCTCATCCTCACGACTCGCGATTCTCCCTATGCAACTGATCTCTGCACATATTTTTCACCATCTCTCACCATTTGTTTAATTTAGGTGTTATGTGGAGGTACTTAATTATATAGAAAATATATATATATGTATGTATGTAGCAATAGATTAATATTAATTATTTATTAACAAAGGTATCCTCTTAATCATTTGTTATGCGTTTGTCCCTTACACATCTTCTTCCCTCACTCATCAGCTTTGAAAAAAGAAATCAGAGAAAACAATTTTGTTACATTTCTTCCTTCTTGTATTAATTTGAAGTTAACAAGTTTTAAAAATTCTTAGAAATTTACAAAACATTCTTTTATATTTATATTTTCCACTTATCCACTTTTTCTCAGTTTTTCACGTTTTTAATCTTCTCTTTTTTTTAAATATATAATTAGTTGTTTTGCATATCTTCAGCAATACATATTAAATATAGATACATTATCATTTTTCCATAATAGATTATAATGTTTTTTTTTCTTATGTTTCTCTCGCGCTATCTCTCTCTCTCTCTCTCGCCCTTTCACTCTTTTCTATACAAATATATTTAGAGTCTAACCTTTTTAGGAGTGATTTCACTTTACATATTACAAGTATTCTTGTTGGTGAACGAACACGGAAAAAAAACTCATGAAGGAAACGAAAAATGCAGAAAAATATGTATTTTTTCAGTAAATTTTTACCTCGCTAGTGTTTCTATGTTTTTACTTTTTCATTAATTTCTTTTATTATACAAGTCACATGTTCTTCTATACAGATTTCAAGTAGCCCTTCTGCCTCACTTACCATCCCTCTTTACGCGCATTTCTTTAAACCGAAGAGTTAATTTCTACTTTTACTCCCTCACGTCATCTTTTTTTTTATATTTTTATCCATATGTAAATTATTGAGTGTGTTCCACTTTCATATTTTTTTTCATTTATTTTTTAATCAATTAGTTCTTTAAAATATCCTTACTATAAACGCAGCTATTTATTTCATATCTTTCATACATATTTAATAAATAAAAGAATGAAAAATGTTTATGGATTCTTCCTCTAGAAATAAAAAGATGAACAGTCAGTTAAAAATTCTCCTCTTTTACCAGTTATGATTATATTCTTCTCATTGTTGGTGTGTTCTATGTGTTATTTAGACTTACTATCTATCCCAATTTCTCCACGCAATTCGTGAAAAATCGGAATTTATAATTTGTTCCATTTTACCGCTAAATTTCAGTCCCAACTTAGATGTTAAAAAAGAAGAATCTCTCAATATTCTATCAAAATACTAGATACAAAATTTTTTCCTTGGCATTCACGTGGTCAACCAAATAGTTTCCATTCTATGAAATGTGACGAAAGAAGAGTGTTCAAAATAATTGTAACCTTTATTTATTTGGATTTCATCTAATTTTACTTCATGTCCTTTTAAACAAAACAACAATTTCTTAAACGCTAGTATGTATTATTATTAAACATATTCTAATTTTTCCCCATTTCTACAAATCTTCTTCTTTTTTTTGGATGCTATTACCTTACATCAATCGAAAAGATAAACTGCATTCTGAAATTTCTACATTTAAAAAATTATATATCGCTCTCTTATGGACACATCTCGATAAGATAAAAATAGTTAATTTTGATCACGCACATTTGAGAAGATTTTGAAGATTTAGTGTGATTTTTTTTCCTCCTTACTTTGACAATGAAGACACCTTTTTGATCGTGCAACAATCACGCATTTTCTTCATTTTACATACAATTTTTAAATGCAAAATTGACCAGCAATGCGGCCCTCAACACATTTAGTATACACTTACTTTTTATGACAGAGAACGAAATTACTTGCAAAGCATCAATTCTAATCAATTTGCACCTTCGCCTGCGATCATGTCTTCGAAATAAAGGAATTCTCTTTTCTTGTATTCCACTGGAAAATATCGATAAAATCGCTCACTGTAAGCCTAATAACTATAAAACAATAAAGTAGTACATGAATATCTATTTACAATTTATCGTGAATTAGAAAATTTGTTTTAAAAAAATCTTCAAAATCTTCACTGTTTTCTTCTCCCTCGTGATTAGCGTAAACTTAATGCCATGACAGGGGGAAAATGTTGGTTCAGCTAGAAAGAAGTATTTCACACAGAACTGCCCTTTCTCACATGTAGTCGCAACTCTCTTCTCCTCATTTATGACTAGCCGTATAAAATTATCTTCTTTTTCTCCACAATGATAAAAAATACACTTCAATATATGAGTCGTATGAGTCTTCATACTACTAAGAAAGCAGGGAGCCTTCTACACAAGTATTGCTGACTTATCAACTATTTGCATGTTACTTTTAAGAAAATCAAATGATACAACTAAGTTGTGTGTGAAATTTTCAGCATATTTTATGCAACTTCTAATGTCACTTTTTTTTTGATATTTGTAGTAAATTCCATCTAATAGATCAAAAAATTAATTTCACGGCAAAAAACAATCAGTTAAGTAAAAGACGAAATTATTTTCTTCTTTTTGTCATCTCAACATTTTTTTTTTTTTGGTTTTTAATGTTTTCTTTCTAAATTACTTATGTTACCCTAACATTTACAATATGTTTCCATTATTTCCTTCTTTCACGACAATATATAGTCTAAAATTTTTTTCTCATTATTTCATTATGCAATTATGTTGTTATTTTATGTAATATTTTATTCCATTATGTCGATAATATTGGGCTAATTATTGAATGAGACGACAGCAGCAGGTAATATTTTCTCCTCCTCTTCATTTTATAATTATTCTTTATCTTGCATCCACTTATTGTTATCATCTCTCTCTCTCGCTAATATTTAAATTATATACTTCTCCTCCTTTTTGTATTAATGTTTATCATCATGTAGCACTAGATATTAATCTATATTTATTTCGGCATTTCACAAGCGAAATTCAATAGTCACCTGTTGTATGTTTCACTCCTCAATTTTTATGATTATTTCTGTTTTCTCGCTCTTGTTTTGCTACTATATATAATTCATCGCTAAAGGGGGGACAAATCCATAATCATGCTGTCGACCTTATCATTTTTTAGCAATTTCACTGTCAATGGGTTTTCAAATATGTCACTGTGAATGTGAAGAGTTAGCTAGAGACTTTGTTATATGATTCTATGCAGAAATGATTTTGTTTTCTTCTTATTACTGGGAGCATTAGCAGTAACATCATGTGAACTAGAAGAGTGTGATTTACGATTATATTAAGGTCAATCAGTGCATCACTTGCTCACTGCCGATGTCAGTGAATTGGTGGCCGAGGAAACATTTGAGCCACCTGAGGCGGAGGACACCTTATCAGCCATGCCGCTGCCCATGGATGGTGCATTGCCCGATAATGATGACATTAGCGTCGAATTTGTGGCATTACTTAAATTTCCCGTCAAATTGTTCGACTGCTGTGTCAGCAATTCACTGTTTGCATCACTCTTTAAAGATGTTTTACTACTTGAACGATTGTTTTCCAATTCGTGCAATTTTTTCCACAGCTCCTCACGCTCTCGTTCCCGTTTCTTCTCTCTGTTTCAATTTGTCCAGAGGGTGAGAAGGAGAAGAAAAGAGAGGCAATTTATCAAGAACCATTGAGAAATTTTCGTTAACACACTGAGATTATACTCACTTTTGTCGTTCAGCTTTGTAGCTTGCCGTTAGCTCATCAAACAACTTCGAATTCATTTCCATGAAAGTCTTTAGTACATTATAGACTAGAGCCACAATTGTCTGATTCCAGTGCTCTTTGCTGATCCGGTACAATGCCGGAAACATTATTGGCATTATGACAGCATTGTTTTCCTCAATTAGCGACATTGCATACTCATTATTCCAGAAGTATAACGCTCTCTCCGCAACCTACACATGACAAATAGACATCATCCTTTAAAATCACACTCCTGCATCAATTTACACCAACAATCTCTGAGTACCTGAAAGTGAGGGCTGGACACACATTTGGCGATCTGTCGAAACAATGGTTCCTGGATCTTGACGAATTGGGGTGGTTCAATCACATCAAGAATCTCCTCAATCTCACCCAGAAACATCACTTCCTTCTGCGAGCAGGTCTTTGGCCAAAACTTCAACAAACCCCGAACCACTGGCTCCGTGAGGGAGGCGTCCTTCTCCAGAAACTGCACCACACAGTACGCCAGTTGAGCATGATACAATGACAAGCATTTCACCTTATGGAGTGGCAATAGGACTTTCACTAAAAATTGTTTGTGTTCAGCTTTCAACGGCAGAGCGAATCCATTGATAATGCTGCAAAAAAGAATACACAAGAATTATTTGGCATTCGGCCATATATTAAACAAAAAAAATGCGTGCTGGGAAACTCTATTCAGCATCTCATTTCTGTGGTTGACGACAAAAGTCAATGTCACACAAACGAGAAATGCATTGTGGGGAACCGCGAATAGCGAAAAATGAATCACATTAGCAGTGTCTTCCTCCAAAACTAGAGTTAGTTTAAGCGTGGGTTGTTAATTCCCGGTCACATAGACTTTGAAAAATGATTTCGTTTTTTTCCAATTTGATTATCGATGTAATCTCAGAGCATAAGTTTCAAAACGAAAGATTGATTTAATGTTGAATACAAAAATAACTCGACAAATCGATTGCCTGTTACTGTTCATTTTCCAATACGGTTCGTTACAATATTCCGCGTCACCCCCAAAATTCGAGCTCTATGCAAACCAAACTACGCAAATACCCATACACTCACCTTCCCAGTATTTCCAGTAATTCTCCGACACCATTGAAATGTTCTGTTTCATAAATGAAGCGCAAAAATATGTTATTTATCTGTTTCCTGATGAATGCGCGCAGTCCTAGAAATTTTCCGTAAATTCGATGAAGAACCGTCTTCAAAAAGTCACGTTCACGAGGATCTTCCGAATCGAACAACTCCAGCAACTGCAAAACCACAAACATATATCAATTTACAATGACATCAGTGGCAATTTTATACAGTCACATTGAAATTACTCACTTGAAGGACAAACTTTTGATCAATCACTTTCTTCCCGATGGTTGCCTGGAAATCTTGTGACTCGAGAAATCGCAAGAAAACCTCATAGACCAGCTGGAGATGTGGCCAGGATGCCTCGAGTGTTGGATCGTCCTCCTCGGGATCAAAGTCTGGGTTCTCACTTGGTGGCAGTGTACGAAACAAATTACACGAAATCTAGAGGAAAGAGCAACAGAGAAATTAGTTACACCTTCAACTTCTCATTCAGAGTCTAACGTCAGCATTTTCCTCATACAACTAAATATAGTGAATATTTTTGCCGCACGAATTATTGTATATTATATTTCATTTATAATCCATAAATCATGCTGGCTCACAGCAAAACTGTACCTACTGGCTAAACTCACACCAAACAGCCTCTCGAGTTCCCAGGGAATTTTCGGTTGAAAAATACAGCAGAGGCATACGTTCTTTATCTTTATTAGCAGCACATCTCATTTTCTCGCCATTCTCAGACGCTGAATATCAAAAGATTGGGTTGCAATTTCACTCACATACTACTCGTTATGGCAATGCTATATCAAGAGATAGCGCAACTCAATGCTTTCTACTATAAATAGTAGATAACAACTTCTTTTTTATGTCCCGCGCGAATATCATACAACAGACATTATAAACGTTGATGCAAAATTCTTACATCCCGTCGCACACACTGTCTTTTGAGAATCCAATGAAAATAATTGCAGAAAAATGCATAGAATATATCCCTTTGAAAGCAAGACACAGAAATTCTCGCAAATAATACATACATGTACACATTCCTACAACACTACCGCTTTTGAAATCTCAATCAGGTGTACAAAAACCAGTCAACTAGGAAATTTGAGACATGTCAAAAACAAAGACGAAGAATTTATTATTGTTAACCGAACACTTTTGTCTTTCTTATAGATTTTTGCCTCTCTGTGGGCTTCATTAAGATATTTAGAGAGAGAGAGATTTGACGTCTCGCAACTCCCACTGAGAACAAATCGCTTCAAACTAACAACTAATATGTGTGTCACATAATGTGGGCTTAAACCTTAACCTTGACGATAAGACATGCTCCACAAATATATTCAGTCGTTCATGATCTATACTAAACTTTCTACAATACGAATTATCTGAATATATATTCTATTTTGCAGTGCTGCCATTTCTATCGATGTCTCGCAAACTTTAGTCCAAGTTTTCTAACTCTTCTTCTCTTTACTTCTATAAGTCTTTTTAATCTTCTCCCAATATCGTATTTCATAAGTTCAACTTCGTGAATTTCAATGAACTCAATTAACGAAAGAATTTTGTTCAGTTGCAAAATGAAAATTAAAGTTGTGAGCAGTTTTTAGTCATGATAAATTCAATGCTTTGTTGTTTTAAAAGCGCTTTTCCATTATTTAAACAACTGATAGTCTCTAAAAAAAACAACAACGATGATGCAGTTATCACCGCCCCTATCGTAAATCAACATTTTAAATATCAATTTACATCCGTGCAATGATAGCATATTGCATTGGCAGACGTTAGAAGACATTAACATTGTTTTTATACTGGGTGAGACCCAGTTTCCTCTTGAAAGCCACTTTGTTAAATGATAATGAATTACCATTCGTATAATTTCTGGATACACAGCCTCTGTCAGGACGCCTCTGCCGTGGATAATGTATGTGGACAGATCATTGAGGGCGGCTCTCTTAATTTCCTTCCCCTTCAGATCCGCCACGGGATCCATAAAATCAAAGGACACACAGCATTGCCGCAGTTTTCGTATAAAAAGCTCCTCCTGCTCCATACTCGAGCAATCCACTGTTGAAAAGTTAAAGGAGAGAGAAAAGACAAAATGACATCAATTAATCATCAACTCACAGGCTATCATCAGTGATACGGTGGATTACCTTTTAATTGTGGAAGTTGCTGTAGCTCTACATCCTGAGAGTTCCGATATCTCGACGATCCCTGAGACTTTTTGCTTTTCTTCTTGAGCGATCGTTTTGCAAACGGATCAATGCGATCAACAAATGTTCCCGACGACATTTTTAAGTCAGTTAGCGTGCGTTTGATATTAATGATATTTTTGTTCGCAATAACGTTATTGTTAGATTTTTCTTATCTTGATTTCTTCTTCTTTCTGTTCAACACAAATATACTGTATAGCAACAACAGAGAGGGACTCTTTCAGATATACACTTAAATTGCAGTGACACTTATTTGGACGACTATTTGTGATTTTTTTTCTGTGGTGATTTGCGTTACTATTGATTACAGACACAATAATAAATTTTATGTTTTTATCTTTTTTTTTGGAAAAATAGTTTTTGACGACAGAAACAGAGGGAAAACGACACAATTTCTCTTCTTCTTTTTTTTACAATACAACAAAACGTGCGTTCCTAATCAAGAAAAAATATCAAGAATCGAATTCTTGGTAATTCTGCACTCGCCAATAGCGAGTGTTTTTCGCTTCTCGATAGTTTCTTTTATCTTAGATGTTCTCAAATAACATTCACAGAATATTCTGAATTCCAAATCAATATTCAACGCTCTTTTCTCGTCAATCAACTGTACAAGATTACGGAGAGCACCTATGTCAGTGCACCATTCGGTCGTCCTCGTTCTTGCTCTATCTTTTTCTGTCTTGATTACTCCTCGAATATATCAAATGTGTGTTTATTGCACAACTGACTTATGTCGGCGTTCTCTCTGTCGCCGCAGTAATGCTCACTCCTTCGCTAATCGCCACTCCCTTCGGGAGGACAATATCGCTCAGAACTGGGATATCAAAAGAGAAAAAGATCTCGCTCACACAACTTTCGAGGGTGTCCACGGAACTCAACTATTTGTTGATGACGAAGAGATCTGCCACACTATATTATTATTGCGATGCATTTATGTGAAGTGTGCTCAGCAAAAATGACTGCTACAATTGCGATATATATCGTGCACTTGTTCTTGTTCTTGTTCTCTTACACAGTCCGCTAATTCTGACGCTCAAATTTTCCCACAAATGTCCAACTTATTAGTCCCCTTCAGGCGTTGTCCAACTGATAAATCATCCGCAGCAGCTCAATCGAGATTATCTGCCAAAAAGAATGTGAAGAGGGAACAGAGACAAATAGTGAGTATTTAGGTAAAAATATCTTACACACAGTCTGTGTGTGTGTGTGTGTGTGTGTGTCTGTGGATGGGAAGAAAAGCGATTTGATGCGAGAAAGGGGAAGAAAGAGCAAAAATTCACTTGTATACAGAAAAAATTTACACACAATTTGCACTCATGATTGTCAATTTATACAATCGATTATCGGTCAGCGTGTCTCTCAGTCTCTCTTCCACCCATTTTCGCTCCCATTCACCACCTTCATTTGCCTCCTTTCATCGCCATTCACCCTCGAATTCTCATCAGAATGTCGCCGCTCAAGAGATGGGATACAGTATTCTTTGGCCATGCCAAGAGAAGCGAAATAGAGTACAAGGAAAAAACAACGAGATATCTCAAACTACACACAAACTGCCAAGCAATCCACTTAAATATTTAACCAGAGTTGATTGAAATATATAAGACGTGTTGTTATAAAATTAATCGCCCCCGATTTAGTTACATTACTTCTTTCACACTCTCACTACGCTTTGTACAATGCTTTCAGATATACTGCAAAATTCAATTTACAAAATGCCCACATTCTACACTAAATATTGCCTTTTACCACTTTACAATCATACACACGGCTTCTCTTTCAACAACTCTTTTTGCCGCTTTTCAGGTCACACTCAGATCTCACAAAAACCTCCCCTTTTGTCGTCTCAATCGCTCCATTTCTCACATTGTAAATATTGAAATAAATACACAACTGTTCAACCCTGGAATTACTGGCTAAATAAGATAAACAACGTCCTAACTGATCACCGAGAGAATATTCTCCTAAAATTATACCATCGCCATCAATAAATCCCGATCAATTAACAAATTATGCACAGTGGCGGTTCATCATTAATCCCTCAATTATTCTAAGTGCATTTGGGATTATTCATAACCGTGGCTATTCTGTATGCACAATTTCCGAGTTCAAGTATTTGGAGAAAATCAACATTTCAATAATCCCTTTACAAGCTAAATCCCACTCTAAACATACATACACAGAGAAGTTTTGATCACCTTTGGGCAGACCGTATTTCCGCTTGACTCTTGCTGCACAAATACTACAAACAATTGAGAGATAAAGGAAATTGTATTTATGAGTTGTCTATTCCTGCAAACCTCACTTACATACCAACTAATTACATCTAGATTATTTCCCAAAAAATGCTTCCTAATCTTTTTTTTAATGTGAAATCGGATAAAGAATGTGAAAAGTTAATTTTTCGTGTTACAAAGTTAAGTTATGGAAAGTAATATTTCCCTTGAGGTAAATCCACAAGCAACACCTTCGATACTCCACATTTCACACTTTCTTTCTTCCCCCTTCAACCGGGAAACTTCCTAATCTTTGTGAATCTCACTCACAACAAGCGAGTCAGGCTTAATGCGTCATTATCATAAACTATTGACGAAAAAATCTAAATATTTCACCTGCCGTGTGGCTGTGTGTGAAATTTTCACTCTCGTTTATCGTATTTTCGTTCATAAAACCACTCGCCACAGTGGACATGGGCGGCCCGAGAGCGCCTCAGGCGAGATGACAGAGTAAACAGCATCGCGAAAAGTAATTCACACTATCAATTATGCATCACAACGTCTCAATTCTCATCTTCTGCCCATGTGATAATTGAAGGATGAGAAATTGTGCAAATGGAGGTCAGGCTCTATCACTGGATACTTCAGTGCCGAATTACTATTGCGCTGGATGGCTTTCCTTGGAATTTCCCGATTGAGAGAGTGCGCCTCTCCCGAGCACGCTGAAGTCTTCCGGGGCACATTCACTTGACGGTGACCCTAAAAGCACAGCGATAGCAAAAGGGAGAGGACAGGAATACTGAGTAGAACGACTGTAATGCAATTTTCCACAATATTTTCTCACGTAGTTTTGTCCTCCCTGCCGTCTTTCCCCTATGAATTATGGGGTGAAATCGATTTTTTGCCACTCTCAAGCAATATTGGGGCACTTTTCTCACATAAAGTGCCACTGATAATGTGCTCTTGACTAACTTTTGATGCATCTATTTAAAGGTACGCATCAGCAGGGACAATTCAGCCCAAGATCTCTGGGGAAATTGATGGGAAAACAGGTGTATTTTTCTCCACTATCGCATCAATTGCATCATTTCTCCCTAAACCACAAATTTCCCATGCACCCCACCCTCTTTTCCAGCTCATTCATACTATTCCACGGCCGTCCTTCAGGAGTGGGGCTCCCGTTGTGAGGGGAAGAGTCGAGATTGGAGAGATTCCCCGATCCGTTCCTAACCTCAAAGAGACGGTGTCTCAACAGCGAAATGACTCAGTGCCGAAGATTCAGCAGAGGAGGCACACTTTTCCCCAAAACACTCATCCACACTTATTACACAACCACTCCATTGATGATAATTACCCAAGGAAGAGCGGCAAGTTCAGTGAATTGAATTTTCTTGTCGGAAATATGTAAATAAATTCACCAAAATGGCGACTCCATTCGTGATGGGATGGGAGCCACTGAGTGTGTCATTTGCATATTCCCTCCCGAAAATCTCTCACCAGGGCCCCAAGAGCTCTGCTCCGTGCAGCGGATTGGGCCGTCAGGGGTGCCCTCTCGGCACTTCGTGCATTTTCCACACCACCCGCACCGTCGGAGGCACTCAAATCCGTCAAACTCTTCGCCACGGAATCACACTGGCGTAGAAGAAAACCGTCTCAGCACCACTTCCACCTCATCTGGCTTGCTGTGTCGCGCACTTGGCACTCGAGTGGTCCCCCTTCCGCCGGAGAATCACCCTCCGGGAGCAATTTACGTTGTTTGCCACTTAGAGAAAGAAACTCCGACACAATCACTGGATAGTCACGGCGAAAAAGGGCTCAATTTCACGCGAAAAATCCGTCTTTCACAACACTCAGACACTTGTTCCCGATTCTCCGCAGGTGGCAGACACTGCAGGAATCCAGGTGACTATAATTGGAGTCCTGCCTGGGTTTTTCACGGTGGAGGAAAAAAGCGAAGAAACTTATGTCACTCGATTACTGTCACACACAATTTCAATTCGGGCAGAGAAGAGGCGTCCACTTCACCACTATCGCTCGCTCTCTCTCACTCTCTCGCATTCATTCATATCCCGTCTCCTCTCCCACTGAATCTCTCTCTCGCTCTCACACACCCAATACACCCGACTTACTCCCCAATTCCGGTCATTTCCAAGCCACCTGATACGGCAAATCACTCGCAAGACATCCAGAAATTTGGTCAAACATTGTCCCACCTGGGTGAGTAATGCCACACTTCCTGAAAAGAATCATATCTCATTTTTTCGCAATTAAACTCACCATATGAAAGTGGTGAGACTCTCTCCGCTATGACGTTCACTCCGAAGAGAGTGGTGAAATTTTCTCTCCCGCTCTCTCGTTAGCCAGCCGTCTATTCCAATATGAACACCACCGATGAGTATGTGTGTGTGTGTGTTGGGAGAAAATTAATAATTTCCAAAAATACAGTCACTTCCAGATTTATCCTGTAACTCGATATATCCTTATCGCCCTGATGCACACGAATTCACATGAATTGTTCTTGCCCACAGGCCACTTTTCACACAATTGCCAGCAATTCGCTTGCACTGGACATTGGGAGCTGTCAGAATTGAAAAACACTCGGGCACTTTGCTAAACCATTTTCTCACCACCAATTATATGGCGACTCCCGAAACTTCCGACTCTTTTTTCACTCTCTCCACCGCGCTCTATTCCTGGATCAACGACGGAATTCAACACTTGAGCACACAGTGCACACAATTAGGGCAATTTTTATCGGTATTTCAACTGCAATTGGCTGCAAAAACTCTTCTTTTGCCAAAATCGATTTTGCTCCGAAGCAAGCGACATACCACACGCACCAACGCCACCCGCGATACAGCACAGAGGACACTCATCGACTACTCGATGTACTTTCGTGGTGAATTCAACCGAAAATAATAACAGATGGCAGGAATTGATTTTATTTCTCAATGAAAATTCTTTTCCAAAGTACTTATAGTTCTGCATACTATTTTACTAAATTAACTCTTCGTCTTATGAGCTCATGTTATGTTCTGCTGGTCTGTGAAAAGAGCTGATCAAAAATGGAAAAGTAATCAAATTCACCACTTCACGGTGAAATTGTGAGGGCGCCAAAAAGTGGCGCCATGTCAGTTTTAGGTGTTAATTTCGAAAGTAACCGATTTTCAATCACCATGCAACTAATTCGATCGGATTCGATCATTGAAAACCTTGAAAGCCTGAATTAAATCATCTCGACCCACGTGAATGATGGTTGCTCTTTGCCCACTAAAGAAGACTCAATGCTTCTCTTCAATACATAATAATTTATTTCACTGGAAGTTTCCGCCGAGGAAAATTGCGAGGGGACAATCTAAAGGTACTTTCAGGATTTAGGGTTACCGCCACCGAGTCTTCTGTCGTCCACTCAATAGAATAAAAGATTTGTATCACATTTAATATTAAACTTAATCTGTATCAACATTAAACCTCGAGCGTCTTACATAGGGTTTCACAAAAATATTTACAAAATTCACAATTAGACGAGAGTTCTTTGCACACACTGATCCTACTTAGACATGAATTTGCTGGTGTCCTGCTGATCCTTGGCTGCCAGCACGAAAATGGGCGATCCGTAGTCTAGGTATTTGTCACCCATGGTGTACTTGTCGCCGGGAAACTGCTTGTTCTTGCTCCGGCCACGCTTCAGCATGACAAAAATGACAAAGACACTGACCAGGAAGGCCGATGCGGTGGCCATGATGAAGACGATTGTCTGGAAGGTGGTTTCAGGGATGCCAGAGGCTGGTTGGGGCACAGGCAAATTGCTGTTTCGATGCAGGAAGCGCGAGAGCGTGATGTCTGGCCGGAGCTCACCTCCCACGAGAAGCAGATTCCTTTGCTTCACCATCTCTTCAATCGCGAATGCCTCGTCGATCTTCCGGGAGCTCGTCAGGTCGAACTTCACCATAATGCTGCCGTCTCCATTCTCGTGCACGCGCAAATTGTCCGGCGTGTCGCCCAAGAGCTGTATCAGCTCATCCCGAAGGGTCTCATAGACATTTCGGTACATGCGCCTCTCGGGATTGTTGAGGTGCAGCTCTATTGCCACGAGGTCAATGGGCGTGAAGACGCATTGTTTGGCACCAGACTTGAAAGTGCTGGACAAGGGCAGCTGATTGCCAGCGGCATCCACGCACCAGCAAATGTCACCGTTGCACTGCATTGGGGAGAATCCGCCCTCATTGTCACAGGCCACCGGGAAGGGCGCACTCATCTTGAGGGCCTCACAACGCGTGGAGGAGGCCACGAGTTGAGTAGTGCTGGATAATCGCTCCTGGCGCGGATTGGATGTCGTGGACTTGTGCAGAATTCTATCATTGAGTGCCAAAGTGGTTGAGATGTGCTTCAGCAGACTCTCAGTCGTGATCTCTGCCTCGTCCTCCACGAGGTTGTCCTCCACCAGAATAGTCATCTGCCGAATAAGCTCCTCCATTACTGGAAAGAGAAAGAAATTGTAAATGGGAATCAAGAATTGATAATAGATAAAACTCACCTGGATCCTGCATTTCTTCGTCATTCATCCGCCTCCTGGCCTGCCGATGATTACACACTGGTTCCACGTTTCGGGTCAGCGATCCCCTCAAAGGAGCCCCCTTTTTATCCGCACACCAGCACACCCCAATTCCCATATCATCCTGATTTGGTACGTCCACCCTGAAAGCGCGCCCTCTGGACTCCTCATTGCTCGCCACTGGCTTCCCCAGGCACTGCACTGGACTCCAACTTCCCGTGTCCGGATCACATCGGGGCTGGAACCACGACAGCGTCTGACCGCCGGTCCTTCGCGCCGCCAGAGAGTTCTTCAGTCGAAGACGTTCGCATTGCGTCAAGGCGGGACACACCGCCTTGCACGCATTCTCATTGTGGAAGAGATTCTTGCTCTGACAAGGTGTCGTGGATTTGATTGAGACGCACTTGTTGAGACGCGTGTTGAAGGTCCATCGATGAACGATGCTGGTGTTGTCCACTTCTTTCTCTGTATCCAAGCAACTGGGTTCCAAGCTCTCGAAGCAGACATCGCCTGGAGGACACCAACGAGAAAGTTTGTAGTGTCTCCCAAATGCCATTTATTGTATGTTAGATTTTAAGAAGGAAAAGTTAATTACAGAGAGAAGCAGTGCTAATAAAGTATGTGCAGAAAGTCTCTGAAATAGTCAAGGATTGAGATGAGCTTACGTTGTTTACCACAGCAGACGCCCTTGTTGTTGAGCGGATTGATTTGGCAGACGTGCGTTGAAGGACAGGATTCGCCAGAGGACTGAGGACCGCACGTGATCTCCTGGCCGTTTTGTCGCAAGGGCTCCCCTTCGATACAAACACTGTCCATAAAGGGCACACAGATTGGCATCCTCGGGCAAGGAGTGTCCACACACTCGACTTGCACCAAATTGCACTTCTCCCCGTTTGGACAGGTGATCTCAGAGCAGGGACTCCGGCACTCACAAGTGCGACAACCATTCTTGTCCAGCAGGAATCCATGCTCACATTGTGAGGCGCATTTGTAAAGAGGACACTCGAGTGTGGACTCTGAAAGAGAAGGTCTCAAGTTTAGGGAATGGGTTTTCACTTTATGTAATCCCACATTATATCGATTGCAACAAGGAAAAGTCTCGAGAGACAACAAGAGAGATTAACTCACCGCCATTACAATTGGGCTGTGAATTATTTGTTCTGGTTCCACTTCGCTCATTGCCCAAATTGTCCACGCACCAGCACACACCGTCGGGTCCGCACTGTACCGACTTCCAGCTGCCATTCCGCTCATCGCACTGGGCGATGTACTTTTGCCTGGCGGGGATGCCCAGTTCAATGGACTGGTGCAGTTGGATTGATTGCAGATGCTGGCAGGCGGTCTTCAGCTGCGGCTCCACACATTGAGTGCCACAGCCGTTAGAGCAGCACCTCTTCGTGCCATCGCAATGAGAGTCCGATCGGCACTCGTATTCGCAGGCATCGTCGTTCCCAGGAGGCACCAGGAAAGGACACTGGCCAGGTTTGCGCGGCAGACACGCGGGCACTGGCGGACAATACTCTCCGTCACACGACACGTCCACTGTGCGACACTCCTGGTGCTCAGGGCACTGGATATTGTCACAAGGATCCCTGCACTGGCACGACGGGCAGCGAGTGTCGGAATCCAAAATAAATCCATACTCACATCCCATCCGACATGTAAGATCTAGACATTCAAGGGTCTCCCTCATGTTTTGACACTCCTCCAGACTGGTATTGAGAGCCCTGGTGCTAGGAATCTCAGTGCCAAAGCCATCAACGCACCAGCATTCCTCCACAGTCAGCTCAACCATCTGGTTTTCAGTTTGTGGACTGGACTGGCTGGGCTTTCTCTTGGGCTTTTCAAAGCTGAAGAGATTCTTCTCATCCGACACTGATTGCGACTTTGGTTGCGAGAAATCAATCACTTTGGCTGTGCGGCCCTCCAGACCCGAGTCCTGGTTGTTGAGGATCATCTCGGCGAAGTAGAGCTCCTCTGGATGTGTGGCGGGATTGAGGATCTTCTGTCTGAGGAAGTCAACGAGATTTCTGATGTTAAGGTCCTGCAGAGCACGCAGGGATTCTGTGGCTTGATCCATGTTGACCAGCTTCACATTTTCAGAAGGAGACTGTCTCTTTGAACGTGACAGTAGCATCTTCATCTGACGCACATTCTGCTCTTCGAGGAGTCGCTTCTGCTCTGCTAGAGTCACCTTGATCTTCTTTGTAATACACTGGCGAGGGATGTACATGCCCTCCTTGTCACATCCAGGACTTGGCAGAGCCATTACCATGCCCTCCTCAGTACCCTCCATCCTTTCGGCGAAGTCGCGCAGATACTCACACACTGGAATTGAAAACAAATGTTAGATTAACAGATTCTGAAAATTTCAAGATGAAGACTTACTTGTCTGTTGCCTATCAATCTGGATTTCCGACTTTGAGGCCGAGGTCTGCATTGCCTGAGGACAACAGACGTTATTGGCCTCCTTGTGTAGTTTGGTACACTGGTAGTCCCGCGGACAGGCGATGAAGTTGGTCATAGCGCGACCGTAGCTCTCTTCCGGCGCAGCGTCGAAGAAGGACTGAGTCTGGAAGTCCTCGGTGTTTATGGAGTCCATACGACAGAAGAAAACCTCTCCGGTGACATTGTCAGCCAAGGGAGTGCCCTCTTCGCATGGATTAGAGTACACCAGATCAGGCTTGCAGATGGGCTCTGAAGCGCACAGCGAAGATCCGGATATGCACTCGGGATCCTTGGCCACTTCACAGTGAGATCCCATAGGACAACGGTAGCCTTCGCATGGTTCCGAGCATTCACACGTTGGACAACCGTTGTGGTCATTCTAAAGAACGAAAATATTAAAACAATTCTAGGCTGTAAAACCAAATCAATCTGTACCTTAAATCCGTATTCACAGACTGCAGCACAAATGTTGTGATCGCAGCCTTGAGGAGCGTCCACGCTCCGTCCAGAAGATCGCGCTTCAAGAAAGATTGCATTTTCCTCGTGAATGTCTAGTATAGAATGTCATGACGTGAGGAACTCACCAATGAGATTCTCCACTCCCTCGCAGTCGACGAGACTGGCAGCACCCATGGTGCCTCTGATCTTGTGTCCAGTCTTGGAGTCCACGCACCAGCACACGAGCCCGTTGCGGGAGCACTGTTTGGAGGAGAAGAGGCCACCGGGTCCATCGCACTGCGGAATGTAACCTTTCCCCTCGCGTTCATTCACAGACAGCAACTCCGACAGCATTCTCGCTTGATGGCACGCTGCAATGAATTTCGAGCAATTCTCACCCAAATGATCTTCTCTACATTTCACTGATTTCGCCTGCAATCGAACTTTCTCCGTGTGCACGAGGCCACATTTGCTATCAATTGCGCGGTGAAATTTTCCTATACATTCAGTGTCTTTGCAATATTTGCGGCCGTCCAATTGACGATTTTGCTCTCTTGGTCAGCAAAGGTGGTAATTTATCAATTTACAAATGTTCGCCAATTTGTAGATTGGACATTATTTATTGGTGTTACTCATTTTCAGCGAAATAGAAATTGAAATGTGTGTACAATTATACTTTTAAACACTAATTTCCAGAAATATTTTAACGCACCGTAACTTCGTGCACACCTAATACGCGGAATAGGAAATGTGATTGAATCTATGCAATTGTACGAACGAAATGAACATTATTATCGATGATTTTGATCAATAAAAATTTCTCACCACGAAACGCACATCGAGTTCAAAGAGGAACTCTGCAATTTTGTGGCATTCCTTTCACATGGTGAAGAAATGTGACTTTGGTCATGAAATGAGAGAAACAATATTGCGGGACTCAAATAGAAAACGCGGCATATGCAATTAAAGGTGAGGTTTTGATAATTGCTTATTTGTGTGTTCGATCAATTTGTCGAGAGCATGCGAATTTTGCAGCCTGACATGCAATTATAGGACAACACTCACCAGTTACATTAAATGGTTGCTGGCAGTTTGTTGAGCACCCACTTGTCTGGCAGCACTTCTGCAGCTGAGGACACTCCAGGTCGTGTCCACAAGGGATTCCGCACACCAACCCAGCAGCCGGGGAGATCTCCTGGTGATCCACTGCAGGACACTGGCCAGGTTTCTCGTACTTGAGCGACGCTGGGCAGCACACGCCATAGTCATTGCCCAGCTGCACGAGACATTTGTATAGTGGCGGGCATGAGGGCTTGCCCGGATCTGTGCCGCACAGGAAGGGCCGAATGGTTCCGGCAATGCTGAGTGGCTGCCCAACGGGACACATTTCGGCCAAGCTTCGCGCCTTCTTGCACGTTGGCACCGGAGGACACGGTTCGTTGCTGCACTCCACTTCCTGTGGGTGACACGAAAGCGAACCGGGGCACGTGATGCCCTCGCATGGGTCACGGCACTGACATACTGGACACCCACTACGAGCATCCCGGGCGAAACCGGCTGGACAGTACATCCGACAAGATGACGCCGGGCAGTGACTGCTGGCAGACACGCAATCCACCTCCTTCTCACTATCCTGCCGCGTGCCCAGGATCTCCACTCCGTACTCATCTACGCACCAGCATTCTGTGCTGTTGATGTCATTGGAACACTGGACGGGCTCGAAGGCTCCGGAGTCTGTGCATCTCGGCACCCGGACGGATTTACCGGCTGTCTCACCCAACGCCCGGGAGCGTCGTGACTCAGCCCGATGCAAATGCTGGCACGCAGTCAAGAGATCTGCAAGGTAAGTTTCTTTTTTAATGATTTAGAGGTTCATAATAACTCTGAGATGATCATAAAGATTTTCTCAAGTTACACATCAAAACATAAAGTTATGAATGCCATAAATTCATCGTTTTTTCCATGAGAATATGAGAAATTACGCTGGCAAAGAATCTCAGATATGCATGTAAGTTAAAAGTTCTTGTTCTTATAATAGTTGTAAAAGAACAGTATGCAATACAACTATTTTAAAAAGAACCAGACACTTTTTAGTAAAAAGTTGGATTTTGAAAAAACATGATTTTAAGCAGAATAATTGCTCATTAAGCAAACTATATATTGTGACCTCGCCCCATTAAATTACTGTACGTATCGTTATATACTTCATTCTGACTGTCTGTAACCAAAAAACTATTTTTTCTGCTTATAAGAAATGATACAATGTTAATCGAAAACAAACTTCCCTTGTGAAGATGCATAAAAGATATATTTCGTTGAACATCTGCGCGTAACCCAAATTTGGAACCTTCAATACATTCTGCATAATGTAATTAATATGTTTGTTTTAGTTAAGAACAATGGCTGGAGAAAACGAAAATATTGGGACCAGCATTGGGAGAATGGAGAGACAGATGGATGTGGGAAAAATTCTGAAATAATAAATGTGGGAAGGTATTTCCCACCTCCATTTGCCGCAGCCTCTCTTAGCCAAGCCCCCACTTCTACTCAGCCCATGATCTGCTCCGAGCGTAATATTTCGGATCACTATTTAGGACTGTCCGTGAGCGCACGTGATCGATTTTGTAGATCAATTTAACAATACATCATTGGCACGGTTGCATATGGGTAAGCTGCCCTGAAGCGTCTGACCGCGAGATCGGAATTGCGGAGAAAGAAGCTGAGCAGAAGAATAGAACCGATTGTATCTCGCGCATGCAGAAATCCTCTCATTCTCCATTTCTGCATTTCTTATTCCTCACCATCCACGTCTTCTCATTAGTTTCTTCGTGCAAAAGTATAGCAGTAGTTTTCTTTAGCGTCGTCAATTTGAGCGCTAAAATGGTATATTTTATTTATTATACATCTCCCCAGCAAACTAACTGACCGACTGACACACAACCTGGAATAACGGATTATACATCTTTTATTATTTTGTATCTTGCGCGAGAGAAGCGCGAGCACACTGCGGCAAAATCATCAAGCCATCGCGGAATCTTGTGGTATGGTTTCAATACAAAATGCTCCAACATTAAAATTAAATTGTTAATCCAATTGTAAATTAATTGCACTTTATGTATAGAATGTGCACCATCAGCAACAGTCGCAATTTTCCAACTTAATTTTTGCACTCAAGTTCTCTGTTCATATTCATTTTGTATTTTCTGTTTTATTGAACAACAACAGGCGGAACTAATGACGTTCCTCCACATTTCACATCTCGACTGGCTGAAAAATGGTCATATAACATGAAAAATTTCAAACTGTCTCCGTGCTGACGATAAACGGGAACAAAGCTACATACTTCTTCAGATGCTCTTGTGAAACATAGTGAGCAAATAAATTTGCAATCTGTGCAACATTCTTCGCTGCAAAAGGAATATTTGCATACAAAATATTCTATTAGCGCCAAATAAGGGAAATCATAACCCATTCAGAGAGGTTTCTTAACTGAGAATGTGGCTTTTGGAGGCTAAAGTGACTGCATGAAAGGAGGACAGGAAGTCTTATCTCAGTCTTCGAAGCAGCATCGCAACTTTTGGCGCGGAAGCTTTTACCGCAAGCAAAAAGCTACTCAAATATTTGTGACTCTGAATTTGAAAAAGATCTCTTAAACATCAATATTTAATAATGATCTTTAGATGAGAAAAAAAAATTTGCACAAGTGATTCCAAATTTTCAACGTTTCACTAACAAGGCAGGTAATAAAATTAACACCTTTGCTGACATTTACTTTGCCCATGCTGAATTTCTTTGTTATATAAGAATTTCACTACAAATGGCTCTACAGTAAAGAACCGATATTTTGAAACTTATTGAGTGAAAATGTTCCGAATTTTACATCTCCTACGAAAGAATTAAGACGATTCGATTTTCAACAGTTTCTATACAAATTCATAGACAAATTGTGATTACAAATATTTAGTAAATTTACGCACTCTCGAAAAATTACTCACTCAACCGAAATATTTGAATAAAATATTTGCAAAATTCATTTAAAAATGCGCTTTTCTCTTTAAATAACATCACATCAAGTATGATTTCAATCTCCACACACAATTTGAAGAGGATTGTGCGAAGAAGATATGGCAAAAAACATAAACTTTTTCCTTGCTGAGTTGCATTGCTCAGGTGTCCATTGCAAAAGCGCTTCTGGAATTGTGATCACGGCAGTGTGTTAAAAGCATTATTATGAAACCCAGGTGCGAGCAAACAAAATTAGAAACTGGAAATTCAAGAGTTTCATTTTGCATTGCATACATTTGGTGCATGGAAATTCAATGGCAGCATCCCACTGGGCGGGAGAGATGCGAAAGAGTGTGGCTTTTCACTTTCTTCTTGCCTATTTCGATGCAAATTCAATTCGGCATCCGCAGCATCACGCTCAATACCATCGAATATCGCACAAAAAGCCCTCTTTGTTCAACACGAGTGTGAACAAAGAGTGATGGATTGGCGATGCGATAAGGTGTGTACTGAATGGGTGGAGATATTATTTTCTAAATACTGCTATATGGTGCGTGCCCAGCAAAACTTGCACCGAGAGAGTTTTTCAAGCACCAAAGACCAGCCATTGTAGGCCGCTCTTGTTTTTCTTTCTCTCATCACTATGGTCATTTGAAGAAAGTGAAAATAATCCGCAATCTCTGCTTCAAAAATTGCGAAAAGCCACAAAGAAAAGTGATATATGGAGAACAATTAAGTTTCTGCCCAGGAGGTCAACACTTTCCACAAAAATTACCATTTCTAGCGCTTTTGTATCTTGGGAAAAGTATCTGAATTAGAAACGTGCTCATGTTTTGCAAAGAATCACTCGGGCAGAGAAGAAGACGTGAAAAAAATAGCAACAATATTTCTCTCATGATGACATTTTTGATCATGAGAATAGCTAACGACGTGTGATCGTATGGGAAGACATGTGATTTTTATGATAGTCCCACCACCTTTTCCAGGTCCATCACGCCAAGTGACCAAGAGACAATATGTGAAAAGTCTTGAGTCATTGCTTATTCGGAATGTGAAGGCTATCGCTTGATTTTCTTGCTGAATAAATAATTTTCGTGTCTCCCACTTTGGCATGAGATGTTCCGTGCTTGACATTTTTGCCACTTGCGAGACATTATCAAATCAATTCCACATTTCTGCATTGTTACACCAGTCTTTCTTACGCGAGTCGTTGAGTATTCTGAACACACAAGAGCATTCAAAATTGGTACACGAATGCCTCATATAATCCTTCACAAATATTGACACGTTCCCGCAAATTTCTGTGAAAAATGGTATAATTGAAAATGACGGAAAATCAAAAAAACAAAAAATTGATGATTTAATCACTTGTTTCAAAACCTGAGCGAAAACCCATAAAGAAAATTGGCGAGAAAGAACTTATGTTCGGAGTAAATTTGTTTATTGTAAAATTATTTCCTGCAAATCATGTCAAAAGATCTTAATAATGATTGCTCTCGACCAATTGATCACCTTCTCAAAAGAAATTTCCATACTCACATACAAAAAAAAAGTTCATGTAATCAAGCATTTGCAGTTTCAATATAAGCTCTGACTTGATGGATTTTCCATACAGCAAGAAATTTCAATTGATTGCCCATCAATAGGTATGTGAATAAACCCATAAGATATACACGTCTTTTATGTGGAGAAATTGAAATACCTTCGATGCAATAATGTTATGTATCTGTCTTTTTTCTCGCATTTTCTAATTATACAAAGTGACTTTTTATTCAATTTCTCTCGAGTTGAGTGTGCAAAACACACCACAAAGCTCGTCAATCCATGTCCGGTGATGTTTGCATCCTCGCGACAAGCTTTATGGGAATTTAATGTATGCTAATTCGCTCATAATCAGCATGAATAATTTTTTGAAATTTTCCCAGGAATTCTGCACGGAGAGTGCCAAAGTTGGGGTCTATCGAAAGTTGCAAATATACGCGATTTTGCTACCATTACTTCTTTTGTTCACTTATCTGTGCGCATTCGCTGCGTGAATAAAGTGCACGAGATAGTCGACGCAATTTATCACACATCATTTCACTCACCTTTGCTGGCTGCAACTTCATCGACAGCTAATTCCGTGAAAATGACGAGAACAATAAGAAATGCACCTATTTTCCAATTGGTATCATAACGGGCCATCTTTTTCCTCACAATAATTCCATAAGTATGTGCAGAGTTGTTTAACTGGAACGACACAAGATAAGAGTAATGCCCTTTTTGTCTATACTCAGCATGCAAAGGCTGTATTATAGTGTAGCCGCTAAAATTGGGAAATTAATGATTCCACTTAAGATGCGAGAGAATTATATATGTTAAGAAGGTGACGACAAGAGTTCCACTTTGTATGTCGACCGTGAGAATTTCATTATGCAAGGTCCAAATTGAGTTAGACTTCGACGGATTACAATTTTCTATGTCTCCTAAATGCATTTAAAAACCTCAAAATACCTTTCACACATATTGATTTTAATCTGGACGATTGTGTTTAGGAGTGTTGTGTGAAAATGCTCCTCAAGCAACAAACCGCAAAACTTCTCAGCTGTTTCAATTCAAATTTATCGAACAATCAACAATCGAACGGGATATTCACTCTTGGATGAGAACTTCTTTCATCAATTTTTACCCTTTCACAGCAAAATTACTGTTTCTCCCGTCACCATAATTGACAAAGATTTATCACAATTGAGTGCCGTCAAAGTAAGTCTCCCCGAGAATTTCCCGCCAAGTGACTGCAACAATGAGAATATTACGGCTGAAATATTGTGTTGCGAAGGGCGTCAAGGGTCGACAATGCAGTGATAAAAATTCAGAATAATAATTCAGCATTTATCTTTATTGCAGCACTGGAGGTCACTTGGGGTGTCGTAATGAATTTCGTAGACAGTCGCGGATCTTTGGGAGAACACGAAAAAGTCTTTTAATGGCGAATTTCAACAAAGACCTACCCAATTTCAGTGTCTCTTCAACCATAAATCCGGAAATTAATTTGTTTTTATTCAACGAGAAACGTAACGCGCGAGTTTATATAAAAATTTTCTCCTAATAACGCTCCAAGTGATCGACATCTATAATTTATCTCTTTTTATTTGGTAAGTGAGCAATATATGAAATATTTAGTTCATGTTTCTTGTGTCTTGAAGATGTTATGAAATTCATTCATTTTCGATTTTCCTCAATTGGGTTTCGCAAAAGGCGCAAAGACGAAAAATGTCTCACAAGCGATCAATTGCAATTAAGCAAGATGTTAAAGAACGTTTTGTTCTGTTGTGAAATTAAGAGAAATAATGTATGCACACCTTGAGGCAAATATTTATTTGTCACTCATGCCAACACGAGTAAATTGTTTTCATACATAAACCTCTAAAAAAAACTCTGAGAGTGAAATCATTCTTTGCTTTAGGGAAAAACTAAATCTACGACATACACTTTATCACAATGAAAAGCTGAGCGTGTGTGAATTTTCTCGAGAGTTTCTTCTAATGGTGACCATTGTTCGAGATTCGAGTCTCTATTCAATGTCGAGTTTTGCTCTTAAATTCTTGTGTGTGTTGATCATTTTTCTACCGATGAATGAGTTATATAAGTGAATTGTCTCTCCCATTGGTGTTTTTCCTCTTTCGCACCGCGAGCAAAAGAACACTGTTTGACTCAGCAATTATCTAGAATTAAGTTGAAGGTTGATTTGTTATGAGTGCGTTTTTGTTATCAATACAAATTTCCAGTCATTTTATCGGTGTTTCTGGGTTAATTTCAAAACATTTTTCCATAAGAGCTGTGCTGGTGAATGATCCAGATATTCTGGGGAATTTTGTAATTGACAATTGGATGCTCTTCACGGAATTCTGGGACAATTATTCAGTGTCAATTAAATGTCTCATCATTCCTTCACTTAACTAGGTTACTCTTGAATTTCTTGGCCTTTTAGTGTTTGTTATACGTGAAATTAAACTCATGTCACTTTTCCACTAATTTCACCAAGAACTTACACTTTTACTACAATTTATTCCTGTTGAAAAACATACAAAAAGATGAATTTACTTGAAATAGTGACACAGATTCGTGTGTGAAAATTATTCCAAAAACACCCACTTTCGGACTTGCAAATGCTCTATAAAATTTTCATTTAATCACTGAAAGAAAGTTGTTTTCTTGGTTGTTTTTTAAGGACAAATTTGTTCATCTTTTATCTTAAGAGATTGTAGAAATATCACTTGAAAAACTCCACGTTCACCCATTAATTCTATTCGCGTCTAGAATCCAAATTGTTGAATGTGATGGAAGCGAGACAACGCGTGTGTTTATATGGGGAACAACTCGAAATCCGTCTCTGATTCTTTCGTGAGATGAATAACCACTTAATATCTGTGAGTTTCATGGAAAATCATGGTCGATGTACCATCGCGTATAGTGACGAAGATTCAAACACAGAAAGAGTTGAGCCAAGAGCGATGGAGAAAGAAAGTAGGCCTTCGACGGCTTAAAGCCCACTTTACATATCCATCAGCCATGTGTTTGTTTTTCTTCACGCACTCTGAGCAAAAGACAGTGCCTCAAAATACAGCGTGGAAGTGCACGGCTGAGCCGTGAAGAGAGCGATGAATTGAAATATCAAATGCCAGAGTAATCACTATTTGGGCCATATTTATCTCCGTACAATTTCGCATGGATGTGTCACGCGGCGCGATCGAGTGTGAGGATTTGGTGATGGTATTTATGCAATTGTGACACAAACTTCCTTCTCAATTGTCCACACGAGGTGCCAAGACCCGGATGACGATACTCTCGCACACATGAAAATTGGGAAGAAGAGAAAGACAGTATCCGGGAGGTCAATGGCAACGTACTTCTCCGGCAGCAAATGAAAGTTGTGACAATACTATATTTTTCCCTTGCTGTACGACGTATTGTTCAAATTGCGTGGTAGTTCCCGGCTCTGGTGATGTCTTTGCGAATAAAGATCGCTTTTTTGTGGGTTACAGAGTCAGAAGAACAACAAAGTAATTTCTCACAGAGCTCCTCCACGTTCATCGCGCAACTTAGTGAAAAGACGCTTTTTACATCTGATGAACTTATAATCGTAGGCAAACAAGCAAGATTCCGAACAACATTTTAGTATAAATTTCTCAAATTGTGTACCTATTCGTAAAGAATCTATTTCACTAGATCACGATCATCGGGATCGTGCAGCCAATTTCTTTTCTTTGTAACATCTTCAAACTGCAAGCAATGTGTTAAAACTTCCTGGTACTTTTGTGAATTATTTCAGAATAGTTTCAAGAAGTTGAAATTTTCAATATATTCTATAGACAAAAAAAGCATATGTCTCTCTCCCTCTCAATTCCGCAGTGAAAGATTCGCGAGCGACGAATTGCGAAATACCAAAGAGGTGAACTAAGAGCATGAGATCAACCTTCCTTTTAAGGATCTCGCGGATATTTTACTGTAGATATTGTCAACTGAGTATAACTGTAAATGTCTTGTTTGTCTCCGCGAGTTCGAGAGGTAGTCAATGGACTCGCAGAGTGATAAAATATCGCAAGGCGTTGGCGAGAGAAGTCACAGGTGCCAAAAGGTTCATCTCAGTGCCTTTTCCCTCAAGTTCTTTCGCGCTTCATTTTGAATTCAGCACACACATCCCCATAAATTCAATTTGCTGATTTATTTTAATTGGCAACGCGTTCACCACAAAATAAATCACGCATTTCATTAAAATATTTCTTTCAGCTGCGCAAGAGACACGGATACATTTTCTGCATTTTCGTTTCACCCTTGCATTTACGCTCAATCCATTGGCCATAAATAATAATAGCTATGCGACTGATTATAGGTTTTTACAGGCTGAAATTTGATCGGCCATATCGTTTAAATAATCACTGATGTCGGAACATTTTCACTGATTACCTCATTTGATACATTGCGCACGAAAGATTCTACCCTCGGACTATTTGGCTTCTTGCAGCGCCAGGTACCCAAAAATTAACGAGAGCAGAGAGAGAAGAGAGAAGAATCACGAAATGCAAAGTCTTTTCGGTGAACAAACAATAAAAATTAATAAGGAGGAACAATAATAACTTCTTGCTAAAACAGAATTCACCGCCTCCAGTTACATAAAGTTGTTTGCTGACTTTTAAAATCGTTCGTTTTTGGATATGGAAAATGCCTTTTGCGAATTCAATGAAATGGTCAAAATGGAAAGCAAACGAAACACAGAAGATGCTTCTCAATCTGTGAAATTTTGCACATTTTTTTGGGAAATTGAAAATATTCACCGCATACATTGGTGTGTAATTATATGATGAACAAACTCTAAGTACATTAAAGAATGTTAAATGCGATTGGCAATGTTGAAAGTCTAGTAGCTTTTTAGCAAAATATGAATATGCATCGTGCAATTAACTGCAATTTCAATCAGGTTTTTCCAATAAATTTTCCTTCAAACAATAAAGCGACGCCGCACGAGGAGAAAACGTAAGTCATGTTGATGAGATTTTGAACAGAATCAATGAAAGACAGTATTTCATAATTATTGTAAGTAATATGAAATTAATTACTTATGGAGAAATTACAATCATGTTTCAGAATGAATTTCTCATATCGATTTCTCACTGTTTTATTGTTAAAACTCAGTTGAGTGCCTCGTGAAAGAGCAATAGTACATAATAAACGCTCGATTTTTCAATTTTCCGATAAAATGATCCTCGACGATCATAATTCTTGCGGTTAATGCTATCAATAGTCTAACATTTAATTTAAATTATAATTATTTATTCCCATCCATGTTAATGTTAACAAATTCACGAGTGAGATCAAAGAGTACTGAACACAAAATAAAGTTTATGGTCTTCCAAGTCTTCTTTCCTCAAACTCGTTTCAACTTTCATCAATTTCGATCAAGTCACTGCAATATTTCCAAACTCTTGAGCTCAGTTGAATATTAAAATCGCAGATATAAGCAAATATCGACGCTGAAATGTGCGAATCGGGTTTCAGGTTGACTTTCGTGTCTTGAATTGCGATGAGCGTGTCTCTCGCACTCCTGATGGTGGGTGGGAGGCGCATTCAATCGAAATCTGTGAAAATTCCGAGAGAATCACCAGCAAATTGGCGGCACTTTTTTTCATGCTCGCGCGACCCGAGGATAATCACGGTGCTCTTGAGCCCTATCATTATGCGCCATTATTTGTACGGTGGATGCGAGAAGTGATTCTGGCCGCTCGCGGAGAAGAGAATAAATTGTGACTTCATACAATGGTGTCATCGGGGATTGATTCTAACGATGACTTTCATCAGCGCTCATTGTATGGTAATGATGTGTGTATCTAAATTGAGTGACTTTGGGCCCGCTTTCGAGCCCAAGACGCGTTTCTCCTGCATCGGTCATACGGGCAAACAAAGTGAAACTCGTCTGTACGCCTCGTTTTGTATTGATTGTACGTGATTTAACACCTCTTGGATGCGCGATACTCAATCCAACCACTGTGATGGTATTCAGGGTAATTGATCGGAAATTTTGAGACCATTTGCCATTTTATCACAACACTCTAGCTCCACTCAACTCCACTCAACTCACCGAATACGGAAAAACTGCCCCGCTTTTGGCTCAATGCTTAATCCAAAAAATCCACTGCGATCTGGCTGGCTATATCCTCGAGGTATGGCCAAAGTGAATGGGTGTGATAATCCGAGAGTCACTTTTTTCCTCTGCTTCTGCTCCGCGAGATTTCTCTCCTAAGGCTCAACTATCACTTGGGATCTGCCTCGCCACTTTATATCACTAGGGAGCACATGTGGGGTGTATTTTGGGGTATCACAATGTCTTAGGGACAGTCCAGCACAGATGAGAAGGAACGGTCGGACACACGCACACAGAACACTGAGAAGAATGTCTTAGACTGGAGTGGCCTCTCAATTGAGGTGTGGAGCGAATGCTGTTGAGCGAATGGATCTCGCGGCACTCATGAGCATGTTTCACTGTGGAGCAGCGAAATTCAACTAACTGCGAAGTTGGAATTGCTCGTATTTCACACATTCATTTCTGGGAGGCAGTCGCTTCGGTTTCTCCTCGTCACCGCTCCAGCCCTGGCGAACCTCGCGGAGTGATGATGGCAGAAAAAGTGGACTCCCAAGAGTGACGTCGTCGACTCTTGGTGGGGTCCGACCGCCGCTCTGCTCTTCGGATGTGAAAATGTGGAGTGGCGCGCGAAGATGATGGATGCCGGCGTTTCGTATGCCCACCGCGAGTTCTCCTTTTGGGCCTGTGTGCTTGGATTCTCGAAATACCTGCACATTTCGCGATAACGTCACCCGAGCGAGAGTCCGCGCCCCGAAAACTGTTGCTCAATCTGTGCTAAACGGAAGTCCGTCTTCTCTCGAACACAGCCAGCGCATGCAACATTCGTCACTCATGGCTTTCATTCCATTCATCTCTGCTGAGGAATGCACCGCCGACCGGAGAAAATTCAATCTCTGGCTTTCCTCGTGGGATTGGGAGCAGGAGAAAAGGTGTCCACAGGCAGAGTCAACGAACTGGAAGATGCTTTTTCTGCCCTCACGACAGTGAGTCATTTGAAATCCCACAAAAAGCCCGAGATTTCGAAACGGGATTCTTCACGCTGAGTTGAGATGATGCAAAAAAAATTGGAGGACACTCGATACAAATCGGCCGTATTGAGAAGCAATTTGTGGCTTAGTTTTAGTCAGTGGCCCCAAAAATTCTCACGAACATCGAGCCGTGCATCGTCGACCGACTTTCTCATTCAGCAACTCCGCCAGAGTGGGAATTACGGTTGTTTTCGTCAAAAGCAAAGTATAAATCCGGTAGTGAATAAGCGTATTTTTGCTCAATGGAAGATCAAGAAGCATCACGCGTGCTAAACCGAAAACAACCGCTATGGCAATTCAAAATCAAAAGTATTCTAGCTTTTAATCTCAAATTTCCATTGCCAAGAAGTTAAAAATTCTGTCCATTTCCAACTCTGAGCAACAAATATTCATTCATTTATCTTTATTTGTACTTTTAAGTCATTTTCATTAACTGCCATTATTTACGATGGAGAGAAATATATATCAAAAACTATCCAGTTTGCTCTACCTTTTACAGTCTTTATATTCTGGAGAAATCCAAAATTATGCAGCACAAAAGAGGTAAATAAATGAGAAAAGATAAATCGAGAATGATTCGGGTCACCGATTTTAGTCTCCTTCAAATGATCTCTTAACGTCTCTCTTTTAGCTTTATTTTAAACCTCACCCTCGTTTCGTGTCTCATCCGGATATTGACACAGACCGCCTTGGCTCAGATGGTGACGTCTTTCGCACCGCGACGATGGCGAGAAACTCATTGGGGGGAATTTCAGGTGTTTCATTTTCCTGCCAAGCAAATCGAGTGACTTGGTGAGTGTAAAATGCTGGACTTCCTGCCGCATTCGATTGCCCTTCTTTCTAGATTAGTTGCGTTTTAAGAGAAAATAAAAAAAATGGATTTTCCGCGGATAAGCAGTCACTTTCCACCATCATTTGTGCCGTCTTGTCCAGCATTATCCATTGTGCATGGCGCGATGGAAATTGCACGTTGTTATTGATGTTGTATAATTTGGTCCCCCATGAGAGCACACCAAGCAAATATTAGCAATTGCAATTAATGTACTTTACACGCTTGTTGGAATCTGTAACAGGATATTGGTGTGATAGAGGAGTTTTTCGGCGGGAAATCCCACCTCTCCACACAATCGTGCGTGCAGAAATGAGCACACGTCGATTCCTCGACGCGGTGATCAGTCAACGGAATTACGATCTGATCGAGTGACAACTTTTTTTCCTCACTCTTCTGCCTTCGAAATGATATTTCATATGCGGTGTATCACAGCGCCAACCTTCGTGGGAATTGTTGCACAAGTTGTCTCGTATTGTCCGTGGGCAGCCAATTAAGTGGAGGTAGTTTTAGAAAATAAAAGTCAAGACGATATTAATAGGATGACACAGAGTAGAACAATTCTTCACTATGCCGTGCACTTCTTCGCTGTTTTTGTCGTCACTACAATAACTCCAACCACAGGCACGAGTCACGCTTTCATAATTTTGCCACACACACACGTTTTTTCATGGATTGTTGCATAATTGTTGTTCATTAGATGGCAATAAAAGCCAGTGAGTGCGTACACGGAGTAGACAAGTGACGAATATTGATGAAAAAGTGAGATTTAGAGAGAAACACGTTATCGTTATCATTTTCCAACTGATTCCTCTCTTTATTGTAATGTCTATGTACAATTTTTCTCAATAATGCAGTATGTATAATTAGTTTTGTCTAATATAATGCATTCAGTAAACGTAAATAAAAATATCTTTTTCCTTCAATCTCTAAAAAATATAATATTTACAAAATTCAGTAGTTACACAAACATAAAAGAGATGCTATCTGTATCAAAAATAATAACTCCAGGGGGTCATGTTTTCCACTTGATCTACAAAAAAAAACATATTGGAAAACTCCTTTTTCTCTCCTCCACATCCTCTAAACTAAATAATACACTCGACCCTCACACTTTAGAATACATAAACAAATTAAAAAAAAAACTCGTAATACTCAAATATAGATATGAAATGATCAGAGTAACAAAAAATGCATTAGTTGAAATTATTTGTAGACTTTGCATGAACACTTTGTGACTGTTAACTGAATTCTGTTGAAGATACCAACAAGATGATATGCAAAGAGGTCATAAAGAAATATATCAAATCTAGCAGAGAAGCTCTATGACAATGGCAAACAATTGATATTTAAATAATTAATATTGTACAACTATTTTTCTTCTCTTTGTCACCCACAATTTTCCTTTATAATCCACCACACTGACTCCGAATATTTCATGACTTTGCCTTTCACTTGATCCATTGAGCAAGAAGAACGCTGGAAAAAATACTTTGACAAAGCATTTTCTATCATTTTTTTCTGTAATTCTTATACGAGGGACAACTACTTACTGTATATATTCCGTATATAAATCTTTTCCTCACGTACAATTGTGAAAATTCTTACTTATTCAGCCTTTATCTGTATGTTTTATACATTAATTTTGTCTTCTCACACTTTACTATCTTATTTCATCTCATCTGCTCACACTTCTAAGTACCCTTTATCCATTAATGATTATTCTCTTTCTCTCACATCAGCCACTTCTTCAGCATTCTTCTATTACAGATACCCCTGTTGTTAATCATCATGGTGAAATAGTAATTCTCATTTCCTAAATACAGTATTTACCTCACTTGTAATCTTGTTCCTACATGACAAACATAACTCAGCAAGAGGAAAGAACATAAATTGTATATCTGTGCACATAAATAAGTGTGTTTTTTTTCGCGCATGTGTGCAATACTTTACTATTGTAAAAGTATGTAAGAAGAGAAGAAAGGCAATGAAGAAAATAATCCACTGAGCAATTATGAAAACAATAAAGAATTATAGGAGCACAGGAAAACATAATGAAAGAGTGTTACATTGAGGCAAAAAGTCACAATAGTAATGTGTTTTGTTTTTTTTTTCTCTTCTTTTTTAGCACACTAATCCGTCTCCAATCGTCGTCACTTTCTTTAAAAACCCTAAAAATCTAATAGCTATCACATTAAAAATTAATATTTTTGAGTATTTTAATTATCTAAAATGTTTTACATCGTATTATTTTGCTCTCTCTCTCATTTTCTCTTTCATCTCTCATTTATTCATTTATTTATTATTAATTATTTGAAATTGTTAGAATATATGTTTTCACCTCTTCATCTCTATTCTCTTTCTTTTTAACCCCTTATCAATAATCGTGTGTATTTGATTCGAATGATTAGATTGTAAAACAAAAGTCAAACACAAATTCTACACATCATAAAAGGGAATAAAAAAAAGCGGACAGAATTATCCTCCATTAATGATATACAATTATAATCTTTATCAGTGGCAGCAGTAAAATGTATTTTCGTTCAAACACTATATCGTCTGGCAGAAAATCTACTCAATTTGATTTCACTTGAATTTCACTCGACTCTAGGGTAGCACGATGTCATAAAAAATATATGTATGTACTTCTTTGTATTGTTAGATGATTAAATACGTGGGGAGTAGGTGTATTCATAGTAGGTAGAGTAATTTTGTTCTAAATAGACTTAGAATCTTAGAATTGTTGTCGATCAAAATTGCAAAAATAATACCTAAGTTATTGAAGTATAATTGCTATCTCGTCACACCATCACACTCATACACGCACCATCTTCCCTCCCACCGCAACCCCCCGATCGGAGGGTGGGTTTGTTCTTAAGAAATCAATTTTTCTCATCTCCGCATCAAACACACTCCCAGAAATCTCTGCACGCCTTTTCTAAATTAAACACACACAGTATACTCCTCTTATATACAACTGTCTGGATGTTGACTCTGTTTTCGTTTAGCTTTAGGCTCCTTCGGGTGCTCAATAGATGGCCTTCGTGGATTGCCAAGAGTCACGAGAGCACTTGCCACCGCCAATCCAGCCACCTGACCTGGCGGAGCGTGTTGATGGCCACCTTTCGAGTTGAATTTCGTGTGTGAAAGAGAGAGATAGACAACAATTACAATCATCACTACGTGAAATTTCGACTTTCATGTCTGCATAAAAACCCGTTCAAGTTCACCCACCAATAAGGCTACTTAATATTAATTACATTGCTTAGATTGCAGACTAACCACAGGTTCAGCATGATGAATGGCATGATTTGGACAGGAACAACAAAATCCCCAACACTTATTTTGCCACTTAAAAGCACTGCTTTCAAAATTTGGTTCGCTCTCCTCTAAATGTTGCACCCAGCAGATGATTTTATCGTTGAAAAATTATGCTTATTACCATCCACTATTGCCCATAATAACACCCTAGGAAGGTGAGTATTTTCATATTGAGTGAATCAGAAAGATCACAACTCGATTTGCAACACGATAGACAAGTCAAAGACTTGCAAGATAGTTGCAAAATCTATTTATTTCACAAAACTACAATGTTTTTGATATTTCGTATTCAATTTTCAGAAAATCAACTCGAGAATATTGTCACTTACGAGCATTTCATGAATAGAAATTGCATTATGAAAACTAGGAGAAAATACCTTGGCGAAGAACAAGAAAGCATAAGCTACAACTCGTGATAAAGATCTCCCCATTTGCAACTCTTCACAACTGTATTAATTAGCACTTGACGATGAGTCACTAATGCAACTTTTGCAATAGTAGGAAAAAGACTTAGCACATTTATGTAAAAAAAAACCGTCATGTCGGATATGAAAGTGAACAAATTTTGATTGGGAGAAATATACTGAAAATTAACACAAGTTGGGCAAAATTGCACGCATTAATTTCCATCTTTTTTACACAATTCTCGTATTTCCTGTACCAATATTAAGAAACAAAGGGGAAACTTTCACTCACCCGTTGGCAGCCGGACTAGAAGTGAGAGAACCGCAGCTCTGTTGCCACTGCACGGTTCCAGGGCAATGGGACTTGGTGAATCCTACAAGAAGAGTGACATGTTGTCTTAATGTGACTAAGAAGGGCGCAATGTGTAATCCTCTCACCTTCTTTTTCTTCTTCGGCACTGTTGTTATTGTCTCAACAGCCGGCGAAAGCTCATTGAAATCCCTGTTTTCAATCTCCACCAAGACCTGGCTAAAGGGGCGCGATGCCATTTGTTCCATCTCCACAAATAGCCTTTGGCGTCTCCTGAACATGTCGTACTTCTGCTTGATCTTCCACAAAATCGCTGCCATGAGAAGTAGAAGAAGGAAGCAACTGCAAAGAGGCAAGAGTAGGATTTAAAAGGGACATAACAGTATAATGTAAGATGGGACTCACGTGGAAAATGTGATGAAAAATTGCTGTAAATTCAGTTTCGGATACTGCGAGAAGGCGATTTGTATCCAAAGAGGCGGCTGAAATTCATACACGTACACGTAAAACGTGGTCAGTGTAACATTGTCCTCCACACCAAACAGATGCTCCGTCTTGGAGAACCTATGTCGAAATGTAGAGCAATTGACGCCGGTGATAAGAGGCTTTTCAGGACCTCCAGCCGTTCGTATTGTGATGTTCATCTTAGCAGGAACACTGCATATTATAGTGAAATCGGCATCCACGTCGGATTTCATAGGTGAGTTTCGAAAGTTGATCTGAGTGAAGTGCCGATCGTCCTTCTTGGAGAGATTGAAGGTGAACTGGTAGTCAATGGTGAGATCATAATAGCAACTACCCTTGCTTGGATCACCATGATAGTGATTGGTGGCATCGCACTTCTCGCAGTGATCCCCAGCCAGACCTTTAGTGCTGCAATAGCATTTCCCAGTCTCACTATTGCAATGGGTAGCCTGACCATTGCAGTCGCATTGCTGACAAGTGCCTCCATTCACGGGATTGCCCCAGAATCCTGTGCGGCACTTGTCACAGTGTGGCCCTGTTGTCAGGTTTCCGCACGGCTGCCGACACGTGTATCCGTCAATACAGGTGCTGTGACCATTGCACTGACAACTGGGACAATGGGTGAAGTGCCAACGTCGAGCTGGACACTCCATCTCCTCCTGAGGACCACTGTCTCCGCCTGGCAGACACTTCCCCAATCCCGTGCGCGATCCATCATCACACCAACCGCACGCCGGATCATCGCGGCATTGAGTACACGTCCGGTAGAAGCCACATTGCGACTTCCCGGATACAGCGGCCCGACATTTCGTCGACATGGTCGTCCACTCGCGACACTGGCCGTAGGGGAAGCTCGCAGTGTAGGCATTCTTGTCCACGCATCGCTGCTCATTTTGGCACCAGATGCACTCACCCTGAGTGCAATTCTCGCAGCTTGTGAGCGCCGCACAGGCTGGAGGACAGGGAAGAGTATCTGCGATATCATTGGCCGTGCGATTTCCCGCCGCCTTGCATCGACTCGCCTCATAATCCCAGTGACATTGTGTATTCGCCGTGCAAGCCTGGCATCCGTGCAGCTGAAGGCAAACTGGATTGGGATCCTTGACGCATTGATCAATCTCCTTCATTGGAACCGATATATTGCCATTGCCCTCGATAATTGCATCCCGGCACTTGTCCTTGGAGCACGCTCCACTGCCACAGTATGTGCAGTCGAAGGATGTGGAGACGCAACTCTGACAGTCCGCCAGCTCTCCACAGCGTTCAGAGTCATGAAGATGCTGCTGCGTCATCTGCATGCGACTCATCTCGGGACAGGTCATATAGACATCCTGATCCCGACTGAAAACTACTGTCTTCTGGACATCCGAAACGGAATGACACTTTGACTTTTGGATATCCCACACACACTTCACTCCCGGTCGCGTGTTCAAACACGTCTCGGGCTTCTGCAGACTGTGACAGTTTCCAGGAGTGTACTTAATCATGTCCCCAATCATTTGCCCGTCGAATCCACCGTAAATGAATAGAGACTTCTCAAACATCATTGCAGAGTGGCCGAATCGAGCTAGATCCGTGCGCAATTCGTCCGGCATGTGCTGCGTGTGCCAAGAGTCACAGATCACATCGTAAACCATCAGCTCACGACTATAGCACTTGGCGCCAAAGCTGTGAGACGTATCATTGTGGGTGTTGCCGCCGAACACCATCATGAGTCCTGGCGAGACGAAGTTGGCCGTGTGCAAGAATCTCGCCGTGGACGCGGACGATAGAAGTGTCCAAGTGCGCGTGAACGGTTCGTAGCTGTACAGCCGGTTGCTCAGCAACTGATTGCTCTCGCTCTCAGACACAATTCCTCCATACACATAAATCTTCTCCGTCAGCCAATCGTAGCTGGCACTGTGTCCGTAGCCGCCCTTCACAGGAAACCCTCTGGTCGGGACGATTTTCCACTCTCGCGTGCCGAAGTTGTACTCCTGCACCGTATTGAGATACCCAAACTGCGGCGAGTGGCCAAAGATGACCACCATGTACTGATAGTTGCCCTTTTTCCCATTCTCAAAGCCAGGAATAAGGGTGGCCGTGTGTCCCGCGGACTTCAGAGGTCCACACATGGCGTACGAGGCATTACACTGATCAATCTTCACTGTGATATTCTCCCAACTCCTCGCACTCACATCGAAAGCCCAGAGCTCTCCGCACACACCCTTGTTCCCAATCACGCCGCCATACATGAAGATCTTGTCCCCATACATCACCGTGGACGCTCCATATCGCAGTTCTGGGTAGTTTGTCCCCTCCACGTGAGCCGTCTCCCACACGTTCCCATTGAAGTCGTACATGGTGAGCAACTGTCCGCGTCCATAGCTCTCCCCGGCGATTATGTGGAGGGTGTCACGCCACACTGCCGCCCCATGGGAGGCGCTGCCAGCTGGGGCGAAGTCAGGCTCCACAGTGTCCCAGTAACCCAGAGACTCCAACTGAGAGCAATCGCTACCCGCGAAGCCGGCATTGCATGAGCATCTGCAGAGAGGGAGAGAGAGAGAAAGAGGAGAAGAGTTGAGTAATTCTGCTACAGTTCTATTCACTGCTGGGGGCCTATTAAGTCAGTTCACAAGTTCGTAGCGGTCATTCAATTAAAATTCTCCAACCAAAGAAGCGCAACAATGAAAGGAGTGTTTTCATTTAACAGTACTTCCCCAAATACGAGACTTATTTGTCATATAACTGGGAGATAAAAGAGAATGAACTTTTCATGTTATTTGTAAATATAAAGGAACATTGAGAGTGTCTCTCTTTCATCCTCCTTGGCAAGAGACATCTAAAAATACTTGAAGAAGTATACATAGCGTATAATATTCTCGTACAACAGCAGATAAAAGAGATCGAATTGATGAAAACAATGCTATATTTTGTCAATTTCTATTCCAACTCAAAGTCACTTCAAGGAATTGGCCTCATAGTATTTTTAGGACTTAAGAATTTATATCTCGATCAAATCACTCCAAACAAACATGTAAAAGTTTATGTAAAACAGCGATAAAACAATACCAATTTTCAAGTGTTCTGATTGCAAACACTCCATTCGTGATAAAGCCATCAAATAACCTGCTTCAGCAAAGCTCATTATATCAACGAACACATGTTGATTAGAGAAGTATTGATAACTGTTCAGCGATTGAATGAATTTTAATATAACATGGGGTGCGGCTAGCGCAATTTCACGGAATATCGTCATCTAACCCATATAGAGGAAATATATGTGGGTTTTGCTCCATCATGTGATTTAGGAGGTCACAACTGCGACATTCGTACTCAGAAGAAGTGGAAAAAAGATCAGTAGTGCAAGATAATACTCACGCGTGACCCTCGCGATCACAGACACCCTGGCCGAGGTGGGCGGAACAGTTGTTTGGACAGATTGGCACATTACAGGCGGATCCAATATAAAAAGCATCACAATTGCATATTCCTTCGTCGCAGAAACCATGTCCGGAGCACACGAGACGCGAGTCTGTCGTTGGACATCCGTTGATCTTGTACGAGATGTTGAAGCCCGACATGTTATATGCGTCATCGCTGAAGAAGTGCAGCAGGGCGGAGCCCGAGTGCGCCACCACGTCCGGAACGCGACGAATGGAGAAGTTCTGCTTGTACATGAGGCCACTGAAACAGACAGAGCAGCATGAATTACGAGTTCGGAGCGACTGGTGATGAGCGTCTCTTAATTTACTTTTTGTCCCCCACCTCAGTCTCAGTGCAATTATGAAATATTATTTATATCTCTTTCGTTACTCAATATTATTGAGATTATTGATTATAATTACAGTGTCTGTTTTTTATGAGGCTAACCACTCGCGATATACTTTGTGATATCGGAGATTAGCATATTTCTATGGGAGGCAATCGGCGAAAAATGTGTCAGTGAATCACCTGACTGCCTCCTCTGGCTCTGTTGCCCCGCCAGAACGGCCATACCTGGCGAACATTTGACAGAAAGTACAGTTTCACGCGATGCCCACCTGAAAACAGCTAGTAACGGGGACTCCACACTGTCTCCGTCGTACACGTACAGATGATCCCAGCCGCACTCCGTGGCGAACTCCTCCAGGTGGATCCGGATGCTCGACGGCCTCCGGGAGGCACCCGGGGCGAGGGAATGTGCCAGCACGCCATGGTCTCTGGCGTCAATCAGCCAGCTGCACTTCACCCCGATCGAGTAGTTGCCGATGCCATCGTGGATGTTGCCCCAGGGATGGGTGAGTCTGCAAGGAGGACTGGCATAAGGAAAAGTGGAGCACAAAGAAGCCATCGTCTATCGATCGCCCGAGTCACTTTGCGCCCCCACCCACGCCCTCGCGGGCGGCCGTGGCCCCTCCATCAAGGGGCTGTCAACAGGGCCGGGGGCCTACCTGACTTTTCCACCGCAGAACTGGCACTCTGAGCCCTGCCACCCTTCCGGGCACACACAACTCCCATTGCGACAGAATCCGCCATTCATGCAAGAGCCATTGGGGTCCTCTTCGTGCTCGCTACACTTGCTGGACACCTCCAGGCACAGGTTCACCAGCAAGATGGCCAACGTACACAACACAGGTGAAAACCAAACACATTTTCGCCGATATTTTGCTAAATATATGAATTGAAACATCATTTTTCCTTTACTTCTACCATTTTGGACACACATTGACAGATTGCACTGACAATTATTTCGTTTTTTCCGTCTCACTCCGATTCTTTCTCTTTTTGCTGGGGCGAGGAGGAAACAAAAACATAGGGTTGCCACACGCAACACTCACACTGGCTGTCATTCGCGTAGAAAATCGGGTACGTCTCAGCTCTGTGCAATTCACCGGTTTCTGCCGGAAACCTGTGAAATGTGCCGCGGACGCGATTTGCATTTGGTTAGTTTCTAGAAGCTTGCTAGCATGCAAGTGAAACTGAAAAGGCGGGAGTTTAAAAGAAAACTTTTACAATTACTTAAATACCTTTTATCAATCAAATGTATATATAATCCCAGCCAACCTTTTTTACAATTGTAGTCACTGAACTCGAATTTCGAAGAAAAGGGCACAAAATCATTATTTTTATCCATAATCGATAAATGAATCCATTTAAAAGGTCCAAAGAATCATATAATTTTCAATGTAAATAACTTTTTCTTAGTAATAAATCAAAATAAAAGACTTATTTTAGACATACTAACACAGAAATCAGCACTCTCACGACATTGCGCATAACTGAAGTTTATTTTTTACAATACAATTTTATAATTTATTACATTATATAATTTTTTTAATTCAAATTCATCTCTTGCACAACCTCTTAAACGCCTCAATAAACACACTAAGCAATGTCGAAATCTACATTTATTTACTACATTGTATATCCACTTGAAGAGAGATTTTCTGTGAAAAACTTAAATCATAATTAAGGATTTAAAGCTAATTCCGGATGCAGTTGTGCTATTAAAATTGGTACGTAATCATCAAACTGAGCCAGGAAGAAGTTTCCCGCAAAAACATCCAAAGAGTACTTCTCAGCAAACTTGAGAATGGAGAAGTTCCGACGGCCATCCTGTTCACTGCGAAAATTAGTTTTATTAGTTATTCTTCGATTCAATTCTCTATCCTGAGGAACTAATCGTACCTTTTCGTAGCCTTTTTCTCTCCTGAGAAATCAATCTTTCCAGATGGTTGCTTGAGGACTATGAAAACGTAGCGATGAAGACCTGAATCCTTGTATGGCCCAGATCCGATATATTCGACGATGGTCTCCCCGTTTGCCACATTATTTCCCGGAATGTTCACTACCATCCAAGATTTAATTTCGCTGAACTCGGGGTTTTCCCGATTAGGCACGTCTGGATCCACAGAAATGAGTGTGTATAAGTGCTCAGGATTCGCGTTCCAAGTCACTGTCGGAACGTCTTTTACATCCACAGGGGCTAATTCATTGCCAAAGTCAACAAAAACTCCACTCGGATATTTTACCTTTTGAAAAAGATGAATTTTTCTACTATTGCACACATTTGATTCTGCAGAGATTTACTTACCTCCAAAGGGTTTTCTGGAGCGTTGGGAATAACGTCAGGAACTACATCGTGAGACCGAAATTTAGATGCAACACTGCACTGAACAGAGATTTCAGAAATCGCAATTATAAGAACTGTAATGATGATTTTTAAGAACATCGCGAATGTGTCTGATCAAGACGATTCTCTGGTGACTTCTGTGGTCTTTTATAGCAAATTGTACTAATTTATAGTCAAAACATATAATGCAAATTAGAATTTTGAAAATTCTGACAAATCATATCTAAGAATATGGAATAATGCAAGATAATTTGTTCTGAATGACAGTGAAATACAAATTACAAGTCTATGTGATTTTACAAGTTCATTCTTTGCCCAATTATATTACATGCTTCGTTTACATAATCAGCAAACAGTTCGATTAAACACACATTATAATTAAATATCAGCGTTTCATACAATATTTGCTCAATTACATATCAAAGCAATAATTAAAATAATTTTAATACATTTAACGCGTTTATTATAGCACTTTCTGGTGTGCGTGATTATATTTTTATGTCCTGATGTTAGTTGATGACAGATTTATGGATTTTTTGAAAGAACACGTAGGCAGAAAAGGAAGCAAAATATTTTATTATCTTGATTAAAATGTCAAGAAAATCGAACCAATTAGTGCGCATTTATTGTATAATTAAAACAGAAACTCCATTGCATACAATTGTCCATATTATATAAGATAGAGTGCGAGTAATCAATAATTTATTCCGGACGCAATTGCGCATGCAATATGGGAACGTAGTCATCATACTGAGATTGGTAAAAATTTCCTCCAAAGAGCTGAAGGGAATACTTCTCAGCAAAGTCATTTGTTGAGAAGGACAAACGACCATTAAGGATACTGAAAAAAGTTGCATGATTTTAAGAATAAATTTCTTTCGAAGGGAAATATATCATCTTACTATTTCGGTGACTTTCTTTCATCTGAAAAATCAATTTGGCCATCAGGTTGCTTGAAGGCAAAGAAAACGTATCTGTGCAGATCAGTGTCTGCCGGTGGACCAGAACCGAAAAAATCAGCGATCGTCTCACCTTCAGTTACATTATTTCCCGGAATATTTCCCACATGCCAATGCTTCACGGAACGAATTGAAGGTTCTGTGCGACTTGGAGCATCGACATCCACGAAGAGAAGTGTGTAAAAGTCCTCTGGATCAGCTTCCCAAGTTACCATTGGCTGATCCTTAACGTCAGTTGGAGCCAATTCATTGCCATACTTCACCTCCACACCACTTGCGTACTTTATCTTCGGGAAAATTGGAATATACAGCAAAATTATAAGAAAACATGATGAAGAAAAAAATAATTACCGTCAAAGGATTTTCAGGGGCACTTGAAATAGCATCTGGAACTATTTCAAAGGATATGAATGCAGAAGCAACGTCAACATCAGCAGCGATTACAGAAATAATCACCGAAATAAATAATAAAACTTTGTATGGCGGCATATTGGAGAGAATCATCAGTGACTGATGTTTACTAAGTTCTTGGGAACAATGCAATCTTTTTACAAACGGGTGCACTCAAATAGAAAATATTTAATAATACATTATGCAAACAATTGATCACGAACAGGAGACAAACTGATATTTACAACCGCGGTGCAAATCCGTGGTGCATTAATATGAAACATGAGCAAGTCATTTTGTCATTGAATAGCTTTCATAAAATTTAATGAAATATCAATTTGAAAATTTTACGCGACAATATAAACTTTTCAAAAAATGTATAATCAAGAAATAGAGTGTGAAAAGTCGTATCGTTTCATAATTCTTTAGGTGCACACAGACCTCAATTTCCGATTTGTTGTTGCATGCAGCACGATGAAGACACACCTACCATTTCCTTAATTTTTTTTCTGGATTATCCACAACCAAATGAATAACAAAGATACTTCTTTTCACATGTGCTTTCTTGCAGACTTTTCCGACGCTTCAATTACATGTTATAGAAACACCTCATCAATCAATATAAGGCCTGTCAAATGGCATTTATTCCGATAGTTGAGCGTGCAGGATGGGAACGTAATCATCATACTGAGCTTGGTAGAAATTGCCTGCGAGGAGTTGAAGAGAGTACTTGGCAGCGAATTTCTTGGCGGAAAACGATGGGCGGCCAGCTCGGCTTCTGCAGGTGGAAAAAATATTTTATGCATTTAGACAGAGTGATGCGTCTGCCCATGCATGAGAGACTCTTCACCTGTTGGAGGTCTTCTCTTCGGCAGAGAAATCAACTTTTCCGGACGGCTGTTTGTAAACGAGGAAGACGTAACGATGAAGACCGGTTCCCTTGGGCGGACCCGATCCAATGTACTCAGCAATTGTCTCACCTTCGGAGACACTCTTCCCGGGAATGTTGACAACAACCCAGTGCTTGAACTCCCGGAATCTGGGCTCCGCTCGACTTGGGGCATCAGGATCGGTGAGGATGAGAGTGTAGTAATCTTCGGAATTCGCACTCCACGTCACATATGGGATGTCTTTCACATCGGTGGGCGTCAACTCATTTCCATAGTTTACCTCCACCCCACTCGGGTATTTGATCTTTCAATTTAAACAGACTCCGAGTGGTTTGATCGCTCTATGCAAATATTCAAAATTTTGATTTCTAGATCATACCTCAATTGGGTTTTCTGGTGCAGTGTCGAGTACATCAGGAACCACTTCGAAATCCTTAAATTTGGAAGCAACATCAAGTTTAGAAGCACTATTCACAGATATTGCGAGGGCAAAAATCACAAAGAAAGCTTTAAGCGACATTTCTGATGCGACTGATCTCCACGAACGATTGTAAAATACTGTGATCAAGAAGCGGAAAGTCACATCAATTTGAAGCTGAGCAGTTGACGAGACACACACGTAAACAGATGATTACAGAAGAAAGCGAAAGTCAAATTGTTCACTTCTTCTGAAGGTTTGTATTGATGTACTAAAATCACAGATTGAAATCATTAGGAAGTAATTTCAAATTTATCGCCAGGATATGGGGTGGTGATTGTGACTTTGAGGAGACAAATGTGGGAAGAACAATTTATTAATTAGTTTCATGGGTTTCGTGAAAGCCAGTATCAATACTCTCGTTAATGAGTAAACAAGAGACCATTAACTTAAGTAATCACATAAGAGCGTCATTATACAGCGCAAATAAAATGATGAAACAGGTTTATAGCCTCTATGTCTCACACACGAAAAATTGCACTCAAAAGCACATTAACTCACAGATCACTGTATTAAACTTCTTATCAACCGCACAGCTGAATGCTAGTTCAATCCGAGACGAGCTCGAAGAGCTGGCACAGATTCATCCCACGCGGCTAGAAAGAAATTTCCCGCCACTGGCGTTCCCAGATTGTATTGGTCAGCAAACTGCTGCACACGGAAGAAGGGCCTGTAGGAGAAGTCATCGTCGTCGGAATAGGGCTCGTTGAATTGCATAGGTCCATCGGGCTGCTCATAGACCAGGAATACGTATCTGTGCAAACCGCTGCCATTCGGCGGTGCAGGTCCAATATACTCAGCGATCGTTTCACCTCTGGCGATGTCATTTCCGGGAATATTCACCACTATCCAATGCTTGACTTCACTCACTTCCCCAGCATCAGGATCAGTCATCACGAGTGTGTAGTAAGATGGAGCGGATGGATAAAATTGCAGATTTTGAAATTGCATATTTGGTATTTGGAAGTTTTGTAAATTTTGGAAGTTCTGCAGAACTTGTACATTTTGTATGCCTGGTGCATTCTCTATGCTTTGTATATTTTGCACATTTTGTACATTTTGCACATTTTGTACATTTTGCACAGTTCGCAAATTTCGCGTATTCAGCGAAGGATTGAAGTTTTGAATCAGTTGAACAGTCTTGCCAACGCGAAGAGGTCTCCTCTGTGATATGTCTTGCCTATTCCTTACGGGCCAACTGACCACAGGAGGGAATCTTGTGATTCTGGGCACCAACACATTTCCCAAATTCGCACTTGCTCCATTCGGATATGTGATCTGAAACGGGGCACAAAGTAATCCTTGCGAACGATGCGGATCAAGATCGGCGCCGTACCTCAATTCTATCGATGGGAGGATTATTGATAACAAACGGAACGATTGAATTATCTCTGAAAGCATGAGGAACGGTTGAATTCCAGGTTTGTAGCTGAGACTGAGGCGCTTCATTAATAAGATAAAGCGAACCGAGGAGCAGTAAATATCTCATTATCACTCACGATATTAACACTGGGTTTCCTGTGAGGTTAAGCACTGTCTATAAGTCTGGTCAAAATAACAATTGACTGGAAAATTTGCAGAGTGCGTTTACTTTTATATGGGAGTCATCGAAAGTGGGAGGTGTGAATATCGGTAATTAGTGAATTGGAACACTTTTTGCGCATTTTATATTAGGGTAACACGTTAAATGAACATTTTAAGACTTTGCTACATTGTTGCATATCGGTTATATCGAGAAAATTTGTTCTCCCCCGTCAAAATCAGAAAAAATTTAAACTTGTTGCAGGCTTTTATTTCATACATTAACATCATTCGATTACAAATAGTAACAAAAGACTAGATATTACTTTAATTTTTCAAGCATCCTCAAATTGTGAGTTATTCTTATGGTATAGCAAAATACCTTTGCGGTACATTTACTTGTAATGAGTGAGATAAAAATTTATTTGGAAATATAACAGGATGACCCAAAGGATCGGTGTTTGTAATAATTTTCACGATAATTAAAACTTTTCTATTTCAATTCTAAATTCTTTAGTTGATAAGGAATAAAAAAATGTTTTGGTTCTCGTTCCGTATTTGTAGATTGTTACATAGTGTAATTCAAATACAAGAAATAAGCAAATTTGGATCATCAAAACATATCAAATCACCTTCCGCAACACATTTTTTTTTTAAATATTAAACAATATGTATTTTGTATGAATTTTTTCTGATCTTCCTAAATTTTAAATTGCTTTAAATCCATGAAAATTGCTTCGGCGCTTTTTCCATACGTTTTCTCTTTTAGCCCTTTAAACGCTTTAAACTTTTTTTTTACCGCCTTCAACTGGCATGAATGCATGCAATCATTGCACCCGATTATCTTGCCAGTTCATTGTTGTCCAATCATCTTGAAGGTGTTTCTGAGCTTTTCGCAGTGTTTTTCAGGAAAATATCCAGTGAAAATGTCTCGTGGGAGCTCAGCAGGATATGACAGACACATTACGATCTTCTCGCCCGAGGGAAGGCTGTATCAAGTCGGTAAGAAAAGCAGAAATGCCTGAATGTTCGTCAGAGACGCTTTTGAGGTTAGATTGGTGTGAATGACTGTGCCGATTTTTCGCATTTTTCCACAGAATATGCATTTAAAGCTATCAATCAGGAGGGATTGACCTCAGTGGCGCTCAAGGGGAAGGATGTGGCCGTGGTGGCCACTGAGAAGAAGATCCCGGACAAGCTGATCGACCCCAAAACAATTACTCATCTGTACCGGATCACGAAGAAGATTGGATGCGTAATGACGGGGAGAATTGGTGAGATTTGTCTCTTTTTGAGGATTGTGGAAGATTGGAGAATGATTGGATGTCCTCTTTGTAGCTGATAGCAAGTCTCAGGTGCAGAGAGCTCGCTACGAAGCGGCCAACTGGCGCTACAAATACGAGTATGATATTCCGGTGGATGTTCTCTGTCGCCGCATCGCCGATATCAATCAAGTCTACACGCAGAACGCCGAGATGCGCCCCCTGGGATGCAGCATGATCCTCATCTCGTACGACGACGAGCAAGGCCCATGTGTATACAAGACCGATCCGGCCGGCTACTACTGCGGCTACAGAGCTGTCTCCGTGGGCGTGAAGCAGACCGAAGCCAATAGCTTCCTGGAGAAGAAGCTGAAAAAGAAGACGGACTTTGGCGTGGATGAGGCTATCCAGCTGGCCATCACGTGCCTCTCCACCGTTCTCACGGCGGACTTCAAGCCGTCTGGCATTGAAGTGGGAGTCGTCACCAAGGACAACCCAGACTTCAAGATTCTCACTGAGGATGAAATCGATGTGCATCTCACTGCGATTTCCGAGAAAGATTAAAGCACTTTTCTGTACGCTTTTTATTATATCGAAATTATAAGAAATTATTTGCCCGCCACGGTAGCGAGAGGATTTCGCAGCACGAGAATCACCGAGTCTCCCCGCAGGAACATCTTGGAGATGAAGCGATCCTTGTTCACCGGCTTCACTTTCTTCTTCCCTTTGCCGGTCCGCGGCACTTCCGTCCACATTTCCTTCACATTCTCCAAAACCATGTTACAGTGGCGATCAAAGGCCTTCACGCGTCCCAAAAGCTTCTTGTTGTTGCGGCAGTTGATCAGGACCTGAGTGTTATTCTTCACGGACTGTGTGAGCACAGAAAGGGGCCCGGTATTGAATTCTTCCTCCTCCTGGCGGGCCAATTCTTCCGGAGTCAATTCAGATTTTGGCTTATTTAGCGCCCTACGAAGTGAAATTATGAATTATTGCAAATCCATATATGTTTGTAGGCATTTGCAACTGACAACTTACATATTTTCTGTGTGGAAATGTGAGAAATTCTAAGAGTTTTTCCAAAAATCGAGAAAACGTTTTGTTTTCATGCGGCGTCCTTTTGACAACGTGACGTCACGGCAACAACGCGGATTGCCCGATGAGAGAAAATTCAACAATGCCTACATTCGAATTCCAAAACGCCAACGGTCACTAATTTAATATCCAATAAATTTATTAATTCCTCACAATAATGCCAAACAAAGTAAGTTCTTACACACGAATTAGTAATGATATAGAGATATTGAATAAGGTGGTGAATTAGTTTCCCACATTGTGCTCGCTTCTCGTGTACGGCGCTAACACTTGCTTCTCGTTCAGTAGCTTTATCCTGAAAAGTGATGATTTGGGACTGAATAAATCAAAAAATTATAGAAAGAAGAATTTCCACCTGTTCTGGATCATGCTCGTCCTGGGCACCAAGTGACAGTTTGATCTGCGCGGGATGGCTTTAGGTTGTTCACTCCATGGCCAGGAGCTCCAGACACCGTCGGGACGCTGGAGATCTTCGGGAGTGGCGGAAGCACACCCAGACTCTGGCTCGTTATCGCAAATCTCAGAGACAGATGCTGAAGACACAGCAGCCGCCTCTTCCTCAACATCATCTTCTTCCGTGTCCAACGGATCCACATCGTCTGCGTCAGTTTTCTCTGAAGAGGAATCCTCCTCGTCCTTCTTATCGAACCGATAAGAATCGTCATATTGCTCAATCTCCTCATATCCACAATCGCTCTCGTTATCACTCATCTCAGGAGAGCGTTCCGGTAATAAGTTCTCCATTGTCTTCGTGACATTCTCCAAAGTGGCTTGAATCTGGATGGGAATCGCCGCAATCTCTGCCAGGCGTTTCTGCATGGCACGCAATTGTTCCTCGAGCGTGAGGCCTGTGAATGGGGCATCTTTTTAGTGATCTTCGAGAAGTCTCAAAGGGAAATTTTCCGAAGGGATCTCCTGAGAAAAGATACGCAGTACAAATTTCGATCGGAAAATTTCCATTTGATTGCCTTTTTTCCTTGCTTTTTTCTATGAGAAAATGGAATGGAAAATTCAATGAGAGAAATGCACACACATTTGCCATCAAAATACACTTTTAATAGTTATATCGGCATTCGTTGAAGCAGAAAGGTTATCGAATATCTCGATCAGAAGCTCTGGGGAGGACATCGACAAATCTAAGACTAGCTCATTAGTTTTTGGAGGCCGTGGGAAGGGCCAAAAGCATATTTTCAATGTGTTTCCAGCGCTCCTCGGGCTGATCCTCCGTTTCGTTGAGCAGACGCCTGATGTTCCTGATGATCCGCTTGTGTGGCGCATCCTGCAAGGAAGAGGCCGAGAAGAGAACGGAAAAAGACAGAAAAGAGGTCGGTTAAGGTCACACGGTACACAGAAGATTAACGACAAGTTGGTTATTGCAATTACTGGGCCGTAAGATTCTTGTGCAACAGGTGGCGGAGGTTGCTGCCACACAATTGGATGCCAGACTTTTCTTTCGGGCTGTGGGATCCACGTTTGCTCTGTGAGGGGATCAATAAGGACATGTTGTTTAGCTACAAGACTTCTCCTCTCATTTGCCACCACTCTGACCTTTCGGCTGTTCCAGCTGCGGCATGGACTTCTTCCTCGGCGCCTCGGCGCCCTTCTTCGCCTTCAGTGTCACATCCCGCTCCTCGCCCACTTGCTCCTGGTCATCCTCGAAGCTGTCGAAAGGAATTTCAAGACACAGCTTTAAGTGAAGCGCAAATAATTTGGATCTTTTACTACAAGACTTTATGGATGCCAGACTCTTGAGAGTATATTTTTAGTCTGTCGTGATAAAAGAGGAATTACTTGGTGTTGAAGTTGTTTGTGGCCTCTGAAGATTTGTATGAGAATGAAAATAATAATTTTCTCTTCTTATCGTACAACACGCAAATACCACTGAGAAGAGCGAAAACCCAATTAATTAGCTTGAGAACAAGTCAGGGAATAATTGAAAGGATTCCTTAGGGCGTCTCATTTAGGAAATTGTCATTATTGTAACGATATTCCCTCTTAAAACATGTTACCTCTTCACTGAAAGCTGAATCTCCTTGTCTGTGGCCTGAATTTCAGCATTAGCCTCGGCCAGGGACATTTCAGATGTGTCCATATTGTTAATTTTCGTGATCGTGTCGCCCAACTTGATGCCCGAACCACTGGCCTGACCGCCTTCAGAGACCTGTGGAGAAGGAACAGAGGCAGGACGAGGTGTGAAACGATGCTGAATAACTTTGACATCGCGATCCTTCGCGGGAAACTCGTAATTGTAAGCCTTCTTCACGGGCGCCTTGTAGAAGGCCGGAGCGACCTTCTTCGGAGATTCGTTATCCATGAGGATCTGATTTAGTTACACAGACACGAAATGGATCTACACACAGTGATATGGGGTGCAAGAGTTATTTAGTCACCTTCAATGAGAGAAAAAGACACAGATATTAATTCACTCGTGTGATAAAACCATCATTCTGTGCGTGTGCCAGGACAAATGGAGAAATGTTGTACATGATATTTATAAAATGTGATGTCTTGTTGGAAATTGCGCATAATTATAACCAGTGCTGTGTGCAGAGTTAAAACGGTAATTTTCCACCATCTGATTTATACCACTCAATGCTGACAAATTATTACCAAAGAGAGAATGTATAGTATTTTTATTCACAAATATTTAGAAATTTCTGAATAAATTGACCCACTGTCACGAGGAGAAGATGGCCAAACGAGACGATAATTACAATAAATGCGATCCACGAGAAAACAAATGGTGTGTGCAGGGAATCGTATTGTGAACTTCTGAACCAAATCTAAATTAAAACAGCCGACAATAGCTCAAGAGATCACAACAGAGGCAAATTTCCCCGCCCCGTTTGTAAATATTCATTGGCAAATGTTTGTGTTGGAATGAAATACAAAACCCATTCTCATCTTCACGAGGAAACATGCTCAACTCATGCACGATGACGTTATAGCCTCGTGAGTCTGTTTTCCGCTGCGAAAGATCGCCCCGGTGCTTCACACTTACGTGAAAAATCGTGATGGGCATGCCAAAGTCCGCTCCCCCAGTAATCTGGAAGCCCCACTTGTGCTCCTCGCCATACTCAATCTCCTGCAGGTGACTCTCTTGTGGATGAATTGACAAACATTTTTCTTCCGGCATGTCGTTGACCTATTTTAACTTTATGTGAAAATGCAATTTATTTTTAAACGACACTGCGCTAATAGTTTCCCTTCAATTTATTCAACACGGCAATTTAACAAGATTGCGATTAGGACAGGCTGAATAGATGGGACGAATATGCCCAAGACTGCAAGAAGGGGAAACGAATTGAAGGAGATTTTGCGAAAAGAACTTTCTTTATTTTAAAGTGATCACGCAGAAAATGATCAATCACACTGAACTTGCTCGAGATTGCACACCCAACTGATCGTCGATATCTGTTCAATTAATAGTCGCACATCAGTGCAGCAATTTGGTGAATCCGATGACGGAGACGAAATTGTCACGATGAATTGCGTGATCTTCACGCACTGCGAGAGGAAAGGGGAAGATCTTCTAATTCATAGTAAATATCACTGGGCTCTGTTCGCGTGCGGATCTCTCTATGCTGGATTGCTATTTTCTCCTCGAGAGATTGTATAATCGTCCTATTCGCCGACGATCGCTTCATTCTCTCCACATAAATGCTGGGGACTAAATAGCAATTGGATTCCCTGGTAAAGATCACCAAAAGAATCGATCAAAAACGCATTACTAATCACATAATTTAAATTTGGAAATACTTGTAAATCTGCTTCCTGCGATCATTCCAGGGAAAGACGCCTGTCAATTTTCCCTAGAAGACAAAAGAAGGAAAATATATAAATTTCGTTCGCGGGGAGATCTTCAAAATGCGCTCACTCTTGAGATGTTGGATGTCGCCACGTGACGCGTGATCGGAGGCGTGAACCAGAAGTTCACTGTGTACTCGTCTTCGGCGCCAAAGTCACTCTCACTGTTATCGTCGCCCTGCACAATGATACGAACGGATTTTCCTGATTTTCTGATCAACTTCTGTGCTTCCATGAGAGTTAATTTCTCAGCAGAAACATTGTTGATCTTCACGATGGTGTCGTTCACCTGAATTCCCGCCTTGTGAGCCAATCCTCCCTCGCGAACCTGCACAATTAAATCACTGATAGCGACACTTATCATACATACTTTCGCAATTCACTTACACTGATTATCGTGAGGGGCTCATGCTGATCGACACCACCTGTGATCTCGAAACCCCACAGGAAATCTACAAAGGACATAGTCCTGCGGTCCGTTGAGAGTGTGTAGGTGATCCTCATGACGTACTCCACATTGCCGAAGGCTGGAGGATCGGGAAGACCACTTTTCTCCTCTTTGACCATTGTGCACTGACTGAGAAGACAACCTGAGACTCTGGTGACTCTATCGCCGACTTATTGGTTCGCGATCGCGACTTGTGCCTTTTTATTTATTCACACTCCTCTCACTCTCACACGTGACATGTGCCTCAAGGTGATGTGGTGAGCAAGATCAAAGAATTCGTCCACAGATTCATTCTAAAATAAATTTGGCGATTGATTGCAACGATGTTAAGTAACATCGCGAGACGGGGAGGAAGCGTGTAAGAAAATGGCCTTATTTTTATTGAGGAAACTTTCATCGATATTGCTACACATTGAACTGAACATGTCTCTCAATCAGTTTCTTCGTGAGCTCCTCACTTCCTTCCGGTAGTTGGGTCTTGAAGATGAGGTATGTGACATGTTCGCAGGAGCAGGGTTCACGCTTCTGAAGGTAGAATATCGTGTCGAAAAGCTCATACAGTCGAATTATTTCGGGAATTGGTGTGGATGGGATGGAAGGTTCTTTCTCCTCGTCTGTGCCGCTTGTCTCAGGCTTAGCCTGAACACTCAGACTCAACTTTGCCAATCGCTTTAGCTCTTCCTGTTGACGTTGCTCCTCGATCAGCTCGGCCAATTCCCGAGCTCTCCTCATTCGCTCAAGAGCTTGACTAGGCACCATATGACAATTGGATTCGTGATAGAGGGGCTTTTCAATATTATTCCACGGGAAAAGATGGTCCCAGTCGCGCTGAAAGGAGTTCAGAAATGGGATTATTGAGTCATGCAGTTCTTAAAAAATGAGTTTTGAAATTGATTGTAGCGTAACGCAATTAATATTATACAACTACACTATTTTCTTTGTTATTACCTGTTCACTTTTCTTCTGGACTGAAGGATTTCATAATGAGAGAAATGAAAAGATAAAGAGTTAAGCAACTTTCTTCTGAATTGATTCTGTATTTGCACAAACTCACGTAAAAGATCTGCATTTAGGGCATCATCGTTTTCATCCTTCACTAGAACTCTGACAAATTTTCCAGATTTTCGGATCATAACCTGGACTTCTCTCAGCTTCAAGCCTTTAACTGGAATATCATTAACTTTCACCACAATATCGTCATCGTAGATTCCTTCATGCCTTGGTAATCCCCCTCGCCTGACCTGTACAGACAAATTACATAAGACCACTCTTCTCACTTCATCTACTCAGGATCACTCACTCCGATCACTGTGAGGGGTTTGAGGGGCTCATCCCCGTTGATGAATGTGCAGAAGGCGCGCAAAACTTCAACATAGAGGGAAGGATGCCACGGCCTCTTCTCGAGGGCCTTCAAGTCGCTCAGAGGCTCCCCGAACTTCCCCGCGAAAAGATTCCTGAATCTGTCTACACCCATCCTGGCGTTAACTTCTGCAGACCAATCCTAATTCCTTTCACCCACTTTCGCGTCCTGCACGGAACTCGGATGAAAGCTAATTGATCGTGGAGGCGCTGATCATGGGCTATTTATCAATTTCATCGATCAGCCACGCGCTCAATTTAATTGCCAAGGATATGTAATGGCCCACAATTAGTCAGGAGGGGAAAGCAATTAGAATGTGCTTAAGTGATGATGCTTCAATGACATGTGATTTCGTGGCGATCTTTCCTCGTCGTTCGAAACATTCCACGATCGCGATTCACTTTCTTAGTCATTCAGCAGCTCCTTGCAAGCCATGAATCAACTCCGATTTTTTCTTAATCAAATTCCTATTTAGGGTATAAAAAAGTACACAACAATCGTCATTTCTGCTTCTTAATTGCTTTTTAATAGAGACCGATTGAGAAATAATTATTTCAAGTGGCGTCTCTCACTATAAATATCCCCAATGATGTATCAATTGGCGACAGGCAAAGATTGGGACAAGGACAAATACAGAACACTGTGTTACCCCTCTCGTATTGTTTATTTAAATAAGTGCTAAGTTACAAAAGAACAACCCAAACAATTCCACGCAATCTATTTCAGCTTCTACTGTCCACAGGCAGCGACCGGTGGAGAGCTCTGCAACAACAGAATTTCCTTTATTGCCCCGCATAGCTTTGTTAAGATTTATGGAGATCGTACTCGATGAACATCATCTGCTGTCAGCACTTTTTCAGGCCGAACGGCAATTCCGTGGGTCGGCTCCTTGTCCATGCGATGAATCATTCGGTACACCTCGCTATTCCTCAGATCCACCTTCTTCTCTGGCTTCTGGTACTTCAAGAAGTTCACCCTATGCACAATAAATCATACCATTATTTCTATACCAAACCTCTTAAAATAGATGCTCAAGGTAAAGTAATGAAAACTGCATTCCAATTAATACAATGACAATGAAATGCATGAGAAATTGACTCACTTTTGTTCATCAATCAACAATGGATTCCCCTAATTATTAGGTTTCAGAAATTTTTGGTAAAGTGTGCAATTCTGACTTGATATTGTTAGTGGCACTATGAGAGGAAAAGTTCCAGTTGACATATTTTTCTGTTCTCTCGACAACTTCCTACAACACTGTCTTGTAAACACAAAAAGGCCAAAAATGTATATAACTATTCAAAAAGTATTCAGTTCTAAAATCAAAAAATTTATGATAACATCTTGTCAGATTATTTCCTGCTTTAAGCTTATCAAGAAATAAAATTTTAAGAATTGCCGATTTGACATTATAACAATCTGTGAAAGCACATCAAAATTTCACTTACAAAATAACTTTCAGAAAATTGAGGCGTCTACTGAAATCGTTGCAAAGCTACTTACCGAATCATTTTCCTCGCTATATTTATTTTTGCCAACTTTAATTGAAGTTAAACAAAAACAATTAAAGGAAGATAGGCAAATAAAACGCTGGTTATATACTAGAACTAAGCAAATATATAAATCTTGCACATCTCGACATATATAAGAGCATCACAGGGTTATTCACGTAGAGACACAGTAAATGCATCGAATGTGAATCTACTACCTGTCGTCGTACGGCAAGAGAGGACTTTCGTAAGTGTTCCTGCAAAAAGTGATCATATTTTCATGTGATGGCAAATGGAATGGCTTCGATGGTGGGCTCGAGAATGAGCAAAAGAAAGAAAATGTGCAATTGAGAATAACTCGACAGGCGCGAACGCGAATTGATGGCGAAATTTGAATGGACTTGATGGCGGGATTACGCAATTACCCAAGAGTGGTGCCAATAATGAGTTCCGCCTGGGAGCTGAGAACTTCCGCTATGAATTCGTCATTGAAGGCGTCTTTCGGCTTCCGCCACTTTCGTCCACCGGGCAAGAAGATGGGCCTCTCCTGTGGCACGAGCGGGCCAAAGACAGAGGTGAGTTTGGGCTTTGGCGGTCTCTTGGGTGTTCGCTCGCCAATCAGGCGCTGCTGGTGGTCCAGGTCCTCTTCAGTTTCCTAAAAATTTCACCATAACGCATCAACAAGAAAGATGTGAACCATTTGTGCGTCATCCCAGAAGAAAATCACGTGAAAGGAGAGAAAAACTCTTGTAATTCCAAAAAAGGTGAAATTTGTTAGGCGGTTAAACGTAAAACCAGTTAAAGAAAACTCTAGATTACACGAAGGGTTCATCATCTGAAAAATTCACGTCGAAGCGGAAGGAACGAATTTCCCATTTCCCAGTCTTGAAGCGCTTTAAAATTAATTCAGTTTAGCAATATCAGTCTCTATTGTTGACTAAAGCATTTTATAACCACTTACTTGTTCCATGTCTTGAACATCTTCATTCATTATCTCTGATATTTCTTGCCCACGCTCCACTGGTTCAGGACTCACCAGCTCCTCTTCAATCTCTCTATGTATCTCTGACACCTCCTGATCCTCGAGACTAACTTCATTTTCTCCCCGCTCTTCTGCAGTGATCTCCTGACGGACATCCTCCTGGCATTCTGTCGGATCTTCCTGAATTTCCTCTTTGGTTGCAGGCACAATTTTCGAGAGTTGTTCAGTAACAGCATCTAATGTTGCCTGAATAGCGTGAGGCAAATTCGACAAAGACAGTAATTGACGCTGAACATCAGCCAATTTCTCCTCAAGCTCTCGCGGAAGTTCATCAGGATTCTCAGGTTCTGCCTGAACCTGAGGCTCCTCTAGATCGGGCACTTCGTCATCAGCCGTTGAAGCCACCAATTCAACCACTTCTTCGGCTTGTAGATCAATTTCTTCTTCCTCTGGAGCATCTGATTGTGATGGCAGAGGCTGCTCAGCTGATTCATTAGTTTCTGGGACTCTTTCTGGCTCTTCCTTAGGAGAATCAGGTTGAATCATCATGGGTGGAGGTGTGGCTACTCGATCAGGAGCAATTCGCGGCTTTGGCTGCTTCACAATCTTCACTTTGTATGACTCCCTCTGAAATCAAATTGATAATAAGTATTTTATTTGAAATTGAATATTTATCATCTGAACTCACCTTTTCTTGCTCAATATCCCACTTTGACTTTGGGATTGGGCGATTTGGCTTCTGAAGAAAAGTGGTCCATTTGCGTTCCTCCTGAACTTTCTCCTCCTTCGTCTGTACTGCTTGAGCATTGAGAGTCTTGAACACTTCACTAGTCTTGAGCGAGAGAGCCTGAGGAATAATTTTGTTGAAGTTCACGCCAATCACGTTATGTTCCTTGAGCACTTCGGCCTCACTGGAAATGACCTCAGCTATTTGATCATCAGTCACCACGACATCCATCAACTTCTCCTCAATCGCCTCTTGGGTTGGCTCCTCGATTATCGTTTGTTCTTGTATGTTGGCAGGAAGAGCGGGAACTTCTGCTGCAGGATTGCCTATAGTTACCGATTCATCAGGAGCCGCAATGGCATCTTGCTCGTTTTCTCTGGAAGAAAGATTTTCTTAGGATCGGCCTCAAAAGATGTAACTGAACAGCTCACCTGATCACGCCAAGCATGAAGTTGTTTCCAGCCGCCAGGAGAACATTGTGCGCTTCCAAGTGGGAGAGACTGCTGGCAGGAGTGTCGTTGATACGGACAACGACATCGCCGAGTTGCATTCCTGCCTGCGCCGCCAAACTGCCTTCGGTCACCTTTTTGGCAAACGAAAATAGAGTTAAACAACAAATACAAAAATACATTATATCGAACCGAGTGTTTGAAACTCATGCAGAAAGCGATTTACTTGTCTATGAATGCAAAAGAATTTAGAATTTGAGATCATTTGCGTGATGCAGTGATATCTTTATCAATTGGGTTTCACGTGAAAATTGTGTGTTTTCGCAATTGAACTGATTTTTAGAGGTTGATTCTGTTGTTGAATTCACAGAAAAGTAGAGTAATTGTGTAAATGCCATTGATTTTGCACTAAAGATCACAAAAATTCAGATATCTGACACTTTTGTAGGTCAACAATGTGAAGTATATTTTCATCAGTTGAATTTACTTTGATAACAGTGAGGGGAAAGTCAAAATCCGCCCCTCCGGTGAGGCGGAATCCCCAAGGAGTGTCGTTGAACTTTGAGAATTTCAAATCAACCACCATTGTGCACTTTTCTACTCAGAGAAAACTTGCTCGATCACTGCGAAAATCACTCCAAAGCACCGGAAAAGTCACCGACTTTCAACCAAGAGGATAGTCAAGAAATCTAGCACTATATATTCCTTGGACTCACGACCAGCTAAGCGTTCAATTGGTATTTAATTCCTAGCGATCGATTCACTCTGTCCACCAGCGATCGTTATTTTAGAATCTGAGATCGTCACGGTCAAAGGCATGCGCGCTCTGAGTGAAAATCATCTCTTCTCTGGTAATCTTTAGTTCATGTATTTCGTATATTTTCCAATTTAGTTAATAAAAAAAATACTTGAATTTGCACTTCTTGAAATTCAGATAATGTCTGGAACACATTTCTCAAAGGTACATCATAGCCTCCTTGGCTGCAAAGTATAAATAAAAAAGAAATAGAGATTCATTGGCATTAGTGGAAACGACGTCCGCGGGAATTCTTGTCAGTGCCACAAGCGACCCTTTCCTCGTCCCTGCGAGCCTTCATCAGAGTGAAGCGGTCCGCCATGGAGCGCACCTCATCAGGAACCTCCTGCTCAGCCTCCTCGAGAATCCCGATGAGCTCCGCCGCTGACGCCCAATCCTTCCTAGTCATCAGCGACAGGGATTTACCCGTTCGACCTGCACGGCCAGTTCTGCCCACACGGTGAACATACTCTTCCATGTTCTTCGGGAAGTCATAATTGACGACATAACTGCGAAGAGATAACAGGTTTAAAAATCACAAACACATATTAAAGTCCAACAGAAAACTCACGTAATGTCCTCAATGTCCAGTCCTCGGGAAGCCACATCAGTGGCCACGAGAATCTTCACCAATCCCGACTTGATATCTTTCACAGCCATCTCCCGATCCGCCTGATCACGATCACCATGAATGCATTGGCAATTGAAGCCCTGCATTGAAAGCTCACTTGCGAGCTCATCCGCTCTGGCTTTGCGTCCACAGAAAATGATTGCTTTGTCACTTTCCGTCATGTCCTGTACAAAGTCCAGAATTCTACCGAATTTCTCAGTTTCATCCACGATCTCGATAGTCTGGGTGACGCTGTGCACAGCGGCAAGATCGAGGGAGCCCACGTACACTTGGATGGGATTGCGCATGTAGCTCTGCGCCAAGCGACGCACACCGGGTGGCCAAGTAGCACTGGTCATTATAGTTTGTCGATCAGGACGAATGTCGAGGAGAATCTTTCGGATTTGGGGCTCAAATCCCATGTCCAGCATTCGGTCCGCCTCATCGAGAACAAGGTAAGTGATGGAGCTGACATCGATTGTTCCCCTCGCCACCAGGTCATTGAGTCTCCCTGGAGTGGCGATAACAATCTCCACCCCCTTGTCGACCTTCTCAATTTGCTCCTTCACACTGCCGCCGCCGTAAACGCACACGGACTGCATGCCACGAAAGTGGTACTTGGCGACTTCATCCTTAATCTGCAGGGCGAGTTCCCGCGTTGGCGCCATCACCAGCACATTGGGGCCTCCACGCTCGCCTCGCGGTGTCGGCTGGAGCTCTGTGTGGATCATGCCGGGCAAGAGAAAGGCCAGTGTTTTTCCACTGCCAGTCTGAGCAATCCCAATAAGATCCTCTCCGCTCATGAGAATCGGCCAGGCTTGGCACTGAATGGGCGAAGGCTTCTGAAAGCCCTGCTTCATGATCTCCTCCATTATGTCCGGATAGTCTTCGAAGCAGTGCTCAAACTTCATAATTGGATTTGGTATAGCAGCATTTTGATCATCATCGTCCTTGGCCAGAGTTCGCTGAACAATAATGTTATTGCTGCTCTTGCGAAACTCCTCAACTTGCTCGGCAGTCAGACTCGCCACTTCCGGGTGCACTTTGTAGAAGCGCTTGTTCAGTGGTGGAAGACTCTTCAGCATCTCGTTCAGCCTCACCGTCTGAGCCTCTCGGACATTATTCCAGTCAATGGCCTCGAAGTTCTGCGGAGCAGGCGAAGCATGCCTGTCTTGTGGCGCCGAATTCTGTGAACCATAGTTGTAGTTGTCATGTGGTTGGAAATCACGCTGATAATTGCCAGCATTTCTGGGGCCCCAATCAGATCTCCTGTTCGACCGATCCTGTTCCATTCCGCCATCCCTGGGAGTGCCGCCTTGTGATACAGCTTCATCAATCATCATCTTGGCAAGATGTATCCCCTGATCGTCACCCTTTATCTCCACCACCGCATAACCTTGCGCCTCTGTGGTCTTATCCACCCTCATGAACACCCTGCACTGATCCATAATTTCGCGGATCTTGGCTCCACCCCGGCCAATCACTCTTCCAGTGTGCTTGACGTTGATCTCCATCCGGAAGACCTTCTCATCCTCCCTCTGCCTCCGCGGTGTGAAGACTCTGTCTGAGAAGTTCCTATCCATCCTGTCTGTAATCAGTCCCTCGTGTCTGTGAACTGAAAAGAACAGAGGAATGCGTAAGAAATCTAGGCCGGCGCTTAGATTAAAAAAAATTAGGTTAGAGGCCATTAAAAGGCGGAATTCAGTGGAAGCCGGTAGTTCTAAGAATTGGTGAACCAAAGGAACTGTATTTTCTTCATAATAACACTACTTCTACTCACCAAAATCAGTGTTTTATTGTCCAACCACGTTGTCTTTTCCATTCAGTGGATCACTTTTCACTCGGATGCAGTGTAACTGGATATGCTTGCTCAGGAATAATTTTTCACACTGAAAAAAGCGAACAAATTTTCAACTCTGGATTGAATCAATGGCGGCAATTTCAACTTCCGGTCGGCGGCTGGAGCGACGCGGCGAAAAGTGCCGAAAATTCGCCATTCGCCGCCCGAGGCCGCGAGCATCAAACGTTGGGCAGAAGAAGAAGAAGAGCAAGCAGAAGCATTAGCGCTCCTGCATTCTTTTCTTGAATTTTCACCTGGAAAAATCAGTCGGAAGAGTGGAAAAGCGCGTGTAAAGGTGGGTGGAGTGAGCGAGAAGTTGTGTATAAGTGGATGGAGTGTCCAAAATGCCATTAAATGTGAGTGAGAGCGCTTACAAGTGTCCCATGAAAACTCCAATGGTGGCTCATGTCCAGTTCATGTGTATGGTCGCGATGACACCTTATTTGCGGCATAACTTTGAATCTTAAATCCAATTTGGGTGTTTCCTGGTCGTCTCTTGCAGAACACAGTGGTGCACAATTGGATTTAGTGAAGCGGAATGGGTGGGTGCATAAGTGTGAACAGGAACACTGAAGGTGAAACGTTTGATGCTTCGACACCGTCACGTCCAGCCACAGGTAAAAAATACACCTTCCGCCTGGCACAGTGCCATCCCAAAAATGGTGATGGTGACTGGCTCGATGAGGCATGTGGAATGCCTATTGTTTCATAGCTGTACTAATGCGTATGCCTCGTGAATTCCAGGTCCGGGAATCGTGCCAACGCGAAAGAACTATCCTCTGTGCCATGAGATCATCCGCTGGAAGAGCGACGTACCATTGACGGAAGGGCAACTGAGGAGCAAACGTGACGAGTTCTGGGACACGGCGCCGGCCTTCGAGGGGCGCAAGGAGATCTGGGATGCTTTGAGGGCGGCCACAGTGGCCGCCGAAGCGCTGGACTTTCCCATGGCCCAAGCCATCCTCGACGGTGCCAATGTGTCTGTGCCCAAGGGCAACCTGACTGAATGCTACGACGAGCTGGGCACGCAGTACAAGGTGCCCATTTACTGCCTCTCATACCCAGTCAACATTGTCAAGGAGGACAACGGGAGGGATTCACCGGCAGAGTATTCGGAGCCCGTGGACGGCGGCGCTGAGGTGGTGCTGAAGCTGAGACTCAGCTCCACCTGCACAGACGTGAAGTTGTCCGTCTACTCCAAGGACACCATTGGCCAGTGCAAGAAGAAGCTACAGGTGAGTCAATAGCATCAACAACATACTCCGGAGCCTTTGTGCTTATTCGCATTCTCTCTGAAATGACTTTGCAGAGTCAGGAGGACATTGATGCGTGCTGCCAACGATGGTTCTACGGCGGTAAGTTGCTTGGCGACAAGATGCAGGTGGAGGAAGCCCATATTCAGCCTGGTTACGTTGTCCAAGTGATTGTCAATACGGAACACTATCGGCATGGGACGAATAGCTAGCCAAAATCGGTGATACAGTTAATTTATTTCTATTTTATACTGTGAAATGGCAAATTCAATCATTTTTAGATGTTCTCTCTGCGACTGTCGCAAGAATCACACCTTTCCTTACCTCACCACATCTAATCATACCCAATCGCCCCAATAACCTGAGTCACAGAGCTTGATTCTCATCTTGAGCTGTGAGACAAGCCCAATTAATGACAGAGAGATCGATAAATGTGTATGATTTCTGGAAATCTTCCTAAAATAATAAGTATTCGTAAAGTATTCTAATATTTAACCGAAAGGTAAAAAGGGCATTACGACACACCGAAAGAGCGAAGAAACAAGGTGAACATATTGAACATATCCCATTGAAAGCGAGTAAAAAAGAAACGAATCCATCACAATTGGTTTAATCGATTTTTTCATCACAAACACTTCATAAATACCAAACATTAATGATAATAATGTACTGTTTAATGAATTACTTTCGGGCTCCACACAATTTTCTCACTCAGTGAAGGAAGTGTAGTGAAGTAATGTGTGAAAAATCAATAAATCAGATATAATTGAATGTTTTACTATAGACAAACTGACGAATATGAAGAAAAAGCATATTATTATGGAGCAAAATAGAAACATTCCAGTGAATTTAATTGTCGATTGTATGTAGTTAAATTGCAGGAGAGAAAGAATACCAGAAAATTAAAAGGGGAAAATTGCTGGAATTGCAGCATTTTACCGTCCCATATGGACAATAAAAAAAAATTGAGAGGATGAAATGTGTTAATTCACTGCTTGAACACCAAGAAGAATGCATTCTAGAGACTTTCATCGAAAAAAAAGAAGAAAATATAAGAAGAATGAAAAATACTCTCAGGACATTAGGAGAAAAGAAATGAAGAACAATTATGTTTTTAAAACACTAAAAATTTACTGAATTTTATATGCGTCTACAGATTAACGACGACATCAACTTAGCGTTAGGAGAAAAGTAATATGTGTAACAATTTTTGCCATACATAGCGAGAGAGTTGACAATTTTCCAGGGTAATTGAGCGAAATTGCATTTTTTTTTCACAACTGAAACAATATCAATCGAGAAATACTATATGAACTGTGTTGATTGACTGCCCTTTTCAAAGTTGTGGCGTGTGTCTCAATTATACTCCGCCCCCTGCTCTCTGTACAAGCCACCCACTGGGCGTCTGATTTGACCTGAGGACTGAGTAACGCGGATTCCTTTGGCGTTCGATGGTGAGAGGACTGTTTGGCTAGAACTGGTTCAAATGAGACGTCCTTCTAGTTCCACTGGATGTTTGATATGTATAAAAAAGTCAACTCGTGCATTAGTCACTAATTTGTGAAGCGTATTTATTCACGAGTGAGATTTCTAATGGAAGTAATGCTGTAAAAGACACACAACCACGTTTTTTTCGTGCTACTTGATGACCACACAATGTTTTCCATGACCTGTTGTTACCGTTTGTTGAACATTTCTCTCTTTTTTCTCTCCCTCACCAACCAATTCAATGCGTGAGTGGAGAGACAAAAATTACTAATACGGAAGACACTACTTATTATTGTCTACTTAAGAGGGAGTAAGAGAAGAAGAAGAAGGAAAAAGAAGAAAGAAGAACCTAACTTGATACACAAATAGATTTTCAAGTTGAAATGCTGTACAGTTTAAGAATGATTGTGTATATAATTAAAAGAATTTTAGAACACAGCGTGTATTTTTGACCATCATTTTGCAAGTCTCTTCACATGCTTCAGCTCGTGCGTGAGCCACACGGCCATCGAGAGAAGGATCAGCGAGCCGGACTGGTGACTAGCGGCCAAGGCTGTGGGAACGTGTGTGATGAGCGTGGTGATGCCCAGCAGCACCTGAAGCCATCCCATCATCATCACTGCGGCCACGGCGGTGTGTGCTCTGGGCGGCAGGATTCGCTTCCGGGAGAGGAGGTAAAGGCCTGAGATGAGAGAGAGTGTAGAAATGCCCAGGACGCGATGATCGAACTGCACAGTTGTGGGATTCTCTGTGAAGTTCCGTAGAGTTGGTGAAAATGCGAGAATGTCGGAGGGAATCCAGCGATCTGCCATCAGTGGGAAGGAGTTGTACACTAATCCGGCGTCCAGGCCCGCCACGAAGGCTCCCGAGAGCGCCGTGAGAAACACCATGCCTTTCGTCACGTGCGCCAGACGGCGGAATTTGATGGCTGCCTGAGTCACGGTGCCAGTCAATTTCTGGGCAGGCACGAGGTGATCCAGCGCCGACCAGAGGAAGAGCGTGTAGAGGATGAAGGCGAAAGACAAATGCGTGGCAAGGCGATACTGAGACACTCGTGGCACATCTGACTCCCCGTGGAAGCGATCCTCGAGGCCTGACTTCACCATGTACCATCCCATGAGACCCTGGATGCCAATCAGTGCGCCAAATGCCACTACTCGAATCTTCATGGATTTCGCAAAGCGGCCTCGTGTCCAGAAATATATGGCGGGAAGAGCGTAAAAGGCTCCAATGGCTCGTCCCCAGGTCCTATGGATGTACTCCATGTACCAGATGAACTTGAACTCTGCGAGAGTCATATTGGGATTCTTTCTGGAAAGAGAAGCAATTGAGTACCTGAACCAGTCTCAATCTCTGATGATCTCACTTACATTTTGAATTCTGGAAATTGTTGGTACTTTTCGAATTCCACTACCCATTCAGCTTCTGTTGAGGGTCTCTTTTCGCCAAGGAGCTTCCAGGATACCATCGAAAGACCGGATTCTGTCAGTCTCGTCACACCGCCTTGAACAGAAGCAAACTCTTGTATTATTCTACAGGTAAAGTTTATTTTACAGAAACTTGTTTCACAATCTCATCCATCACTGCACAAATAGAGCCTAAAACTATCACATAACAAATGGTTCCACCTAGAACAACAGCCACAAACACCATTCCACTGCATCCTAGGAGCCAGTAGCCGACGCTCTTCCGGGACTTTTCTGGGAGATTTGCTGACCGTCGGAATGCTATCAACAAGGGTGTTCGAGTTGCGAGAGCAGTTCTCTGGAAGGCAGAGTAAATTTTTAGTAGAAATCAAGGAGAAAACAGAAGAAAATGTTACCTGTAAAGTGAACGGCTTTGAAAACCTCTGTGAGTGTAGATTTCTCGCGAATCCCTCATTTCGCAGAATGGAACGAGAGCAAAGCAGCGGTGTTCGCGAAAATAGGGTCGAGGCAGACCGCACTAGCAAGGATTGCATGATTTTTCGAGAAACACCGAGTGAAAATGATGCAAAACACGTAAAAGTCGAGTGAGGTTATGTCATCCGGATCGATTGAAAGGGGGTGGGGAAACAACACCTTTCGCGATAAGATGCTGATAGAAATTATCTTTAACATTACATATATATTTTTATAATAAATACATTCACATATAAAGTATCTGGGATATTAGCATGTATATGTAGGTGTACAAATTAACGCCGGGCGGCCAATTGATCGCTCAAATTGATGATTTGCTCCGTTAAGACGGTTATTTGCTCCTCGTAGTTGCACCGCGTCGTTACCATATCATCCTCCAGAATTTGGAGCTTCCTCTGGCACTCCTCTTGCTTCAGCACCCTTTCCTGCACATCCCCATTAATTATCTCGAGCGCATTCTGGAGGCTCTCGCACTCCGCCATATAGGAAGTGAGCTTCGATTCCGCCCGACATTTGGCCATGAACAGTTCTTCGATCTTTTTGGTCAGGTGACCGTACACCAATTGCTCCTTTGTGGTGGCGTCCGCCTCGCCGTTGGACGGACCCTTTCCCAGCATGTCGGCAGGTTTGGTGGCCATGTCCAGCAATTTGGCGCCGATGAGGCCGTCGCCGATTTTGAGAATCTCATACTGAGTTCGCCAGTGATTGAGCTCCTTTTCCAGGAATGCTATTCTCTCCTCGCTGGAGGATGAGTTTGTGTGGAGGGGTGTCGTGTGATCACTTCCCGTCACGCTCAGTCCATCTTCGCTCCCCATTGTGCTAGAAACGTCCACGATTTTGCTCTCCAGCTCAGCATTTTTTATGCTTAGCGCATCGATTTCGCGTCGCAAAGATTTCTCCGTGTCCGAGTGCTCAGTGGCCTGGTGTTCCAGTGTCTTGATTCTCTCCATCACAAGATCCAATTCGGCAGACTTGTCAGATATCTAAAAAGACAGACGCGCGAGAGATTAGCGAGTGCCAGAAGCGTCAATAGCCCCAAAATCACTCACTAGGGAGTTCAGTTGAGCATTCTCAATGATCTTCTTCTGCAGCTCTTCTGCAATCACGGCATCCTTTGTCATGGCGTGAATTTCACTGCGTGGCTGTTTGCTGGAGCCCTTGCTCCGCTTCACCTCCCTGTCGAGATCATCCTGAAGTGACGCCACACGGTGCTCCAGCTGCTTGTTGCGGAAGCTGAGGCTGTCCACCTCCTGCTCGGCCCGCCTCAGGGAGGCCTCCTTCAGTCTGAAGCTCTCCCGCAACGCCCCATTTTTGTTCTGCTCCTCCAGAACGGCGCGCTTCAGCACGTTCGCTTGGGCCCTTATCTGGAAAGAGAGATGGCGCAAGGGGGGCGATTATTCAATTAATCTCGAGATGTGGGGGAGGGAGAGCACCAAACGCAGCCACAATGCACCCGCGTACCTTTGCATACTCAGCAGCCAATTTCTGGTACTTTCCATCAGTTGTCTCCATGGCTCCTATCACAATATCGAAGATGGGCACTTTCACCTTATAACTAGGCTCACTAGTGCGCTGGCTCGCGGCCCCTTGAGTGCATTTTATGTGAAAATATTTCGCAACACAAACATTTCTACTGCACAGACGAGAGGCAACAATTTGCACACCACGAGTGGTGAGTAGTCAGTGTTCGGCACGGCGAGGCGCCGCGGTCGCAGATGGTAAATAAAACGAGGGTGGCTTGAAACGTCAGGCCATATTTGTTTGTGGTCTGAAAAATTGGATATTCGCACAGTAATTCGCTCGGGAGTGTCTCAAATAGCTAAGCTATAGCTGCAAAGATGTAAGTTTAACAGTGTGGTGTTATTTTTGCGCGGGGAAATGGCTGATTAATGTGTTTTGTAAACGTTTATTTTTTAGGGTGCGAGACCGGTCGGCGTCTGCTGACTCTGATAAGGAGAAGCGAAAGGGGCGAAGCCGCGACAAAGACCGTAAGAAACGTGGCTCAGTATCCAGCAGTAGCGATAGCAGTGGCAGGTGAGTGCATGAAGATGCTCTGAAATCAAAAAGGAAAATACTAATTGGGTGTTATGGGGTTATGTAGCTCGTCGGACAGTAGCTCGTCCCGGAGCAGTTCAGGATCTCGTTCGAGCTCTTCGAGTTCCAGCAGTTCTTCGAGCAGCTCATCCTCGAGCTCAAGCAGTGGGGCGGAACGATCCAGGACAAAACGCAAGACTCTGACTAGATCTCGAAGCAAGAGTCCAATCAGCAAGGATAAGGCCCTGAAGGATGGAAAGGATTTGCGTCGTTCACGCTCTAGGGAGCGTTCCCGTGATCGTTCTCGTCGTCGCAGTGCCGACAAGGATGACAAGGCGCACAGGAAGAGCCCCGAGAAGGCTTCCAGAGATGCACGCAATCGCTCACGCTCGGGATCGCCGAGGAGCAAGCGCCGGAAGGAGCGTTCGGTGACTCCGCGACCGACACGCATTCACATTGGACGTCTCACACGCAATGTGACTAAGGATCACGTGGTGGAGATCTTCAGTGTGTATGGGGAGATCAAGAACATTGAGTTCCCCCTTGAGAGGGCTATCAATGCCACCAGGGGCTTCTGCTACGTGGAGTACGGCAGCCCTGACGACGCTGAGAATGCTATGAAACACATGGACGGCGGACAGATTGATGGGCAGGAGATAACAGCAGCTCCTGTGCTGGTGCCCAAGCAAAGGCCACCGCTTCGGCGTCCATCGCCAATGCGCAACAATCGTGGAATGCCACGGTGGCGAATGTCGCCGATGCGCTTCCGTCGTCGATCCCCCATGAGGCGCAACAGCCCACGTCGTCGTCGCAGTCCCATCAGGAGACGTCGACACAGCAACAGCTCCGGAAGCTCTCGCTAGAGACACCGCGAAGGGCGAAAAGGTAAGCAAGGAACACAATATAATCTCTCTTGGCTTGAAACACCCTTTATTTTGAACTTGAATAAAAGATATGCTCTGAATATCAAATTTGGAATTTAGGATCTTGGGGAAACGTGGGAAGTGTCTGCGAAATATTTTTCACACAGTCTTCGGATTTGAATTTGTTTCGTAGCCTGAGCACGCTTGGCGATCTTGCGAAGATCCTCGATGCGTTTGCTTTGAACAGCAAGGAGATAAGCCGTCTTAAGATGCCCTATATGCGTGTAACACTTGATTTTGACTGCCACGTCACAGATTAATTCAATCAAGGAGGATATATTGACGATATCGTCCTGCTTCTGGATGTCATCCAGAAGATTTGCACTCTTCACAGCCAGATAGATGAGTTTGTCAAAGTTGATATCGTGTCTGGAGTCCCTGGCGCAGATGATCATCTCTTTGATGTCTCGAAAGCGATTCTCGGTGGCCAAGAAAATGGCACAACTGTCGTAGATCTTGTCCACTGGCAAGGAGACAACTTTTAGGATTATCTTGACTAGAGAGAAGTTTCTCCTGAGGCTGTTTCCGGAAACCATGGTCAGAATGGCTGTGATGGATGCTTCCGAGGCATTCCCAAAGAGTGTCGGTGGAGCGTCGCCAGCAGACTTGCCACTAAGTTTCTTCACATTATCCATAATGTCTTCGCCGTTCTCCTCGGCGCTCGAGAGGAATTCCGTGATGTCAATCTGGATTTCGATTGTATCAATGTGCTTCTGCAGTGACTCAATGTCCATCGTTATTCTCACGACCTCCTTCACTGGCTCTCCGTACTCGAGATTGTGCATCTCCGAGAGGCAATGCATTTTGGCAGTGATCAAATAGCGCAAATTGTTCTGCAGATCTGTGTAATTTCGGGCATTCATGCTGTAGAACTGAATGCATGTCATCGAGGCTCTGATGGGGTCATTCATGAGAATTTGCATGTTGTAGAGAGATTCAAATTTGCGCTGTGTCTCCAAATACCAGCAGAATCTTTTGACGAAAGACTCCCAACGCCACAAAGTCGAGTCGATCTTCTTCATGCTGCTGAGAACAGCCACCTCTTGGCCCAGTTGTAGCTGCGGCAGGAAGATGATCGACATGAACGTGCTGTAGGAGACCTTCTGCGAGAGTGTGTACAGCAAGGCGGTGTGCAGCTTGTTGTGGTGCATCAGCAGCGAGAGGATTTCCTCGTGCGATCCGTACGTGATCACGTAGTAGACACTCTCGGCGTATGCAAATTCTCGATCAGCGGAGGTGCGCAAGATCGCGAGAATATCCACAAGGACGGCAGATGAGCGCTTAGGACGATCAACTGCACTGAGACTGTCCCAAACATCGAGCTTCGCTCGCTTCGTCATCATGGGCGCGATCGCGTCTAGGAAGCCATCTGGCACAAGACTCTGCAGACAGTGGGACATCTTCTCGCGTGCCAACGCATAGTGACCTTGCTTCAGGCAGTCCAGACCCCACGCCTGCATGACTCCCGCACACGCAAAGCCACACTTGACGGAGATATCGAGGGCCAATTGCCAAACACCAGCTGATAGTAGATTATCTCTCAGCTTCCTCAGACTATCGCGTGTTGTGAGACGCTCCACTGGCAGCAGCGCTTCGCATTTCTCATCAATCAACATTAGAATTATGTCGGCTTTCAATTTGAAGTCGTCGCAAGCGGGATGGTGTACGCGTATCTATGGAAAGAATAAACAATCAACAAATGGAATGAAAAATATTGCATGCAAATTGATTTAAATACGCAGAAAGATCAAATATTGAATAACACTGAGAGGAAAATACAACTACAAATGTCCATTTTCAATGAACTCATTTCGTGGAATTCGTAAATATTGAGAGAGTGCAAGAGAAATAGTTTGTCTGCCCTTAAGATGTTCTTGATTTCAAAGTATAACACATCTTGTGCGTCTTAGTAAATTTGGGGTGAAATTTCGTCATACTGGGAAATGAATGAGATAAATAATTGTGTTTGGTCAACGCTGAATAATTTGTGCTTGATTGATGTTTTGAGAATTTATCAGAATGCGCTTATATAGAATTTGAAATGTAAAATATTCAATATAATTGTGATATATGGATGTGTTGTAATGTGAAATTCTCTATCTCATTCTGTTGAGCTAATTATTTATTTAAGTCTTTTATTGCATTGTTTTGCAATACACTTCAAATGATAATGAATGTCTTCACACTGGCAATCTTTGATAATGTGCATATTCAGAGTAAATTTCGATATTATTATGTGTATTGTAAGTAGCACAGAAGCTCACCTTTGCTGCTATCGCGAGGCACTTCATCATCTTGGCGACGGCACAGTAGTCAATTTCGGGATTGGAGAGTCCTGGACGGATGGGCCGCAAAAGTGATTCGAGGCGATCACATTCCCAGAGCAGAAATTTCACTGCGTTGAGATCGGACGAGTGGTGGCCAAGGATGGTGAGACAAAGCGCAGCGCTGGGAGCGTCCTCGAAGGCGAACTGATCGCGCAACATGTGATCCTCGTTGTGGTCTCCTGAGAAAATCCACATGTCGTCATCGGAGCGGAGACGCACCTTCGCGGGAGTGGCAGTGACGGACTTCTCTTCCCAGCGAACACAGTCATCGCACACGCGCACGCGGAGATTGCGGTACATGTCGGGAATGCGGCGTCTCTGACCAGAGCAGTTTTTGCAAACGACTCTCCCGCATCGTCGGCAGTGGTGTCGTCGTCTCAGCATTGAGAATGTCGTTGATTTGCAGGCCATGCAGGCAGTGACGGCCTCGTCAGGGATCCACTCATCCTTGGATGGCGCCTGAGCAGGCATTTCAAAGTCCAGGGCGATGTTCTCGAAGCTTGAAGAGGAGTGGACTGAGCCTGGAAGAACAATCTCGATGTCCAAAGATTGCAGAGCATAGACGATCAGCAAATTATCCAGACAGTCGATCGTCAGGGGTTTGGATGTGTGATCATCCAGAAATGTGGCTCGATTCTGAAAGAAGTCCTCATGCTGATGGCAATGGGGACAAGAGTCACTGGAGAGATAGTCTGACATGGCTGGAATTACTCTGTCCAGAAGTTTCCACTCTTGATTCATCAGCAACACTTCAATGAGATCGAAGGGCTTGGTCAGGAGGTGATCCAAGGTGTTTTCATATTTGCCTTCTTGCTCCACACCCTTGAGAATGATATTGCTGAGAATTAGGGCCTGAGATTCAATAGTCCACGGTGCACTTTCAAGGATCCTAGGTGTGAATGCTGTGAGAATATCGCTCCTGAGAATTGCCGGAGGTAGACAGTAGATCATCTGAATAAGTTCATCGAGCGGAAAGTGCGAGATACACTCGAGAATGCGTTGATATTCCTCCCTGTTGTCCAGATACTCGCCCAGAGTGCATTGGATTGTGTCTCTACAATTGTAGATATTGGCTCGTGGCTGTATTCTCAACCACACTGATGATGAATCATATAGCTTGTGACCGAGTAATTGACTGAATACTGCCCCTATTTGCTTGCCTTCGTCCCATTCACGATAAAGACCCAGCGTTCTCGATATTTGCTCATTTAATCTCGACTCCTGCCTCAGCACCGCTTGAATTTCAGCCAGTGGCACGTCCGATAAGTCGAGATATTGAGCTGAGAGGGTGGTTGAGAGGCAGGGAGATTTGAACAAGTGGGTGAGACGGATCTCACGCTGGATTGCTGATGATGGAACGCGCTGGAAGAACTCAATGATCTTGATTTGTCGGTGGATTTCCAGCGTGAATCCGCGAATGAACTTCACCAGGGACTTTTGCATCTGCTTCAGATGGCCTGACAGATTGTCCAAGATGCTGATGTCTATGGCCAGAATGTTATTCTCCTTCCATGATGTGTAGCACTCAAGGAGTTCGCCAAAAAGCACGAGAGCTTGTAATTGAGGATGATATTCGACAAGGACATTCCTTGGAATCCGTTGCTGAAGATATATGTCAAGTTTCACTTAGGGAATCGAATGGATCTTGGAGATAATTATTGTATTACCTTTCTCCTAAGTTGTTTCCTGTCCATTTTCACGAGACTGGCACCAAGTCACATCACAATATAAACCTCTTCAGCTGGTGGCCACAGCTTAACTGCAAAGTGGGAATGCAGTGGTCAGAATAATGAATAACTGAATACTTTCTTGGTGTTAAATAATGGAGAGGCAGGAGTGGGAATTTTGATAACAGCACCATGTGAGATGCGTTTACTGGAAATACAATTTTGTAATAAGGTCGCACAGGTCGCATATGGGTTGCATGCAACTCACACACAGCTTCCGACTCCACTCACCACGCGTCGCTGACGTCGCCTTTGGGTGAAATTCGCGCCATGGTGAATAACGGTGTGGTGAATGGAGTGACAATCGGATCGCCATTGTTGCATAGTTTTTTAGTTTTCTCGTCCGTGATTGAGTTTGCAGCGCGTATCTACGTTGAAATTAAATCGATTTAGTAGTTATAATGCCTAAAAAGGAAAAAGGACGGGCCGGCAAGTCAAGTGTTCTGTGTCTGTAACTCAAGTGAAGAGCAAAAACGTAGCAATCCCCACAGAGTTTTTAGTTCACTTTTTCTGTTCACACAAAGTCCCAGCAATTCCAACTTTGCATGAACATATCGTCAAGTATTTCCGACACTCTTTCTTTTCGATCCGACTCCAAATTCACTCACAAACGGTGTGTATCTCGATTCATCTCCATTTGCTCATGCATTAGCATCGGGCGTGGGGCCACGGGGGCGCTCGCTCGTCCCGGCGACTCGCACGAGATGCTAATTTTGAGTATTCTGTGTTCCCTTCCCGGAATCGGGGTAAAATTTCACTGAAGCTGATTGTGCGCTTCTTGTGGGCTCTTTGCAGGCTTGAAAGTGGCAAATATGGATAAACCGCAACAGAATGGAGAGTCTGCTGAGGTGAGTGTGCTATATGGGGGAATGGGGGCCCCACCTCGCGTAACCTAACTTTCCGCCTCAGAGAGTTGTGCCGGAGAAAAAATCTCCGTGCGGTGAAATTCTCCGGCAAGTGCCTCACCTCTGCCTCTCACTCCCTCTTGCCGATTTCTCACTCCAATCCGGGTGCCGCTCGTGTCCGGAGAAGACACAGAGCCGCATAATTGAGGTGAGTGCGTATGTCGTCTTTTGACCAGGCATCGTCATCTGTTGGCCTTGATTATCTCCACACACACGACAAATTGTGACTGCCTGTGTACCAGCCAGAGAAGTGTTTGGCCAGAGGAGAGGCAGAGGGACCGCACAATTGATTTTTTTCCCTCAGAATATCACACATATTTCATGTACCTTGAGTAATTTATGCATTATGGATTGATATTCAATTTCTGTTTTCTCTTCGGTCGCAATCATTAAATTGCATGGGCGACACCGTAATTAGTGGGAAAAAGACTACTGATGAGCATTTTTACATCATTTCATGACTTTCATGTGTTCGTCTCTCATATTCAGTGGGTCTCTAAATATTATTGTGCGATTTCTACACTAGGCCACGGAATAATAAGAAAAATGTCGTTCGATGTGACAAACAAAAAGTCGAGAAATCAAAGTCGATATTTGTTCAGTTTATGTGGAACATGCAGTTCGGTGATAATCGACAATTGTGATTGCCTCCCAATTGAGCGGCTCAACACTAGTCTATTTCCGTAAATTACTACGTAGAAAATGTCTCGATGTCTTTTATGACAAGAGGGGACGAATCGAATGACCATTATTAACTCCCTACAAATAGGTTTCAACTAAGGGCACAATTCAAGGCAACACGCTAATTGGAAAGGTGATTAAAAAGGGCGAGATACAAACGTCTATCATTTAGTGATAACAAATAACGGAATGTAAAAATTATTAATATATTAGAGAATGGCCTGGAGTTGATTTCCAGACCTCCACTCTAACATTCTTTTTTAATCTCTTATCGTTTTTTTTTTTAATCTTTTAACTATAAGTGTATTTCTACATGTGTAAGAAATTTTGTTATAAGCCTTTTTTATCTTTTCACTAGCATTTTTTTTCCAAATGCTTGGAAACAGAAAAACATACACGACAGCAATAAAATTCGAGTCATTGAAAATACTGTAAATAAATAATGGAAAATAGCTCAAGTCAAAGAGTGAGACAATAGTCTGGTTTTGAACATGATGCATAAAATAGTTCTATAGAGAAGTGTAATTATTTTTCACCACATATACAATAACTCTATTGAAAGGATTTAACTTTTGTGGTCAGGAATTATTTCAGATAAACAAAGCTGCATCGGGTTTTTATGATAATTTTCACTATCAAATAGTTGAGTGAAGATAAAGTTTAGCAGTGGATTTGGTTATTTAAAGAGATTCAGTGTGAATACGAAATTTGTAAGGAAAAATCAATATTGATCGATAAGTTATCTGCAAAAGTGTTTTTTTTTAATGTGAATGTGTTTGAAAGTTGTTGCCAAATTCTAAAAAGTTGCCTCTACATGAAATAGAAATGAATTGCCCCAAACGTTCATTCATAAGTCCTTGCCATTGATGTAATAAGAAATCGGAAAAAATTGTAAGACAGTGTCTTGCCAAATTCAACTCATGAAGGGTATATAAACATACATATTCAACTTACAAAGTGTAGAAAAGACTCACCCAATTACATTCCTTCACCAATTTTATCTTGATCTTATTTATAAACAGACAAACGTGAACATGCTCATAAGTTTGGTCTGACTTAATCACGTTTCTAAAATAAAATGAAATGTTTATTGGGATTTTCCTACATTTTTAAGTGATTTGCTGTTACATCGATTAGAGGATGTTTGCTCAATTTTCTCGAATGACCCGTTTTCATTGAGAATATGGTAATCTTCAGTGCTGTTTAGTTGCTTTCACGTATAATTGCATAGTAGAATTTCATATTTTCCTTCCAACGAGAGAGAGACAGAGAGAATATTTGAGTATTAGACACCCTCTTCAGACCTTTTTGGCTAAAATGTATGAGTTCAGAGTTGAACAAACTCGGAAAATGAGGCCAATGTGGACTCTTTTTGTTTTGGACTTTTTAATTAAAGCCTTGTGACACGAGTAAAAACAGGTTGTTTAATAATATGGCTTGCATCCGATGATGGTTGAATAAGCTTCTGTGTAGCTGCAAATAAGGCTTGTGGTATCGATTGGTTTGTTTAGAGTTTGATGATGATGATATGCGAATTTGTGGCATTGAACAAGGTGGAAAATTATCCTTGCCAAAGTTTCTCACTTTGGCCATTTGAATATAGTTTTGGGCGAATTGGTTATGATGAGAAATGAGGGATAGAGAAATTAACCTTCCGAGACCGAGTAAAAATTATGATTCTGTCCATGAATTTTTCACACTTGATCTTCCGTAAACTCATCTGTTTAAAGCGCAATTAAATAGAGATGGTGGAAAATAAATTTCATTTAACGGTGCGAACATTATACTCAAATGGTTTTCATTCATTGGACCATTTCTTTCAGGAGTTTGTACTGTATGTTGTTTTTCTTTCTTTTCTGTGTTCTCTGACTCAATAACACATATCCTCAATTTGGCAACCTGATAAAGCGTCCAAGGTGAATTCTCAAAAAATCTGTACATTTTCTTCTCTCTTTTTGATATGGGGAAAAGAGCTGTGAGAGAGGATGAAACGAAAGCAAACAAATGGGATGTAGAGGAGGAGGTGGGCAGAGGCGGAGAAATAAATGTTGACGTCGACCTGACGACGCGGCATTTTAATGGACATGTGCCAAAAAATATTTGCAATTATCAGGGAATTTATATAGATTAGAAAGAGAGAGAGAGAAAGAGAGAGAGAGAGAGTGTGTGTTGTTAGGGATGTCGGAAGATGAGAGTTATAGAGTCGAAGTACAGAGATCGATATCATTAGGAGAAAAAAGAAAGAAAATTATGCTTTTACAAAGTCATGCAATAAATGCGAAGAAAAGAACCTTGATGCACTGCTTTCCGTTTTCTTCATACACTTGTATTTCTTTTTCGTCTGAAGTGCCTCTTGTAACTCTCGTGTCTCTGTCTCAATTTCAATTGGTGTTAGCACAAGAAGTCATTAGTTTATAAACAAGACGGATGGCTGGAAAAAAATTGCATTATGTAAGTGGGTGGACTCAACTTCACAAAATTACATTCCATGGACGGAAATGTTGCTTTACAGTGAGCAAAATGATTTCTTTTCGAGAGTGTCTACGCAGTGAGGTGTATGGTGTTGAGTATTGTTATTTATAGATAGTAATGAGTTCTCTATATTGTTTAATTTTCAATACCTTCAATGTGTGTATTTTTCTGTTCTTTGTTAGTTGCTCCTCTTCTGGGTTGTAACAACATAACTTTCAGACACACAAATACCATGGCACATTGAAGAATAGATATATGGCTGTACACATACTGATAGTAATTAAATTGATAAGAGATTGGGATGTATTTGTTTAGATTTTTTCTTTTCTCTCTCTTAACATTTTTTCCTGTATTTCTCCTCTATGTGAAAATAAACATCAGGCGTGTGTTTTATCGTGTTCTAAAAACCAAAGAGTGAGAGAGAGAGAAAAAAAATGTGTGGCCAGGTATTCATTTATCGATTTATGTAATAGCACAAGAGGAATAGTTTGAATTTTCTCAATATTTGTCTTAATTATTGTCTCAGTGCTTCTGTTATCTTCTCGACTTGGAGTGAAAAGACACTTTAGCAGTTATTATGATATTTCCAGTAGACTTATTGCCTGAGAAATGGGTATCTTTTGTGTTTCTCTCTCTTTTTTTTCAATAGTTTTTGGGTTTAATTTTAGAGTACATATCTTCATTTTCTATTGATGTGAAAACAGAGGCATTTATTGTTGAGAAAAGATGAGAGAGTTGAAAAATAAATCTAAACTGTATTATGAATCTTTATTTAGCGGACATTCCACGTCTTGTGAGATGTGTTATGCTTTTATGTATGTATTAAGGCATTTCATTTCACATAGGGAGATAGAAAAACATGGCATGAATGCCGGCTTTTACCGTTTTTCCTCATCAGAATCTTGTGTGTGGAACTGCTATTTTTCTATCCATTTATACAGTGATTGTGCCTTTTATATAAAATACATCCCATGGGTGTATATTTTATGTGCACATACACATGTGCTTTACAATACAAAATCTCCACCATCCGTGGTCAATTCTCTTCATTGGGTGTTCAACAAGAGAAGACCCATTGAAAATGAATCCGTTATCATCGTGTGTAAGAGGCATATAAAATCAGGCACACAAAAAATATTTCGCATGCTGCCTTCGTGAATATTAATTGTAAAATACAACACTTGACCAACGCACAAACAATTGAGATGCGCCTGAAGATATGAGAAAACTTATCTGCAACTCATTAAAGAATCATTTAATTAGAGGTTTTTTATGTTGTTGGCTTTTTTGGTCAATGTCTGATAAGTTTTCTTTTCTCTCTTCTCTTCTTTTTTTTTATTTTTGGAGAAAAAAAGTGGCAAGAAATGAAGAGAGAAATGTTAATAAAATTCACAACAATTATGGAAAAAATTTCTATTATGAGCGAAAATGAAAAGAATTTGCATTGATGAGATGTCTAATTATGCATCGAAACAGGTTATATTTTATTAGGAAAAGAAATTTATCGTATAATAAACATTCCTTCAGTCTAACTGTATCAATGATGTAAAAAATGTATGTAGTCACTGTCGTTTTCAATCTATAAGCAAATAGTAGCGGTCAGGTGTGTTTGCAATTGACTGGAGAAACGTTTTAAAGGCATTCCTTTCTAATTGCACTCATTCACTGTATTGGAGTTCAATGAATTATGCGAGGGAGTGTAATGCAACATTTTAATCACAATGACCCATTGAGACTCGCGAAAGACTTTAGAATTCTCCTCGAATTATTGCAGTTACTGTGTGTGACATTGAAGATGCGTATCAATGGCAAAGTTATGTGTGTATCATTGCTGAATTTTAGTGTTTGTGTTTAATTAAGAGAGCATATAATAGATAATGGTGACATAGTTGATCACTGTGAGATTTATATGGTTAAATTGTATCATTTAATTACTTCACTTCTCTCATCACACTCAACTTTTTCATAGTTGAGAGTGTGGAATGAGAAATAGAAGAAGAAGAAAGACAACTATAACATATAATATACAATAACAGCAAATAATTATGACCCCAAATAGAGAGAAGAGAAAAAAAAGCGAACCGCGAGCTATTCTATAAATGTACAATAAAAATGGTTTTATGGGAATTTTATTGAAAAAGTGTCTTTTCTCTTTCTCTTTCAGCAAACTAATAATGCACAAGGGAAACCAACATCTAACAGCGTCCCGCCAGCAACCCCAATCACGAAATCCATCAACTTGTCTGGACCGTTGATCAAGAAGGAGAAACGTCAGAACAGCTCGAGGTTCAATGTGTCCAAAAATCGAGAATTGAATGCTCTGCCCCTCCTGGAAGGTAACTGAAAAATTAATCATTACTCATGTATTTGTGTTGAGCTGGAGATTTTTAGGTGTGTATTTTATGTGCAATGCATGTCTGAGGGAATTAGCAAAAGTGAATCTTCAGCTGCATTATTTATGCATTCAGTGAATTATGTTTGATACAAGAGGGAATATAAGTATGTAGGTGCCTTCCCACAGTACGATGAACATGTATTATTCTACGAAGTGAAATTGTGTCAGATTTTCTTTGCAGAAAAAGGCAATAACATGATGTTGTGGGGGTATATTTGAAGATTATGTACATACGTTCGTCTAATATTTATTTAATATCCGTTTCATTGCTGTGCTGAAATCGAAATGCTATATGTCTTTACTTGGTTTGATTACCGCTTGAATATTTTTAGATAGGAAACTTCCGGTGTTCAATATTGTGTATTGGATATTGTGGTTATAAATTATTTCACCATTATTGCATTGACGGATGAAGGAATAGAGAAATGGAATTGGACAGAAAATAAATTCCTGTGAAATGGTATTTTGTTCAAATTCACCTGTAATAAAGTGGGAGATTTGCGAAAACTTCTCCTCAGGCTTATAAAATTTGTAATCCTTTTTTTTGTTATTGTTTGTGTTGCAACATTAATTTTCTAAACATTCTTGTAATTGCACATGAAGTTCTTCTATGAGAGACTTTCACGTCTGCAAATGCATTGTATGTTACTAGAATTTCGCGGTGAAATTCCACCAAATGCACAATGTAAAGCAATTAAAATGAATGCGGGGAACTTGCACAAAACTTGTCGACAATTAACCTCACCCCGAAAAGTGTTTAAATCATTATGAAAAATGCCACAATCGCCACAATAGTAGAATAATTCTCACTTGTTTTGTTTCGCTCCAATGACAAGAGACATGTGGTTTTGATAACTGCTATCATAAAACTTATATTTCTTACAATCTCTAATCTCCCCTTTGTAATCCCACATTGTCGTAATGTGACTACTTTATCAGAATGTTTAATAGTTTTTCCACCATGAGGCAGACGTAAATGCTTTGTAGTCGTTATAAATTTTTGGGAAAACCCAGACTTGTCTAACAATTCCAAAGTAGTGAAAATTTGCCACATATTGTGATGATTTGCGGAGAAATTACATAGAAAAATGTGACCCTGAAATCGGGAATCTTCCGGAAAGCGTGAGAAAGAATTTGAAAAACTCAAGAAATTACACATTATGCTATTTTATGAGCCAGTTGGAATATTGCTTGGAGGATTCCACAAGCGATTTAGTGTTTGGTCATCGAGTAAATATGACTTGTGCAATCGATTGACTGCCAAATGAGTCAATCAATTCATGCATGCAGAGTGAAAAGCGAACAGAAAGTCGTTGTGATTTAAATGGTTATTAGAGAAAATGATGCGAGAGAGGAGAGAATTGAGTGAAAAATTGCGAAAGAGAATGAGTGTGGGTGGAAATCATTTTCTGTATTGATTTTCTCACAGACACCCTCTATTCTCTGTCTCTTCACTCGTCCTCCCTGCTTGTGGGAAGGATATTCCTCGCACTTTGTAGGGGCGAGAGAGACACACCGAGAGCAACACATATTTTTACCTCGAAGCGCGCAACACACTGTGACTTGATGGTGTTTCTCCGGCCATTCTTGAGGGGGAGGCCGAAGAGTTGTGTGAGAAAACTCGTATTTTCGTCTATTCTAATATCATTTTTTGTGCGTGTAATAATTATGTAATGCGATAGCACTTGGCAATGAATTGTTTCGTGAACTGGATTTGAGTATTTGTTTTGATGTTATTGCTCAATAATGGGTGAAATTTATGGAGCAAAAGAGAGAGAGACTCCTTATACCGTTCCCGCATTTGAAGCGTTCTTATACCATTTTTTGCCAATTGTTGCAGATTTTTTTTGTGTGAAAATATTGTCGTTTTCATCTTCTTACTGACTATATACGTTTCCTATTAAATTTATACGCGTATCGAATGTAAGTGTGTCTGATAGTGTCGAAAGAAGGAAGGCACAATTATATTTTCACAAGTGTGTTGTGTTTTTTTTTTTTCTTCATGGGAGGCTTTTGAAATAGAGGAAAAATCATCTGCAAGTTAGATACACTTCTTCTTATTTTTGTTCACCACGAACAAAGGAGGGAAATGTAGCAATTACTTCATGGTCAATAATTTTCCTATTCTTTTCCCATATTCATGTTGTGCATTGTATCGATGCGAAATTATAGGAGAAATATGGTACAAAAATCACATGATAACAGTCAAAATGGGTAAAAGTTCAATAATCTCATGATTGGAACTGGAATAAATGAGAAAAAGTGTGAGTTGCAGTGAAGAAAGTCAAGAACTATGAGAATATATTCACAGTTGATATCGATCATCTTCGTCTATTGATTAATGGCGTGGAGGTTGAAATGAAAAAGTGACCAAGATTGCTATAAAAAGATACATGATTTTCGAGTAGCAAACCCTCTAAATAAGTAATTGGTGGTGTATTAGAGGGAGTGGGGAGATACTGGGTCGAGTAAAAGGTACAACGAAGTAATAATTAATAGGGTTTTCAAGTAGAATTTTTCAAATGTGAAATGGTTATCGGTGGCACAATACTATCGGGCACTTCGGCGAGCATTGTTGGCATCCCCAAATCGCCATCCTTTCACAGTGGACTGGATTTAGTTGCCACGAAGGAGAGCACAATGCCAACAATTGATTCAAAGTACTCCTACGTGAGAGACCGGAATATCTTCTCAAATCTACCTGAGAATTTACCCATTTTTCTGCCTCATCTCAAAGGTGGAGATTTTATTTGAGTGAATTATGCAAAAGTAATTTTTAATCATTTTATATTTCTCCTTTTGTGCTTATCCCATCCACAGAGGCCAGTCCGAATGAGCGTGAGGATTTATTTATCCAGAAACTGCAACAGTGTTGCGTTCTATTTGATTTCTCTGAGCCACTGAGTGACCTGAAATGGAAGGAAGTGAAAAGGGCAGCCCTCCACGAGATGGTGGAGTATTTGAGTCAACACACTGGTGTTATAACAGAGAACATCTACCCTGAAGCGGTCAATATGGTATGACACTGCTGCAGTAGAAGCATATTTGTTTGTTGAGATTGCTAATATCGAGTGTGTAATGTTTTGTGTGCATCTCTTTTGGCAGTTTGCTGTTAATCTCTTTCGAACACTTCCACCATCTTCCAATCCCAATGGTGCAGAGTTTGATCCGGAAGAGGATGAGCCCACACTGGAATCGACATGGCCACATTTGCAGTTTGTGTATGATTTATTTCTGCGCTTTCTCGAGTCACCAGATTTCCTACCGGCCACCGCTAAGCGATACATTGATCAGCAGTTTGTGCTGCAACTGTTGGACCTCTTCGACTCGGAAGATCCACGCGAGAGGGACTTTCTAAAGACTGTTTTGCATAGGATATACGGAAAACTACTAGGATTACGAGCCTTTATACGGAAACAAATAAACAATGTGTTTTACAGGTAAATAGATGTGTGAACGTGGTGTCAATATTGAGATACTGATTTGACTCCTCATTGCAGATTTATCTACGAAACCGAGCACCACAATGGCATTGCTGAGCTTTTGGAAATTCTGGGGAGCATCATCAATGGTTTTGCTTTGCCACTGAAAGAGGAGCACAAGCAGTTCCTTCTGAAAGTGCTGCTGCCACTGCATAAAGTGAAAAGCTTGTCAGTGTACCATCCACAATTGGCATATTGTGTTGTTCAGTTTCTGGAGAAAGATCCAAGCCTCACTGAACCGGTGATCAAGTGAGTAATATGTATATTTGGTCTAATTTGAATATTTTTGCTTCACTTCTCACGAGAGAGAAGAGAGATAGAGAAAAAAAGGAAAACAAATAAGCCACGAAGATGCTAATAGAAACTCCATTGACCTCTGCCTTTGCAGGAGTTTGCTGAAGTTCTGGCCAAAAACTCACAGTCCAAAAGAGGTGATGTTTCTCAATGAGCTGGAGGAGATATTGGACGTGATCGAACCGGCGGAGTTTCAGAAAGTGATGGAACCACTCTTTCGTCAAATTGCCAAATGTGTCTCCAGTCCGCATTTCCAAGTTGCAGAACGAGCTTTGTATTATTGGAACAATGAGTACATAATGTCACTCATCTCAGAGAACTCCCAGGTGATTTTGCCGATCATGTTTCCCTCACTCTATCGCAACTCCAAGACGCACTGGAACAAGACGATCCATGGTCTCATCTACAATGCCTTAAAACTCTTCATGGAGATGAATCAGAAGTTGTTTGATGAATGCAATAGGAACTTCAAGCAGGAGAATCAAATGTAAGTGTTTTCTTTTTGTTGTCTCTAAAGATCATTTGATACTTTTTAGGGAAATGCAATTTTTTGCTCAACTAAGGGATAATTTATATTGAGAAGCGACGATTTGCTCTCTCCTTGAGATATATTAGGTGTATTGGGATGAAAATTTGTCAATTTACGGGTGATTCTCGTGAAATGATTTGCTAATAGGCATCTAATGTGGTGTATTTTTGTAGATGCGAACAGGAATATAGCAGAGATTTGCCCGCATAGTAAACAGAATATACAATTTTGTGTACATAATTCATCGGGATTTCAACCGACCCCACTACACAACATTTCTACGCAATAGAAGCAAACTTTTTCTAAAGTATTTATAATCGCAATATGCACACAACTCTTCAAATTGACTTCTAAATAAACGTATATATATATATTGAAACTTTTTCAAATAAATGAACCTTCCCGAGACAGATGGCAAAGAAAGAAAAAGTGGAGATATGCAAGAAGAATTGCATAGAGAACAAGCAAGAATTTATTTATCCCTTTTCTAAAATTACAATGTTAAATGTAATCATGAATAAAAGTGAGAAGTAATAGATACTTATGAAAAGTCATTTGAAGAATAAATGGAATGCTTGTGAAAATTGCATTTTTGGTTGCGTCAATCTGAAAGAAGCATTTTTCTCATCTCACGAAAATCAAGTTAAGTATTTTTGCTTTTAACTATTCTCTGTAATATCCTTTTTATCTGAATTTTGGCGTGATAAGTGTGTGAATTCCCCCCTCAAAAATTTTTCTGTTTTGGAATTTCATTCCCCTTTTAATCTTGCCTTCTCTTTTGGTTTAACCATTTAAACGTGTGTGTGTATTGCAATTATAAAATCCCTCCTGCTTTTGATTTCCTGAGTCTTCTAACTTGTATATATTGAATTCATAGATTGATAATTTATCGATGGGTTTCACTCTTCTGCTTTCTTCACAGCGAACGGGAGAAACTGACACAGCGCGAAGAGATTTGGCAGCAAGTGGAGACGCTGGCGAAAAATAATCCCGAATGGAGTCGTGTCGGAGTGAAGATTGAGCGATATTCGATCGATGCATTGGCGAGAAATGAGGCGGATGACTTGATCAAGGCGGAAAAGTTGACATACGATGAGCTGGAGCAAGAATCTCGTGATGTAGGGCAGACTATTGCTAAGCTGGGAAGCAAATTGTACTGATTATTGCCAATCATTTTCCAGGTTCACATGACGAAGAACAAGGAGAAGCCCTTGATTCGACGCAAATCGGACTTGCCGCAGGATTCAGGCACAGTTCGCGCTCTAATTGAACATAAGCGTCCCGATGAGTTTCTAACAACTCCACCCGATTCCAACAAATGCTAGAGTCGATTATCCCAAGGTGGGGAAATAGTTTAGCCTTTATTTCTCTCCTTAAACTATTCTATAGAGAAAATACTAACAATATGTAGACACAATTTGAGAAGAAAAAAATTACATTCGAGAGAGGAGAAGAAACACTAACCCAATTAATATGGATTCACTTTAACTGATGAGAATTGTAGAGGAAGAAAGGGCACATTGTGCAGCCTTTCATCGATTCTAAACTCAATAGTAAACATTTTTATCTTTAAAATGCAAGAAAAAGGCAATTATAAACCTATTCAAATAGATTTATGCATCTTTCCCTCAGCAAATGTGAAAAAAAGAGATACAAGAGAAGCTAATTTTTAATTGTTGGGAGAACAGAAAATCATGGTGCCATTTTTTGTTGAGGATATTTTTGTCAGACTTTTTCATTTCTATCTCTTGAATTACCTTCTGATTTTCTCCCCAAAAACGCAAGACCTTAATAGGATATGATATATAAGATATTCAGAAGCACAGAGAAATACAGTGAGAGCGAATGCCGTTGGTGCCAATTTGTGTAATGTTAAACATCCTGAATTTCTGTACATAGGAGGCAAGCAACTATTGAAAGGAAAGATAAATCTCTGTTGATGGAGAAAGGAATTGGTTAGAAGAACAGGAGTGAAGTAATGAGGAATGGAGAGAGTAATATCAAATAGTACACTTTACATTCTGCTACAGAGAAGTTTAAACTGAAGTATAAATGTGATTGAAATAATTATAAATTATTCTGAAGTCTATTAATAGTATTTTGTTCGTCCAATAGTGTTTTTTTTTAGTGAATTCTTTTTCTACGATATATTTCAAAATATTTTTCTTTCATATTTACACACACTTCTAATGTGACCTTTTTTTAACAGCATAAGACCTCTAATTAAAATCTTACACTATATTACTAGGCAACACTAAAATAAAATGAATTCTACGTCACAATTATGTGTATTTGTAACTATATTATATTTACATATTTACTGATAAAGAAGCGGGCGGATGAGGTGAGAGATAAGCGATACAAATACGCCTTAAATTAAATGATTAACATTGAGAAAAAGAAATTGGGTGAAGAAAGATTACAAAAAATACACTAGAAAGAGGTTTTGAGAAATACTTTCGGGTAATGAACTTCAGTTTAAGAGAAGTGAGAGAGAGAGAGAAAGGGAGTGTATAATTACAAGTAATACAACTCTAATGATGAAATACACATGAAAAGGAATGAAAAAAAATTATAATTAGTTCATAGCGAGAATGCATAAGATATCCTTGTTAAGTATTGTAATATGGCATAACAAATTTTAATACAAAAAAGGTGAAATCAAATTGTTGCAATTATTCGCAAATGACAATGGCAAAAATTCCTGCAGAATAATATCTCGTATTTAATTGTAAAAGTGTTGCTTAGCGTGGTTTTTTAGAGAATGGGAGATGATACAGAAAAGCTGAAAAGAATTTTTAGATTTCTCTCAGTGTTGAAATATTCTTTTGCGTCACGCATTGCAGTGTGTTTGTCGTTTGCGTTTTAATAATGAGGGGTGGGTGGGTTTTCGACAATAACATTGAGGCAGTTGATAATGGAGAAAACAAAGAGAGAACGATGTGTATTACAAAGTGGAGAACCTATTTCTTTAAAATACATGTAGCTTATGGCTTAATATTGGAATTATATTAAAAAGATGAGGAAAAATGAAGCTGAAACACGGACTGTTTTGTCTCGTCGGGCAGTAGAAGTGCAAGACAAGCATTTTGCAATCGTCACATCAAATTTTTATTTTCTCACTGCATTCATCTCGCATAAAATTACACAGTTAAGATAAATACATTTCTTAAAATAAACTCCGTAATATATACAGAAATCATTTTTCACATCTTGACATTGAAAGACTTTGTATAGGTTTTTTTCCTTCTGTTATCACATTAATGAAAAATAACTAAGCATTTTCCTCGCTCATCAGAAACACTTTCTCGCACACACTTGTCTAAATCTTCTCCACAATGCCACGACATTTTGCTGAGAATTCTCTCACTTGTCCCTGGATGATGCGCTTATTTACCTTCTCTCTGGAAAATACGAGGAGGACAGAAAAAAAATCATGTGAAAATGAGATAAGCACTTCGGTACACAAAACTCACCTTATGATGGTGTTCATGAAGGCGTTCTTGTCACTGTCGGACACATGGGACGTCGGGAATTGCGGCGTGGCGAGCACTTTGAGCCACACAATCAATTCCTGGGGATATTTCTTATTTATAGACAGAAATATATCGGCAAACACCTCCACTTGCGTCCGTGGCGTGAGAGAGCCTAATCAATAAACCGACATTTCACATCGCGTTAGCTTTCTGGTCATGCAGAAGATGGGTTGATTATCATCTTACCAATGCACAGCAGAGTCGCCTGGATTATTTGACCGCCTCGCTCGATAACAGCCGTCGTCATGTTGGGAAATTGGCGAGATTGCATGATGAAGTGACTGAGAAATTGCGTGCTATACTTCACAGGGCCATTCTCGGGCAGGACAATTGCCTTGAGAGCGAAGAAGATGAGTTTGAAGCAGTCAATGTCGCCTCTGGAATATGCCACAGCCAGTTTTCTCACAATCTGGGCATTGAGGGCGTAAAAAGCTTCGAGAAGATCGGCTACATCGGAAAATTTGTTCTCTGGAATTTGCTGCAACGGAAGATAAAGTCGTAATGCTGGTCTATGTAATTTAGTACTGTAGCAAACTCACCTCAAAGTGTCTTATGTTGTACACGATTATCTCCACGAGGAGCTGATGCATCTTGGCATGTGTGTCCGAGTCATTGTAAAACATTATTATGCAGGTTTTGGCAATGTCCATCGCGGGACACACACACTTGGTCTGGAAGATCGAGACGATGAGGCAGCAGAGATCTGGAAGCATGGGCTTGGCGTCGTTCATGAGGTTCGTCACGGCGTATTTGAGACTATTGCAGAGGGCTTCAATGATTTGATCGTCGTCAATCCACATCTCGCCTATTTGCCGAAAGATTGGCATGGTTTTCTCCATGACTAGCAACACGGGCTGGGCACTAGTGGCATCCGCACTCTCCTGCTGTGCCCCCTTAGTGTTTAATGAGGAGTACAGTGTGGACACCATGTTGAGGCGGAAGAGTGTGCGGATCTTCGTGGCGTCAGTCTGGGTGCGATTCTGCGTGATGAGCTGCAACTCCTCGAAACACGGCGACACCATGAGGTCTAGGCAACTGGGGATTTTGTCCGGACTCAGCATGCTCATCAGTCGTCCGATGCTGTACATGAGGCGGACAGATTCGGCATTCTTGAGATGGCCACCATTCAGGCTCTGCTGGCAGGCTTCGAGGAGTGGTTCAGCGTACACTTTCATCTGCATTTGGCACTCTCGCGTCAACTCCTTGAGTCCCAATGTCGCCTGGGACGCCATCGAGGAGTTTAGCCCTTTAACCAAGAGATCAATGGCGGGTGGAAGGTACATTGGATTCTCCTTGAACCACTCACAGTATGATCCGATGGTCTCCAGCGCAGTGCCGAGAAGTTTCTCATTCAGACTCTCATACGGGATTTCGCTGAGGGTGTGCATCAGCTTGGGGATCACCTTGTTCTCAGTCACATTGATGTGCTCGGCAATGGAGCACATTGAGTAGATGACAGCCTCCAGCTTTGGCCAGTTCAATTGATCACTCTGGACGGCGAGAATGCCCTCCTCGAGGAGAACGGCGAAGATGTCCAGCAAACTCTCGTGCAGCACATCGTAGCAGTACATTAGCGTGTCTGATATGTCTTGTCGATAGCACCGGAAAGTCTCCAGATCGTCGACGCTCCAGCGCTCGATGGACACCTCGTTGGGGTGTTGCGCCTTCCGCACAAGGACTTTCGTCAGGTGGGCGTACAGCGGCCTAATGATCTCCAGGCACTTGTTCCTCTGCACGTCCAAATCCAACGAGAGCACCTCATCTTGCAACATGTACCAGAATCCCATGGCTAGAATGCTGCACGACTCCTCAACTGGATAGATTCCTGGCTTGTTCGTGCACTGCAGAATCTCCTCAATGAGACGCGTGTACAGTTCGCGGTGCTGTGTACTGTCAGAGGCAATTCCCGTGAGCAAGAGTCGCGACTGTGACTCTATGGAGGCGATCAGGAGTGTGTAGATGCCCACCGCAATGTCCTCATTCAGATTGTTCTCTCGCCACTCGGCTTTGATGATGTCCGTGAGTGAGTCCAGGAACATTCTGATCATTATAAGAGCTGTATTCGGATAGCGATGGGCGTCTGGTTGGATCATGATGAACGACAGGGTTTCCAGGCACACCTCAGCCAGTTCATTCTCGTCCGCAGACATGCATCCGTCACCCTGAACGCAGCTCCAGTAGCACTTGTTCACCAGCTTCAGCAGCGTCTCAGCAAATTTGAGGCAACTATCCATGGGATGGCCATTCTTTAGCCACAGTCCCCCACACTTTACCGCCCTCAACATTGACGCTGTGTCCTCATCCTCAAGTGCCGGAGCATCGCATTTGACACTGAGGTAAGTGTCAATTGTGGAGAGAATGAATCCTGTACGCTTGTTGATCTCCTGCCGCAGCATAGCCCTCTGCACAGACGTGTAAATGGCATTGGCTTCCTCGGGAATACCGCCCAGGATCTCCATCATAATCCAGATCTGTGTGTTCACCGACAAATTGGGCAATTGCTGATTCTGGAACGTATTTGTCACATCCTCAATTGCCGTGGGGCATTCCTCGAGCATGTGAACTATGAATGCGCTGAAGGCGATGCAGAGGCGATTCAGCACAAGCTTGGGGCCCGCGCCGAATGCCACAATTGCCTCCAGAAGTTTCTGCTTAAGCTCCTCGTGCATCTCCTTGGGCACCTCATGCCAGTACTTGAGTAGCTTGGAGTGGAGAGTGGTGGCACCGAAGAACTGCACCTCGCAGGACTTGTCGGGACGCATCAATTCCCAGCAGAACTGCCACGCTTGGGGACTCAGCTGCATCTGAGTCAGCCACTGATGTGAGGAGGCCTGCTGAGACGACTCCGAGCGGTAGAACATCACCACCGCCTCCTCCAGCACTTTGATGTCCACCTCCATGTTAGATTGCACACACCACTAGACACAGTTCAAGCAAATATCCACAGGAAATCCTCGCAAAAATACAGCACACAATATCCGCGAGTGGTCAGCAAAAAATGCCCAAACGCTCTCCGAAAGTCAACGAACGATGGCAAATGTCACGGAAATATTAACGAACGCCATATTCGGAATTCGGAGATGAGAGAGGCCGTTAACCGTGGTAACAAACAGGGGCTGTTCTGCATTGTTTAGTGAGCATTTTCACGAGATTTTCCCTTAAATTTTGGCTGGTGAAGTTAATTTGAGCAAAGATGAACGAAAAGCCCATCGCTGTGGGCAAGGAGAATAACCGATTGCAGGGAAATATTGCGAATAACATGGGAAATGCCGTACAAGGCAAGCAGGGGGGCATCGAGAATGACTCCCAGCACCCTGGTCCAGCCACCTCGACTCCGATAACTGTGCGGGAGGCGAAGGAGTGCAAGGAGGAGCAGAAGGGAGCCCCGAGCGGCAGTGAGAAGACTGACTCCCAGCTCAGGGAGCAAAACACCGAGACTGAGAAAGCCAAGAAGGTCTGGTCCTTGAGCAATTTTGACATAGGGCGCCTCCTGGGGCGAGGAAAGTTTGGGAATGTGTACATGGCACGCGAGAAGGAAACAAAGTTTGTGGTGGCACTGAAGGTGCTCTTCAAGAAACAAATCCAGGACTGCAATGTGGAGCATCAAGTGCGCCGGGAGATTGAAATTCAGTCCCACTTGCGACACAACAACATCCTGAGGATGTATGGCTACTTCCACGATGACGCTCGCATCTACCTGATATTGGAATACGCTCCCAAAGGCACCCTGTTTGCCGCTCAGAAGCAACAACCCGACAATCGCTTTGAAGAGCCCCAGACAGCGGTCTACATAAAATCCTTGGCTTCGGCGCTGATTTATCTACACGAGAAGAATGTCATTCATCGCGATATCAAGCCAGAGAATCTGCTGTTGGGCTACAAAGGAGAGTTGAAGATTGCCGACTTCGGATGGTCGGTGCACGAGAGGAATTCCATGCGAACGACTCTGTGCGGCACTCTGGACTACTTGCCGCCAGAGATGATACAGGGAAAGCCTCACACGAAGACTGTGGATCTCTGGAATCTTGGCGTGCTTTGCTACGAATTGCTGTCCGGAGAGGCGCCCTTCATGTCTGAGGGCTACGCCGAAACGTACAAGAAGATCGCCAAGCTCGACTACAAAGTGCCATCTTATGTCTCCAAACCAGCAGCCCATCTCATGTCACAGCTGATCGTTCTCAATCCGGATGGAAGACTCCCGCTAGCTCAAGTGATGACGCATCCCTGGATCACCCTTCATACGACGACAACCTAGAAATCACTACCCGTAGATTAGATTTGTTCAAGAAATATACCTTTCGGATTGAGAGAATTGAGAGCGAGATTTATTGGGACACCTCCTGCTGCAGATAAACCGAGGCCAGTTGTTCAATGTCGTCTAGGCTCAGTTGGGACATTCGCTTTGAGAAGTCCGCCATGAAGGCGCTCGTCAGTCTGTCCGCCTGATCACTTGTGTAGTACTTGAGGAAGCTCTTGTGCATTACTTCCTCCAGAGTATCTGGTTTCTTAGTCAGCAACATCAGCTTTGTGCCCTCCTTGACATCGTAAGACTGCAGTGTCCGGTTGTTGGCCAGTGTGAATCCCATGCGAAGGAGTCTCTGATGACTGACTGGAATGTTCATGCTCTCGGCAATCCTCACTTTCAATTCTTGGACTGTGCTCGTCTCCGAGATCTAAAAATAATCCAGATGAAAACATCCATTGTTCGAAATACGACTGAAGATGCGATCGGTTTACCTCAATATCGCATCCTTTCCCATTCAGCTCCTTCACAATCACCTTCATAGTGGATGGATTGTCTGGTTTCTTCAGGAATCTCTAGGAATCATGGACAAAAATCTGACATGGGGAGAAACAAAACAGGAAGTATAACTGACAGCCGCTGTCATCGCTCCGGAAAAGTTCAGAATGCCAATCAGCTGATGATATCGGTCGCAGGAGCACTCGTTAAAACATTTTGTTTCGCATTTGCTCAGGTAATTCGCAAGAATACGGACTGAGTGCCGTTGGTGGATCATCCTCTGTGACCAGTGAGTGGTGTGCACTTGAAATACCTGCAGTACTTCCTTTGAAACAGAGAGAAATTGAGATTTCCGCATTCATAACCTAGAAAGGGAGTGTACAGTGAGTTGTCGCCGATTCCCGCTTGTAAAATGTTCTGTCCACTGCTGCTGGATGCCAAGAAGTACAATCCAGACACACTAAACTTGACTGATGACGCTGAAGTGAGGAGCTACTGGTTCACATGCTTCCGGGACCTGGTGAGGAAGTTCGCCATCCAAGCCAGAAAGTGGGTATTTGGTATTTGCCATCGGAGTGTAAATACTCTGCTATCACTGCTAATCTCTGATTAAATATTTTTTTCAACAGAAGTGAACTGGAAAGCGATGATGCATGCAAACGAGCCGAGAGATTTCAGCAAGATTTTCTAAACAGAATGAATTCACTGGGCCAAAGTACAGAGTAAGGGAAAAGTCTACAAATGAGAAATTGCTAAAGACTTGTTATGATCACTTGATAAATTCTTTTTAGGACTGGCGATCCGATTACAATCAGAACGCTGCTTGATCTGAATGAGTCTTGCCTGCGGCAGCACGGCTTCTCGGATCCATGGCGGGAGCAGAAAATTCTGGAGAATAAAACAGCACTGAGAATGCTGCGACTTCGCCTCGATGAGGTGGACAAACTCAGGGACAATGAGAGATGGATTGAGTTGGTGAGAGGTCTGCTGGCGGGCAACATGTTCGATTGGGGCGCCCAGGCGGTGTGTGAAATACTCGAAGCGAACAGCTCATTTGGCCTCAATGAGGCCCTAAGCTACATTCAGCCACGTCCATGGCTCATCGATGGTCTCGATGCGTGGCTGGCAAGGTTGCAAGTAATATTGGCTCTCACTTCCAGTGCCCCACTGAACTGAAATAGAACTGAGGAGAAATCCCCTTTTGCTTATTTTCAGGGATCCGTTCACAAGTGCGCCGCAATCTTCGTGGACAACAGCGGCTTCGACATCGTCCTGGGGATACTGCCATTCGCGAGGGAACTCTTGAGGCGTGGAACGAAGGTGATTTTGTGTGCCAACTCAGAGCCCGCGCTAGCGGATATAACGTACAAAGAGCTGGAGAGCCTCATGGACAGTTGCTGTGATCAGTGTAGCATACTCCGCGAGGCGTATGCTGCGAAGCGTCTACTGGTCCTGCCCAACGGTCAATCGGGTCCATGTCTCAACCTCAGGACACTCACGCCAGGTAAGTGTGCTTCTTTATTCGCTGTTCTTTAGCCAGAAGAGCATTTAATCACACCAACTCCATACTTCCTACCGCCTGATGCAGAGCTGAGCGAGGCGATGGTGCGCCATGAGACAGACTTACTGATAATAGAGGGCATGGGTCGCGCCCTTCACACGAATTTGTACGCCAAATTCACGTGCGACACCCTCAAATTGGCTGTCGTGAAGAACAAATGGTGGGCCAATCGACTGGGAGGTGATACATTTTCCGTCATTTGCAAATATGAGAGTGCAGTATGACCACGGAAGCAGCACTCAACTTTGCTATGACTCGACATGATGGCATTTTATTCTCCTACTAATTAAAATCATTTAAATGCAGACGTGCATCATGAAGCAATCACTGTTTAATTTTCGTTTTGGTGAAGAGAAATTATGTGTCTTTGTATAGATATATCAGTTTTTTTTTTTAGAATAAATGTTTAATTGAATGAAACTTTTTCTATTGCAACACTCTTTCTGCATTTCTGATAAAGATTTTTTTAGATTCTTCGTGAGCGGAAGTGGTTTTGATTTTATCGTCATGTTGGTAGAATTAACTTTCAATCAGGTGAATATCAGGATCATTAAAGTGATAATTAAGCTGTCTGTAGTTCGACATTGAAAAAGCTCAATTTATTTTTTTGTTTTTTATCGAATGTTTTTTTTTTTATTACATTAGTTATATAGAGTTTATACAGAGATATCAGCATATTTATATATAATATATATATATATATATATATATATATAATATATATATATATATATAATTATATATACAAAAATACACGCGTTTTCTATATTTTGTTTTATCTCGCAGTTCATGAACTTTCATTTATGAATTTCTATAGAATTCTATTGAAATCGACTTTTATGACACAGAACCGCAAGCGATAGAAACTGTTTGAGAAGAAGAAAACAGTTGATAATTATGAATAATTTATTCTCAATTCTCCACATGCAATGCGTAAGTGTCGCGGTTCTCAGATTTATGTCTGAGAGATGCTGAAGAAGTTGCTGGCTCATGCCATTTTAACGGTTTTTTTGTCGTATGGATATGGATTCATCGACATCATTGGTTGGCTTTGCATGTCACTTGATGATCCTGAGTCGCTTGAATCACCTGATGAATCGCTTGAACCGCCAGAATTACCTGATGACCCGCCGGACCCGCTTGAACCAAAGCAATTTGACTCCATTTGATTATTGTTTTCACTTAGGTATTGCGCAAAGGCTTGATCATTGGAGATGATCTGAAATTCACAGGGTTATTAATCAAATTTCGTGTAGAGACACTCAGAAGTGAAATCTTTTTACCATTGCCAGAAGTAGAAGGACTAAAAACAGTGAGTTGAATTTAAGGGACATCGCGTCTGAGAGAGAGTTCACTTAATGGTAATGGTTTGATCACATTTCGCAATATTTATATGATACTCCATGGCTTGAAAACTTACGTGAGATTGTGATCATTGTGCCACAGAGGTGACCACAAGCCTAACAATTATATTTAATTAGAATTTATGAAGAGACAAAGCAGCTATTTTCTATATTGCACAATTTATTTGCGGAAACTCCATTGATAATCAGACATGGTATCACGATGCAATGCGCCATCGAATGCCAATCTCTTATGCGGAGCTGTTTTCTCCAGATGCCGATGCTCCTCCGGGTCTCTGAGCCATGGCTGGAGGCTGGCCCGGCTGTCCGGGCTGTCCGGGCTGACCGGGTGCGCCAGGTGCGCCGGGTGGTGGTGGTGGGTGTCCAGGGGGGCCCCTCGGAGGAGCTCCACCTTCGGTGTTGAAGCCACGAGACCTGGCACGGACTCCATCTACGCCCTGGCGACCGCGATGATCATTTCCTTCCGCCGAGTGCACCTGCAAAATCACGCACAGAATAATTTCACACAGTGAATTTTGCACAAAAGTGGAGCCGAGAAGATTTCTCTTCACCGTACCAGCACGGCGATCATGCAGATCGCAATGAAAGCTAACGTGAGACTCTTCATGATTTCCTCTTGTCGAGTTTGCAGCGAGTAAACTGACTAGATAGAATCCCGTACAAATGCTTATATATAATTGAAAGTAATAACAAAAAAAGTGTTACATTGTGTACAACGTAAAAACAATAATTCAAAAATAATTTAGTTCTGGGCCGCTGATCGTGGTGTTTTTGGGGACATTTCGTCCACCTCGTGATATTCCACGCGACTTCACAATCGGTCCAATTTGGGTCGGGCACTTCCTGAGCCGCATGCTAGTCAATATTTAATCGCTTAAAACTGCCCTCGAATCCAAAAGCCTCGTCGGCGGGGGCATTTTTTCTTCCGCTGGGCCGCAGTTTTTCATTCACGAGTCGCGTATTTTCCTCGTGGAGGAAGAAGTCACGATTGGCAAACAGTTTTTCCTTCATTTTCTCTGTAAAACAAGAGGAGGAGCGTAAAAAAGAAGTCACAGTGGGCATAGAGGCTGTTTTACTGTGCAACTCCAGTATTGAGTCAGCTTTCCCGCCAAATTCCTTGGGGAACATTTTCTGCGGAATCATGGGATAGACTGTCTCCATATCCGTGTGGAAGTGCACCAGACTGACGAGCTCCTTCTTCACGAAGGGACGCACGAGGGCCAGGATCTTGTCAATGAAGGACAGTGTGTTGATCACGTGAAGACCCTTGAGACGCACTGGGATCGCCTCCTGGAGGAAGTGCAAATACTTCTTGGCCACAGACAAGCTCATACGAGTGGCGTGACCCAGCGAGGCGCTATCCATGTCCACAATGAGGACGTGCCCAGGAGCAGTTCCCTCAGTCCACAGCCAATGGTCGAACACGAAGTTGTATCTTTGGAAATAATTGGTCGGACAGACAATTTCAGTGATCTTTTCACGAAAATGTAATTAGAAATGCTGCGATATTCATCTATACCATATTTTTCCCTAATTGTTATTAGCAAACATTAGCTCGTATATGAAAGGCCTTTTCTTTTCTTTTAAATGAATTTCAGCAATAAATTTATTTAGACGAAAATGAAGTAAAAGTAATAGCTTTCCGTATGAACACGAATGAGGATAAAACTTCTGTCGTAAGTCGATTTAACCTCAGATGTTATCTGAGATCCCTTGATCTCCTGATAAGAATTTCAGATGTTTTGTATTAATAAAAGTTTAAAAACATTTATCTTCATTGCTTATCAGTTGTCGGTTGATCTTACGAAGAGTTTGTGTCTAAAGATTATCGGTAAGGTCATATATGTAGTAATTTTGTTTTGATCAAGAAGAAGCAAGAGACAATCACAGAAGTGAGACTATTTGTTCATATCGAAAAAGAGGCACTTACAGTTTAACTGCATCAACGTGAATGTACTTTGTGACATCGGGGTCCATGAGGCGGCAGTACATGACCTTATATCCTTGGGGATGCTCATTAAGCAGCGGTGTGAAGAGCATGACATTTGAGATGTCCAACATCTCCTTGGTGCAGACATCGCGATTGCGAAAGAGGTCCACAGTGTGTGTTCTTATAGTATAGTAGTTGTCGATCGTCTTCTTTGTCTGCTCGATGCTGTTATAGCAAGCGTACAGAAAGAAAATAGCCTCGGATTCTGCGTATTTAGAGTGTATCACAAAGAGAGTTTATCAGAATTCGCACTCCACTTCTGAGAATTTGCTTGAATAAACATATTCTTCTCACCAGTGATATTTGGTAGATGTGGCTGACGGCAGAGCCACTCGAGAATATTTCTCACATCTTCTCTCTTGAGGTCGCGGTGTTTTGCGTACTCATCCTCAGGCGATATAAACCTCATATTGAGTTCAGCCACCTCTGTGGTCTCTTGTGGCGAAAAGTATACAACACAGATAATGAGGTGAATCACGATTGAACGGCACTTATGCAACTCCTCATGATCACAGACACTCAATCACAATCACTGATCCCTTCGAGCTGGGTTGAATTTCCTTTGAAGATCGCGGAGCGAGTGCAGAAACGCGTCTAATTCCGCGGCGTTCATTCAGAGACTGAAGACATGGAAAAGAAATCAAGCCACGTCATCCCATTATGCATCTTAAGCGGTCATACGTTTCGCTAGATCTTGCCCATATACACGCTTGCTGTCTCTGTATATCGCAGAAGCGAGCGTGTGTGCCAAATCGTCAATAAAAGTTGTATTCTTCTTCTCTGCACACAGTGTCTTGGCCTAGAATACTACTCAGAATGTTCAGAAGGCTGAAAGAGCGAATTCTTGGATTGTGAAGAAAGTCTGTGTGGCATTTTCAGGGTAGAAAAATCCAGCTCAACTCTCATGATTTGGATTTTTTCATGAAATTCTGATGAGAGCATGTGAAATTTCACTTTTATTTGAATCTCGGGAAACGGGTATTAGCATACAATTACAAAATACAACCTACAAAAATATTCTGATCGCTCTTGTCATTAATATTCATTTATTATAAATTGTGGGTGTTTAATATGTTTATTCATGATGATAAATTTAATTTGCCACATCGTTATAATAAATTTGTGGACTCACACAGTCAAAAGTGTAATAATATAAGATATATTCGAGATTCGAAAAGAGTGGAGTTGTGGCATGCTCATGCTTAAGAATGAAATGAAACTCTCTAGTCCACGTCCAATCGCCTAAACTTCCCGTCAAGTCCAAATAAATCAGGCTCATTGTACGTCATTTCTATGTGAAGAAGATCACTTGATTGCACGCGATACTTATTCAACAATTCATCGGCGTGCCTCTCCAACAATTCCTTCATCGCCTCGTGCATCTGGTGAAATGAGAGAAAATCTCCACCCAATTCTTTCGGCAGTTGCTCAAGTGATATAAACTCATGCAGATTGTTTGCATTGCTGTGCACGCAGATTTTCTCGCTGAAATCACGACCCATCGTGGATTTCAAGATCGAAAGCAAGCGATCGATCCATGACCCCACGTTGATGAAGTGCACCTTGCACAGTGTGCCGAAGTAGAAGTGATTGTAGAAGCAGGACAATTCGCGCAGAGTTCGCAAGTCGAGGGCCGCCAAGTGGGCCACACTGACCACCTCGAGATCGACAATGATTACGTGATCGGCTGGCGGTTCCAGGCCCCTGAGCCACAAATACGTGTACATCAGCATCACCTTGATCAAGTTTGCGGCGTCAATTTGCTTAGCGTCTGTGGCCAGAACTTTCAAGAAGATCGCCATGCCAGGGTTGTCATCTTTCAGCGTGATGTGCGAAACGAGCCTGAAATATATTGTTTTTTTTTTTATCAGCCAGCAAGTTATTTGTGATCAAAATTTTATGTGTGTGTTTTTATGATTCTCTGCCGAAAACTTTCCCAGCCTTCAGCGTTTAGTTCGCATTGTAATTAAGTCAATGGGACATTTAAAATAAGTACACTCCAAATCACAAATCACAAATAATACATCAAACAGAGTAAACAAGAAAAGATGAGCTGGTTATACATAGTATTAGATGACGATATACTTTTTAAACGGTCGTGTAGAATAAATAAAAAGGCAGTCGTAAAGCCATTGAATTCGACCGTACGTGAAATAATAGTTTAGCGACAATGAAACTCATAAAAGTATTTTTTATCATCACATGGGTTGGTAATTTTTGAATAATGTGAAAATGTTCAGGTAAATGTGTAAAAAGCATGAAATGTATGTGAAAAAATTTTCCAATAATAACTTACACGGTCTCCATAGCGGCTTTTATACTTTCGCTCCTCATATCGATATCCTGGAAAATTCGTGCGCGAGTCTGGAAAATTGTCGCTCCTGTGATGCGTTTTTTCGCTTTTTCTACATCGAAATCACACTGATGGAGGAAATTTATCAAATCAATCTCGTCCAAATCGATTAAGTAGTGCTTCTTCGTTTTCATCCATTCTTGAAGGCGATGCACATCTTCAAATTTCAACTGAGGACTTCTATTTTCGTACACTTTAGCCAAATCGAGCGATGGTGGTTCCATTTTCTGACTGGAACGTCTTATTGAAATGTTTCTTGATCGAGTGGCAATTTTAATGTGAATCATCGACAAGGAATTGAATTATTTGAACTTGAGAAGTCATTTGTGCAAATATTATCTCTGAGAATGTCGTCTTTCTCCGTATTTTTGGTTATTATATTGCTAGAAGACTAACCTAATACCCTGAATAGTGCTCTGAACGTTCCATAATATCAATCAAAATCCAACTTCTTAAAGTTCCCCTCAATCCCGAAAAGATCATTGGCCGTTTTGGGCTTTCCCGGTCTCAAGTTCTCATTCACGAGCCGTGAATTCTCCTGTTCTAAGAAGAAATTCCGATGAGCCGCCATTGATTGTTTCATGTCCTTCTGCAGCTCTTCAAAACTCTTCGACTGTCCTCCCAATTCCTTGGGGAACATTTCCCGTGGGATCACTTTGTACACGGATTCCATAGTCGTGAATGCCTGAAGCATCGACGTGAGCTGTTTGTTCATAAAGGGCTTCATCATTGCGAGCAGTTTGTCCGTTATGGGATTGGCGTTGATGAAGTAGAGGCCCTTGATGCGCACTGGCAGAGCATCCTGGAGGTAAGTGATGTACTTCTTCATTTGCACGAGTCCCAGGCGTGCGATGTGACCCAGAGACATGCCTTGCATATCAACCAACAGAATATGGCCTTCAGCAGTGCCTTCAGTCCACAGATGAAGGTCGCTCACGAAAGAATATCTGCAGAATTGAATTTGTGTCATTACTCTTACTTTTAGAATGACTCCGAAATACTCACAACTTAAGAGACGCTGTAAAATTATACTTTGTTGCATCGTAGTCCAGCAGATTGCAGAAGATTATTTTGTAACCCTCTGGCGTGAGTCCTGGAAGTGGCACTTGGAGTCTGGAAAAGAATATGACTAATCAGGTTGATTAACATTGTAAAAATAAGAATTAAAATGTTTGAAATGCTGATAAAACAGATTCAACGATTGGCGCCAATTTAAGAATCTCTCTTATCTCTTATGAATAATTGTGTACTGAAATGCTGTGAAATAATTATTGATACTAATGCTACCTCACATTCTACGTCTCAGTAAATGAATTTATTAGGATTTTCTCTTGGCAATCTCCAAATTCAGCAGATTGATTCGTATGCTAACCAATAAATTTTACCACACTCCATTAACTTAAGCGTGCCCTTGTCGGAAGCACCTAAAACTGGTAACCTTCCTGACAAAGTAATAAAAAACTATCACGAAAGATGTGTTGTGAGAATGATATGGGTTTTTCGATAAATGTTTCTCAATCCCCTCCAATACAATATCAAGGAGCTCACGAGCAAAGAAAAAGACGAACGATAACAACCAGTTTAATAATACACCTTGAATAGCGCTAAAAAGAGTAATTTAGATAAGTTCTCTTCATGACTAGTGCAAAAAAACTTTCTAGTTAATTACTTACTGAATCTCCATTGTGTCCAATATCTCAGGAGCATTGGTGTCCCTCTTGGCGAAGAACTCAGGTGAGTGAGTCCTTATGGTGTAGTACGTGTCTATTGTCTTCTTGGCCTGCTCCAGGCTGTAATAGCAGGAGTGAACGAATAGGATGGCTTCGAGCTCTGCAAAGATCTTCCATTGAATGTCGTTGGAAGAAAGAGAAACTGTCACGATTTCTCACCTGATATCTCAGGAAGATGAGGCTGCTTGGATATCCACTCGAGGATCTTCTTGACATCCTCTCGCTTGAGATCAGATCGCGAAGAGTACTCTTCCTCTGGATTCCGCCACTCCATGGCTATCAAGCGTGACTGAATGCTGTGACAGACGAAGTCAAACTGTCGCTGCTCATCTCATATCATCCTAATCTTACTCAACAATGCTGGGCACGCAAGTGCAATTAACGTCAGTTATAAAATACGACTCACTGTGTTCCTGATCGCTGATGGTTGATTTATGAAAAAAAGGTGTGCATTGGAAAATTTACTAAACTTATATTTATCTCACGGAGGAGCCAAAAAGTAATCCAGCAAAAAATGTACAGAGTTCTCATATGAATGGAGGGGATTAGAGAGGGAGTTCAGATTCGATTAGAGTTGCTTTGGTGGAGTATCTGTGGGTGCAGAATCACTTCTTGCCGAGAAGCTTCAGCATGTCACGATTCTGCTTGCCAATCTTCATGTCGGTGTCCTCCACTTTGTTCGTGATATTATCTATGAGGTCATTTTGGCTGTCGATTTCCTGGTTCATATCAATGGCCAGACCCTTGAGGCGTGTCAAGCTGCCCGCCATGCAGTCAAGATTTTGATCGAGACGCGCGCTGAATTCTCCTGGTCCGTGGATTGTGTGCTGCGCGTAGGGCGGATCGCTGCGTAGGCGGTTCACGGGGTGGTTTTCGTAGCGCTCCTCCGGACTCATGTGGGATCTCGGTGGCTCCTGATATGACGCAGTGTCCAGAATATTGCTGCCGCTGGGCGAGGCGTTGGTGCGCGGCGTGAATTCCCTCTGGCGAGTCAGGTAGTTCTTCAGGCCCCCAAAGACGCTCTTCAAGCCCGTGAGGTGTCTTTGGCTGAAGCGCAGCGTCGAGTTTATGTCGTCCAGCTGCTTGCTGGTGTTCTCCAGCTGCTCTCGCTGACGTGCCAACTCCTCTGCCGTGGCCATTCCAACTTGCTCAGTCTCGTAGAGCAGCCCAAGGCTGCGCTCAGATGAAAGCAGCGTTCTGTCCTCAATCTCTCTCCTGCGCTGCTCGTACATCTGCCTCTGTTGCTCATAGTCGTCATCCTGAAGGAATGGATTGGTGCTGTGTGGGGTGTACTGGGGCGCACTGGCACCCTCTGTATAATTGTTGGTCCGGGCGTTTCTCAGGAATGTCTCGTCATCCACGTCCTCGACGAATAAACTGTTGGGATTTGTCACGTACTTGAATCCAGACATCTTCTCTAGACTCTCATCGACACTGTAGCGAGGAGAAATAAGTCAGATTTGGGGCGGAAAAGTGTGAAAACTGTAGAAAAATATGGATGGAAAACTCACTTGACAATAGCAAAATTTTCTCTCTTTTTCACACACTTTTGATTGTCATGACGGGTGCTGTTGGCAGGTTTTCGCGATCCGAGAGGGGCGCAAGTGCGAGAAACGAATTACTCTGGGTTTTCCTCGTTGTTTTCCACGCATTCCACAGAACTGTAGAGTATTTATTATAGAATCAAATATACTTGGAGCTGGTTAATATCTTCTTGATGAAAAGTGCTGAGAATATTTCATTTAACAGCTAATTCTTGCATAAACTCAATGTGAATATTGATTGAAGTGGCATGGAAGAATTGCTAGTCGTTCGCCCCTAGAGTTCAAAGAAACGCTCCATCGATGATTCACGAACAGTCATGGTTTATTTGGAATTTTTGTGATAAGACTCATCGAGAGCGACATTTTGCAACAGTGAACAAAGATCTGTGATTTCCTCCCATTTTCTGCCAATCGTTACTTTGAAAATGTCGGATTCTTGTGTTGAGACATCTTCCACGCCAGAATGGGTTGTGAAGCTGGAGAAGAAACGCGAGGAGGTGTTCAAGGGAAGGCGTTTGGGTCACGAAAGCGGTGCTGGAGCTCCATGCAATGTTTGTGGTAAGAATTGAACGCGTTTTGTTATTGTGCAAAACAGAGGATATAGTGAGTTTCTGCTTGTAGGATCAGCTTGTCCGGGGTTGGATTTGCACTTCTGGCGCAAGGTTTGCCGAAATTGTCGCTGCCGGAAGGATCAGCACGAGTGCACAGATGATGATCTGTCTGGATGGGCGCAGTTTGAAATCCTGGGACAGCAGAGATCACAGCCGGCGTACATTCGGATAGAGAAGATCGACGAGAAGCCTGTGAAAGTGGAGTGGGTGCCTCCGGACGTGGCGCCAGACATCGCCACGGACTACATGAACGATCTGGGATCGCAGAATGTGCCAGTGGAGGGTAGCGAGGCGGCCCTGAAGCGACGCCAGCAGCTCGAGTATCAGGTTCCACCGCACGACCTGGATCCCACCTTGTGCCATAATCTAACAGAGAACGAGACGGCGCAGATGCAGCAATATGTGGAGAAAATCAAGGAGAGCTGCGTGGGACAGGGGAATGTGGTTCGCGTGGCGGGTGGGGACCCTCCCCAGCTTGGCTACATTGAGCAGGTTTTCCCCACACCGCCCATCAATGAGGCGATTGTGAAGGATCGCATGCTGACGTACGTACTGAAATCCGACGCGATTAAGGGTGTGCTGCAGACACCGGCCACAGTGCTCACGAAGGGGGCGAAGATTGTGTCTGAGTGTCGCCCCATGACGCCCGATTTCATGGAGAGTCCCCTGCTGAGCGACAAGAACCGCTACAAGCTGAAGCAGATGAAGCTCAACTCGCAGGCACTCCAGAGTGGAGTCCTCAATGGGGCAACGTATGACAATCTGTTCAAAGAGCTCCAGGAGCGCAACATCGACTGCAGTGAAGACAATCTTCTGGGACCGCTGGAGAAATTCCGCCATGAGTATCGCCAGAATGATCGCTTCAAGACGGATGTGGATAATTTCGTGAACAGCTTGGGCAATGAGTTCCTGGACTCTTACCAATTGGATGACGACACAGTTAAGCTCACCGACGAGACTGGCGAGGAATTAGCTACGAAAGTGTCTCAAGATGACTTTAATTCTCCAGTGCCAATTCGACCGTTCGCTCAGATGAGGCTGGGCGCGCAAGCTCAGCAAGAGACGCCCGTGAGGCGTCTGAAGTTTGCTAAGGAGTCTAAATACACAGACACTCCCATCTACGCTCTGGCCAGCTACGATAAAGTTCTGCCTGCGATCATGCAACATCCCCTCGTGGAGCGTGTAATGGCAGCTTCACCTTCGATCACCACGGGAATAGATTTGATCGCCAATACTGCTCCGATATTTCCGGACTTCGTGCCAGGCCAATTGAGCCCAGCTTTGGAGCAAAAACTCACGAATCTTGGCCTGGATTCGGCTACAGTACGAAGTGGTGTTGTCAATGGGCCACAATACGACGAACTGTTTAGAAATCTACGACAAAAAAAGGTGCGCTTCGGCGAGGACACCATCCTAGGGCCCATGGAAGCCTTCAGAGATGAATATCTCGACAATGACACATTCCGAAATGACATGAACAACTTCACTCTGGCCACAGCTAGTCAAATGATGGACAATCCAAACTCGAATCCATTTTTATTAGGTATCATTCCATCTCAGAGCAGCGACTCTGGCTTCGGATCTGTTCCACCCACGCCCAATTTCGGCACCCACCCGATTCAGGAGTCCGCCGAGGAGCCAATCGCCGTGCTCAAGTGTAAGCAGTGCTTCCTGGACATCTGTGCTGGTGATGTGGCTGTGAAGGCCGAGCGCGCGGGAAAGTCAGTGGCGTGGCATCCCAAGTGTTTTGTCTGTCACAAATGCCAGGAGCTCCTGGCAGATCTGGTGTACTTCTTCCACGGTGGCAATGTCTACTGTGCTCGCGATCTGGCCATCATTCTCAACATTCCGCGCTGCTCCGCCTGTGATGAGCTCATCTTCATGAAGGAATACACCGTGGCCGAGGGCTCAACCTTCCACATCAAGCACTTCTGCTGCTTTCAGTGCGATCAGCCACTGGCGGGCCACAAGTACGTGCCCGATGACACCACGGGAATGCCTCTCTGTCTCAAGTGTTTCGATGAGTTCCACGCCGAGAAGTGCTCAAAGTGCCATAAGCCCATTGGACCCGCCGAACAAGGGGTGTCGTGGGGCAAAATCCACTGGCACGGCACCTGCTTCGCCTGTGCCGGAGTCTCCTGCGGGAAGTCCCTAATTGGGCAGCGTTTCTGTGTGAAAAATGACATTCCCTTTTGCAGTCCGGCGTGCGTTAAGAGTATTATCTTCTGAATAGTATTTGAGAATCATCAGACGGAATCATTCCTATATTTTGTGGCATTTAGTATAATAGATATTTTAAGTTGAGTCTACAAGCATGAGAAGTTCGAACAAAACAGATCAGACAGAAATGTATCTTGCAAAATATATTTTAAAATAAAATCAAATATAGATAAAAAGCCAAGTGTCGCACTGTTCACTCTGATGTGTGTTAATTTTTGGAAAAAAAACATCCCCTCGTAGAGCGTCTGATGGCAACTTCACCTTCGAACACCGCGGAAATACATTTGATAGCCAAATCACATCCAAACTTTCGGTAATGTTTCATCGTGTTCTTCGTTAAGAGTGTGAAAATAGAAAAGAGTGTGAAATAATTTGAATGTGTTGATTCTCTTTTTCCTTTTATTATTTAAAATCTTAATAATTTTATGATTAAGGAGAGTGTATTTTGTGTTTGATATTTACTGGTTCGAATGGGAAAACGGAAGAAAATCATATATTTTTTCCTGTTTTCTAAAAATTCTAAATTATCTTCACGTAAATCGCACACATTCGCACAATGTTTTTATCCTCCTCTGACAAATTATGATTTATATCTGCTTGTGTATTGTGTTTCTTTGTAAATTATCTACTTTTATACGCTAAATTCTATATTTCTTTTATATTTTTCTTCCTTCATATATCTCCTTACATACACAGTAAAACGAATTATTTATGTAATCTTCTTTCTCACTTCTTGAATCTCTCTATTCATTTTTAATCATTATGTATAATATTTTTCAGTATAATTTAATATAAAAAAAGACAAGTACGATTTGTACTTTACTTTGAATTTTTTATTGAAGTTTAAAGATTACTTTTGCCTTTCATTTTTTCTTTCTTTTTTTTCATTTAATTAAGTATAAGTGTGTCTTCATGAAATTTTCATTTGCGTGTATCTGCTGCACTTATTATATTCTCAAAATGATGAATTTGATAATTCTCTCTCGCTCTCTCATTCCACATCAATGCTTTTCCTTTGACCCATTGAAAATCTGTAACTTTATTATCAATATATGCATTTTTTGTCTGCATACAGCATAATTTAATGATTATTTTGTAAAATTTACAAAAAATATATTACAGTTTATTTTAAATACTGCTGCTTCTACTAAAAGTAATTCCGATAAATTTTACATAAATTGGAAAAAAAAGATGTAAAAATATTCCATTTGTGTGGCTGCTTTTCGGAAAGAAAATAATCATGCATAGAGAGGATAATTCAGATAATATATTTTGTAGATATATTTCTGCTGTCTATAGGTAATATTTTCCATTGATCATGGCTTCATTATCTGTCCACTTTTGTCCACCTGATTCTCACATAGCTTTTGACAATGTAAAATAAATTACTGCATACGCGGTGTTAATTCTATAATAAAATTAGAAACTGAATTTAGAGCGGAAGACTATCAAGACATTTAGATACAAGCAATTTGTTCTTTTATCCCGTTCTGTCTCAGGACCTTAGCAGACAGGACAAATTTTGCTCTCAGCTTCTCTCAATTCTATCAAATACTATGAAATTAACAAAATGTTGTCGTGTTTTTCCTATTCTTATCTATTCTAGTGGTCCAATTCATGCCTCTAATTGCTAATTAAACTATTGCTTTTTGATTTAATCTGTTTTCAACCCAAAATTGTGCTGAAAATGCCAATTACAAAATTACGAGAGAAAAACATCCCTGTCTGCTAACGCGGTCACACGGCAACATATTCTCTATTGTAATTTGATAAAGAATAATCAATCATGTGTATAATCTCTAATATTTTGCTACTATTTTCTCTGGCGAAATTCAATAGAATCACACTGCATAAAAAATGACAAAACATGTTGAGATATATCCATACATACAGATTTTGGACAGAGTTTTCTTCTTTATGGAGTTCCTAAGTCATATCTAAGAATATTGTTTCAACAATAATTTAGTTGTCTCACAGTTTTCTTTTTTGTATTGAAGAATTAGCTTTATCATTTTTTTTTTCTTTAGTTCTCACTAAATATCTCATCATTTAATCAATAATGTGTATTATGTGTTTGTTTATTTTATTCTTCTCTAAACATTCCACTCATATTCCACTCCTTGTAGTTTTTTTATTTATAATTCAATTTTCATCCTAATCACTGCTCTTTTTTATGAAAACACTTCGTCAAATATTTACACTATTACTCATATCTCTTGTTACATCTTATCTCCCAACCTGTTCTTTGCCTGTTCATGAGAAATTGAAAAGAAAAGGATAAACTTTCAGCGTGAGTGTTCTTGTGTAGATTTGATTGTGAATTACAAAATTATACACCGTCTAACAAATTTTTAGTTCTCCTCTTCAACACACATCATATAAAAAAAAGAAGATGAAACATTTAGCGTAGTATAATGCAATAAAAAGTTCTCAATTAATATTAAAACTACAGTGTATCTCATTTTAATTATTCTACCACTAAATTTTATCGTTCTTTCTTGTGCATCGACAAAACATTTTCTCTCCTTTTAAACTTCTTCACCCACTCTCTCACTTCAATTGTATCATGAAATATTGATTTTCCTTCTATCATGTCACTCCTCTATAACAATTAGGAAAAGAAAAAAAAATCATCCCTATATATAGATAAAAAAGAGAATATAAACTTCAATTTCTTTTCTCAACTTCCAATCGTCCATCCATCGTCATCTATTCCCTATTCTCTATCCTTCTTCTGTCTCTCTGTTCCATTCCACATGATATCGTATTGAATGTTCTTCATTTTTTTCAATTATTTTACTCAAGATTAACTCCTTACTATATAACTCCTGAAAATTACTTCACTTTTTACCTCCTCTCATTCTATTTCTTGCCTCTCCTTATTTATTTCTTCTTATTCTTGTTATGCATACCACGTGGCGGCGTCACTGGTCGAGAATTTGGGGTGCCGTACTGAAATCGCCTCTTGTCGGCTGGCTTCAGTATTTGGAATGAGCACATCAATGTCTCATCCACAGACATCATTGCACCTGTTTTTCATCAACGAGACAGAAAAAGAAGCAATTAACTTCAACTCGATTCCTTGAATGAATTTTCTCATTGAGAAAAGTGATGTCAAATGTATTATAAACATCGTGCAAATATCAAATTATCGTCTCATTGACATTGAAAAATGCCATTTTTCATGTGTAAATCCCATCTCTCTTTAAACTCCCAAGCTAAGCACACAATGCTAAACTTCACCCATCATCCCACACAATTAATTGGTCTATTTATCATTTTTGAAACTACTCGACTAGAGTAAACGTGATTGTATTTCTATTTCCCATTTAGGCCATTTTAAAACATATTGCAAACAACCACGAAGATGAAACGCGAAATTACTCACCTGCATTGTCGAATTCTCCACAGTAATTGGGCGCTGAAAATAGCGTCACGAGTTGTCGTTTTGCAAAAAATTCATACCCATCCTCCACCACTTGATGAGCGCGACATATCAAGTCAAACTCGTGCTTACGCAGGAATTTCAGAACCGTCTGCAAAGAAAGAGTAGAGACAACAAAATAATATCAGTCATTTTACACCACAAAAATGTTAATCAATCAACAAAAATTCGCCTCACAGCCAATGCAAACAAATGAGTGTGGGTGTCTCTCATGTGTGTCTGTGAGTTGGATACTTTTTTTTCATTCAATTTAATTCTCTTTTCATGAAGGTTACACTTGAATCATATGTTGTGTGTCCCTCTTCTCATCAAAAAAGTACACATCTCTCCCTCATCATATCAATAAAATTGATAAATGTATTGATGATTTCATCGCGATGTTTCACCGTGGAAATACCGAGTATTCACCCACAAATTCATCCTTTTTTAATGCACATTCAATGTGTATTTGTAATTTCAATTAAATTGCCATTTCTATTTCTGTTGATGTACATTTGATAATGAAAGTAAGCTTTTTGCATAATTTTCGATGGGCATGCGGATCGTGAAATTTTGGCTTTATTTAGAAGAAAAAAAAAAACACACACTCTGATGAGTCAATCCCTATTAAATGTCCATTTTGACGGTGTGATACTCTCTGTTTTGTAACCTTTCGCAATATATTAATATAGAAAACTTTTCTATTCTGGTTCATGCATTTTCCGTGAACCCCAAAAAGACATTTTGAGATATTCGCGGGAAAAAAACGTTTGAATATTAATATTCCCACAAAGAAAATAAATTTGAAGGTTTTCCACACAAAACTAATAAATTACCTTGCTTAGAATTCCGTTTGACGTACACTTAAATAACTATACCACATAATGAGTTTTGCTTATTTATTAAGTTAGCACACATCTTAAAACATTTACCCAACATTTTGCTTGAAGAACTTTTGACCGTCATCCAAAAGTTTTGGGTTACACACTTTCAAGTGCGCTTACAAATGACATGAAGACATGTAATCAAGTATCTTCCAAAGCATTCTTAGAAATCACATCAATTCATTTCATAATTGTTCTAGGAAATAGTTGGAAATGTTAAAATTGATTTTAGTCAACAAAGTTAAATTGAAACGTGCCACAATGGCAATGTGTGTAAACCCCAACTCGGAAGATACAATGTTGAGATATAGGAAACTTTATCGTGTTATCAGTGAAAATAGCTCAACCTTGTGGAAACTCTCAAAAACTGATTTCGACCGAGCATGACTGAAATTTCCCATGTATTTGTTTAGCCCAATTAACGCCATAATGCTGCTTTTTCTTCTACGAAATATAAATCCCATTTTCATTAAATTCCCGTAATGAACACCATTTTTCCCTTTTGCAAAATCACTATGGCATTTTTTTCTTCAGTAAAATTACCTTAAAACCCGAGAAAATACTCACTTAAAACCACCATAGTGAATCAAGAGGTCTCATTATATAAATTGGACGGAACAAACATAATTGCAGGAAAGACAAGAGCACAATTTTACACCCCACTGGAAGATGTTATCAGACACAACTATCGAGCATACACTAGTCATCTTATCGCATTATAAAAAAGCATACAAGAGTATAAATATCTAATTAAAGTCTCTTGTTTAATTACACATTTTGAGTGTGTGGCGAAAAATAGATTATTAGCCTTGAGTGTCATTAATTTACGATATCACTAATTCACTCTACAGATACCTACACAAAACCTTAGAGAACACATGTGTCTGTTCTAATTATACTGAAAACATCCCTCCACCACCTACATAATAATTACTCCTCTCAAATTTTCTTAATGATGAGCGATTTTTCCTCAATTAGTGCGCATTATGATTCCGCACATCAATTTTACATGTGTTGAATTTGAACGTTGATAAATGAACTTCGTATTCAGTATTGTTATGATTTTCTAGAAATGACTATCACAATTCCTAACCAATATGTCAACACCTACATATATATTCGTCTATTTGGTTTCCAGATGACTCTCAGTCACTGAATACACATGCATATGCATCACCTAGTTTCACGACGATGTTGGTATTAACTCAAATTTGCCACATCGATGCTTTGCATCACAATAATTCTGTAGGTAAATTTATTGGTCCACCACAAAACAGATAACAGCAAATTAATCCGATATCGTACAAAAGAACACACAAACATGGGACAACATTTTACATTAAATCGGATCAATAATTTGGGTCTTTTTATCTATCCCAAATTTATCTCCTATAATTATCTAATAGAAAAGACCGGAAATTTCATGGTAAAAAACCTCCTTTCATCATCTCACAGTTATGTGTTTGTGCGCCTATACCGACACATCCGCGGGCGCAGCATGAAAACGATCTTTTATTGATTCAAATGCATAACACTTCATATTTGTGGGTGAAGCAATTGGAATAGATGCGCAATAATTAAGTAAATTAATATGTCTTTCATCGCAAATTACTTTTCGTCTCCTCTTTTCATCATGACGAGATCATGACTCAAGATTTAAGAACACAAGAGATAAAGAGTGAGTCATGAGTAAGATACGGAACAAATCAATCATACCTCTGGTCCAAATGTAAAACTAACTCCGCGATCATTTTCACCCCAACTCAATGTGTCCTTGTCGGGGTCAGACCATAAGAGATCACACAGAAGACCTTGGTCTGGGACATCGGTGGGTCTCATAATACGTCGGATTTGTTCCATTGACTGCAGATCGGGACTTAGGCCGCCATGACAGCAGAAGATTTTCTCGTCAACTGTAAATATTACATCATCAATAGAAAATTCTACGCATTCTAGAACAGTAGGAAAGGAACAAATGAAAATCTCTTCTTGCAAACACAATACATCATCCACTTTTGTATTGAGGCAACTTACCAATTGCTGCAACCGGCAGACAATTGAAACAATCTGTAAAGGTTTTCCACAACTTTATATTGTAGCGTCTTTTGCATTCGTCATAGAAACTGCGTGAAAGAAAAGAGAAAAAAGAGATGTTCAGCGAAACAATTACACTATAGTCTCTTTGCAGAACTGTATACGGTCTCTGGCCCATTTCAAAATTCAATTCCATGTTATGCATTTGCATTGTGAGAGTGTGTGATTGTGTGAGAAAATTATCCAAAAATTTCTACACAACAATGAAATCATTAAATAAATTACCCTATTTGCTGTTATTATTCCCTTATCGTATAAATATTGTACATATAGTTAACGTGGGTGTGAGTGAGAGAGAATGAAAGACTTTTTCCATAAATTACGATCATTTTACATATATACAAGTGAAATTTAAATGGCAGTAAAAAATATAAACTTTCATACTATGTATATATCTTCTTCTGAATTTTTGTTACACAAACTTTTATATTATGCATACATTATTACTAGGAACCTCAAATATAAAGTACATACTCTAATTTATCGAATCATATTTCGTGCGCGATAACATTCTTTTCACAATAGAATATAATGTGGCCTGTTGTCAAATGGAAGTCACTTCAAGATCTTGTTATCGCTTCCTCATTATCACGGTGATAATTTAAAAGTGCAAATGTACATTGTTGCCGTTCACATGGTGCTCACATTTCTAATTCACGAGACTTTAAAGATTTTAAAGTTAAACATACATATTTCATTTGCAGTTCCCAAAGTACACCTCACCAACAACTTCATGCTATTTACCGGTGAGAAGGATCTTTTAGCACAACCAACTGTTGTGAGTGGTTTCATTTCAATCAATAGTTGCATAAAATCATGGAAAGTGTATTAAATTCACTTTACTCCCTTCTCAATACGCATTCTATGCAGTGCATTGAGTGTAGGTCACACAGGTAAATATTTTTCACCTGCCACTCTCTCTCTCTCTCTCTCTCTGCTTTTTAATGTGTCTCTTTCATCTCATCGAGCAGATAAAACTCTTTCATACGCCATGTACCTGTCTTTCTACATGCATAAATTATATCTACCAGCAATGTACACTGCTTCAACTATTCGACGCACATTACGGGCAAGACTCAAAATGATAATAGCTTCTCGATAGGTCAAGGCAAAATGATCGAATTAATCTCTGTGTTTATATACGTATTATAAAAATTTCAGAGAAGACAACATTGAACGTCGTCGTATGTCCTCATCCATGTACATACATTTTTTCTTCATCACTCCCTTGTGCAGATAGCATTACATAAATGATTTGAATTTATATATTCATTGTATCTGTCTACCAAGTCCAATATCAACACTTCGTCGTGATACAACATGTAGACAGGAAATTCTCTCTCTATAATAGATTCTTCTTCACTTATACTCCATGTCTGTTGAACACTTGATAACGAGACTCTTTCACATCATTTCCTCAATCATGTAAGCATACATATGTATGTGGAAGCAGAATAATCTGCCAGCGGAATAGTTTCCTATATCAGCTGGATATGTTATATACAGAGAAGATCCATCGACATTAGCCTCAATATTGATGAGAGAGAGAAAAAAAAAATCAGTAATACTACCTCAAGTTTTTTCTCCCCCTTTCTCTCTATCTTTTTCTATCCCGGGCATTTTGCCAAAGTTATTGATGAAAATCAATTTCTTCCCACCCGTGATTCAGACTCTTGCCATTCAATGTCTTTCACTCGTTTTCGTTTCCTTCTGTCTAATTGCAAATGATTTGATACATTTCATTACAGCGATAAAACACAATTCGTCATCGCATTAGTATCATTTTCTGGGACGGTAGAAACATTTTCACCCTCGAAAGTTCAGCTCATGACGTGATAAAACGTACTTTTCCCCATTCAATTTGCTTTCACCAAATCGACAAAATAATATAATATGAAAACGCCACAGTTCGATGAAACACAATGATTTTGATTAAGACAGATTAAATATGAAGAACAAATCAATTTGTGTGACATTATTTCTACACTAAGGGGATCATCATTCTCAATTTTCTTTCTCCTTCATATCTCTAACCCACATACAATGAATTGGGTTAGGAAAGGCATTTAGATAGCACTTTTCATTCCTCATGTGCTAATCCAATATCTCCACACTGGTCGCCCAAAATCTCACACTTTTCTCACGCGCATCCAAAATTTTATGACAATCTCATTACGATACACAGAAGCGGACAAAAAATGTCCATCAATCTAATTATTGTCTACCCACTTATCACATTATTCATTTTTTGCAAATTTCACCCTCATGATAAACCCCCAAAATTACCACATGAGTGATTATCTTCCATAAAGCAATAATGAAAAATATACGACAAAAAATACAACAAAGAAAACTTTGCAAACATCATCTTCACGAGAGTTTATAGAAATGTCACGTTTACACTTGTGCTGTGAAAATGTCAGGAATTTTTTTTTACTACGTAAAATGTGTATGACTATTTATTGCATTTTATACGTATATTTTGTTAACTGGAATAAGGTAAATATGTGAGGGAAATATGCAGAATAGCGCAAAACAAACAAAATTGTGCAAAATGAAACTGTAGAATATCAAATTAACAGAACAGTTCCTGTTTTGCATTTTACACGGATATAATATCAACAATATGGTATTTCTTAGTGAATTCCGACAAATTTCCATCAGTAACTTGGTGAATTAGGCAAGAACGGACTCTATTCTGTGGATTGATTGCCTCTTGTGCGGTTATTATTGCCTTACTGTGGAAAATAACTGTATGTTATATCTATTCAACAATTTTACGTCAATAGATATGACAATTTATTAAAATATCAACGCAAAGAGACAAGAGTTGCGATATCAACAACACTGAAGCTACCTCAACACGTTCAGTCACCAAGTGAAAATATCAATGGTTACGGCTGCCACCCGCTTTTTCCTTCACGGATTGCCCCCAATAGCAAATCAATATCTGTAGGTAATAATAATTTTCAATCGTCGTCTTCACTCCTGACGATGCCTGAGTAGGGAGGAAATACACCGTGCCGGCAAACAAGACATATTACTATTTTGGGATCATACCCTCCAATGACTACATACCGCTATTATATGTGTACAGTATAAAAATATTTATACGCACACGGTAATTCCGACCGAATAGCATTTATACATCTTATTACGTAGAAGAGTATGTAAACTGTAATAAATTCTCTCCTTTGATACCCCCATCTGATGACTTTTTCTTCACCATTGACGTCTTTTCCTCTTTCTCCCATACACGTAATTTTTCCCACACAAGTGGTGGACAACGCACCACGGAGTCACGTGAATGAGACCACGAGAATATCATTCTTGAACTCCTTTCAAATTAGTCACAACATCAAACCAATAATTAGTTTTTCAAAACAATCCTTCAATATATACTTAGATTTACAGCAATCTACTCGCCTTGCCAATGAAAGAGATACGCAATACACAACATTATTTACTACTTCCACTCATCATCTTCGTATAAAATACTGCATCATATCGTGATAACTAGCAAGATCAAAGACAGAAAATTTAATGGTGCTGAGGCAGAAAAAAGAGATGAAGAGTGAAATGAAAAGAAGAAAAAAAACACCGGTACGTAAGCTAGTTACTCTTATACACCACCACAATTCATATTCCACAGCTTCTAAAATTAAATTTTTCATTTGAATTTTCTCCATCGTAAAAATAAAATAAATACAGGAATTGTGAGAATCCTAATATCGTTCCTACATTTGCGTTGGAGGTCGTACAATATTCGTGTTTTATTTTTCTATATTCAACTGACTATCGCGCTGATGTCTCATATCCGAGAGGAAGGGAATTATTGTACAGTAAATAAAAAAGAGTATTTTCTCACAAAATAAAATCGTTAGTGGTTGATGTGTTATTCAGCGTATTTTTCCACAATTTCTTTTTTTTATACACTCTCCCCTCTCACTATAAACCATATTTCTCTAATTTTTTGTTGCTGTATATCTATGATCGCATGTTAGACACTTTTCCCTCTTGCTTTATCTGTCGACTAAACACACAATTTCTCTCTCACTCCTGAAAATGCTTTTATTTTATCTTATTCTGAACACTCACCCATAAATCCTATTGATACTAGCACATTCATGATTTCCTCGCAGCAGGAAGAAATTCTCTGGATACTTTATTTTGTAGGCAAGTAGTAGGCATATTGTCTCCAGTGACTGTTTGCCACGATCCACATAGTCGCCAAGGAATAGATAATTTGAATACGGTGGGAATCCTCCGTACTCAAAGAGGCGCAGCAGATCATAGTACTGCCCGTGAATGTCACCTGTAACACATGGAGACGAGAGACAATTTTTAGCTTCCTACAGAAAGTCTGGCAGACCTGTGAAGGAAAAATATGATATCATCGTTCGTGAAGTGTTTTCCCAATATTTTACCACGCGCACATGTTCGACATTGAATTTATTTTTTCTTATCTGTGCTGAAATTTGTCGAATGTTTTATCATTCAATTTTACTTTTTGCCAATTCCATTTTTTGATAATGCCAAGAAATGTATCATTTACACACTTCACACTTCAGAAGCGCACACTGGATAATGGCGCAAATCTCTGACCATAAAAGACCAAAAACCACATTGAACTTATCATTACCAAATGCTTTGCGTTCATTGCAGCATCGAAACTTCGCTCAGAGTTGCGCTCTCTCGTTGAACATTATCTTGCTCTCCTCTGATCTATTTGCAACGGAGTATACTGAGAGCCTCTGCACCGAGGAAAAAATAACGTGCTAATTAGACTGACCTTTTTTTTTGCTTTATATTTGCCACCCTAGCATTCAGCATCAATCGTTCGTTGTTGCCATTGATAAATTGTCATGTTGAAAAATCTTATCATAGCTCTGATTACAGTAAATGTTTCAGCACTCACTATCTCTCCCTCTTTCCTAGTATATTAATGCTAATTCTCTCGCAATAGACGTAAACAGACTTCATTCCATAAAAAAATATCGATATTTCAGTGGACACACAGAATGAAGCCCAAGAGCAATAAAAAAACCTACGACAAATGAGCTCAGTGTATGATTTACAAATTAGTAATGTTGAGCTTTTGTACATACATAAAATATTATGTACATCTACTCAGCCAAAAAGGTCTGATCGATATTCCTTGAATGCTGATGATTCAAGGAATGAATTTCTGTGGTTTAACATCTACACATACACACTTTTCCCCAAAATAGCCTTCGCCGGCACATAGCATAAGGTGTAGTATGTAGAGGGAAGATCTGTACATTATGTGCTACACACGTTCGGATGTTTAATTTTTTGGCGACTCGCAATTTATCAATTGCCGGTTCTCCGTGCGCGGATGCTTCACCGGCAAGGCTCCACACACCGCTCAAGGAGGTGACTGTGACCGGTGAGAAGGTGGTGTGTATTTGGAAGAGAGATGGCAAAACATCGCGCCGTGTGAGCCAATGACGTCAGTACGTGCAAAAGTATTGAAATTCACTGTGAAATGTTATCCCAAAAATGGTTCTGCGGCTCCATATTTCCCATTTCATCGTGCAATCTTCTCTGTTGTTCTTTTTTATGGACATTATGTGTATATTTTCTCGCGAATATTTTTCTCCACACGCACGCAAATTCTGCCCCATGACGAGGTCAGGAGGTCGCACAAATTCTCCCCTCATAAAGTTCTATATTATTCATTTCAATTCAACTACAATAAATGCTGAGGTATAATGAGGATATAAAGCAGAAAATATATTTCATCCAAAAACACCATTCTCTCTTTTTTCTTTCACTGACATCTTATTGTTCCTACCCATTCAATAGTTAATTTCTTTTATTATTATTTCTTGTCTTGCCTTCACGTCTGGCATGCATGTGTGTGTATTTGTAATATATGCATGAAGAGAAAGAAAAATTGTGCTGTACGGCAAAAATTAATTACAAACAAGTTGGAGAATATGAGACTACAATGTCTAATTACACGTTATTGTATTGCAATTGTTGATGACATTGAACACTTTGCGACGAGAATTTCTCTCTACAGTACGAGTGTGCATACGAGTGACGAATTTTAAAAGGATGCATCTTCTCACTTTTCCCTTCTCTGGCATTCCATTTCATGACCCGAGTTCCAATTGTCTGCCATCCAGAGCTCACATTCTCTAAATTCTCAATGTGAAACTCGAGTTGCAGAGCTAGAAAGGATAGCAGCAGCAAATCTTTTCAGAACAAATATTCTTCTTACCATTGCATTTCAAACTTGACTTTCCTAACTAGTGGAAGCCTGACCTTGTTAGCATTGTTATGATATAATGTCTCTCTGTCACATCATAAGACAATGTCTCTCCCTTTTGATGTGAAATGGCGAAGAGTAGAGAAAGCCCATACTTTCATTTTCCAAAGGACTCTCTAAAATCATAATTTACATATCTACCGTCCATTTGGTCTTTGGAGACCATCTTCCTGTCGCCCAAAGACATGCCATTCCAAAATATGTACATACAGCAGAATGCTCTATCTTTAGCCGGGGCAAAAAATCAATTTCTGTGAGAACGCAAGACTCCACTGAAAGCACTTTCTCGGAAGCAAGAGCAGAGGAAAGAAAAATGCATGTGAAGCCCAATTCTTTTTTTTTGCTTTTTAAGAAATTCTCCCTCTCATTTTCAACCCTACACTCTCGCATATGCTTTCTCCAACTTCAAGTACATTCCTCGTGTTATTGTGTATGTGCTTATTCCTCCTTCTTTTTAACGCTTCATATAGTGAGAAGAGAAGCGTGGCGTCGCATGAGAAGGAACCTCCAATTCCGATATTTATAGCCATGCACATAAATCGGTTAAGTTCGAGGCACATTTTCAATGTTATCCCATCGCTAAAGAAGTGGCTTTCTTGGTCAGCCAATTCACCACGTCGCGCCTCTCTCTCTCTTTCGCGCTTTATGATATCTCTTCGTCATTGAATTATATCCAAGTGTACAAATTATGATGTAAAGTATATTGAAGAAAAAAGGCGACTCGCTCAATGCTTTCCGCAGAGGAGTTGTCTGTGCCTGTTTTTGGTCACATGGCGTCACGCACGCGATTTTTGACTTGATTCTGCCAACTCTCTTTGGTCTCCGCCTGGCTGTCGTGGACACTTTCTCCTTCCATTGATGGTCCACCACTCGTCAAGGTACATGACCTCACCATTTACGTGAACCGCGTCGGGTGTGCGTTTTTACAGTTCTTTCTCTCACCAGCAACATCATCACTCCACGACAAGCGCCGCTCTTGAGATGCAAGATCGGCCACTTGAAATACAAGACTCTGATCTTACATCACTCTCAACTCTGTCCAATTTCCCCACAATTCCGGCTCTTCCCGAACAATTGCCTCTGGGAAAGTCACACTGAAAAACCAGTAAGCCCGGAAAAAGTTCCCCGGAACTGTTCATTTATCGCACTCGAGACAGACGCCCGAACGTGAGGTGCATGAGAAACAGGTGACTTACCACAAATCTTCAGCGGGGCCTCCAATTCCAGCAAGATGGGCTGTGACAGGAAGATTTCACGGGACTTTAAACACAATCCACGGATTTCACTTTCCGAAAGTTGCACATTTTTTCCTGGGCGGGCTAAACGCACTGCGGAAATATTGTAATTTCATTATATCTTCAAATCTCTAGAGCACATTCACGGAAAAGTGGGATTCTCTCCAAGTTGTGGCAGCGAAAAAATTCGTGAGTGGTGAATCAAGGGAGACATTTTTTCTTCGAGCGTCGACAAAATTTTCGCATGAAGAAAAAAGTGACGTTGTCGGGGCGTTGGCATCACATTCCGGGAGAAAATCCCACTGTCCCTATGCGCCGGACCCCACTGCGACACTGGCAAAGTGTGCCGGGATGCCTGCACCACACTTTTATCACATTTTCATGGGTTTTACCTTCCAACAACTTGGCGATAAGCTCATCAATATCGTACTTTTCCTCCATCTCGGCCATGGGGGAAATGCAAGAAACTGTTTTTTGGATCTGTCTCGCACAATATCAGCCTCACTGCTCGCTATACTGGTATAATGTCACGTGAAGAACTAGTCAAGATGGTATGTACCTCTTTTGCACGGCATTAAACACAATATAAACGAAAATTAAACCGATTTGCCAGAGAAACTTGTGGACCGCGGAAAAATAATTGGCGAAATGGCGGCTATGCCCGATGGCATGTCGTGTGAAACCGGACTAGTGTTGTCCGCTAGCACTTGGGGTTGCCATCCTGAGCCACAGTACGCTCATCCACCGCCAGGTGGTTGATTCACCTGAATTTCCCCCAAAATCCACGAGAGGCTCTCATGGGCATCGTATAACAGTTTACCACAAACATCGCATGACGTTTGTGTTTACTTTTTTCGGAGGAAAGTGTATTGCTTGCTTAATTTACGCAATTTTTGCGCTTTTTTTTACTGCAGATAAGCGCAACAACGCATTGTTTAGACAGTCTTGTGATTGTCAAGTGGTTACCATGGATAAACTGCTGAGAAACTGCTTAGATACATTGTAAGATTGCGTCACGAATACTTCCTGGCAGTGAATATCACATACATTTCCATATATTTTCAGGTATCTGCCGTCATTTCTCAATAAATCCGGTATATATTACGCAAGAGGGTGTTACTGCTCAAAGACACACTGCGTCTGTCAACATCCGGAGGAGAGACAGTCTGGAGTAAGTGATTTCGTGAAGCTCCATGTCCAGCAAGAGTGTAGTGCCTTGAAGAGCAGCACAATTAAGGATTGTAGTGAGAAGAGCTTCACAGATCAGAGACAGATATACGAAGACATCCGGGAAAGGCGATCCAAAAGGAGTTTGAGTAAAGACTCTCGCTCTCAATTTGTTCAATCTGAGGACAGCAGTGGGAGAAATTGGGGAGATAATGCCATTCTGGACAGTGAACTAGACTTCGATACACTTTACGAGCTGTGCGAATTCCGAGAGAGAAATTCCGCAGAGTGCATGAGTGCGTCAAATCGCTTGCGGTATCGCAGGAGGAATCGGAATAAATTTGGTGGCGTAGGTCATAAATGTCTCCACAAGTACCAGATGAATGAGAAACTGCAGCCCGTGCCACGATTAGCGAGTAGCCGTGGAGAGAGTTTGTGCGAAATTTGCGGAGGCATTTCGCAGTACCTGAGAGAGCACACGGTGAACGAAATCATTGCAAGAGATCCTCATCTGGGTGGCAAAGACGCACCCATAGTGGTCGTGGAGGTGCCCAGAAAGGTCTGAAATCTCTGAACGGCTTGAACTTCCCGCGGGAGCCTTGACTTGAGGTTGACCACACAGCACTGAGCATTTTCCGGTGGAATTTCACACATCTCAGCGACACTGATGATCTGTTGAGGCGAGAAGAAAACAGCCATCCAATGTGCTAAGGTTGAAAATGTACTGGGAGGAATGAATGAATTGCGTGTATTGTTGATCAGCGACGTACTCCATATAAATACCGCGGTTGGCCTTTGTGGGAGAAACAGTCTGCAACTGACCACGGAGGAGTCACCAGAGTTGAGAGTCGTCCAAGTAGTGGAAAAGGCCACAGGTGTGAAATTTTTGTGAAGCCAATCAACCAGTGCTCGTGTTGAGAGTAAAAGTGATAGTTTTTTTTGTTCGTCTCTAGCGTGACCACGAATAAAAGACACTGAGCGCGGAGATAATTGCAATTGAGTCATAAATATATTTGGTGTGTTTTGTCGAAAAAGCGGAGATTTCACCGTCAAAAAGAGGCACATAAGGAAGGAAAGATGCATAAATCAAACAGTTTAATTTTGTTAACAGTAATTGGATTAACACTGGGCAAAGAATTGCGTAAGTGAACATTTTATTTAATCACTTTTTTCTCACATCTCCCATTTCTCTCTTTCTCCGCCGACAATTAAACACTAATATTTGTGAAAAGATAGGCGCTCGTGAAAGTTGCCAATGTGATGTTTCTCCGTAATGAAAGATTTTTCGTCTATTTAACGAGCAATTTATACAATTTTAACCCCTTAGCATTACTTTGCGGTTCACCTTTTTTTGATCTACTAACATTCAACGCGGAAAGTGAAAGTAAATCATCACCAATCGGCCAGCAAATGGTCAGAGAAGAGATCAATGAGGCCTGGCAAGTGAGATGATGATGGAAAATGTATGCATTATGCAGAAGAAAAAAAGAGTCTCTCTGTTGAAACGAAATTCCTGGCTGCACAACTCTGCAACTGCACCTTCGCACCATTTGCGCCAATAAGTGGCTGAAAAAGTGTGGAAAATTGGTCTTTTATTTCCCTTTCGGCCAATTGAGTTTATGCTAGAATTTCGTCGGGGCGATAATTAGAGAAAATTGAAAGTGATTTATAATATTGCAATTGCGGCTTCTGGTTTTTAGAGTGGGAAAGAGATGGAGAGAGAGATTTTGATCTCCTTGGTGCAATTTCTTGTTGAGTCTCTCGCGATGACATAATCAGCTGGAGTGCTGGAACGATTGCTAAAAGTCGGTCAAAACTCGATTAAATTCAATAATAATTATATTTCATTTCACTATAAACATGAAATTTATGAAATCTCGGACAAAAAAACGTGCAGCGACAAGCGCCTTTTGACCAATCGTCAAATTTTTTCGCTTTTTGGTGTCAATTGGTCACTTATTACAAAATTTTTCGTTAGTCTCTTAGCGATGATGAGGGGAGAATAATTCAATCTTTTTTTTTTGTTGTTGTTGTCACCTCCTTTCCATGTTGTGCCATCTCAACACACCAGCGGACGGATTCAAGCGGTGCCGAAGGAACGACCCGAAATTGGGACAGTGTCTCCTGCAGGCCGTCACAGATGTTCTGCCACAGATGAAAAATGGTAAATATTTTGCATTTTCTTTTCCGTCCACTAATTATATGAGATTGCGTTCCAAGCAATGACCACACATTGAGAGACGTGAGGTGTGAGCAAAGAGGCGCGATGAGAAGCAAAACATATTCATGCACACACAAAAAAGAAGAAGAAATAAAAACTACTGGACACTCTCAATGCATTTCACGTTACCGCCGTGAGCATAACATTTTCGGTTTGGCCAACATGAAAAAAAATCCGCATAAATGGAATAATAAAAAAAAGAGAATGAAGTGTTGATGTGAATGGATCGATTACCACGATTACCACTCTATTTGGTGAGTTGAGAGGCGCACCAGAGAGTGAACGACGTTGAAAAGAGAGTCAAGTTGAAGGTTGAGCGATGTTGTGAGATTTGTTAATGATAAATTTGCGCACATGCATTGCAAAACGTTTGACTCCACAATTCGGCACTTGGCACTTGTGAGAATTAGTGGAGCAGGAAAATTCCTTGGAGAATGCCTGAGCAGACTTGCGACACACGGTGCGCGTTCACTTTTTTTTTCAATTCATGTTTTGTGTGTGTGTGTGTGAAAAGGGAAATATAAATTGAGGATGCTCCATGCAAATCACATTAACATTCTGGTGAATTATGGCATTTTTTGGCTTGATAAATTTGAGCACGTATGCGATAAGAGGTGATCAAAATGCAGTGTTACAAAATTGACTCTCACTTTAAAATGCTATAAAGATTGGCCTTTGAGTTCAACATTGAGTGAGGCCTGAAAAATCCTCAAAATGTTCCTTCTTGCATAGTTGGAGTATGAAGAAAGCGAGATTCCTCATGAGCAAGACATCAATGAAAATGAGTGGAAAAACACTGTCTTCAGGTAGAGCTGCATTATAGAAATTATTACGACTGATCACCTCAGTTGTTTTCTCCTCAAATATGATAGCTTTCTTCTTTATCTGGCAGCCTCAGTGCAGTGACTGCTTATGCTGAGGAGAGTCGAGTAACTCCTTTATGTAAGAACTTCCTGGATGATGTGAATCCCGGAATACTGTGAGAAGCACCGTGGCATGCATTGAGGAGTCTATATGAAAAAGCACTCATGTTTGCGCATAGATTGCAATGAGGAGTAAAAAATGGTGTATTCATAATTAAGGAATTAGGTAATGTCTGTCAGTGTACAGATGAGTGGTGTTGGGGAATAAATTTATGGAGAAAGAGCACACACAACACTTTATTTGCAAGGACAAGCATCACTAGTCGCGACCATTTGTGACTGAACTTTCGTGGAGAATGTGTTGCAATGGAAAAAATTGCTGAAGATGCTTGCGTTTTGGAGTGAAGAAATTTCGTTTGTACCGAGTGCCATTGTTGTGCAATGTGGGGAAAAAGATTGGTACTTTTTCGAATGGTCATGTCCTCCTGTCTATGTGCAATTAATTGCTCACTCTTTCACATGCCATTGAAATACTTTCTACTCAGCGGCGGTGCCGCCCAATCGACTGAATTAGATTTTACTCTTCTTCTACCACTTTTCCTCTCACTTACTCTGACTCGATCATGATTGATTGCTGGGATATGCATGCTGTTTCCTACCATTTCTTCACGCACACGGGTGTGTATAATTAGGTGGGAAATGCGTTGCTAATTTATTGTTTGTTCTACCACCTGCAGGCTTGCCGGACTTTGGAATCCCCTCGATTGACCCGTTGGCCATCAATGCGTTGACCATTCAACAGGGCAAGAATTCACCGATCAATCTGAAGCAGGACTTCAAGAACATCCAACTATCGGGCATTTCGGAGACGCGACTGACCAAGTACAATCCGGATCTCAACAATTACATCCTCAGGTGCGATGGCTTGACGCCTCGAGTGGACTTTGTGGGTGATTACACGATGGACGGGCGCATTCTGTTGCTGCCAATTACCGGCAAGGGCAAGGCAAATATCACCATGGTGGGCCTGAAGACTGTGCATGAACTCATCGGCGAGCCCATCAAGAAGAAAGGCGAGGTGTACATACGGTTCAAGGAGTACAACATCAAATTGCTGCCGAAACGGGTTTACCTCAACTTTGAGAATCTCTTCAACGGCGACAAAGTGCTGGGCGAAAATATGAACAGATTCATGAATGAGAACTGGGAGTTGATCTTCAACGAGCTGAAGGGTGGCTATGAAGACACTTTCAGCTATGTGTTCAAAGATGTGACCAACAAAATTTTCACCAAAGTACCAATGAACAAGATATTCCTCCTCGACGAGTGACCACTGGCAGCACGACTTTGTTTTTTAGTTGTAATAAAAGACAAATAATTTGGTATAGAGTTAAATATTTTAAGACACTCGCTGTACATAATTTGTGCTGTAGTTTGGAAATAAAGTCTCTATGAGTGAACTATCCAATGTGAGACTGGAAAGGGCTGACGGACAACTTTGTGGAAAATAAATAATTCAATATTGCGCACATCGGGTGTATGTTAACGGCAATTTCCCCATGTGAAATTCAAAAACCGGGGTTTCGGAATTCGTATTCGACGACCGCGAGCGCCGTCTGGAGAGTCAGTGCAAAAGTGAGTGGTAGCAGACGCCAGCCGCAGAGGAGAGGTGTGAAGAAAAAGTAATTTTTGTGGAAGAAATGGTGTCCCTGGGGCAGAAAAAGGACGGTAGTCCTAATGTGGAGTTCTTCCAGTCGCCAGAGACACTACAGGGATTTGAGACGGTTCGTGCGTGGCTGCAGAAAAACTGTAAGAAGGTGAGGCCTCACGTCTGCAATGAAACGCCACCCAGCCATATTGCTTTTTTGGCAAAACACTGCGATATTTTCCAATTTAATCCTCATTTGCCCTACCAGAAGATGTATTTTCTTGCTCTGGGGTGGGTAAATAGTGAAGAGTATTGGAAAAAGGGTGTATTTTGTAAGAAATGTTGAGATTTGTGCGGTAATTAGGGTTCCCTTTTGTGTGGAGAGTGTGTCAGTTTTACACCAGTTAGTCTCATTGTGAACTGGTCTCTTTCAGTTCTTTTCATCGGCATCAGATTCACCGACGAAAGAATTTCTGTCGCAATTGCTTATCCAGTTTATTCAGTATCAGGAGACAAAACTGGGAAAAAATGCTGTGGATCCACCAACCACAAGGATACCGGTAAGAAAATCATTTGCGACTAGCGAGAATTCGTCTAAAATAGATAAATCAATCTCTCGCAGATGCGGTGCCTCCTGGACTTCAAGCCGGGTGGAGCGCTGTGTAACATTTTCATGGCAATGTACCGGTTCAAAAGTGAGAAGGGTTGGAAGAAGTTTGACTTCAGTATGGCGAAGAACACAGCCCGGAAGGATGTCAACATGCCAATGCTGCTGGAGATCGAGACTGCCCTGATTGAGGGCGAATGTCTCCGACTTCCGGTGGTGTTTATTCGCCCAGAGGTGGACAAAGCGTTGGCAAGCAAAGTGGAGGCGATCATCAAGAAGCACCAGGGTGAGATGGCAGATGATGAAGAGGATGCCACACATATAATCTATCCAGTTGTGGATCCCCTCCCTGAAGAATACGCTCGGCCCTCATTCAAGCGCGAGAAGAATGTCATGATGCACTGGTATTACTTCCCTGAGTCGTACGACTCTTGGCTGGCTAACAATTTTGACTTGCCGGACTTGGTGCCGGACAATCTGCCCTCGCCGGGCGACCGTTGGAGAGTGTGCGCTTTGTGGGCTCTGCACCTGGATCAGTATAACGAGTGGATGGCCGAGGAGGATTACGAGGTGGACGAGCAGGGCAGGAAGAAGGCGCATCGCTTGCGTCTCACAGTTGATGATCTGATGTCACCGACTGGGGATGAGAAGGGAAGGGCTCGCACCAAGAACCCAAAGAGAAAACGCTCTCCAACCCCTCCGCCAATTCTCAAAGGCGGCAAGAGGAAAAGTGGTCGCTCACCGGCGGTGTTCCAGAAGAAGACGCGCAGTGGTGACGGTGATGACGACGAGGATCTGACACGCGACATGGATGACCCACAGCCAGAGCCCAATATTCAGGAGGTGACGAAGGTGCAGCCAAACACTTCTTCCACCGCCAGTCCGGCGACGCCGTCCAACAAGCAGCGTGACTCGGAGATGATGCCAATCAAGGGCGGCACGGTGACGGATCTGGATGAGGATATGGAGCGTGGTGAGGACTCACAGGCGGGCAAGACCAGTGACAACAGCAACACACAAGAGTTTCAGCCGAAGGATGATCTCGAGGACAATGTGACAGAGCAAACCCATCACATCATTGTCCCATCTTATTCCGCCTGGTTCGACTACAATTCCATTCATGTGGTGGAGAAGAGGGCCATGTCGGAGTTCTTCAATGCGAAGAATAAGTCCAAGACACCAGAAATCTACATGGCATACCGAAACTTCATGATCGACACATATCGACTGAACCCCACTGAGTATCTCACCAGCACAGCGTGCAGACGCAATTTGGCTGGAGACGTGTGTGCGATCATGCGTGTCCACGCATTCCTGGAGCAGTGGGGCTTGATCAACTATCAGATTGATACAGATTGTCGACCCACACCCATGGGCCCACCGCCCACATCTCACTTCCACGTGCTGAGTGACACGCCGTCTGGACTGCAGCCGGTGAATGCCCAGAAGACGCCTCAGCCATCCGCATCAAAGATGCTCTTCGATCTGGACAAGAAGCAGAAGGAGAAGGAGTGCGAGGTGGCAGGTGCTCTTGGTGGGGCAACTATCAAGACGGAGTCTGGGGCTCCACCTGCCATTCCTGGTGGAATTGAGCCGGGCGCCCAATTTGGGCTGAAACTCGATCAGTATGGCAAGAAGCCGTCTGCGATGAGGAACAAGACGGCCGCCAGTATGACGAGGGAGTGGACAGAACAGGAGACTTTGCTCCTCCTCGAGGGCTTGGAGATGTACAAGGATGACTGGAACAAGGTGTGCGAGCATGTGGGCTCCAGGACACAGGATGAGTGCATTCTGCACTTCTTGCGATTGCCCATTGAGGATCCATATCTGGAGGATGACAACTGCATCGGACCACTGGCCTACCAGCCCATTCCCTTCAGCAAGTCCGGTAATCCCATAATGTCAACAGTCGCCTTCCTGGCATCAGTGGTGGATCCGAGAGTGGCTGCGGCGGCAGCTAAAGCGGCCATGGAGGAATTCGCAGCAATCAAAGTGAGTTGATTTGGTTTGGGAGTGCACTTGTATGTCTGACTAAGAGTTTCTTTTCAATTCTTGGTCATCGATGCCTTCAAGGACGAGGTACCTTCATCGATCATGGATGCACACTTTAAAAACGTGGAAAAGTCTGGATATGGTGGGAAATTTGATCCGTACGCCGGCCTGGCGAACAGTGGAATTGCAGGCACAGCCCCAGAGAAGGAAGAGGATGAGAAGCAACCGGGCACTGATGAGGATGTGAAAGATGTGTCTAAGAAAGATGGTGAGTGGATGAATGTTTTGTGTTTTGTTTCACTTGACTTTGTGTTCTAACAATATAATAGAGTTGATAACAGTAGAGTATAGAGTGGAGAGTGAAGGCGAATCACGCGTGTAAAAAGGCATTTTGCACCTCTGTAAATAATCACACACATACACACATTGAATTGATTTCCTAGAAAACAGGAGTCCTTAAGAATTAGAGGATATTTTATTTAATTAATAACATTTTTTCTCACACTCTTAACAAGAGTTCACATCACACTAGTTGGTTTATTATCTCCTTGTTTTTCTCACATCACATTCACTAGTTTCACTTCCACATAGTGGGATAGTTTAATTTGACAATATTAGTTGATTGTACAAAATTATGATTTTTCTGATTTCTATTCCCCTTATTTGCGGATTCAGACAAAACAGAGACAAGTGCGGAGGCATGTAAAACGAGTGATCCGTCTGCAGCGGACGATAAGAGTAGTGTGAAAGCGGAGGCTCAACTGCCGCCGTCAGATAGTATTAATGAAAGTAAAAGTAGTGAAAAATCTTCAGAAACCAGCACTCCGGCGTCACCGCCTAATCAGGCGGGTGGCCCAGCGGCGGCCGCGGGAGCCACTGCGGTGGCCAGTGTGAATGGCTCGGCGGCCAAGGAGAACGGGACGGAGAAGCACAAGTTGTTCAATGAGGCCAATGTGCAGTCAGCGGCGGCCGCTGCTCTGGCGTCCGCCGCCGTGAAGGCCAAGCACTTGGCCGCCGTGGAGGAGAGGAAGATCAAGAGTCTGGTGGCTCTGCTGGTGGAGACGCAGATGAAGAAGTTGGAGATCAAGTTGCGCCACTTTGAAGAGCTGGAGACAACAATGGAGCGCGAGAGAGAAGGTGTGTGGAGTTGGCGTAGGGAGATTGGGGATTGTGTGTGATTGTGATTTTACTTGTAGGCTTGGAGTATCAGAGGCAGCAATTGATCACGGAGCGTCAGCAATTCCATCTGGAGCAGCTGAAAGCGGCAGAGTTCAGGGCGCGTCAGCAGGCACATCATAGGCTGCAGCAGGAGCAGGGTCTGCAGCAGCAACAGCAGTGGCAGCAGAATCCCAATGTGCCGCCACCGGGTGGAGTGCCTGGGCAGCAGCATCAGGCCATCGTGCCACCGAATCAGCCGCCGGTGGGGCCTCCGGTGGTGAGCCAGCCGCCGCCACAGGGACCGCCACCAGCTGCCACGGTGCCGCAACAGCAGGCGCCGCCCGGGATGCCTGGCAATGGAGCGCCTCCAATGGCTAGCAGGCCGTAAGTTGTCTCACCTATGAAATTCTCACTGATCCCTGCCGACAGACAGCACAAATGAACCTCTGAGGCACGCTGTTGTACATAAATTGACATGGAGAAATATCTCATGATCATCGTAAATGGTGTCAATTTTGGAAATGCACTTCTTGCAGACACCCAATATGCAAGGACATTTTTACACTACATTTAGAGGGAGATCTCCTTTGATTTTTGACCGTATGATTGCGAAAATTCCAAGAGTTTCTTTCTCGATGATTGGAGAAAAAAGCTACTCGTAAAGATGATAGATGATTAGGAAGAAGGGTACAAGCGATAGGCGGAATGATAGATTAAGCGTATTTAGAGTTTTTTTTTTATTTTAAAAATATTTTACATTACATGTCTATTATGGTGAAGTAAAATTAACTGATGATGTATTGTGAAAGCTAAAAAATCTAACTCGTAATTTAATGGCTTCTTCAGTGAAATCTATAATGATAAAAGGTCACATAATAATTTGTGAATTGCTATAGAGAATAAAAAACGTAGATACATTAAATGAAGTTGTGATTATTATATGAGGAAATCGTTGAGATTTGGAGCAATTTCATCGCAGAGTTGAGCGTTGACTAACCGAACCGAGACAATTGGGATGTGTTTGCTTTTGAAAAATCGCACGTCTGCCCTTGAAATATTGTGATCCTTCGTATTAACGAGTACGTGAGTCAGTGATTTCGCTTCGGCCTTTGTGCTGTATGGTGGATCCACACGGACAATGGTCCCGCATCCAGCAGTGATCAGCCTCGAAATTGGATCAGTCATGTTGCCAATCAACAACAGGCATCTCATGTTCTTAAACGGTCCTTCGATGGCATTTCCTGCCCGCTTAATTCGCTGTCGCCACCGAAAGCATGCCTGAGCCAGAGGCTTCTCAATTTCTTTCAATTGCGAACAGTACTGCAGTTCATCATTTCCCACTTCGTAGTCTTCCTCGGGTAGGAAGTGACCGGCCTTAGTGCTGTCCTGGAGATATTTCGTATTCAAGAGCCACTTTCCAGTTGCCACGGCACAGAGAACCTTCTCGCCTCTATTGAGATTCCCAAATACAACGTGAGTGCATGTGGGATCGAAGGTCTCTGATATGAGCACTTTTCCTCCTAGTTTCTCGATCATCTGCATAATTTCTGCCTTCTTCGTAATGCCACATATGTGGAAGTTGTACTCTTTGACAGATTCCTCCATGTCTGGATTTCTGAATGGCTGATATTCAGAGGGATCCACCCAGCCGACGAGTTGCTCAGAACCTCCTTGAGGGCCTGTGCATGGTGGTTCTGTGCAGGGTTCACTGTTCTCCGCGAAGATCAGTCGTCTGTGTGAGGAAGACATATTGTTTTCCAGAAACTCTTTGAGCTTCCTCACTGACTCCATCTCTTCACCACTAGCTATGCCTCTCTCCACCGGCGTCTGACTCTGGGATTGACTTTGAGTCTCCAATCTCTTGGCTGCTTCGTAGTGATTCTCACCTGAAATGAGGAAGAGAAAAGAATTTTATGAAGCACATATTGAACAAAACATATAAAGTCAACTCCTACCCAGGAGTGTCTGATAGAAGTAATTGCGAACATCCGATGCCGATGGCGAATCACGATTCGGAGTGCTTTTCTCGGGTATCAAAGACGTGGCTGCATCTGCATTGCGCTGAACAGACCACAATTGCGTCAAGTCTCCACTGGGTTCCGGTACGAGTGGAGTGTTGGGCTTCTTCAGAAACACTGAAGTATCTGGAATTCTGATGCTTCCTCCCGGTGTTTTCTGTTCGCCAACGTTCAGATTCAGCTTCAGTGTGTCTCTGATGGTTCCCCTCACGGGCGTGTCAAAATCCGAATACGTATTATTTACTTGAGAAGTGATTGGCGTATTCGATGTCTTCTTGTTTGTTGGTGTTTCTTGCGCTAGGAGAGCCAATCTCTTGTGCCTAATTGGTGACTCCACAAGTTTGTTCGTGTGCACAGCAAATTTTGTACGGAGTGGAGAATAATTATCGCAGTCCAACTCATCTGATTTCCTCTTTGTTGCCCTGCTAATATAGCCATCACCTTCAGTGGTGAGATCACCGAGGAATGCGTCATTTTCCACAGGATCCACATTTTCCTGAACACTCAAAATTTCTGCTTCTTCCTCCCGATTGAGTCTCTGATAAGGCTCAACACCCTCAGGGACAGTCGACTTGCCGAGAAGGTAGTTTCCTATCTTCTTCACCCTCTTCTCACTGTAGGTATCGAAGAGCCAATCGTCAGTGACCACAGGAAATTTCCACTTGAGAGCCGCAGCGTACTTTGATCCCTCTGTTTTGGCACATATCAGCAGCGAATTCACCTTTTTGGGATAGTGATCAAGAATCTTGGCACCCATTGCGGCCGCCAGAGCTGCCATGTAGAGCTTAATGCTCCCTGTGAAGTTGCTGAAAGTGATGTGAATTCCCAGGAGTAAATCCTTCAGTCCAGTAGACAGTATCGGTTCATGGTAGAACATGATATGCACACAGTTTCTGTTGCTGATACTGTCCTCCAGCCAAAGATCATTGACAATGTTTGTCCCCTTCACCGGAGGATCGATCTTCTCCAAGGCCTCCACAGGCACAAGAATGTAGTCCACCGTCCCTTTGAATGTAGCATCCACCACAATCCCCAGTGCATTCTCCACATCCTTCACGGCCTGGGGATTTTCGTCTTCATATCCGTATAGATAGAATGTCGTGTCTTCCAAGAATGTCAACATTTCTACATCTTGAGGATCAACATTGGAGTTGTATGTCTCGTTAGTGGCATTGTTGTTATGTTGTGACACAGACGTTAAACTACTGTTTGTGGTCTCAGCTGTCGGCAGGTACTTCTGGATCACTTTAGATGGGCCTTCGCCCAGGTCCAATATGCGACGAGGGACTGCGGGACGCTTGAAACTGGCATTCATCGCCTCGATGCTCTTCTTACTTGCCGGTGATGGCTGTTCGGATTCCGGAGGCACTCTCTTCACGAGCATCATGTACTTCTCCTCCTCGGCGGGATGTTTCAATCGGTGACTCTCCAGTAACCAATCGAGTGTCACGATTTTGCACTGTATCTTCGCCATTCCAAGTCTTTTGATCTCATTCTCAGTTGCTTCGCCACATATGACATGGCTAATGTTGTCCGAGAGTTCAGTGTACAATGTAGCTCCAGCTTGGATGATTATCTTCTTCAACTTCATGCTTTCTGCTGCTGTGAAGCCGAGTAAGTAAATTTGGAGGCCATCGAGAAAAGTGCCACTCGCTTTCATCACTTTCAACTGAAGATTCTTCAGCTTATCGCGATAGTTGAAGGTGTCCTCCTGATTAGGTGTATCCAACTTAGTAGTGAATCGAGTGTGATTCCATCCCTTTAGCGTCACATCTTCATCGCGCGTCTTGGAGCACGACGCCCTGGGAGTCACACCATGCTGAGTTTCATCAATTTCCTTGTCTGCTGTCGTTACTGAGGATATCTGTGATATGTTTGACATCATCGAGAAATGGGCCCGATTTCCTGAAATATAAATAACAAAACATTGTCAGAAAGATGCCGATTGCATTGGAAACGGTAATCCAAACCTAAGTCCTTGGTGGGAGTTGAGTGTTTCACAGAAGCAATCACCCGGTAATTCTCCATGCAGACGGCGTACTTCTTGGCGGTGCTGTCGTAAACCCATTGTGGCTTTAGGCACTCGATTTTGAGCTTCCCTGACAATTTGTACTTTTCCGAGTGCGTACCATCCTCGTTAAGAATTAAAATGTTCACAATCTGGCTCTTGAAGGTTCTGGAATATGTGCCGCCATTCTCTTCAATCAGTCTCTTTATATTCTCCTTCTCAGTATTGCTCAAGTTGGTCGACGTAACAACCAACTTGTGAAACACGGGCAAGCGATGTCTGTTAAAGATTGGCTCCTCGGCAAGGATCGCTCTCTCCTGATTCTTATCCCAAATGTCCTTTACCCACTCTGGCCGGAAGATCTCTAATCCTCGAGTGCCTGCAATTTCGTATTTCTTCGACTTCACCGTGTCGGTCACCAGGTGTGTACAACTCGCGTCCAGATTGTTGGAGTAGCAACCGCCCATCCAGTGAACCAGCTTCTTAATTTCTGCCTTCTCAGCGACAGAAATGCCGGACAAACTCACAACGAGGTTCTTCATTGCAACAGTGAACACGGGAGTTGCGCTCAAAGGAATGATGGTGTTCTGGACGAGGCTGTATTTCAAGCAGGGCGGTCCAATGATGCTGTTAAATTAGGAAAAAGGCAATATTAGATGAAAATACACCTGAAATATTGCGAAATAAATATTCTCTTACAGCGCTTTCGAGTTTGAGGTTAGATGTTCAAATGCTCTCCCGGAAAACTCTTCAAAGATGAACACACTCGTTTTTGCTAAGCTCTCAACATCCACTCGCAAGCAGTAGTCCTCGTCCACCCATTTCAGATTGTTGGACAGGTTGAGGTGTTCTCTTATATGCTAAAAAGACGAAAATAAATAACCAATCCCCGGAATGATAAGGAGCCATCTTACTTCAACACAGGACAGCAAACTGGGAGCTTCTTCTTTCCTGCATCCATTTCGTAGGACACAAAAGAACGACAAGGAGTCGCCCTGCAGGGAAATATTCATCTTTTTAGTGAGAATCAGGCGAAATTTTTGGCCAAAAGAAATCACAACACTTGCAAATGCAGAAAACGTCAAATCGCGAGCCAAAATTTGAATGGCCCGTTCGGACAACGGCTTGCGATATCGAAAAACATACCCAAATCGATGAATTTTCGCAGTGCACATACATATTTTGACAATTGATTTTGTGGAATTTTTGGGATTTTCAGTGCGAGTGGAGAAATAAAAATGATTTTCCCCCTTTTACCATTTGTTGTGCTCCTCAGTAACCTGGTGAATGGTGAGTTAGGCCCAGAGAGAGAACCCCTGTGATGGAATACACAATAAATTGTTAATTACAGACGCGCAGGGAGAGGATGAAAATAAGGCTCCATGTCAAGATTTGTACGGAAAAAATATCAATCACGGTAACTGAGATTTGATGGATTTAGCCATCAGTTGTGGGTCAGAAAAGTCAATTAATGGATTACTTGGCGATTCATTGCAGGTGCACACTATGCTCCTGGACCGACCACCTGCGAGTTGTGCGTCTGCGATAACGGGAATCCGCGAGCCTGCAAGCACATGCTGTGCAAGCCCCCACTGGAGTGCAAGTCCTTCCAAATGAGCGACATTTGCTGCGAGTTCGTTTGCCAGGACGATAACTTGACCCATAGCCACGAAAGAGGCTCCGATCTGGGCATATGACTCGTGGCCACGGGTGTGACAGTCACCCTCTCCCTGTCACTCATCTACTTCCTCATAAATCGCCTGCGACAGCGCAAGATCCGTGTCCGGGAGTCTCGCCAAGTGAACGAAGATCAAAGGAGCCTGGGCAGCATTGGGTAAGTGTCAGAGATACACGGTGATTAGGGTACTTTGCCAGAGATTTGAGTGCGATTTTCTTAAGCAGCTACATCGCTGGCAATATTTCATACATGGGCAATGGGTCGATGAGCATGGAGTACCCGTACGAGAACACCGCCAATCACTATCAGCTGTGGAAGCCGTCCAGTGGATACTTCCCACGTGGAGAAGCTCCTCCGCCGTACGAGGAGGCCGTTGCGATGAATACATCGTCGTGCACTGTGAGTGTGGCCACGACAACCCACCGAACAGTGCCCATAAACATCTGCCCTGGAGACAGCTCGAGCGAAGTGGCCCCATCGAATATCACAACAAACACCACTAATCTCATAAACATTAACATTAACAATGCCGGAAGCATAACAGCTGTGGCTGCTGGCGAGAATCATCAAATTAACAATTCCATCGCAGCCATTCAGAACAATAGGTCAGACATTTAGTCATCATCTCTCATTCATTGCTTGACTAACAATTTCCTCTCGCTCTCGTTATCATTAGCACCACTAATACACCTACAGCCGGTGGTCAGAATCATCCGAGAGCAACGCAGACACAATTCAATTGCACTTCGGCCACGTGTATGGTGGAAAATGGGAATGTTTCGGTGGCTAACATGACTAACACTTCATCTGCAATCTGTTCATACGTCACGTCGCCCCAAGAGGCAAAGAGTCAGGTGCAACATTGTGGCACAGATGCCGCATTGACGAGTGGACAGATTTGCCTCAGGTCTCCCTGCAACGGACGCACAATTATTCCTAAGGATATCGAAATGCCATCTCCTGGCCAGGATAAATCGACAACTGTGGCTGCAGAGGTGGAGGCAGAGATGAAACTAGTACCAATTCTACCACCACCGCTTTTTGACGGCAGTAAATCCTTGACTCGAGACTACACTAGTGGGTCAAAGACTCCATCGACTTATAGACGGTATCATCGCACAATTCCGCGTCACTTCACCACCAGCAACACGGATGGGACGAAGGTGGACAAGAAAACGTGTCAGTGTCCCATTCAGCACGTGCCAATGACCTACATGGGATCGAGTCATCTGAATTCAGTGTCACAGAGTATGTTTCTCACGGGATTGCCCACAAAGTTGATCAGCAGCAAGAACAAGATGAAGATGAAGCCGGACGAGACAGCGCAGCAGAGTACCAATTTACATGTGGAACCCAACACTTCCGTGGGGAGTTGTACAAATAGTTTGCGTCGCGGGAGATCACCAAATACGAGGGTGGATGTCAGTCCAGTTACAATTCCACCGCCGGTGATTCCAGTGAGCAATTCCACGTGCGGAGCCAACAAAATACCCACAATTTCCAAGTATGTCCTGAACTCAGAGATGACCAAGTCCATAACTGAGGTGGAATTGCACCACACCAATTCCTTGCCGCAGACGCCAAATCAGGCTCACCCCCGTCATGTTCAGTCGATTCTGAAGAATACCACGACGTCGGCGGGAAAGAGCACGAAGGACGTCACCGCTTCCGTGGACGTACCACCATTTCCCATTCAATTGATCGATTCCATGTCGTCGGTTGTACAACAGAAGCCAAATCCGGCTCTGCCACCAAAGATGAATCGGAACACACAGAGATACCATGTTGTCAGTGGAGTGGGAAAAATTCAGACAATCTCGAAGGCGAGCGGACCTCCAGCTCCACACTATGTGCCACGGATGATTCCCTACAGTGCCACTGCGTCCAATCAATACTGTAAATCCTTGCCGCGCAACGAGGAGGCTCTGAAAAGTATGCAGGCTTTTGCCTTTGACTCGCGAATGTCAGAGAAGTCGCACAGTCTTCACAAGATCAACAGTCAACTACCCACAACGACCAATGTGTATGGTTTCCCACCAGCAATCAACCACATCACCTACTCACTGCCAAAAACCTCCGTGTCCAGCTCGTCGGGCAAGAACAGCACCAGATGCTCAATATCCGAGGTCGTGAGCAAAGTACCTTCCGTCATAAACATCCCATCGCCCACGACCAATATTAGTGGTCTGATGCAGAGTCACCATCAGATGCAACGATCGCATATGTCTGGCAGAATGGGCACATTGCACAAGGGTGAGGAGAAGCCACTGCCCGTGTGCACGACATCGAAGAACTGCTCCAATCCGAAGGAGCACTTTCTGCCCAATGACACAAGTCTAGATGACGACTATCTGAGCGAGTGTGAGAATTGTAAATCGGCACACGGATCGCGCTACTATCTCGATGCAGAGACGGAGGAATCGCCTCAGGAGACAATGACATTGCAGAGAAAAATGCCTGATAACGAAGAAGATCAGCCCTACTATCGAGCTTCACTCACATTGCCGACAAACACCAAACAAAAGTCCGCGTGAGTAGTAAACATATCTCTTTGACTGCAATCAACACAGAACTATAAAATGATTTTCTTGCGATAATTTTACAATTTGTTGTAAAATGTGTGGTTTTGTCACTGTAAATAATTTACTGATAAGTTTTGAGCATATTATACCACTTAATTTGATAAGGTAGAGTGCTTTTTCTGTTATCTTTGTTGAGATTCTTAGCACTTTTGGTTGAATTTTGGCAAAGTTTAGTGACTTGTGGAATGCAAACATGAATTCATTTTGGCCTTTCTTTTCGAACTCCTTTCAGATCCCTGAAAAACAGCCGAGAGACTTGGTTCAGCTCCATTCCGGGCAGCTCATCATCAGACGACGATGTGTGTGAATGAGACTTAAGCAATCTTATTTAATTTAATACCACCGGCAATTAAATTAAATAAGACATCTCTGTTCACGCTCCTTTCTATGCAATCGATCCAATCTTGGGAGGAATGACGTGTATTATCAGTATATAATTTTAGGATATTGTCGATATTGCAACATATTCGAATACTAACTTCTCGTTCTTCTATGGTAATTAACGGTATTAAGGACAAAGTGAATTGAGAGTAAAAACGAAGCACTAAATAGGTAAAAAAAATCGTAAAGGAATCGTAATCTCTATCTTTCAAAAATTAATCCACCGAATTTTACGTCCTCCTCAAATGATGATATATTTTAAAAATATATTCGTCTTGTTTTTTCTTCCAATTCTTTTTAGAATTGTATTGTAATTTACATTTAGTCATGATTGTTGTGAAATTCTCCTCCTTGCAGATGCAAAGGGGGATTGAAAAGGAAAATGATACCAAATAATTGTAGGTAGATTATAGTGTATATTTCTGATATTTAGGTGTGTGAAAAGGTGAAGGATAGATTATGGTAGAAGCAAAAGAAAAAAAAGGTATTTGGGTCTATAGAAACATACTTCTTCTTGTCTCTGGTTTAAGGACAAAGTGTATTTTAGGAGCCTAGCACAAGATTCACTGTAGGGAATAGGATATATGAGTAAACTTCTCGTCTCAGAGGCCGTTAATAGTATAAACAAATAAATAAAAGAGGAATTATAGTGAAACATATTGCCAGATGTGAAGAAAAATTAATGTTTGAACAAAGTAAAGAAAAATTCTGTGTAACTCGTTAATCTACCCGTAATAGTGCAGTTGGGGCATCCAATATTGACTTGAGAATTAGTTTGGAAACAAGAGAGGAGGAGAAATTGAAGTAATTACGAATAATTATGAATCAATGTGTCATTTATTCAGAATAATATAATAGTAAATTAAAAAAAATAGGAGACAAAGTATAAAGTATTCATCAACGCAGTATTATCTATTGATATTGAATTTAAAGACAAAAAAAGAGTAGTTCACAAAAGAAGAAAAAAAAACTTAAATTATTCTCTCTCTCGCTCAACAAGAATAATACTTGCCAAAGCCATACCAAAGTGTTGAATTCTCTTAATCTTAACAAATCTTGATTTTATACACAGAAAAGAACATTCTTTCTTCTTCATTATCTCTTGTTACTACGTGAAAAAAAAACGATTATATCAACTTAGACAAAAATATGCCGTAAATAACTAAAAATTAATGTGATTTTTGGCCTATATATATCAACTTTTCTTTCTCTAATTTCCGTTAACTACTTACGTATAACTAATAGTAAATTGACATAATAAATATATTAACATTATACATGTATTATTGTAATTAAATAAAAAAAAGTATAATGTGCTCTATAAAAGAAGGAAACAAGTAGTAGCGCGATAGTTTGGTTCAATATCCCATTCAAGACACATTCACGCACGTTCCCGGCGGCGCTGCTCCTGTTGGACAGCTACTCAATGTGAGCCTGCGAGATGGCATCGAAGATGGAGCCGTCCACGAGGGCGTGATTGCTGGCGATGAGGATTTCGGTGAGCTCTGTGGAATCGGACTTGGTGCGGCTGAAGGGGAAGAAGGAGTTGACGGCAGGCAAATTCGGTCCCGTGCGCTCCGTGCCGTTTTGATGTTGTGGCAGCTCGTCGAAGTCGCGCGTCTGGAGGGCCTGCTGCAGCTTGCTTACATTGCTGAGTATGACGCGATGGAAGAGCTCCACCTGCGGCGTCCCACCATTGGGGATCTCAACAATGGGCAGCCACCGATAGTAGCACTGCACCCATATGTCCAGCCACTTGACTGAGCACTGCGGACTGAGGATTATACGCGTGTCCGCGGAATCGACTGGCATGATGCTGGCTCTGGAGCACGCGCCGCCCGTCAGTGGCTGCACCGGATGATAGTCCGGCGCCCCAATGATGGGCAGCGGCACGGCTGAGGCAGGCAGCACGACAGATCGCCGGGACGGCTCCACGACAGGTCGACGGTAGCAGGGATTCGAGAAGTAGACGATGTCCTTGTCGGCAAACTGTTCACCCCAATCCCACACGGATCGAAGAATGAGTCCCTCGTTGCGCGCCACGAGTCGCTCGCGCTCCGAATTGAACTGGAATGTGTCGAAGAGGGGCATGAAGGCGGCATCCCACAGCGTGGTCAAGTACGTCTCGGTGAACTCAAAATCCTGTGGATACTGCTGCAGGAGCTGCCAAGTGCAATCGAGGAAGAGCAGGAAGAGGGGGCAATCCTCCGTGTCCGCGCTATTTACATGCCCAAGGCGAGTACTAAGGCGTAGAGAGAAGAGAAGGAGAGGAAGTCATGGTCAGAAAATGGGTGGATAAAAAGCATTGATGGTCACATTTGGAAACACCCAGCAAAAAAGCATAATCTGATCAAGCAGGGCAGCTAATTGCTGACCGAATCAAATCTTGTCTTTTCTCAAGAACAACGCCATTATAGACAGTCCAAATGCTTTTGTTTTTTACTCATTGGGATTCCACGTGATGTATGTATCTTCCAAGAAACTAAATGTGGAAGATAATCAAATGTGTGCCTAACATATTTCCACTCGTTCGCCCCTCATATATTTTATGTGCGTATTGGGGGAGAAGAGCGACGAGTAAGAAACCAATAGGAGCGGAAAATCACGTAACCACAGTCAATTTTCAATGTGTGGCAAATTGTGGTCAGGTGTTTGATGAGTGTAAACAAACACTGTAAATGGATTACAATGTGATGAAATTGATGACTCACCTGAAGGGATGCCCCAGGGCCACCCACTCCTTCTGCACCAGCGACTGGAAGCCGTTTATCGTGCGCACGTACGCGTCCAGGATGATTTGCGTGAGGCTGGAGATGACACAGCACATGTCTCGACCCTCGTTCTCCTGCAGAATCACCGTCTCTCCATTCTTCATGCGTTCCGCCACTTCCTGGGCGTAGCTAAGGCAATGCGATACGTGGAGGAGCCATGAGGAGGCCTCCAGGTGCTTGAGGAACTTGTCATCCTGATCAGAGAAGCTCTTGGGGCTGTCGGGTGTGCACAGCTGTCGCAGCTTCCTGTAGCTGCTGCCGATGGCCTCGAGGGTAGGCTTTGTGAGATCCATGATGTGGGGCTGCCTCTTCGTCGGATGGCACGCTCTCACGCGCTCAAACACCAGATTCTCCACCCGGCTATTGGTCTTGTCTCTCAGCTCTGCCATCCTGATGAGCGACGCCCGCTCGTACTGGTACACCCACACGGCGTTCCGTTTGTCGCAGAACGTCTCTGCTGCCTGGAAGTAGTCCTCATCGGTGATGTCTTTGGGTATTACGTAGCTCGCGGGCATCGAGCCGTCCGGCAACTTCTGCTGGCCGTCTATGTACAGCACTCGCCAATCCTTTGTACTAGCACCACAGCGATGCAGCTCAGACACCCAGTCAGACTTTTTGTTGAACATCGCCACGTTCCGGATGGTGTTGTAATACTTTTCTCTGCGGATGGGGAATAATTGGCTTTAGCGGAGGGTTAATTGGTGGCTTGGGGGAGATCGCTCACTTGTATCTGTATGAAAATATTAAATTATGCTGCGTAGGAAATGCAAATCTTAGTAAGGCATCCGCAATGTGTTTTCCACTTCCGGCTTTGGACTCCTTGAAGCCAAACCTTAGCATCCGGAAGTTCTGCAAAGGCACAAGAAAACGCGCGCCGCACACAAAATATTGGCGCAATTAGTCATGTCCAAATAGACCACGAGAGTGCTATCTGATATTTTATCTCCTTCCCTCCATCTCGCCCGGTTATCACAGCACAACTTTGCCGCGGCCGCGAATCGGAGGGCGGCGGGAGAGGAGTCGCATACCTTGCAAATTACGAGGAGATAGTCAATTTTCGAGCTGATCTTCACCTGAGGACTCACAATTTTCTTCTTCTTATCCACCACCTGGTAGATCAGGTCGATATTGGACAGAGTCACGTCGTTCTTCCCCAGAAAGATGTTTTCTTGGTAAACAAAATTAGCACTCTGGAAGAAGCATCAATAGAATAAGATCAGTAAATCAGACTTTCACGCATATCTCAATGTGCACAAAGGGGCGTACTTGTGAATCCTCAACAGAGATGAAAGACAACTTGAAGTTCGTGACCACAAGGAGCCCCATCTTTCCGGCACTGGAGTCATTCTTATTCGTCACTGGAGGATGTAGGACAACCTGAGTGGCGCGTGCCACTTCCAGCTCTCCGTGCAGGAGTTTCGGCTTTAGGCTCGCGTCCGCATCCCCACCGCTGTCCTGATCAGTCTGCAAAAAGAAAGGCACGCACATTACTCGCAATTTCCATACAAAAAGAAAGACAGCAAAGGTGAGAAGCGCAATGCAAATTGGTCCCCCTCGAGAGAGTGGTGTTTTTGTGTGTGAGAAAAGTTTCTACCTGATATTCCGCCAAATAACTGGTGAAGTTATTCTTCTCTTTTGTCCCAATGTGATTCATGTTTTCTCCCCTATGTATCTCTTCACAATAAACAAATAAATTTATTCATATTTGTGCTATTTTTAACTTTTTTCCTCTCTTCCCGTGAAAAGTTTCACTCACACACCATCTGACATATGCACCATAACCTCACTTCTCGCCTTCAGCTTTTGGGGCACTTTTTTTGGGTGGGATTGCCAAAAAGGCGCCTCTGCGGCTTTGCCGCCCAATTTTCAAACTCACCCGTTCCGTTGGTGGTTCCTCCTTGCACAGCCGAAAGCGGAAAGATCCCAGTCGCTTCAGCATCCTGTCCACGGCAGATCACCTCATCAGTCGCCTGAGATACTGCCTTAGCGACTTCGCAGCACAGAGAGAAAGTGTGAGACTGAGAACTGGCTGCTGAAAACGGCACTGGCAAGGACAATATATGGAGTTGATCTGCATTCACAGCCACAAATTCAATTCAACACAGCTCTCAATGCCGAAACTTGGTGATTATGGGGAGGGAAAACCGTTCGCTAAACTTGATTTTCTAGCACTTTAAATCAGTTTAATACACTCCTCGTGCTCCTCCATTCTCATATTCTCATTAAAAATACGCACTATGTCCTAGAAAATTTGTGATCAAGAATTTTTAGACTTTCGGATACACACAAAATCTCAGTCGACACATTCTACTTCCGCAGATATTGGGCTAATTTGTGAATTTGTTCAACGAGAGCTGGCATCACGGCGGAAATGGAGAAGTCGAGGAGCCCCTGTAAATGCTGAACAGCCTCTTCGTCATTCAATCCCAGCCTGAGATTGTCCTCCACCTTCTTCACAGCCTTGTCGGGCTCCAGGGCGATGTCCGGCACTGAGGCGTCCACCATGAGAGAGAAGAGGTTCAGCATGAGATTGGCGTGGCGTCGCAAGTGAAGGAATGCGGTGTAGCACAGCTTGCGGAACTCATGGTGATACTCAGAATTCACGCCACCCATCGCCTCCACCATCTCTCGGCTCAGCTTCATGGGCGGCGGCATGGGCTTGGGATCGCGACCGAGGATGTAACCAAAGTCAATGTGAAAGAGCTTGCCCGATGTCGTCAGCAGCAAATTGTCCAGATGACGATCGCCCACGCCCAGCAGATACGTGATGACGCAGTATCCGGCACAGCTCTTGATGTATGTGTCCATGATCTCAGAGGCGAAGCCGAAGGGGCCCGTCTCGCAGGGGTGATGCTTGCGGAAGTAGCTGTGGATGCCACCCTCATTGGCAATCACATCCGCCACCGTGATTGAGTCGATGTACTGCATGAAGCCGTGCCTGGCACTCGTGGCCAGCACTCTGTACGGCGTCAGCTTCAAATCGAGATTCTCCCGACGCAGCAACTTGTCCATGAGCGTGATCATCTGCAGAATCAACTGATCCTGCCGTAAATCGTCACCGTGCTTGAATATCGCCACGTAATCTTCATTGGCTGTTGTGATGAAAGTGAGCCTGAGTAGGAGAGAGAAATAGGAGACCAAAATAAGGCGAGAAATGAGACACTGTAAATATATAAACTCACTTTGCTGGCATCAGAGCACTCTTGAAGAGAGTGACATTCTGAAACACGATACCCTTGATGAAGACCTCCGGATCCAGCGGAAAGGGTCTTGCTTCGAAGCTGGCAAAGTTGATTTTGAAGGCATCCGTGTCGCCTAGCAGTTGCTGAAACTTTTCCGTCTTCTTCTTGCGATTGCCCGACTCCTTGGCCACCATCTTCACCAGCTTCACTAGTTTCTCAATGAAGCACTGCTGCTTCTTGAGATTCGTATGAATCGTCCGCAATTCCGTACTCCCCGTCGAGAGGGATCTCATGAATGTCTTCAGCACCGTCATATACATCTCTCTCACTTTCTCATCCTGCTTCCGCAGGATGTGATTGTGATCCTCACACTCCACCGTGAGATACCAGAAGAAGTAGTTCGCCAAGGTGGGATTGCGACAGGCGCGTTGGATGAGGAAGGAGGCCAAGTTGCATTTCGAGCTGGAATTTGTATCACTCATCAGCGTATTTGAAGCCTCCGATATCTCCGATGAGGAATTGTGGGCTCCCTCGTGGGATGTTTGCGCCAGTATTTCATCCATTTGTCCCGGCAAATCCACAGACGTGACGCTCTGAACGCTTCTGTCGGCAAATGTCTCCGGACTTCCAGTCGATTCAGACGTCGAGTCACACGGATTGTCGTCAATTGACTTCATGATCTCCTTCTCGGGCATGATCTTCCGGTAAATTTCGAAAATCTCATCGAAGTTCTCATACTTGAGCGCCTGCACCAGCTGCAGGAGATACAGCAGCAGGTCCTCATCGGGCGCCTGCTTCAGCCTCGTGATAGCATACTTTCGCACAGCCGGATGAGAGAATGTGGGCGTCAGCAGCTCGAGGGCATCCTCCACGTCCATTGGCGTCCAGTGAGCCAATAGTCCCAGCGCCTGTCTCACCTCAGCCACTGTCTCCCAGTTGATGCACTTGAGAAACTTCGTGAGCGCCTTCTTGTGGCTGCTCAGATAGAACCGGAACTTCCACACCAAGTCCTGCTCCTCGCTCGACAGCGTGTATGTCGGCGGATAGCGATAGACAATCGTGTGGAGAATATCACGGTCACCTGCTGTGGGCTTTGCATCCCGATCCGATAGGCCTGACCGCGCTGAACGCGACAGCAAGTGATGCTTCTTTTCCACTAAGTTATCCTGCAATACACAATAGAAAGTTCCCATTTATTTACCTGAATCGCTTGCGCTCGAGAGGCTGTGGGAAATGGAACACCTTAAAACTTATAAAACAGCTACAGAGCCATTTGAGAAATACTTTCACTCCGCCACATCGCAATTTCCACTTAAACACCATGCAGAACTGCTTTTTTTATGAAATAGTACCAATTTCTTCTGCAGAATTTCACCTGCAATTTCTCCCTCTCTAATGAGATTAAGTGCTCGACATTGACCAGCCTTCATTCTGCGTTGTGTGACCTCATTTTTCACCCAATAACTCAATATAATGCAGATAACTTCAAAATATATACTCACTAAAAGAATCTCAGGATCAGGAACTGTCACTAATTTGGGCTTGGAGATAAATGTGTACTTCTGGTCGCCGTCAGGCTCAAAATAAACAATGGAGCACTGTAGAAAGAGGGAATTTTTCAAAAAATACTTCAAAATCTTCTCCAAATTTGCATTCTCACCGGTTTCTCGTCGACAAAAACCGAAGGAAATTCCACCATTAAGTACATATAGTCCGACTGGCGCTTCTCCTTCTCATTTATCACTTCAATCTCCCGGAATGTGAGTCTATCGAGCCAGTCAACCTTCTGCATCTGTCCATTCCGATGGCGCTTAGCCAACTTGGCCAATCTCTGCATTTGATTTTTGCTAGCGTCCTTTCCCTTGCCTGGAGTGCTGCTGGGAACGTTCCCATCGCCTGCGACATCCGGCCAGAGGCGAAGATCATACACTCCCTGTCGCAGGAGACCGTTCTTTCCGAACAGTGAGATCGACGTGCCTGCCACATTGACGGTTCGTCCAGGACCCGCGTAGTCTAGTATCGTGAACGTGAGTACAGCCGTACGTGGAATATCCCTCATCTCCATCGGCAGCGTCACCCATTCGTTCCAGTTCCATCGCTTTGTGAATGCTTTAAATGACGTCGTCACGGCGACTCCGTAGGGCTTTCCCTTGTTGAACAGCTGCAGTCGCACCATTAGCGAGGCGCAGGATTCGGTGTATAAGCCCGAGAAACGCAACATTGGGTCCTCCAGCAGCTTCTCATAGCACGGCTTGTGCTGGAAACCCTCAAAAGTTCCCCTGCAAGAGGGAATAAATCGAAGGTCTCTTGGGTGCCATTGTTGTTTTGCCCAAATCTAGTGCGAAAATCAAAGCTTTACTTACACTTTAACACAAACCCGATTGTCCAGCGACGAACTGTACACGTATCTAAACACGTCGTCTGCGTCGTCCATGGCGAGGAATTAGTGATTTCTGAGAAAATTCTATGATATTTCTCGCAACATAAAATTTTGCTTTGTTTTCCTTTGCAGCTTGTCAGCTGATTATCTTCTTCTTCTTTCTTTGCACGCAAGGTGTTTCCGAAACACCCCCTTTTTTCGAATATGCGTCTACTGCCAACTTCAGGGCGAGTGTGAGATTGTCAAAAAATGGTGTTTTTAGTAAACAAACACGAGGATGATTCAACGCAATTTCAAGAACGATAAAGATGCCCGTAGACGACAGATAGACACGCTGAAAATCTTCAATGACCAGTTGAGTATATGGAGAATTTGTTGAGTGCAAAGGTTCACGAATTTCTTTTGTTCACAGTGTCGAGGAAGTTATTGAAAATGAGGAATACACCGTGGGATTTGAGTCGGGTGGGCGAAATTTCCTGATCTCCGTGTATTTGTGTCCAGCCTTCCCAAATGAGAAACCTAAGATTGTAATATCCCCGTCGGTGGAGCATTTATGGATCTTTGGGCCAACTGGAGAGGTAAACAATGCTCCTGGATTGCTGAACTTCACGGCTCACTCGGATTTGGGTCGCATCGTGCAAGCTATCATCAGGGAGTTTGAGAAGTTCCCACCGAGGCTCTTCAACGCAACAGAGGAAGGTATTCAGTACACTCAGATGGATCTGAAGCAAACACCGCAGGCTGAAGGGTCAATTCCTGAGCTAAGCAGCCTTACGATTGATGAGCTGAAAGAGCTGGACAATGACCCAGAGTCTCTGAATGACTTTGTGGAGGAGTTGACTGTTGTGAAAAAGCTCAGCAATGAGCTGGACGTCTTGTTGCAAGACATTGAAGCTATCGCAAGTATGTTGTATGTCTTATTAATAGATAAACGCTTATTTATAATTCACTACCTAATTTAGAGGATAACATGTCCCAGGAGGAGAGAATGACTGCTCTGCGAGAAGAGGTTACCAAGAAGATGAATGATTTTCGCATTCTGGGTGACTCGTACGACTCCCTTTGTGTGCAGCAAAAGAAGAAAGCGGAGGAATTCTCTCCGCAGCATATAAAGGTGAGAAAAAAATGCATGATTTATTGCAATGATGGCAGGCATAACAAAAGGGGTGTATTAATATTCCAGGAACTCCTACAAATCGCTGCATCCATCTCGGATACGGAGTGTGAGGCGTGCGCTGAGGAATTCCTTACTGGGAAAATTGATGTGCAATCGTTTCTCAACACGTACATGGCAGCAAAGAAATTGAGCACGATGCGAAAGGCAAAGGAGGAGCGCTTGACATCGCAGCTGAATTCCCTCGAGAAGCATTCCCTGCTGTGACCAGAGTTCTTCTGTTTCCACAACAAGTGATAAGGAAAATTGAAATCGCGTTTTCAATTAAAAATCATTATTTGAAGGTCGCAGTGTTGATTGAAAACTTATCGTTTCGCCTATCTGGATGAGAAATTTTTCTGTGACTGATAGCCCCCAAGCGGGGGTGGACAAATTGAGTGGCGAGCAGTGGGGCGAGCACGAGAGCGCATGAGTGGTGGATGTATAAACACTGTGCGAGAAGGGAATACACAATTGAATCTGTGGAGCTTCTCCACTCGCAATATCAGTCAACCGTGGATCGTCGTGACAGCGTGCAGTGGAAATTACGCCCAAGTTCGACAGGAAATTGTGGTGGTAGCTCCCATTTTGGAATACGAAGCACTCTCCTGCAGATTCCGAGGCGCATTCTACGCTGTAGTGGCCCATGAGAGTGTCGCCAGGGTGTTAAATGAATTGATTAAAAGGGCGCTTCTGGATGCGAGCGTGTGCAAGGTGTGCCCCGTGATTGTTTCTCCCGCAGGAGACTCCTTCTCTGAAATTCATCCAGGAACACACATCATCAGTCGTCACGTTGGACGGAAAAATATTTTCGGCGGTGAACAATTTCCTCACTGCATCGTCATTTGCCAAGGAAATACGTCAATTGATCATGGTGAGAAAAATCTGTCCCGCTCTCCTGTCTTTTTTTCCACCCCAATAGAGCCATATCCTTTGTGCGGAGGGAGTCTTTTTTTTCGGCGCAGTGATGGCAAAAGGAGATATATATTCTCAACATAAAACCTCACCCATTTGCGTTCACATCTCGTTTTCTCTATATCGTGGTGAAATTATAGCATCACACCATTCAATTCCACACCCCGAAAGTCGCCACCCACGCCCAACACCGTACGACTTATAAAACTCCCTTCCTCTCTCTCTCCTGCCAACGCTGCCAACGTTTCTTCTCTCCGGAGATTTCCATGTAAATTTACGGCGAGTCTTTGTGTCAATAATTTCTGGATTCCTTCACATTCTTCTGCGTATTTTTTCCACCCCTCTCGTCCATCCGTCCGTCTATTTACCCATCGGATTTCGCCAACTCCCCTGCCCACCCACTCTCACACCTCGGCGGCGACACGAGTCGATGGAAGATGATGGGGAAGAAAGAGGAGGTAAATTGATTTAATTGAATCTCCCTCGAATAGACACGCCAAGCTAGTGATCGTCCCGATGGGGATGATTCACAGAGTCAGCAGCCACCGCCCGATTCACAGTCCTCGCCGGCCAGTGGATCGCAGAATGTGTCTATGGACGAACCCAGGAGTGCCAGTCCCAACTCCGAAGGCAACGTCTTCTTTGGCAGTCGCCCACGCACGACAGACTTGGCTGGGAAGCGTCGCCTCATCTCTAAGAACCAAATGAGAGGTAAAGCACCCTTTTCATTAAACATTCACCTTCGCCCTCTTCTGCTCCGCTGGATTTGCCCTCAAAATTACTAATTCCACACGCCCCTCTCTCCTTCGCCACCGCCGTGCAGAGGTGATATAATGAGAATTAATGTCAACACAATACCAAAATCCATCCTTTAAATATTGTATTAAACGGAATATTAAATAAGGATTGGAGTGCCGGTGATTGCCAAGTGACTCTCGCACTCGTGAGTTCTCAAAATGGTAAAATCCCTCCACTAATTATCTCTCTTGAATTTTATATAACAAATTCAGCGGAAGATATTTCGTGTTTCGCGAGAAATTTAATTTGCCAGGCGTTTTTCGGCTGCTCACCATTCTTGGGGTGGTCATTGGATTAAATTTTCCATTCAGCACGGAAATAATCTGGCGACGCCACAGGAAGCGGAAAGATTGCTGAAACTTTCTCATTTCATTAGCATTCTCATATTGCAGACAGTGAAGGAGACATGGAGAAAAAATTAAAATGATATCGTTTTTAGTGTAGGGAAAATTTAAATAAATCAATATTCAGATAATAATTCGTGGAATTTTCATCAATTTCCCAGGGAAGAGCTTCCAGTAAATATTTATAAACAGCACTCTGTATTGCGAAGGCTTGTGATACCTTGTTTTATGTACCTTTTATGCTACATTTCAATGGGTTTTCAAGTGGAAAATTGCGCTTCATATTTACAAATCAAAAACTCCGCAGTTCTACCGTTTACTGTGAAGGAGAACCGATTTTCTCGACTTTACATTACTTAAGTTCTGTCCTCTGAGCAGGAGAGTCGGTAAATAAGTGTTTGTAGTAAAGGAAAAAAAAATTACTTTCTTCTTATCATGAATGTCAAGCGTAAGTATTTTTAGAGACAAAAATACCTCTTCCCAAATATTAATTCTTGTGCTTGACTAATACATTTTTCATCGGGAAATCCATTATGCAAATGTTTATCGAGAAAATATCTGAATCCGTGCTTATAAAGTTAATATAAAAGGGAATAATATTGATAACTTCTCTCCCCTCTGTTTCCACATTCCTGAGCTATATTTGTCCTGAGAATCACATCTGTGATGGTTTTTAACATTAAAGTTGATTTTCAGAACCAAATAAAACGTCCCCGCATCTTTTCAATCTCGGAGCAGCGGCGTAGAAAGCGTACGATACTTGAAAATCATTCCAAGAAGGTTCACTTCCCTCTGTATTGAGTGATTCCAGAGAAAAAAATTTCAGCAACTTAATCGTTCTCAGAATCCGATTGTGTGTGATACAGAAAATCGTGAATCATGTGGCGAAAGAAGACACACTTTCCTTTCCCACTTCGCCAACAAAACATTCTCTACGCCACTGCTGCCGAGTAAATAAATATTTGCTCTATCTTCCCAGACTTCCGTGAGGCGTTCCGTCTGTTCGACAAGGATGGGGACGGAAGTATCACAAAGGAGGAGCTGGGCAGCGTGATGCGCTCCCTGGGGCAGTTTGCGCGCGTTGATGAGCTGAAAGACATGCTGCAGGAAATTGATATGGACGGCGATGGCAATGTGAGCTTTGAGGAGTTTGTTGACATCATGTCCAACATGACGGACTCCACTGTCGAGTCGGCGGCCGATCAGGAGGAGCGCGAGCTTCGTGACGCCTTCCGGGTGTTCGACAAGCACAATCGCGGATACATCACAGCTAGTGACTTGCGGGCAGTGTTGCAGTGCCTTGGCGAGGATCTGGATGAGGACGAGAGTGAGTGGCTCTGGCCGTCGCGATTGCAATGAGATTAATCACTCCTAATCCTGCTTCTATCGCCTTTTCCACAGTTGAGGATATGATTAAAGAGGTGGACGTGGATGGCGACGGTCGCATAGACTTCTATGAATTCGTACATGCCCTGGGTGAACCCGAGGACTCGCAGGATAATGAAGAGGAGGACGACGCCGTATCGCCACTACCGACACCCCTTCCAATCCGCTAAGTCACGTCACACAAAATGATTATCAATCATTCCCACTCTCTCAGCGTCAACTGACCCCTCAACTGACCAACTTCACCGAAAACCCGCAGAGAAATAATTAATTCCCATACCCAGTCCTACGCCCGTGAATTGCACATACCCTCTCTCACGCCCACTGAGGTCACGCACTATTCACCCACTGACCCACCTTTGGCACCCCCAAACAACCCCTCGCATCCTGAGCAACATATCAGTTGAGCAAAATTTCCTCAGAAGGAGCATTGCATTATAAATCTCATCACAATGATCACAATGGAAAATGAAGATTAACATTTTATCGTCCTATTTGCTCGTACAACTTTTTGCGTGTGACAATTTTATCCGTATTAAAAAAAAAGAAGAAAAAACTGAGAAATTGTCATACTACAATTGATCATACTTTGGAAAGAATGTCAAATAGAAGAAATCAAAAAAAGGAAATCTATACTTAACAAAAATAACATGAAAACTTGTATCGTAAACTTATGAGATATAGCGCAAATTGAAAATATTTATGGGCTCGAATTTTAAATGTAAGGGCACAAATGTTGAATTTCAACTTTGTACCAATGTGTTTGTCTCTTTGAAACCTCCTTTGAATTTGAAACAAGTCTATTTCGGAAATTTTGATGTGAAAGATCTTTGAAAATATCATGTCTTTACACTATTGAAGCAAATTGAAGAGATAAAGTTGTTAGTGTAACTCTCAGTGTGTCTATAAATAAAAAGAGATATTTCAAATTGGAGAGAATCTCATTCTACTTATATTGTTGACTCTTCGCTTCTGTGATTGAAATGTGAGTGGAAAAAGTCGCTTATCTGCATGTCACATATTCCGGTGGAATATGGCCAGAATCCCCAAGACCTCGCAGAAGAACCCTTCCAGATGGGAGAATGGAGATCCAGGTGATTGATGCGTGATTCAAGGAGATTCTCAGCCAAGCCTCAGGCGGGAACTAAGAAATTGTACACATAATATGTTAGAAAAAAGGACCTTTTGAGGCACAGGAGATGGATTTACCTGCAGGGCTCGGCAGACAAAGTATCTAATGACGTTTGCGTGACAAACTAGAAGTGTGTAAGATTCCTTTGTCTGCTCAGGAGGCGCCCTGTGGAAGTACTTCCGGAAAGCAGCCTCAATTCTTGCTCCGTCCTGGAAGAACTGCTGCAGAGAAAACAATAGATTTAGACGTGCTTTCAAGCCATATCAAATAATCCTCCACTCACATGCTTCTCTGGCTTCCAATGGCCAATTGGTGGTTCCGGAGGAATAGGCGCTCCCTCTTCCAGCAGTGAACAATGCTCCACTGGCACTTGAGGCAGGGACGAGGATATAATGGTTCCAGTCTCTTGGGCACGCAGCAGAGTTGATTTTATCATTTTATCCCAGTTGATTTGCAAGACTTTCAGGCGGTCTCCTGTGAATGCCGCCTGCTTTCGGCCAATTTCTGTGAGGTAGTGCTTAGCGTCCGACTCTCCAGACTGATTGTACTGCCCGTGTCTAATCAGAATGATGTGCCGGATCACTTTCGGAGTGGCTTTCTCGAGTTTCTCGTTGTATTTATTCTCTTCGGTAGACTCGGCGTCCGCCTTGAGAGGCTTTACAAGGGAAGCAGGATCTCGACTGCAGAGTGAACAAATTTATGATAAATCACGCGAAGAGGCAAACGGAAGAGGAAACTTACTGATCCCAGTTAGAGTCCCACTTCCCATACTTGGAAGGTTTAAAGTTGGTGGTCCAGGAGTTGAACACAGTGTTAGTCTCTTGCTTCCGGGTGTAAAAGTAGTATGCAGAAGCTCCACCAACAGCACCAAAAATCACCGCAGTGGCTTTTTGCAGTCTTGACCAGGAAGTCATCCTGCAAAAGGAACATTTCATAACCTCCAAATTCACGGTTTTGGCAAATCATTCTGTGCTTCTCACCTTGGGGACTTATTTGAACATTCACAACTGTGTGTTATGTTTTAGGTGAAGTGGTGAACTTGGAAAACAGGCTGAAGCAAATACTGAATAGGAAAAACGCGTGAAAACGGCAGACAAAAACGCCGCAGACTTCTTTCGAACACCGCTCCAATGTTCGAAAAGTGGTAGCCTTTACTTCGCGATTTGCATGAGTGTGTGTGTGCGCGCGCGCTTGGTGTGACGTGTGTGCGAAATATGAAGAACAGTGGCGTGTGCAAATTGTGCGTTTACGTTTATATGATGAAAGAAAGAAAAATTAAAAATCCTACAAGTCTTTACACTTTTCAAAGTGCTTTTCTTGAAATTCCAGATTCTATGGACAAAAAAATTTGAAGCAATTGGACAACTCTAGGTTCTCTAGGAAAGTGACTTCGCTGATAGAATTGTGGGGATATCAGTGATGACGATGTGTGCGTTGCACATTATCACACCGAGGCTCCACTGCTGGTAGTCCTCCTTGACATTCGAACAAGGCGGCAGTGGTAATCCGGCGGTCCGTGCGTGGTGATGTGATGATTCTCGGCTGATAAGACGGCAGAAAGAGTCTCTGGCAGAGGAGATAATTGCTGAAAGTCGCCCAAAAGTGTGCTCCGAAAGCTAGTGTGCTGCAATCAACAAGGTACAGTGGGGCTTTGTGCACGTGAGTCGATAAAAAAGTGGTGACGCAAGAAATGGCAAATTCTAGAGAGTCTTGCCTCCCGGAGAAAATGACTTGTAGAAACAGACTCTCCCTCGCGGCTATATATAAATGAATGGCCATTCCCCAATCGGTCACAGTGCGGCCGGTGTGCTTCTCCACATACAAATGTGGTTTACATTAGATTGCGCAATTTGCTCCATCACACAACTCTGGGCGGCCAAAGATAAAACACTCTCCAACGGAGCGTGCTTCAAGTGACATCGTCTTGCTGTGCCTCTCTGTGGTTTTACTCACTAATCAGCCAATTTTCCACGGAAAATCCAGTTCAGGGCGACTGTAGGAATATCTCAGTGATTTCTCAGTTGATTTGGCCATCAAATCGAGGTGTCATTGGAGTGATTTTGTGAAAATTTTAGAGCGACAGAAACTCTCGGCGGAGATCGAAATTCTCGAATATTTTCCGTAACGTTTGCATTTCCTCCGCTTTTCACGAGCTAAGCAGGCGAGTACAAGTGATTGACGGTGGCTTGTAAATCATCCAAAAGCGATTTTGCGGCGCAATTGTGGATATTGGCTGTAAAAATGTATCAAACACTTGAATAACATTGTGCTAGATCATCACTAAACAAGTCAGCAAAACGTCCCATGTTCAACTACCGTAATCGATAAAATGTTGGTAGATAAAAGTGACTCTCCATTTTTCATGCTAATCACAATCAAATGTGTTGAGTTAATGGGCAATGGAGAAAAAAGTCTCGAGAGTGGTGTTGTATTGATTTTTATTCATGAGTCAGCAGTCCTCTCAATTATCCGTCCAATGCAGATCGATGGCTTGGCTAGTTTATTTGCAATGGTCACAAAATTGTCGGGGCCAAACTGTGACGAATATCTCTCTCAATTGCCACTCAACGGGTCAAGATGGGCTCGAATCCGGCTGTAAGTAATTGGTTGAGAGGCCCAGAGATAAGACAGTGTTATCAGTTGTACACGAAAGAGTCATTGAGGCAATTCCTTGATAGCTTCCCTACAAATTCACCCATGACTTTGGAAGAAAACAAATTATCAGTGTATTAACTCTGTGTGTCTTGTTGCAGAAATGGGTCTCCTTTCCGAGGGCAGTCCACTGAGTTGGGAAGAGACGAGGAAGCTGGCCAACCACGTGCGACAGCATGGCATTGAGCAATTCATTCATCTCTACGCACGCTTGAGAGATCGCCAGGGGGATATTCTCAAGTGGGGCGATGAGATAGAGTACATTCTCGTGAAGTTCGATGACGAGAAGAAGACAGCCAGAGTGTCTCTACGTGCTCAGGAGATGCTGGCACTGCTCAATGAGAAGGAACTCGCTGATCCGCAGGGTGTGAAATCCCTGTGGCGCCCTGAATACGGCGCCTATATGGTTGAGGGCACTCCTGGGAAGCCCTATGGTGGTCTCTTGGCACACTTTAACGTCGTGGAGGCAAATATGCGCTATAGACGGCTGGAACTGTCGAATTTGCTGCCACCAGGCGAAACTGTGCTCTCCATAACCAACTTTCCCAGGTAGAAACGATTAATGCTAAATTTCTTTCATGGCAGATGATTAATTCCGTTGATATTTCACAGGCTGGGTTGCGACGTCTTTACGTATCCTGAAGCTGTTCCAACGCCCGATGACGAGAATTGTGCCGCTCGATCACTCTATTTCCCCGATGAGGGCACATATGCTGGTCATCCGAGATTCAAGACGCTCACGCGGAACATTCGCATGAGGCGCGGTGAGAAAGTTGCCATAAAGCTGAAGGTGTTTAAGGATGAAAACACAAAACTGCCCGTCGAGGGGAGTCCAGCTGGTGAACCGGAGGTTGTCTTGATGGACGCAATGGGCTTCGGCATGGGCTGTTGTTGTCTCCAGCTCACGTTCCAGGCCTGCAATATCACCGAAGCTCGCACCCTCTATGACCAACTCACTCCACTGTGCCCCATTATGTTGGCTCTAAGCGCGGCATCTCCTGTCTACAGGGGCTTCCTCACGGAGTCCGACTGTCGCTGGAATGTGATCAGCGCATCGGTGGACTGTCGCACGCCGGAAGAGCGTGGCGAGAGGCCGCTGAAGGAGGGCCAGTTTAGAATTTACAAATCTCGCTATGATTCCATCGATTCGTACCTGTCGCCAGCTGGTGAAAAGTAATTGTATTTTCCAATGTAATAGCATGGGGGATTTCTAGAAAATCCCCTATGATTAATATTCCCATTCAAGCTTAGCATTTCCTGTGAAATATGATATTTGAGTGAAAGCGATAAAAGAGTGAAAAATGTCTTATTCTACCATTTCAGATACAATGACGTGCCTTTAGTATACGACGAAGCGATCTATCAACGACTTCGCGAGGGTGATATTGATCATTTGCTGGCCCAGCACGTTGCTCATCTTTTCATTCGCGACACTGTGTCGCTGTTCAGTGAGAAAGTGCACCAGAATGACGAACAAGACACGGACCACTTTGAGAACATTCAATCGACAAATTGGCAAACGATGCGCTTCAAGCCACCACCGCCCAACTCATCAATTGGGTGGCGTGTGGAATTCCGGCCGTGTGAATTGCAGCTGACGGACTTTGAGAATGCCGCTATTGTGTGCTTTGTTGTGCTCCTCACACGTGTTATTTTGTCATACAAACTGGACTTTCTCATTCCAATCAGCAAGGTTGATGAGAACATGCAGAAGGCACAGAAGCGCAATGCATGCCGAGAGGAGAGGTTCTGGTTCAAGAAGCACGTCACTGGACAGATGAAGAATGGCGAGGCATTCGTTGAGAACGGCGTGTCAGACACGGAGGAGGAATATGAACTAATGACAATCGATCAAATCATTAATGGAAAGGTGAGATAAACAAGACTGGTGGCATTTCTTTGAATGAGAGTGGAGACTAATGATATTTACTTGCAGGACACTTTTCCTGGACTCGTACCGCTGATTCACAGCTACTTGGGCTCCATGGATGTCGATGCGGATACTCATTGCACCATTCAACAGTACTTGAAACTCATTCAGAAGCGCGCCTCTGGTGAATTACTCACAACAGCCTCGTGGATTCGGCAGCAAGTCGTCAATCATCCAGAATACAAGTGAGTGCAAATAAATTCCTCTCGGTTTAGTCACAGAGCAAAAATTAACAAAACGACATTCTCTCTCGCTTCTACAGAAAAGATTCCATCGTGAGCGACAGAATAAATTATGACTTGCTGAAGGTGTGCAAAGAGATTCAGGACGGCGAGAGGCAGTGCCCGGAATTGCTGGGTCAGGGGAACAATTCGAAGACAAAAGATAACATTCCGCCAGCCATACAGAAGCACTTGACCATTGCAAATGCATGTACTTAATGGGAAACTTTGTGTACTTCGTTGGGTATAATAGTCTGACTATGCTGTTGTATTTCGTCACAATCTCCCGTGTGTGAAAAGCGAATGGTGTGGATTTGTTAAATTTCCTTCTCTCATTTCCACTTTTCCCTCCGTTTTCTCTTTCCGCGGAGCTAAAGCAACGACTTAACGCACACTTATTCACATGATTTGCCGCGTTTGCCGCCCAAATTGAGAATTACCTGTGTTTTTGGCGCGTTTTGGGGTAGAACACAAATGATGGACGAGAAGAATAAGATCACTGTTGCAAATGAGTGAGGAAATACGTAGTGTGACATTATTGAAGTGAAATGTGATACGGGTAATTGTTAATTTTTGAACACACAAATAGACACACACATCACCTTATTTCTTTTAAGGCATTGCTTCTTATATGCATCTCATCCATTCACTGTAATATAAACAAGATATTGTGCATTTAATAATGAACATCGTTCCACTGAAAAGCCTTCATCATTCCTTTGAAATACAGAGAGAGAGAGAGAGAAGAAAATTTTTACCACGTGAGATTTTATCGTTTTTCAGTGCAATTTCCTTTATTAATCCTTAATGTATTTCCTTTTGTTGAGTTTTTTTTGTGCTCAAGAGTAGATTGCATGATAGATTTTTTTTGGCAAGAGGGATTTTACATTTTATGTACTTCAAGTCTTTATTAGACATGAAATTTATGATGATAGATCAAAAAAAAAACTAATACAAATGATGAGAAAACAAATACCTACAATTAAAAAGAAAATGTAGAGAAAGAGAGACACAATAAAATGTAATAATTTGTTAATAAAAGTATGGATTTTTAAAGACACACGAGATATTTGCAGAATGACTGTGACTTCGCTGAAAATTTTTCTTCAACCAAACATGAACACTGTTTTGAAGGAATTTAACTCGACATGAATAGGACAACTTGCTGTGTTGTTACTCGGATCTGGAGAATATTTTTGAGTTGTATAGAAAGCTTGTATATTCGCGTATCTAAAGTGCAATAGAAAAGCATTTTTAAAGAGTATAAAAATTGATTAATATGTTTATTTTTAAATATCCTTTATAAAATCGTAGAAAAATTTTTTTTAGTATAAATGTTGCCTTACATTTTTTTTTTATGTTTTTGAATAGATACTAGAGCATTTTTGTCTAAATATATATTTGCTTATATTTGATTGGGGTGCAAATTACGCAAAAACTCGATTCTATTTGAACATCTCGTCTCAGTAATTCACACTCTTACAATCTACACTGGAATCTCAATCATATGTATGGAGAGGAACAGTTCCTTAAGATATAGAGTTACATATGTATTTGGCTCGTTTTATATATACTTTGAGCCCTAAATTGGGATACAAGATATGAGATATGGTCGAAGAGGATCTAGTATTGTTCTTTCTTTAATATTCAGCTCTACGCTCTTGATTACAGTTCGATTTTTAAACATAGTGATCGTAAATTTTTACTTGACGCCCATAGCAGGGTAGAAATCTAACAGGTCTCCACTTCTGGAATGAACATTCAAGATTACTCTCATATTGACGCAATATTAGAGACATCTGAGTGAGATTTATGAATTTCGCTGTTTATTTTCACATTTTTATCAGTTGCATTTTTTGTCTCCAGTCTTCAAATATAACCAAGAGCTTTCGATGGGAATTCCAAGCCTCAGTGAAAAGATGCCTCCACACGATTACATCACGTGTTTGACATAGATGATTACAAGAGTTCGCGGCACTTTGATAAGGCGCGCCGAAAGGAATGAGTGAGTGACCCATTGTAGAGGGTAAAGTTCAAGTCAATACGAAAAATGATGGAAGCAATTTTCAGAGGCTGACAAGTTCTCTACAAATGCAGAAACACACAAATCGATTTATGATTCGCTCTTGTCATTCAATGTCGAGGATTAACGCATTTAATTAAATTCAGATTACTGGAATTCCATAAATCTCTCTCTCGATGCCCCTGTCGTATCAAAATAGCAAAAAAAAACAAGAAAAATCACTGGAATGCAAAACACCATGCAATCAAAAGAATGCCAATGATAAGTATAGTTAGAAAAAATGTGATTTATAAAGAGTAAAGTATATTCACACGGGTAATTCTTTAGCAAATTCACATCAATTGGGGATGATTATTTAAAAAAAATGTGATGATTTTATATAGGTATTATTTTGCAATCTTTGGCTTTCGTTCTCTCATGAAAATTTTTATGAGGAGGCAGCGATTAATTGTGCTAAGCCTTTCTGGGAGCACACCATTCCTCGCAATGTAAAAGTAACCGTGAGAAAACTTATACTATACTGTATTGCTCGTCGCGGGTACAACCGCTGTGTTGGGAATGGCCACCACACAGGCTCCAGCTCGACTGAAGTTCAGAGAGGCCAATTGGGACCACTCATTAGATTCCGGATCGTATTGCTCGACAGTCTGCAAGAGAAATGTGAAAGGAACAGTTTAATATGCCTTGAGTACTGCTTAAATTGCGTATAAATTACCTTTAAATATTGATTCCCATCGTATCCTCCAACGGATAGAATTCTCTCGCCCAGAAGAGCCACTCCAATGGAATCCCGTCCAACATTGAGCGACGCCACGAGGGTCCACGTATCCGTTCCAGGATCATATCTCTCCACCGTCTCCGTGCGCGATGCTGAGGGATTATTAGCAGAATTCTCGTGTCCGCCGAGAGCATAGATGTAAAAATTTGCTGCTGTCACTCCAACACCAGCTCGACGCTTCACCATAGCAGCCCGGAGACTCCACTTGTTCGTGTGCGGATCGTAGCGCTCAACTGACCTGTGACATCCGCTGCCATCTCGCCCACCAACCACGTACAGATGTCCTCCGAGCACTGCTACTCCAGCTGTAGACCGCATAGTTGTCATCGGAGCCACGCTGCTCCAAGTTCTGGTGCTGGGATCCCATCGCTCTGCTGTGTTCAAGAAACTCCAACCGTCATGACCACCAATCACATAGAGAGGACCCCCGAGGACTGCAGCGCACAATCCATGGCGATTCGTTATCATCGGTGGGAGACTGGAAAGAAGAAAGCAAAAGTTCAAGAGATCTGATTCCTTTTTTTTTGGTTTTGTCCTGCGATATTTACTTGCTCCACGCCATGGTTGTGAGATCAAGACTCTCCACTGTATTAAGAGTCTTTAGGCCATCGCGTCCACCCACAATAATCAGTCGGTTGTCCATCACGGCCACGCCAAATTGGAGCCGCCTGGCAGTCATATTCTTCACAAGACTCCACTTGTCGAGGCGTGGACAGTAGCTCTCGATGCTTATTGAACCCTTGTGAGCATCCATGCCGCCCACAGCCAACAACTTTCCCATTGTTGACTTTCGCGGACGTGCTCTCTGGCTGGCGATCAGGGCGCGACGCTCCGGCAAGAGGTGCCACTTGAGGGCTTCCATCACCAACTCCTGGCAGTTTGTGCTCTCGCACAGGGACTCCACATGATCGGCGATGAACTGCCACATGAAGAATAAATGTTATCAAAATATGCACTATATAAATGAGGATAGTAATCACACTCACCGCCGGATGAAGCAGAGGAAGCCGTATCAGTGCTAGAAGATCTGGAATGTGCTTCTCTCTGTTCTTGGAATCGTGCTGAATCCACGCAAGCAACGCGTGGAACACGTCCTGCTCAGATGGCACATTGAGATTGTCGCTGGCCAGCAATTTTCCCAGTTGCTCAGCCGATAGCTGGAAGAACTCCTGATTCCTGCATACCTGGACAAAGTGCTCGCACGTGTACTCCGTGGCCACTTTGAGCAGTGTGTCACAACTCTGCTGCTCGGCGAACAGAGCGAATCCCAAGCAGTTGGAGGGATGAAGCTGACGTCCTAGGAAAGTGCAGCAAGCATTCACCACGGCGCCCAATTGCAGAAGACTTGCGGTGCTCAAGAGGGTCTCCACGGTGTCTTCACGCAGTTCGATTGTCCCTGTATAACAGTACTGCACCAGAAGTTGAAGGGCAGTGCCCGTGACTTCGCCAAGAGTGATCTCCTGCTCCTGCGCCTCCCTCAGACTGCCTGTGAACATTGCGTCGAAGTACGCACTGACTGCCGACAGGACGAGTCGATGTGCTGGTACTCTGTGGAGACAAAGAGAGTGGGCTCGGTGAGATTTCCCAGATGCATTCCGAGAGGCCAATTAGCCGAGATGATTGAAGGGGAGCAAGAAACAAAGGGCCTTTGTTCTTAAACTGCGAACAAAGAACTCACCTCTTTCCATCCACACCAGCAATCAGCACCACGTCGCAGAGCTTCTGGCTCTCCAGATAGTATTGCATTCTCTTGAGTGTGAGATCGCCGTGATCTCGGGAACAGAAGTTCTCATCTTGGCTTGTGCTGGACGCCAAACTCACGAGACTGTAGTCTCTCGGCAAGAGAGATTCATCAGCTGATGTTGTGGTCTTTGTTGACTCCCTACCGGGACTTCCTCCTCCAAATGACATCTCTAATCACGATACTGGGCTTCCAGTCTTGCAGTCTCTCTCCCACGTCTTTTGTTCACTGCCGCAAATTATTGGGAAAATTGCACAGAAGAGGCGGAGTTGGAGCAATTTCTGCGTCCTTTCACTATCGCGACGGAACCAAAACTAAATGCAAAGAGACGCGTTACGTTGCACTCCACGACCGCAAATGTAACAAAGCAGTGTAAGTTCTTGCAAAAACCCTCTCTTTAGCCATTGTGTAATTATTTATAATTCCCCATCGCAAATAGAAATCACAACAAAAAACACCAGCGATGCAAGAACCACAAAAACCAGCCCCGCGCTTCGAACTTTTCAGATGAATTTCGAACTTCGACTGTCAGTACATTTGACAGCTGTTTTGTCGTGAAGAATTTTTCCGCATTTCCAGCAATCAATTTTTCCCATTTCTGACGAAAATAGGTGTGGAAAAGCAGTGAAATCACATCGAAGAGGTTTGCAAAAGTGTTAACGAGTTTTCAGCGAGTGAATTGCGAACCAATTATACAAGGTGAGCAGGGAAATCGCCCACTCACTCTTTATGTTTTTCGCTACAACAAAACTGCCTTCCGGACTATTTTGCTAATGATTTTTTTCTATTTACACGGCCAGGATGGAGGCTCTGGACGTACTAGAGAAGCGTGTGGATGCTCTGAATGATTTACTGGGCCCCCTGCCAGATGAGGACACCGCGATCAAGGGTGGGGAGAACCTCACAGATTCGCTGACGTCAGCGCACACCTTGCTCACGAGCGCTCTGAGTGGCCGAGACAAGATTACCGAGGTGCTGAAGCGCACGGATGAGCTCGAGAGCTATTTGGATCCCAACTTCCTCGATGACAAGCAGGATGTGAAGGCGCAGGAGGTGTACATCAACACCATTGCCACTGAGCTGGCTGGGAACTTTGAGATGCTGGAGAAGATCAAGTCCCTGGAACCGACCTTGGGTGCTGAGTACTTTAGCAATATCCCAGATGCCACGGACAAGCTCAAGGCTTTGAACAACTCAACATCTGAGCAGAAGGATCAGGGAGAGATGATTGAGCAGAGCATCATCCTGGCTATTCAGAGATACAGTGAGATTCAGGCGGGCATCAAAGAGTCACTGCGGAAGATGAACGAGAGGATAGACGAGCTGGAGCAGAGGCTGTCGAAGAAGAAGAAGGACGTGGACGTGTAAGCAAGCGTGTAAGTTTAAAATGTGATCCCTTGGTAGGAAAAGTTATTACGTGAAAATTGTATTTTCCTTTATTTACATCTATTATTTATCATTTCACTTTAAACAATACGTTTCGCAAGTAATACATATACAGTAACTACTTATTACTTTACATTGGAATAATATATATGTAATTGCTTAAGTGTAATAGACGGTAATGTTGAGAAGTTGATTGAAATTAAAACTACAGAAAAGAATTCATAGAAGATCATTTCGAATATTGTCTTTTCTTTGCTACCAGAATAAATTGATATAATAATATAAAGTATTTATTAGTTTCTTGTAATATTTACAGCCTTAGTTAAAACATAGAGAATATTTTTCCCTTAACATTTTTTTTTATCTCTTCCCGACAACTTTTGAATACATATCAAAATTCTTTTAAATAGTAATTGAATTGCAAATTTGGAGTAGTACTTCAACTCCTCGCTTTCTTTCTTTAGCTCGCAGGCCTGATACAACGTGGCCCCTCTATTTTATCCTCTACATGTATTTCACGCATTATCCCTAAGTTTTCCTTCCTATACTATTATAATTTTGCTGCAGATTTTTCCTCTCCACAATTCGTCATCGTTCAGTTGATTGGCACAAATAAAATTTTGTGACTAGCTATCGTTCTGAATGCTTGCAGAGTGTGTCTGTTCTCAATAGAGTAGCTCATTTCCTATGGTTTTTGCAATCCAATTTCTGATTTCTGCTGTGATTGATGTGAAAACTTTCGGTTGCTGACGTTGACCACAATTTCCGTGGTAACTCAGAACTCCACGCAACACCCACTCCATCTGCAAATGGCACAATCAATTGGAAAATGAACTATTTTCAATACAAGGAAATTGCATGGGAAGTGTACCTTTTCAGAGTTGGCTGACTTTTCTAAGCACAGAAGAGGGGCTGCTTCTCTCTGGAAGAGTTTAGAAAGAATTGATCACAACATTGGTGAATGAGACAAATAAGATTTCAATGTGATGCGCTTTACCTTGCATCCCATTTGATCCTGATTGGCACAGATGGAATTCTCTGGGAGATTTCCAGCGAAATTGCTTGTCGAATTGCATTCATCAGTCGTGATCATTGTGGCGCGCAAATAGTTCAATTGGCGATCTTTGATGTTTTCTGGTGCGAAATATGTATATTAATGTTAATTGGCACTGAATTAATAATATTCTCTCTCCAATTACTCACCATCTGAGGCATTTGCCTCCCACTCGGCAGTTATGCAGGACATTTCGGTGTTAATAGATGATGATTGTTCTGCAGAAAGGGCAGAGAGGCATGAACTTCTCAGTGTTGACTCCCACTTAAGGCCATCCTCCAATTCCAACAGCACTAAATCTCCCGAATACAGGAATTGTTTGAATTTGGCCTACAAGATAAACAGACATTATTATTATTTTTACTGCAACATTGTCTATAATTGCGTGTATTTTACCTGAGGGTTTGTGTAAATGTTCTTCACTGTTGCAGTTTGCGTTGCTGTTGAGTTGTTCTGTTGTCGTGTAAACGTTCGATCGCCGGCGAACACTTTCCAGTCAACGGCAGAATTTCTTCCATTCACCAATTCAGTTCGTCCGATAATGCAGGAGTAGGTCGAGAGCACCCATCGTGGGGCAATAATTGTTGCTGAACAAATTAAATTGGATGATTCACTAAATGCCAGAGCCACGCTTGAGAGCACAGCGGCTTCGATGAGTTTTTCATCATTTAACTCGTCCAAACTCTTCGGTTCACTGTTGCGATTTCCACATGCTGCAATAATTGTGCAATGGATTTTATATCATCTCACTGAATTACTGTTTTCTATGTAATGCTGCTGTCGAACATTGCGAAAAAATACTCACTGAATTCTTCACAGACAAGTGAGACGAAGCCAGAGTTGCAGGAATCTGTCTTCACGATTTTCTCTACAAGAGGACCACTCGTTGATTCATTCAATCCATAGATTACACTCGGGGGATTGGTGAGGCTTGTTTTTTGCCAGGAGGAGTAATTGGAATATCCTAGCTTGAGGCACATCGCTTCGGAGTCGTCATCTGTCCAATTATCAGCACAAATTACATTATATTGACCCATTTCTCTTTTCACACCCAGTAAATCTGCAGCTTCCGTGATAGTGTCATTCTTCAGGATCTTGAAGCAGTCCCATTCGTCCGATAGATCCGGACACTGAGGCAGTCCATTGCAGACGTTAGAGGCGGGAATACAGCCGCCTGTGTTGCATTTAAAGTTATCTCCACTGCAGTCACAAAGACGTTCATCTTCACTTCCTGAAATAGACAAAAAAAGGCTTAATTTTTATGTTGCAAATTGACGTTTTATACACTTACCAGAACAATCTATCTTCCCATCGCATCTCCAGGCCTCAGGAATGCATCTTTTCTGCACGGTGCAGTAGAATTCATTATTGCTGCATGTGTCCAAGCAGTTGCTCTCATCACGTCCGTTGGCGCAGTTCTGGAGTCCATCACACTCCCATTGGGTGGGAATACAGGGTCCTTTTCCAGACACATCGCACGAAATCTCGTCAAAGCGACACTGCCATTCTGAACACTTTTGCTCATCGCTGCTATCGTTGCAATGGGCGATTCCGTCACAGACCAAGTGGCGTGACAAACAAGGTCCATCACTGCACTGGAAGTGACCAGGACATCCCAATCGCTCACAGTCCATTTCATCCGATCCGTCAGTGCAATGGGAGATGGCGTCGCATCTTTCGGTCTTGCTGATGCAAGGAGATCCATTCTCAATCGATGTTCCATTCATGCACTCAAATTGACCAGAAGTGCACTGCGAGAACATCACGATCTGATCACTGTTCAAACTCTTGGTCATCTTCATGTTAGTGGGGATTTTTTTATCCGAGGCTGCGGACGTTCCAGTTAACTCAGAAGTCACCTGAAACGTCCCTTCACCTAAAAAATGACCGGTCGTAGATTCAGTGGTCTCCTCTCCAATCTCGTTGGGTCTTAATTTCTCTCTTAAGAATTCATCTTTATCAGGCTTCTTTATGTTTTTCCCTGAACTTAGCGGTATGACCTTCAGGTCATTTTCTGTCAATTTAGGAAACTGATCATCGGAGAAGTTCTTCTCCTTGCTAAACTTCTCATCTGGATCGAAGATTTCATTGAGACGTTCTGTTGTAGCAATTGTGGTCAGTTTCTCTTCCGCTCTGATTGAATTATCCTCATTTACAACATTTTTTGCTGTCTCAGTAGAACTCTCAGTGACAACATCATTCACCTGAGTTGTTTCCACTTTTGTCACGGTGGAACTAGGCTCTTCTGTTGATGCAGCAGCTGTAGTCGCGTCAGCAGCCTCGACTGTTGTCTTGTCCTCCCCATCACTTGATGTGGTCTCCAACAAATCTGCACTGGATTCATTCACGACTTTTTCTGGCTTCGCCGATGTGGCTTCCATGGCGGAATCAGTTGAATCTTCTGACTGTTCTGTGCTGTTGATCATGACATGGTCGACTTGCACATTGCTCTCTACGGGATTTTCCTTGTGGCTCTCATCATTGTCCAATCGGGGTGTTTTCGGCTTTTGCTTGATGTCCTCTTTCATCATTTCTTCCGTGTCATTTTGAACGAAAGCATCGTGGCCCTGATGCAAGTTATGCACAAGGGTGGAATTGTTGTCGATGTCAGGCAAGAAGGGTGATTGATCTACGGCAATATTTGGTATTGGTTGGAATGTTTCAGCCTCAGAGACATTTTCAGTGACGGCATATGAGGATGGTGTTCTTGGACTAGATGTTTCGATGTTGGGCAAAAATGGTGACATTTCCAAAGAGTCTCCCTGCTGAGATTCAGAATCATTGACAGTCATAATTGTGTCCTCGGATCGCGGCGAAAAGATATTTATCGTGCGATCTCCTTGTGTCTTCGGCTCCTCGTCAATCAACCTCGGTGACTTGAAGTAGTTCTCCGTGGGCCTAGGAATATCATCACTAATGTCCTCAGTGACAGGTGCGGGAAGGTCAGTTGATGGAGAAGTTTCCATCTCCGTGCTATCACTCTTTGGAATTTCTGTGGTGAGCGGAGAGAGTGCAGAATCACTTTCATCTGTGCCAACGCTAATATCACCTCGACTTGGACTAGACAGGGTAGTAGAATCGGCATCGCTCATCTCAACAGTAGTTGGCATGCCGGATTCACTGATAAACAATGACTTTTTCATCTCAGGGATATCTTTTCCTTCCTCAGACATCTTAGGACTAGTAACTTCTTCCATTTCTCGAGCCTCATCTGAAGATTCAGTTGTAATATTTGTATATTCATCTTCTGCCTCAGTCGTTGTGAGCAGTGAATCACTCATATCTCTGTCGAGAAGAGCTTCTAAAGTTTTATGGTCGAAGAATTGAGTTTTCTTCTCTTCCGGTTTTTCTGTGGATAAAGCCTCGGTACTCGAACCCTCAGTCGAGTGATGAATAATCATAATGTTGTCGAGTGTTGTTGGATTTTCTGTTGCTTCTCTCTCGAAATTGTAATCTAATTGCTTGGATGATTTAACGGTTCCAGCATTTTTACCTTCGCTTTTCGTGAACTCTGACTTACTTGAAGTATCGATATCATTAATTTCATTCCTCGGTTTGTGCTGATTTTCAATTACTTGTTCTTCCATGCGTTTTGTCATAATTTCCTCTGTGCTAGGTTCTTTGCTAGCAGCTTCACTATCTGTTTCTGGACTCTTGGGCTCACTCGCTGACTCTGGTTCACTCGTGGGTTCTCCCTCCGATTCCGGTTCACTTTTGGGCTCTCCTGTTGCTTCTAATTCAATCTTGGGCTCTGGCTCACTCTTGGGCTCTCCCTCCGGTTCCGGTTCGCCCTTGGGCTCTCCCTCCGGTTCCGGTTCACTCTTGAGCTCTCCCTCTAGCTTAATTTCACTCTTGGGCTCTCCCGCTGGCTCTGGTTCACTCGTGGCCCCTCCCTCCGGTTCTGGTTCGCTCTTGGGCTCTCCCTCTGGTTCTGGTTCGCTCTTGGGCTCTCCCTCTGGCTCTGGCTCACTCTTGGGTTCTCCCTCTGGCTCTGGCTCACTCTTGGGTTCTCCCTCTGGCTCTGGTTCGCTCTTGGGTTCTCCCTCTGGCTCTGGTTCGCTCTTGGGCTCTCCCTCTAACTTTAATTCACTCTTGGGCTCGCCCTCTGATTCTGGCTCACTCTTGGGCTCTCCCTCCGGTTCCGGTTCGCTCTTTGGCTCTCCCTCTGGCTCTGGTTCACTCGTGGGCTCTCCCTCCGGTTCCGGTTCACTTTTGGGCTCTCCTTCTGGCTCTGGTTCACTCTTGGGCTCTGGCTCTGGTTCGCTCTTGGACTCTCCCTCTGGTTCTGGCTCACTCTTGGGCTCTCCCTCTGGCTCTGGCTCACTTTTGGGCTCTCCCTCTGGCTCTGGCTCACTCTTGGGCTCTCCCTCCGGTTCCGGTTCGCTCTTTGGCTCAGCCTCGGGTTCTGACGTTGGCTCTGAATGAATGTGATGGAAATGATCATGATCATGATGATGATCGTGATCATGATGATGATCATGCTGATGTGGATTTGGTGTGACTTCATAAACGTGAAGTTTTCCTGGTCTGCATCGCTTTCCGTCATCTTGGAGTTCCATGTTGTCTGGACAGGTGCAAGAAAAGTCCACAATTTTTTCATTGAATCTGCATTCATGCTCGCAACTGATAAAAAATAAAGAGTGTATGTTTTAATAATTTCTTTGCCCATTTTGATTTCATCACTGATACTCACTCGTATTCGCCAGGATTCATGAAGCAGGTATCTGGAAGTCGGGCTGCCCTCAATGTGTTTGTTGGCACTCTGTGATTGTCCAGTCGGCCATTGTTTCTTTTAAGATAGTCAGCCAAACTGCTGCTGAGCCATGCTGGTGAGATATCAGATTGCATTTTATTGCTCCATCCAACTCTGTAGTCAATGACTATCGAACCGGGTCTGGAAAAGGAAGCGTTGAATTAATTAGCAGGCTGACTTTCGATGTAAAACATCAACAACTTACTTCATGTTTGTGACTTTTACGTAAATATCATTATTATTTGGCATATAAGAGGTGAGTGCCTGCTTAATTGACCTCTCCATTTTCTGAGCCAGATTAATATATGATGAACTATCGTGGTTGTTGTAATCATCTTGGAATTGCGTATCTTGCAGCGTCAATTGGCCCTCGAGAGTATTTGGTACTGGAAAAAAAAATCGATGTTATTACATGCGAAGATCAACGATGAATTATCCTTACCGTAGATGATATTCTCGTCGTTTGCTGTAGATACCGAGGGTATTGACGGTGCTGTACTCGACGTTGTTATGGGGGTTACTGGAGTTGTGTTGTTCTTTCTACTGCCTGCAGCACCAAGAATGCCAGCCGCTTGAGCTTCATTGCCGTTAAATTGTCGAGACTCTATTGGAGTGGGTTTTGCACTGAAGATCACACCGGCTGAAAAAGGGATTTGGTGAGTGACTAATGCGGAAGTATATGATGCGTTATCTCCTTACTTGCTGACAGCAGACCGATGATGACCAAACTAACAAGTAATGCTAAGACTATGGCCCAACAGAGCCACTTCCTCCATCGGCTCTTGATCCTTTTGTCTTTTGTCACATAGAGTTTCTCACCCCTGAAATGAGCAAGAGGAAGAGACAGAGGGTTGAGTGACATGGTAAGAGGTAATGGCACAGATGCTTGAGATAGCATGTCTGATAAGATAATTGAACAAAATCTACTAAGAAATTTCATTTGCTACATGCACGACCCCGTAACCAAAGCAAAGTCACTGAATGGAACTCCTGAGGTACACCCCAAATGCCTGTTTTTCGGCTTCTTCACAGAATTACACAATAGCAATGAAACAATTTTGAATTATACTCGAACGGATTTAGTAGGGAATGAAGCGCAAATGACGAAGATAATTTAACACTGGCGAATTTTTTACACCAAGATGGATATCGTTATTTAAGGGGGGTTCGTTGAACGCTGATGATGTGAATGGGTGGGTGTACCTCGATATTTTAATCCAACTTTTATAGTCGACGAGACCATATGTAGGCTGATTTAGCGATCGTCCGTAATTATCTACTCCACGCTCACCCCTTCGAAAAGACACGCTAGAAGAAATTCCGTATATCATGTAGTGTAGAAGGCTGTTTTAGGGATTCTCTCGGTGCTGTGGCCGTGATATTCTTATGGGCTTTTGTGGTCTCTTTAAAGCATTTTATGAGGAGGCAGTGTAGCGAATGCAAATAGATTTTACCTCATGTATTTTCGGTGTTCATTGACCGGGACGAAGTATTCATCGTAGGGATCGCCAATGTCCACTTCTGTGTCTTTCTTGATGGGGATTCCATTGTCGTGTCCATTTGCGGGTTTATTCAGATTTACTAATTCTAAATTGACGGCTTCTGCGGGAGGAGAAAAGGTGAATTTTTAGTTTTCAGGGACTTGTTTGGGCGAAACATGTTATTTCGGTGGAAGGTGATCTTGAAAGACATCTTGTCATTCTATAGCGAATCAGGTTCTCTCAATATTCACATTAGAGAGAGAGGAAAAAAAAACACGAGAACTCATTTAAATTTGTGTGATGTGAAAAATTTGTCAGGAAAATGAGTGCTCTTTAAGCTGTTAACTTTCTTTCAACACCAAAATCGTCAAAATTGTTTTATGGGTGTGCTGAAAAAGAGCTCTTTCGCTAAAAGAGCACTTCCTTTCCAGGTTGAGATGGTGGGGAAGAAGAGCAAACAATTGCTCACCTGCCAGAGGTTTATCGACACTCTTTCCATTTTGGGTTTTGGCGGAATTGAGGCTGGCTTCTGTGAGGCCATTCTGGCCGAAGGAGCTCAACGGTCGCTTGGGGTGCTCGTGCTCATAGCCGGGATTGTCCAAACCGATCTTGCCGTCAAAGCTGTCATCGGATTTGGTGAGGGCCACTTCTTCGAGAGGCGGAATTACCACTTCGGTCTGGTAATTGTGACGTGGAGACGGCGTTGGAGCGGCGTTCTCGCTGGCGGATGATTCGCTGCCGATGGAGAGTGACACCTCATTCTTGAACGGATAGTTCGCCTCCAGAGTGTGAGTTTCCGCCGAAGACGTGGACGCCGTGTTGTCCTCCATGTTGAGCAATGTCTAAAAATAAGCAATTAATATAATTAGCATGTGGAGTGGTAGAGCATTTTGGAGATACAAGTGATCAAGCCGATATGTCGATAAAGGTATTTGTAAATTATGCAATTGAGTCATGTGTCCCTCATTAATATTGATTGTCATTTCATTCTCAAATCGTGGGCGTTTACACAGATCGCAGAGCTTAATTTCCATTCATTGTGAAATACTAAAAGTGTCTCTGTGTGTGCTTTTCATTCAGATCCGATCATGCATATTTAGTGGCTCTCTTGGTCCATTCGGACGCCAGGAATGCAAGATACAATTCCAAACTCTTGTTCTCCCCACCCCTCGAGCTGCAGCTCTTTCGCAGTTATTCCCTGCATTCTACACAAAGCTGGAACTCTCAGAATGTTAATGACTGTATCATGGGATTCAGCTTCCGACTTTTCCCACGCACTTCACCCATCAGGTGATTCCATTTTGAGATTACACCTCTTTTTTACCGTTTGGAAACTAATTTATTTGAGACTGTGAATGGCATTAGATTTCATATTAGAAGACTTCTGGAGAGCATAACAAATGGCGTAATTATTGCCAATATAATTTATGGCCATCCGAATGCATGTCGTGAGAGAGGAGCGCGCGCGAGTGGAATTTTTGGGTGGAAGGAGTCGTTAGATAAAATGGCAAATGTTAAACAAAATACCCACTAAACTAAACAGTTGAAATTATATCACCGTTTGCATAGTGATTATGAGAAAGTGAGTCTAAAAGCAAATCTGTGAAAAATCACACAAGACTGGTAATTTCAGTATTGTGATATCTGAAAGTACCGCTCAATTCACGATATTTCCTCACACTGAGAGCTTCTTCACTTGTATTCGCCAGGCTATTGTATAATAGCCCTAGTGAAAATAAGGTGTTGTGCATCTCTGGTCAGCTGTACAACAACAATGATGAAAAATTCAAAGGCCACAGGCACAATTTATCACTTTTGGTGGGGCTATTAAATAAAATATTTCTAATTTGCCAAAATCATGTTGGAATTGTTTTAAATTGCCCAATAAATCGAGGTGCTGTATTGATATAATGAGGCATAGTATACTTTGCGAAAGCACCACAACATATTTTTGGCTATTTGGGTGGTGCACGGTTGGCTTTCTTTCGGCGCACTTTGTTGAGGGAAATGTATGTCAAAATATTGCAACACGCGCCGCAGAAAAAGAACACTGTTCAAACATTCATAAAAAAAAATACGCTAAAACTCCATGAATAGCTTCTTCAAAGTGTATTCGAGACTTTGAAATTGAGCCACTTGAGAATTCCACTGATTTCCTTCGTGTTTCTCTATTGATGAAATTGCTTGAGAAAATTGCAAGATCCATTGAATGACACACGATGGCAAAAAGTGTATATTGAAAATTAATATTCATTGTGTACTTTCTCCAAAATCTTATACATCATCAGAGTGTATGAATAGAGGAAAAATCTATTGAATAGTTATTCAATGAGACATGTGCAGAAAATATAATAAAATTCAATGTAATATGTCGGAATGGGACATGCTGTTAATACCTGAAAATGAAAGTCTCTCGAATCGATGTAAGTCAAGTGGAAGTTGTAAAGACCACGTTTTATTTCGGAAGTGAATCAGAGGAAACCGTTTGATGTCTCTCGGGAGATTTCTGTGCAGCAACACGCCCATTAATACGTGAGTATTTGTCCACTGAGATGTGAAATACACTCGTGAGGTCGCATAAGTCAATGGACAGGTGTTGATAATGCCATAATTACGACTCTAATTGGGTATGACTGAGAGTTTTATGATTTCACGAATAGATCTATGATATTTTACGCCAATTGGGGAACATTTTGTTTTGCCATTTTGGGATAAAATACATGAAATTAAGTGACCTCTGTCCTGTTTGAAGGTATAATATGTTTTTAATGTGCATAATGCATAGAACATTATACTTAGTTTTAAAATATTATGCGTAAAATTTCTCACATCAAGAGAGAAAGAGAGAAATTTGATCTCTATCTCTCTGCCATAATTAAAAATTTTCTGTTTGAAAAGCCTCTTCCTCTGCAGACCAACAATTGAATTTCTTGCTCGGATTTTGTATGTAAAATGTGCTCATCAGCAATTTCTGGATCTCCGTCGCTCTGTGGGAAAATGACACACACATGCGCATATTAGAAGAACACAAAGTAATACGGTCGTTAGAGCGACTGAGGAGGAAAAAATCCGCCTTCAGGAGGTGAATGGTTAATATGACTTCATTTCCTGCTGTGGATTCACATGAAGGAACAGCTGAAGGTTCCAGAGCAAGGAGAAGAATAGGATGAAGACACAAAGAATGCGTATTTGCTTTCTACTCGAAAGTATCCGGCATGTGAAATGTGTAACCCACAATCGCTGGCTTCTGGACTCGGAGGAGGAGGAAGAGTGAAGAACAAGTGAGGAAACACCCATATAATTGCGTGAAGACCGACGAAGAGACACACTTGCCTCCTCGATATTCCTCCCTTCTCTTGTCGCTGCTCATCGAACCATGCCCCGATCTCGAAATTGTCTTTTGCATCTCTAGTTCCGTTTGCCGGACACTGCAAACGGGTTTCTGCATTCATCCACCTAAAAACGCATCGTAAATACGACGGTGGATCATGTCGCGTAACTCGCTACACGGCGCATTGGTTGCATAATTCTCATTCAATTGTCGTTGGAAGATAATTTATAGAATATTGATGGCATCGTTATTATGTCAGTTTAGGAAGGTGATTATTGAGATATCACTCATCTGTCGCATATTTCACTTTTATTGTGTCCCCATCATTGACTCTCTCCGGCAATTTGTAGTCCATTGTTGAGTTGCGCCTTTGCATATAGCAATTAACAATTTGTTATTTTTTGTGCTTTAGAAAAGCCATCATTAAAATTGGGCAATTAGGAAATACTTTAGATTTTATGGGCACTCCTTTGCGAGAGGCGAAAAAGCGTGCGATATTGAAAGAAAACATTCAGTTTCATTTGGAATGGAGAATCGCCTCGAAAGGCTGCGAGATTTTTCTACCACTTAGACCATGACAGAGATAATTTTGCAAATGGCTGAATTAGATAATGAGAGTGCCTTTCGAATTTTAGGAAGCGTCACTTTGCATATCTTCTCAAGTCTTAACTTGAATACACACTGCAAACTAACATTCTCGATAATGTTAAAATTGTTTGAAAGCTGTTTAATTTCTGGTGTTTGTTGATAAAAGTTTCTTTCCAACTTTCGTTTCAGAGTCATACAAGAAATGCCCTTATCATGCGGCAAAAGTATTTACTGTACAATTGGGACGAAGTTAAAGGTATTTTCCAATAGAAACGCTCAACAACTTGCAACGTGTTTGAGTTAACGCCACATATTGTTTTGAACTTGTAATATCAAGCACGTATGAAATGTGAAGTGCAGTTTCATGCGATAAGAGTGTTTGTATACTCTGTACACCGGATGAATTAGTCGCCAAAGACAATCATCGCAAGTTTTTCTGCAGACTTGGAAAAAAAAGGCAAGAGTCTGAAAAATTAGAAATCCATTGTATGCAAACTACATTCTTTTGATGCAAGGATAAAATTCTTTTTTTTCCAATTGTGCAATGTTTATTTCGAGGAGAGACAAAGAAATGAGGAAAATACTTTGTTTAGATTCTTAAAGGTGTGCAGAGATTGTGTTTGTATGAGGGAAATTAATTTGTAAATAATATACCTTTTCATTGAAATTCTGATCTTTTATTGCAATTTGATTGTTGAGATTGTGTATGTGTTTTATTCTGTTAATATTCAAATGATTTCTCTCATTCTGTGATCGCGATAATGAGCTCATGAGTTCGTGAAGTTGTCAATTGGCCTCATTCCTCATCAATATCTTACCAATGTTTACGGCAAGGCCGTTTTCTTGCGAACAAATATGTGATTTTCTTTCCAAATATTCACACATGATGTGAGATAGTGTTTGACGCTCAATTGGTGTGGTTATAATCTGATGAATAAACCTCTAAGTTTATTAACCGGGAGGTTGAATTTTCTCGACATGAACTCTGTGAGGTGAGCAGCAAATTCCGCGGCAGTTGCTTGTATTGAGAATACACGTGCCTGTCTAACACAATAGAGGTGTCTCGAAAAGTGTCTTGAGAAAACCAAAAGACTCTCGGTGTGTATATGGTCTCGAAAACAGGTTCTCTCCTTACTGTTAAATTGTGAGATGCTATTAATTAATATGATGGCGTTTTGTTGCTACAGTAAACCATCTCCCGATGGCGGTTTGGATCAACAGCCGGAAAAAATGCTCTTCTGAGAGTGAAAGATGAACGATTTCAATCAATATGTGGCATCTCTTAATTGTGTTAAATGTACTAAAAAATTTTACCATGCAAATTCCTTTCTCTTTTCACTACACACAGTGACTCTCCTGCAGAGAGACACGATATATAGTGGCGTCCGAAAGAAATGTATAGTGATTGCTCGAGTGATATTAATGATAATTGAATGCGCATCTTATTTGTCGTAAAGCAAATAGAAACCTGCGTGTAAAATTGCTCATCACACAAGAGAAGAAGAGAGTGGCATGGAAAAGGAAAAAGAACACTTGAGGAGGAGACTTTTTCTTGTCATTATCGACTTGAGCAGATTTCTCTCGGCGATCGGCGTGAAGAGCTCACTTCACGTGGGTCATGGAGTAGGTATAGAGCTCCTTTTAATCGTTGCCCATTGAGGCTGATGACATAATAATTCTAACGTGGCTAAAGAAGTTGCCATTCGAGTGAGAAAATAATCCACTTGACTCGTGTTATTTAATTAATTCCAAGAATGCACTTTATTACTGTCTCATTTGAATTAATATAAAAGCAGATCACTCCTCTTGAGCACACAGAAAGGCATTTTTCACCTAGACTCTCTCGCAGCAGTGGATGGAATGAAATTGTGGTACCGGTGAGAGAGATGTAATGTGTCGTTTGAAATGTTACGCGTAAATTTA